AAATCAAAGAATGTGGTTTTGTCTTTAGTTAGGTTTCTAGCTATTTTTCCGGTCAATACCACAATCTTCTCCTTAAGCTAAGTTCTTAAACTAAGTCCTCTAAGTGCCTCAACAGGAGCATGAAAGTTTAATAAGGTGCTATATGCAGATATTGTTAGCAATCCTTTTCCAGGAGCTCTCTGTGTTTTACAGCTTCAATTACACATATACACCTCATTATACTGATTATTTCCTTATTAAAGCGGCATTAAGCTGAATTTCTGCCGCTGCAAATCAAACATGTACTTATGTATCCTTTAGAGACATCTTAAAAAATGTAAGCATGCACTGGTGTGTACATATGTAGTGTATGCTGTGCACATTAAGTGAGATAACATCATCATTAAAATATTTACGCCCTTATGCCTCAGTAGGGGTCTACATTTTAAATATTTATTGACTTGATGTAAAATTACTTATGTTTGGAGAGGAGGATGTGATAAGCCAATAGTCTTCATTAAATACACAGAAGCACTGACTGAAGCAGGTTTATCAAGATAAGATATTGTCCCTGAGGAAGAGTTCGCCTCGGGCAGTAATGCTGCACACAGCTGCATTCACCATATGCAATACATAGTAAAAGCACAGTCAGATGAAGCATAGTAACAACATGCAGTAATCAAAAAGTAAGTTTATGTAAATGACTGTCAGAGCTCTGGGAATATGAGTATAACTTCACAGAAATTACAAAAATGAAGAGTACTGCAGAAATGCCTGGATTAGAGTTGCATATTAGAGAGAGTGTAGTATTGGCGTTTTCTCTTAGGGTGGCTGTGATGGAGTCAGTCATCTCACAACTGGAAGGTTTGGGTTGGTTGATTCAATCCCAGAGTCGTCCACATGCTAAAGTGTCTTTGGACAAGACACTTGACTCCACCCGCTGAGTGGTGTGGAAATAAAAACACGAAAAAGGAAAATATTGATCGGATCGAGATCACGATTCTGCCATTAACATTAATCGATTAAAGCTCCTGTGAAGAACTTAAAGTTTGTGTTGAATTTGGCACCCCCTTGTGGATGGATAAAGCTCAACGTCTAATCACTTGGTTTATCAGGCTTGGTAAAAACGTTTTTTTTTTTACCATATATCAAGAGTTTTGCAGGTAAAAGCTGTTTCTATCACAATCTATCAATCAATTTACCTGACACCTACCCCTCACCAGTGGAATCAGATGTAAAATAGAAGTGTATAGAAATAAGCACATTTCCTTTTAAAAGTATTGTTTCATTTCACTTCACTTAGATTTTATTATGTCCCAAAATTGGCAAATCAGGTTGCAGCAGGCACGGGCATTGAGGCACACTGCCATACAACATAAAGGAAATACAAGAAAATACATTTACATAAAAAACAATTCAGGATGTAAAAAGCATTAAAGACGATTTAGAAGGTAAAAAAGCAGCAAATGTCAGTCATACCAGTATTTTTACATGAGCAGAGTGCATAAAATGCAGAAACAAAGTGCAATGTGCGGTTTGTGTACCAATAAAAGAAACCCTAGATCAAGCCTGATCCTTGCAAACAAGGGTCCTTGTTTGCTTCAAGGGGTCATATAGGAGCTTTATTATTCATATCAGTTTGTTTTATAACCAAAAAAAAAAAACCCTTGCCGGAGCTTTAAATTCAAAAGAAAAGAGAAAAACACAGTACTGTCTCCAGTTGCCCAACTTTAGATGAGGCTTAATAACTAAATGCAACACTATGAGAGTGCAAAGAAAGCAGAAATCAACAAAACCACACTACAGTCTTAGCAATTTCCACTGATATAAGACTCATACAAGTGCAGTAAGATCGAGATTCCTGCAGAGATTAATTGGCTATAAAACCCATGACAGCTGGTTATATAGGGCAACAGACTCGAGCTGCCATTGGTTTCCGTTAAAATATATGTCTGGTAATTCACAAGTAAAGTGATGTGTAAAGGTCTGATTGAATGGCCATTAGACGACAGACATATTTTGTCAAGAGTGTAATAATATACACATCACCATACAGACGGTTGAAGGTTATTAAACAGAGCTAATGGCAGCAGTAATGTCTGCTAACTGGATCCACTCCCAGAGTCTTTTTGTGCCTTTTTCATTTGACTATTTGGAGACAATAGTCCTGAAAGCACAGACTTAACTATGATCTGCGCTGAGAGTTAATGACAAAGTGGGGATGAAAACTGGTTTAAAGAGATTTCGCTGCTTTGTGATGTTCGGCTGAGCGGGTGGATGAGAGAGTTTGCGTAGTTTCAGAGCGAGTGAGATTACTTTGAATATCTATGAAAGTGATGTTTGAACTAAGAGAAACATTAAAGTGTTGAATTCATGCACTGACTTCTCTAGCAGTGATTTATGGATGTTCAACTCACGAGCCCACAGTATGATGATAATCTCTGCCTATACAGATATATGTATTTGGTTCTTTAAATTACCTTGACATTTTCTGCGGAAAACTGTCAGCCACAGACCGGCTGATATATTCAAGTGAGTATCATCCAAAAGCTTCACCTTCACGCTGCTTTTTCAGTTGATTTTTGTGTTTTTCTTCACGAACAATAACTGTGAAAATCACAGCATTTCACTGTCAGGGTAAAAAAAAATCCAGCCGTCCTCATCCCACAAAAGAACATCAAAAAAATCAACTGACTGAATCAGTTTTTTCTGTTCCTCTTTTCAGGCTAAAAGTGGCACTGTCACATACAAAGTTGGTGGTGCACGTCTTTATCCGCGCCTATTTTACAGTCCTGTCGCTTATGTACATTGTGCACACTGTCAAAGCTGCACGAATCTTGCTCAAATCTGGCTTCCCAAACCAATCATGTGACAGTGAACCCAGTTTATTCTTGAAAACAGAGACAGTTGTGAGGATGGACCTCAAGGACATGAACATCTGTTTCTAGCACGGTAGCTAAATGTCCCCAAAGGGCCCCCAGTAGAAAACAAGCATCTAGACAGGAGAGGGTAACATGGGAACATCTTTACTCCCATGCAACTATGTCTTCAACTGAGCTGGACACATTTATTGTGCGTCCTTTGTTTGCCTGTGATCTGAAGCGTCTGATCACATTTAATGTCTAACTCTATGTCTAAGCCTCTTTCTGATCAGCTCTCTTTCATTAGAAGTACTCAGGCTGTTAGAGCTGATTAAGGAGAGTCTACACAATGTAGAGTCATAGATCACTGAAGAAAAATAGACAGTTGTAGGGAAAGGAGGGTAATAGAGAGGACAGTGTTGCTTTTTCAGGGAACATTTTTTGAACTACAAGCTGACATACTTAAAGAAAATATGGTGCAGTGTCCTCTGATGTGCCCTTCCAATAGAGATCACATAAAAATTGATCTTGGTCACCAATTCAGTGGGGAAAGAATGATTTAATGCCTCTTTATGGAGTCTTCTGAGGATAAAGCAGCACTGAGGGGGACACCTGAGGATGCTGCCTTGAGAAGGAGAAAATACAGTGCAGCTCTCCAAAGTACCCAACTGTTGCACTCAGAGTATGTAAAATGAGTTTTTTATTCATGCTTTCATACTACCTTTCTGCTCAGAGGAGAAAACATGATGCATTGCCCTCCAGGATGCCAGTCCAGAGGAGAAAATGGGATGCAGTGCAATACCTGTTGCAGCATTCACCCCAACAAAAATCATGTTTAGTGCCTATAAGTCTCCATGCCTCTTGTCAATAACCTCTCCAGCTGAAAGAATACGATGCGATAACCTTGAAGGAGCTTTTTTTTAGTGGTGAAAACATCTTATCATAACCTTTAAGTGGGGTTAAAACTATACATTTCCCACTTTGCTGCCAGTACAGCGGAGAATATGTGGCCCTGAAGACAAAAAGGTGGTGTAGCTTTTGATATAAAAACATGATGTATTGCCCTCAGCCGTGCCAGTCCATCAGAGAAAATGTGATGCTAATGCACTGATGAGTGCCCTTCAAATTGCATAAGGGCTGTGCAGCGCTTGCCCATTGGAAAAGTAAGACATGCACCGCCTCATTGTACAGTGAAGAGATGGTATTATAATGTACTTCTCTGTGCCCTGAATTCTTTTATTCCCATATGCTGCCTTTCTTGTAGATAAAAATGTAATGTGATGCCCTGAAGGCTTCTATTTTTGTGGAGAACATATCTTGTAATAACCCCGGGATGCCCTCTTGGCAGGAAAATATCATGTATCTACAACCCTGCTGCCAGTCCAGTGGAAGAAATGTTGTCTACCATATGGGTCCCCTCTCTTATCAAAGAAGAGGTGATGTAGTCTTCCTCATGATTAATCGCCCTCTCTGTTGGTGATCCAGTGGAGAAAACATGATGCAGTGCACTGATAAGTTCGTTTGCTGTAGGGAAAACATGATACAGTGGCACCCTATTTGTTATCTAAACCTGGGTTTGTAATATTTTCTCCACAAGAGCACCCAGACTCAATGCACCCTTAAATCCATGTTGTTTTTAATTATTTTCACCCCTGATCCTCAGACAGACTCATCTTACCCACAGCACAGGATTGAACGATAATGGCATGGACTATTGGGGAGAGTGGGGTAAGTTGATCCACCCCCTGTTGCTTGGAAATGGTAAAAGAAATTGATCGTGTGACCAAATATTTAGGAGATGGGCATCAATTCATGGAGTCTGTGAAGGTTAGAGGCACATGGGTGAAGGGGTTAGACATTTATTTACAAAAAAAAAAAAACATTTTTCACTCTGTAAAGTGAATTTAGTTTGTCATAAGTTTGATTAGAATTGTGTTCAGACCAAAAAAGATCATTTTAAATTTCTTTTATTCATCAATTGTGGTATCTGTGAGCTACAACATGAGGTCAAAAACCTAGAATTAAAGTCCACCATTTTAGCTTAGAGGACTAATAAAGTCATGATCTTACCCCACCCTCCCCTATAAGTGTCAGTGTCGTTTTCTGTGACAGACCCAACACTGTTGTCCCACTACACTGTTGTCTGGAGCATTTCAGTTTGTTCATTAGGCTCCAGACCATGGCCTCGCACAGGCCACTTCTGTAACCAATGCAGCTCGCGTGCACGAGCAGTGCTGGTTGATCGTGAGCGCGCATGGAGGCGGTCCGGGGCTGCCTCAGTTTTCTGTAATCGCTTTTCTGCTGCTGCTACCTCCAGTTAAATAGCTAGGACACGGGAGCGAGCAGACGGCCGTGTGAGGATATACTTTTTTCGGTACCTTGGGATTACGACGCGGAATTGCAGCATCGACGGCCAGCCGCCAGGTAATATCGACACACGCATTCAGCCGCGCCTCTTAGATTCGCGAAAAGTAAGTAAATGTCCCGTGAAAAGTGTCGTTTTCCAGTGAAGAAGAAGAAGGAGGTGGAGGAGGAGGAAAATAAGGGGGGAGGTGGATGTGTGGGACGAGCCTCCCTTTGTGCCGAGGCAGGGTCACTGCTCTTCAAACGTACAATGTGGACACTCCAGAAACGGCGAGGATCCGCGCATTCTCCCCCCCGGCGGTTCACCGTCCTCCATCAGCCCCGCCGCCTGCGTCTCTGTAGGACGAGTCCGGGCAGAAACGCCTTCTTCGATGCGTATTTTCATTGAGTTTAAAACACGGAGGCCTGCTTTTCTCTTCGTTTTTCCTTTTTAAAAAATACCATTAAGCGGTAATGTAACGCACCCTACTTTCCGCTTCCTCCCCCGGCGTTGTAATAACGTCAGCCCGCTCTTGATTCTGTTTATGGACGCTCTCGTAGGACAACTCGGTGTCAGCCCCCAATTCGACCCCTATTGTGCTTTCAACCCCTGAAACGTTGACCCTCACGGTTTGACCAGTCAATTAAGTCGTGTTTAATTACACGTAGACGTCTAAACTTGCCTTTGCTGTTATTTTTGGGGAGTGTAACGTCTCCGCATTGACCCCGGTATCCCCAACGGTTATTGAACCGGTTACATTACAGCCGTTGATGTCCCTATCATCACCGTGAAACGCCCCCCGGGAAAGGCGAGCTGTCCGCCGCTTTACTTCATCGTTTTGACTTGAGTTTCCCAACATATTAGCTACCTTTTATTCGTCTAATTTCATTATGTTAAAGTCGAAGTTGAACATAATCTATTTAGTCGAGTCTTTGTCGTGTGTTTGGGTGAATTGATGTGGATAGTGCTCGTTTTCTCGGATGGTCTCATCGTTTTCAAGCGTCGTTTCTTATCTGTCACTGAGGATCTGTATTACTCTTCAACTAAATTCAGCCAAGTGTTTATTATTATTGCCTTTAATAGCCTCGTTTAATGACTCATAATCACAATGGTCAATAAGTAGTTAGACTGGAAGGCATGTGGTTGCAAAGCAGAGTAGATTCTTGATAGCCTTTCTTACAAGGATGGTTATAAGGTCAGTAATCTGTTTTCTAGATCTAGGCCAGCACTGCTAAGTCTTTCCATTAGCCTGTCACATTCATTGACCAGCCATAAAATTATGAACACATGGGCAATCTAATGCAATCCAACAGCTCCAGCATAAAACCTCCTTTCATGAAGCCTCTATGCTTTTGGTTTCGTTGACATGACCAGACAGGTGATAACCGTACTTCATATTTTTTCATCGATTACAAAGTAGGTGGTGTCGACTGGAGTGATTGGGAATGCTTTCAATATAATGCTGTTAAAACAGGATGATTACCTCTCTGGCCATGTCAACTACAACAGTAGAATTTGTGGTTGGGTCGCATTAGACTGTCCAAGTGTTCCTAATGTTATGGCTAGTCAATGTGTAAACCCTGTAGTAGATCATTAGGTGAATGGCTCATTATATTCCTTTTAACAAGGGTTCTACACATATATAATCCACATCACAGCAGGCTTTGACTAATGTCTTTTCATCAGCTCCCACTGCACACATCAGCTCTGTTTTAACTCTCATGTACGTCCAGCTGTACATTGATTCAATTGAACCCATCGTACTGTGGCTTCACTCAAATCACCATGTGCCGAACTAATTTGACAGTATGACGTCTTTGTATTTTCCCAGAGTGGCGACTCGCTCATATTGCTCAATGTCTTTTTATTTTTCCCTACAGGGCCCACGATGTCCAGCGAAGTGCAGAGACCGGACGACAGCCCCAGCACCAGCGGGGGAAGCTCGGATATTGAACAAAGGGAAACGGTACCACCTGAACAGGAGCGGGAGCAAGCACAGCCCAAAAAGAAGGAGACCAAGATCTCGAGTAAAACTGCTGCTAAACTTTCAACTAGTGCCAAGAGGTAAGAGGAGAAAAAACACAGCAGCATTTACACAGGGGTTTGTTTGTTACACCAAAGGCCTCTCCTCCCCTGTGTGCCCCCGGGGTGTGAAGTTATATAAAAAGAACCACAGTCCCACCGGCATTGTCATTTCAAACATCCATGCTATTCAGTGTGACACAAAACCCACAGAAAGGAGGTAACTCACACAGCTCGTCGCTCGTGTGTTGATGCTGTCGTCTGAAAGAGATATCCCCGTTACAGCCGGTTTGTTTGAATAGATTTTCCTCATGCTCTGCAGCCCTCTTGTCTCCTTTACACCACCAACACTTCCCTCCACCAGTCTTAGCACTTACTTCCAAAAAAAAAAAGAGAGAGGGGCGCTGACAGAATTATGCAACAGCATGAGCAAAGGGTTGGCTCAGGCCGCTGAGTCTTTTTATAACAGCGACTGATGTTGTGATCATCTCCCTTTGTGTGTCTATCCTCCATTTAAACTACGAGGGCCTTCAGAGCAGCACAGAGAGGACTCATCCACTGTTGTCGAAGGTGGTGTGTTTATATTAACGGGAGTTTAGCAGCAGAGTTTGCACTCAGTTGCCCTTCACAGCCTGAGTCATGGTTTCACACAGTTATCTGAGAAATTCTCGTAGCAGGCATGTTTATTCTCACGCTTGAAGTTGCTTTTTAATTTCCTTTGTGTAACTGAGGCAAATGAATTTAATGAGAACGATAACGAATTAAAAAAAACCCATTTAGTTTTAAATAGAGTTGTAATGGCTTTATTTGATTCTTTTCTTTTGGCAAATTGTCCGTACAGTGATATCTCAGTAGCGCGGTTGTCATGGTTTATTCATTCACTTCTTTTTACAGATTACATTTCTAAAATGTGCAAATTGGCCAACATCAAACAACAACCTGATGTCAGAGCAGTCATTCGAGCCTTACTGAATTCTCTCCTCTTAAATCAAACATGATATCATTGTTTTGTTTTACCTGTCTCTTGTAACACTTCTGCTAGAATACACTCAAGTGCATACAGAGGACAAATGCCACAAAATGATCCTTTTTATGGACAAGATTTATGTCATAAAATCTTCTTGAGTCATCCCAAGAATGTATCTGAAACACCAGCTTTGATATGAAAGTGCTTTAGGGCCTGTGTCCACTGACAGCATTTTTTTCTTGCAGACAGCACCCACAACCTTTCAGGACACTTCACAGCAACGCTTACTGATGCAGAGTTGCAAAAGTCGTCCTGCAGCACTTTTGTTTCCTTAATTGTAACTTTAATCTGTTTTAAAATGCTCCGTATGCTTCATTTCTGCTTTTATTCAAGAAATTTTACCAAGAAAACTTAACGGATAAAAGTTGTGTTGCAGAATTAGCAGCACCTCCACACCTGTTAATTGTATCCTTAAAAAAGGTGTAAAGTTAGTTCCCTCTGTACGGAGCTCTGGCATTGTTGTTGACAAAGCTGACACCAAAAATCCTGCCTCTTTTTTAAGAATTTTATTGGTTAGTGATAAAGTGGTGACATTGATGAGAGTGGCGATGCTTAAAGGTTAAACCATTTTCACCTTAGGGGGTATTTTTGTGCTCAGGATGTTGACCACTGACAGTGATGAATTACGTTGGTTTTGTGTGTGAAACAGGCACTGCCAGTGCAAAAAAAAATGGAGTTAGTGGACACAGGCCCTCAGTCATTGTTTGCAGTTGTTCTAAATACTCAGTGTGTTTGTTTAGGAGAAGAGGGGACGTCTGAGGATAAGTTTGCTCCCATTAAAACCACATTAGGATAAAGGAATTCCAACTTTAGAACCAGTTAAACATCTGAAACCAGTTTAGCTAATGTTAGTGTCAGTTTGGTTCCCAGCCTCTCTGGATGTGTTTTGTCTGCTGAAGAGCCTAAAAAAACAAATCTTTAACTTAAAACTGCTGTATTCTGTTAAGCTCTGACAAACACCACACTCCACACACAACCACCTCGCTATTTGTTGTTTTCAAATCATAACTGAAATGAAACAGTAGCTGCCAGGAGCAGCATAATACATCCACGGTGGCAGCGCAGCCAAGCATGCTGTGTAGGCTACTGTTTTGGAGCTCGTGTTTGATCTATGCATAGACTGGCATAATCACTGATGCATAATCCCACACTTGAGGACGTATGGGAGGCATTTGGTGCCGCTATCAGTATCAGAATAACCCCTGGAGTCTTTGTTGGTTTCTGTGTTAACAGCTGAAGGTTGACAGGCAGGATTAAGAGCTGCAGCGTCTGCCTCATCACAGGCTGGAAACTCTGACTTCATACATTTTACAAGTGTCCATTCCTTAAGCGTTTATCCCCTGGAGAGTTGCCCTGCTAACTCAGTTTTAACAATAATATCTCTGTATCTCTTCCAGGATCCAGAAAGAGCTCGCAGAAATAACACTAGACCCTCCTCCAAACTGCAGGTAAGAGAATGTAATCTTTTCAAAGCATTCCTCCACTCACTCTCAAGCCTTTGTGCACACATGCTAAAGCTGTAATGGATGTAGACGGCAGAAATGGGCTTCTTTCAAGGCGTCTTGTGTCTTTAAAAGGAAAGGCCACGCTGTAATGCGCTCTCTTTTGTCTCTGCTCCCGTAATGCTCTTGTTTGTGTGTTTTTGTTCCAGATGGTAATCTCAGGTGAATTAAGAGTGACTGTAGTCATTTCTGGCATTGTTGTCGTTGATGTCTAAAGCGTGCTGCAACCTCTGGAGAAAGAGCAGATCATAGTAGCATTATGGTTCGATTGAAATGGGGAAAAAAAGAGCATCGGTGTGACTTTAAAACCTGTTTTGATTCTCCTGTGGTCCCCCCCCCCCCTCGTTCTGCTGGGGATTTACCGCAGACAATGGTTATTGTGTGCTGCTGCCGCGGCTCTCAGCCCTTTGAGGAAGAGATACGGTCGCTGGTGAGTGGCACGCCGCACGTGCATCAGTCTCTCTTTACAAAGAGGGAAAGGGATGCCTTTTGGGATGAGCGCAGGAGTCAGATTTTATTAACTTAAATAAAGTGGCGCTGATTATGTCTGTGTTTATTACCGCACAATAATTACTCTCTGAATCATCACTCGGCTGTAAATTAAGACAGAAAACGGAAGCAGATTCTTGCTGGATTGAAGATACTTGTGGGAGCCGCTCGTGCTTTCTGACCGTTTCAGAGATTTGTTTACCGGCACCTGCTCCAAATGATGAAGGAAAAACAACTTTGTATGACTCATCTGCCCATTTGGAGTTACTACACCCCAGACAGGCTTGTTTATTGCATGAATTAATCACCCCTGCTGGGTCTCATCTAAAGCCCACCATCATTAACGATAAACATTGAGCTAACCTTTTCATTCCAGCTCGTAGCCCAGTTTTGTTATTGTTCTGGAGGTTAAAAAGAGATGTTGTTTTCCTCGAGGACTTTAATCTATTTCAACCCTCTTCCCCTCCTACTCCCCCCCCACCCCCAAATAAAAAACTAGGTTGGCTCTCATGCAGGATTTAGCTGGAGGACACGAGTAAGTCATTTGAAAGTAAAATAATCGCTAGCGGAAATTTCACAGTCAACGTCTTAGCGGGGAACTAGTTGCCTGGGAAACAATTAAGCTTCTTGAAGATAATCCTTTTCTCTGTGTGTGTTCTCTTTCTGTACATGCAAAACGATACAGCTATCTAATAATGTGTCTCCTCTGATGCACCCAAATAGATAAGCCCTCTGTTTAATAACCAGACGAGGGGGAGGGAAAGGGGTCAGATGCATCAAACGCCGAATCTGTCATGCAAACGATCACGGCGCCATTTACATTCCCGCCTGAACGAGTGCACACCGAGGATGCTCGTGTCGTCATTTGTATGCCGCACGCTCCCCCGCTCCCGGCCAGGTTAGCCCCTGAAAGGTTATTCATTTCATTCCCCGCCGCGACAAATGGAGTCACAGACTGTTGGCCCCCTTCAGGAGGCAGACAGAGAGTCGTGTTGCACAGATTCACTTCACTACATTCAACAAACGGGGCGCTCAGGGGGGCCCTTGATGTATGTCACCTCATCTGTTTCTCCGCTGAGGAGCCCCTCGGACTCCCTCGCCCACTTTGTCCTGCTCAGACAGAATTCGCCGTCCTCATCTTGTGGTTAAAATCTGCAGTCTCCTTCGGATCACCTACACACTCGCTCCTGAGCCGAGGAGGGGATCACGCTGAGTCTTTTCTCTCTGTAAAATGGAGAGCCCTGCTTCATGACTCTCAGCGTAGACACGTGCAAAGAGCCAGAATTCCCCCTCTAAAGCCTTGGAAGTGCTGAGGATCTAATTTAGTGGAACATCTGTGGCAGGAGGTGCCCATTTGATAAGTCTAATGAAACGCCCACTCCTTTTCTTCCAGCATCCATCTGAGACGGCTGTGTTAACCCTCAGCTGTATTTAATACCACTGACTGTTGTTATAAGACGTCTTTGTTGATAAATCACACACTTTCTAATGTTACCTCGCTATCAAGAGTCTATAAAATTACTGCTGAAGTTGTTTTAAAAAATCAATTTCCAAACTTCACCAACAAAACCATCTCCATTTTACTGCTATGTCACCACTCGCCGAAAATGATCGCAAGTATTTAAATTGGTCTCCGAGCTTTATCTCACTCACGGCGCCTTGACAGTTCGCTTGTCACCTTGGCAGTTGTCATGCATCAAACGAACAGGAAGACGTTGAAGCCCAAGAGGATTTGACATGGCAATTATTCTCACTGTCATACACTGGGAGCAGATTGTACAGGCAGCGTGTGCTCTTACATGAGTGTTGCAAATGAAGCGGGATCTGAAAGGAATCGTGTTTTCCTGCCTTCAAGTTGCACAAACACTTGCAATCATCTTTCAGGGACTGAAATGTAGATTAGATCCTCCTGAAGAGGAGCATGTCTGGCTCAGCGTTGTAACTCAACACTTGAGATTTAGATTCGAGTTTCATTGTATTAAAGATCAGACGACTGTGTCTGAGCTGCTTATGTACGAGTTTTCATTCTAATAAGCCAGTTGTCTGTAGCTATGATAATGACTGTACTGTGATACTTATAAAAGTCACCAGAGCGTCTTCTTGGCTCTCATTCTTGTTTATGTTTTGTGGTGTGGAATGCTCATAACTTGAGCGCAGCAGCTACCAGTTTATCTGCAGGTTACTGCCTTATTTATTGGAAACATATCTGCATTCTTGAGGGGACTTGGCAAACAAAAGTAAAGAAGTTTTGCCTCCCTCAAAAAAATGTGCAGAAAAATGTCGACTCTCTCACTCTTATTTAGTAGTATCCTAGATGTAGGTCATGAAATTAATGAATCAACTTATTTAAGAACACGTCTTCTGTATATTTTAACTCTGTTGTACGACTCTGCCAGAGTTTGCTTAGCGTGGTTTTTGTTTTACCAGTACCATAGCCGGTCCCTCGTGGTTCTCCTCAAGCTTTTCATCTTCATACTTTGTGCATCAGCTACTTTACAAACAGTGAAACAGAGTAATAGTTGTCTTGTCCTAGTGGCACCTGCTGTCTGACAGAGTCTGCAGATTTGTGTCTCATGAGCCTCCTCAGCTCCACGCTCTCTACTTTTACGTTGCATTGCAGCCACATTATTTTGCAGCCGCGGTTGGCAATAACTTTTGAAATGCTTACAAGCACTGGACCAGTTTCAATATGGAAGTGTCACCCAAAATACTCTAAAGACCCGTACCTCCTCTGATGATCTCTATTGGATATCAGTCCTCGATCAGCAAAAAAAAGAATATCGGATTATATCGGCCCACATCTAAAATCTCCGATATCAGCACTCTGATACAAGCAGTCCATTCCAGACTCGGCTTCGGCACCTCTATCTAGCAGCGCCCTGACCCACCAAGCTGAGCCCACAAAATCACAACAACAGTGTGTACTAAGGGACTAACAAAGTAGCAAGGAGTCAGAGTGATGTCGGCCTTGTGGCAGTATTTTCTGTTTAAGACTGAAAAAGACATTGCAACTGAGTGCAAAACTTGTAAGATCAATATCGCTATCGGTCAATATTGAAGGCTACAATATCGGTATTGTATCGGAAGTCAGAAAGTTGTATCAGGACACCCCTAATCTCTGTTTTCAGTGGGCATGACTGACTCCTTCTCCCTCCCGTTCATCCATCTCAGAACTCTGATATCGCTCAAAATTGATGTCAAAGTCCCGTTAATTTCAACCTGGCCGCTCAGATTGCCGTCACACTACCAAAGATCTGACCTGTGTCTGATTTTTAAAGATCAGATTCCCTGTTAATTGTCCTGTTAACACTCTCGTACAAAAACCAGATCTGAGTCACACATGAGCAACAAAATCCAAACTGGAGTTACTTTAGCCTGCAGCGTTAATTAAAAATTGACGATGAATCCATAATTCAGTTCCAGCTATGGCAAATATTTGACACTTTTTATTTTTCATGCTGCAAATTTTAAATTATTTGACGTTTATTGGAGAGGACAGCTGCAGAGAGACAGGAAACATGGGGAGAGGGGAGCGGGGTGGACATGCATCAAGAGTCGTCCTTGAAATACATCTGGAAAAAGGCATGTTCTCTCAGACGGGGTTTCGGAATTACATGTGAATATTTGTTTCAACAGACGGGGTCACTTATCTGTAAAACTGAGATCTGCTCTGACTCAGTGCTGCAGCACCAGGTGGATGAAAGATGGAGAGACGCTAAGAACAGATAAAACGGAGGACAAGATAATCAAAAACTGGGGTGCTGTTGTGAGCAGAGACGTTAAACGACTGTCAAACAGATCATATGATGATCGGGAATATAGACTTAAGGTATCCCCAGAACTAGATTTGTCATCCATCCAATAGACAGCAGGTTATTTAAACTTTTATCGACCATTTAAGACATTCACTGGCTTTTTCTCATTATTATTATTACCACTCTAAGTTATTGTTATTAAAAAAGATTTGGTTATATAAAAGTCTTTTTGTAAAAGTGAAGCTTAAAGACAGGAGGTTTGTCTTTTCATCAAGGTCATCCTATATTCAGGCCTGTACAGTAAACCAGTTTCAAATGTCCCACTTCTGTCAGGGTCCAACCAGGAACTCAAACATGTCAATACGCGTTAATTAAATAGCTAAACTGTCATTTTCACAGTTTTAAGCCTTGGCTGTGTTAAAGTGTCCTCATGTTCAGCTGTGTGTGCTGTTACCGCTTTGATACACTCCTGTTAACTTCTTTTGATGTATAAGTTTCTATTTTATTTGGAGACTTCTTGCATCGCCTCTAGGTTTTCTCCTTGCAGTTCAGTAGCTCTGGCTTTCTTGTTCTGTGTGGAGCCACTGAAGCTGACATTTCAAGCAGAAAACCTCAAACAAAACCACCCTGACATTGTTAAAATAACACCCTCTGGTGATGTACTTAAAGTTCTGGACCTCTGCGCTGTTTGATGCGTTTATCTTTTCACAGATGGCCACACAGATACTTTCCTTGCAGCCACACAGAGTGATAGCAGAACATCGCTCAGCTGCATAAAACATAACATTAAACGGCAGAATTCAGTGTCAACCCACCCTGATTCACAAACGCAGCTTTCGGAGCTGTTATTGTGCGTCGGTGTTGAGCAATCACAGCCAGATAATGCACTGCAGAAGAGGCAGGGGTAGCACTTCCTCATCCCGAGGCGGCTCGAATAGATTTAATACAGTACAAACACAACATGCTGCATTTTGAGCGACAAGTTTCCTCACCTCTGCTGTCAGGTTATCACAAGTCACTCTGGGGAAAAAGGAAGAACCAGCAACTGGAGTAGAAGTAAGGAAGAGGAGGAAAAAAGCAGCTTTTTAAAATCACAGAAGCTCCTCTTTAGTACCAGAGTAATCATTTAGAACTGAAAACACTTTGTTGTGCAGAATTAGAAACGCACTTAGGCCATCTTGGAATTCTGATTCATTTTCAAACAATGGGGATTTTGTTACAGGCAACAGCAGCTTCTCATTGTCGGAGTAATGTTTGCCAGCTGAACTGTCACCGTCAGAAATCACCAGCTGTAGCAGGCGGGATAATGAAGCCAACATTTGCTTGTTTTAAAAAGGTTGTCAGTGACGAGATTTAAACCCACTCAGCTGACTCTTTACACAGTTCATTAGTTTACACTCACACTGTGATTATCTTACAACCACAGGGATGCAGGGTGTAAATTTCCTTCAGCTGATACGTATCTGATGATTATCACATGATCTTCCTTGTATGAAGTCTTTAAAGAGGTTTATGTTCTGTAGTGTCATTCACACTTTTGATGAGAGAGACTCTCCCCTCCTTGGCTCTTCATGTATGTATTTTAAACAGAGTTGAGGTGAGCTGTCCTCGCTCCAGGCTTCTTCAGCATTCCACCTTCACATGTGGAAAGGCAGGGCGCTCAGTGCTCTGGCAGGAAAAAGCCAGCTTAAGGTTGAGGCAAACAGATTCAGTTGATTTGGTTTTGCACATGTTGCTCAACTGGACAATATCTGGAAATTTTCACAACGAAGAGGCCAACAGATAAAATCGATACGGCGTAGTATTGTAGTATTTTGTCTGGTGATATATCGTATCATGTAATTTACCAAGTATCGATTTTTTTCAGATTAATTGCTAATATAAAGTCAAATCCATGATAATCAGGAGAAAAAAATAACGTTTTTGTCCAATGAGGTTAGCAGAGATGACAGCATGGAGCAAGAGAAATATCATATCGTGGACGACATCATATCATAGCCCAAGTATCGTGATAAATAGATAGATAGATAGGTGTACTTTATTAATCCCAAACTGGGAAATTCTCTCAATAATAATCATGATAATATCATATCATGGCCCAGGTTTTATGATGATACAGTATCGTGGCCTAAGTATCGTGATAGTATCGTATCGGAGCCCAGGTATTATGACAATATTGTATCATGGCCCAGGTATCATATCATGATAATATCATATTGTGGCTGAGGTATTGTGACAACATTGTATCGTGGCCCAGGTGTCGTGATATTGTATCATGGCCAAGGTATCGTGATGATATCGTATCGTGGCCCAGGTATTGTGATAATATTGTATCGTGGCCCAAGTATTGTGATAATATCATATTGTGGCCCAAGTATCGTGACAATATCCTATCGTGGCCCATGTATCGTGACAATATCGTATCGGGACCCAGGTATCACGATAACATATCATGGTTCAGGTTTCATGATAATATCGTATTGTGGCCCAGCTATTGTGATAATATCGTATCGTGGCCCAAGTATTGTGATAATATTGTATCGTCGGGCCACTAGTGATTCCCACCCCTAGTAGACATAACGGCGACTGCAGCCCTTTGCTCATTAACTAGCCTGTTCTCGGTTCTGACCAGACATTTCTGCACTGGGACGGGGATTTTACCAACAGTCAGTTCTTATTTTTTTATTGTTTGTCTCTGTGAAAGGGCATCAGCTGACTGCTCCAAATGTCACTGCTTATTTGGTAAAGCTCTGATACACTGTAAGGCTGCCCTCTGGAACAAACAGCCGTCTATGGCCCCTGAATTTTCCCGCCGTGATGTAATGCCCCAATGATGCCCTAAACAGAGCTGTCACTCCCTGATGACATCATGCATACTGCAGGAAACAGGTTTTTTTTTTTTCTTTTTTCAGACCACAGCCGTTCATTACAGCCCTGACATAAATATGTATCTCCATCATCATCAAGTCTCACCAAGAAATGAGGCAGTCTTTATTGTAGGTCCTGACCTCTAATTCTCTCCTCGCTGATGGGATCATCTTCATGCCTGTGAAAGCTGCATATTAGTTTTGTGCCATGCCCCAGGGGGATTATGCGCGAGCGACACACCCAGCATCATTTTTCACAGCATTACCATTAAGCACAGCAGGGGAGGGGTCATCAATATTCATGAGGGGGTGGAGGGACGCAGATCGAGGCGAAGGGGGGGTGAGCTGCAGGGAAACCTCTTGGTTGCTCTGGTTGATCTCTATATTCTGCATGGCAACTTAGGATGTCTGCAATGTGTGAGTAAAACACGAGCAGTTGTGTTAACATGACGGCAACATCTCACCAGGAAAGAATCAGCCATAATCGATGTCTTATTCTGAATCAGGCCCTGCATGAATATTAATGAGTTTAAGGCGCCCATCTGTGTCTGACGCTGACATGTTCTTGACCTTTCACTGAAGGTCTTTGTCATTGACTGCTGAATCTAAGAACCCTTTACAAAAACACGCTTCGGACTCCAAATGGCTTTGTTTACCGAGCATCGTAATAAAAAAGGTTATTCTTGGAGGTGTTTGCGCTAAAAAATCACAGTCATTTGCATTAACAAAAGGCTGGGTCAGAGACTAATGAGGAGGCTCGGGCAAAGTCAACCTTTAGAGCTGATGAGATGCTGGTGAAACACAGAGCGAGGGAGCAAAGACAAATGAGAAACAAAGTGTTTAGGAATGACCCTCATATTTTCTCTGCTCACTTGTCATGTGCGCTATATTGAGGCAAAGAGACACTCGTGGAATATTAAAAAAGCGGCTGAGAACGTGACGCCGAATACATAGGAGCTTCTGCAGGCTCTTCCCTCTACCTGTGTTTTTCAGTCGTTGTTGCATGCAGGATGTTTCTAGGTGTCAACTTCTGGGCAGTGGGTGTGGAACTCCAAGCCAATAACAGCATGCGGGTATCGAGAACTTGTTAAAATATAGCAATCAGGTGCCAGATAGTCAGCACGCACCCGGCAGGAAACTTCTGGTGTGGTTGAGCCAGGAGGAGCGACATGCTTTTAATGTTGTGGCTTCAAACCATAACTGATAATAACAGCTGAATAGAGTTGCTCTGCAGCCATCAGAGTTCCACCAAAAATACTGTATGAAGTAGAGATGTTACCGTATTGTCAACAGCAGAAGGAACTACAAAAAGCGCAGACACTGGCAGCACTGGGAGTTTTCTAAAATGAGGCTTCTCCGGCAGCTTTGAAATCAGACATTTGGAGGCATTCTTGTTTCCTTGTGAGGAGAAAAGGTGACAGGCAAAAAAAACCTAACCACATACAGATACGTCTGGACCACAGTGACCTACACATCAGAGAGTGCTTGTAATGTGAGCATCCACTCGGCACAACACCAGCCTGAAGAGCATCAGAAAGAGGCGACAAAGCCGTAAAACTCTGCAGGGCATCTTTAACATTTCTTCAAAACACTGTGAGCACAAAGGATCAGAAGATATTCTGACTAAATATTTAGCCAAAGACCCATGGACATGTTCTGTGGTCGATAACAAGGAATTCAGAGGGTTAGTGTGCTGGAGCCAAAGTAAGAATTCCTATCACAGCTCCACTGAAGTCAAACACGATCAGCAGCTCTCTGCAGAGATACTAGAGCTCAGAGTGAATCTGACTTTAGGAGCTTTTTTTCCACATCCTCATTTGTCTTTTTAAAACTGTATTAGATACTTAACTGCAGATTTGTCATTGAAATATTATTGTATCCTGAGATTTTGATCTACACAGGCATGTTGTTTTCTATCAACATCCTAAATCTGATGAAGTTTGTCACTGTCAATAGCAGCTGCAGGTCCTGTTAAACTTTAAGCATCAATGATTGGATCAGCAAAACTCAAACAGACTCCATTCACCAACAGCCAGAGTCCACTCTCTCTCTCTTTTGTTTATGTCCAGCTTCATTCTCAGTGTTTACTATTGTCACCATGGCTGTGTTTGATGTGCTTCCTTCTTCTGTCGGCTTGCTTCCTCACTGGATACTGTTTTGTTCCTCAAGACACCGGCTGTCCTCAGTTTCACCCCACACAGCGCCGTATCAGATTGTAAAGATTGAACACGTTTAAAATGAAGGATCAGTTATCCTCAGTCTTAATCTGAGAAGATCGTGGACGGTAAGATCAGCCTTGACATACTTCAGATTTCTGAATAACACGACTCCGGTAATGACAAATCTTCACAGATCACAAGCAAGTAGTTGCTTCCAGACTTAGGGCTGGGCGATATGGCCTCAAATCAAGATCATGATATATTGAGCAGTATATATATTCACCTCGATAACGATAAATGACGATGACTACTCCACAATTTGCTCACCCTCTCCCACATTAACTTCGTCTACTTCAGCTGCTACAACTTCTGAACCATCCTCCATCTCCTCATCTGTCTTTCCCTCTTTGTTACGGACTGGATGGGGTGGAGTCACGTCTCTGACGTAGGACAGCGTCTTAAAGGGACATGAGACCATAGCCTACCTACACACATCCAAAACCAACTTTTATTTATATATTCTTTTTTTTTTTTTTTACTGTGAATATATCGACATAGGCAAAATGATATTGGTTATTGTCATAAATTTTCGTATTGGTAAATATTTGGTTTTATTGCCCAGCCCTAATAGGGGTAGGAATCATATATCAATTAATATTAGCATTTTAACAGCGACAATAACAGTGAATCTGATATTTAAAGCAGTAGCCTTTGTAGTCAGGCGGGTTCACAGCAGGAGGACGTCTGCAGCAGTAATCCAGAGCACTACATGAGACGAGGGAGCTCAGGGAGATCCAGAAAGATCTATACAGTCAGTGGATCAATCAATCAAGTCTGACAGGAAGGGGCTGCGAGCTGAGCTACCATTTATGTTTGCTCATTTTTATGTCAGTGCTGACATTAAAAAAAAAGTGATTCAACACTAGAACCACTTTGTTGTTCTTAGTTGTGTTTTCGTCACGTTTGCTAAAGAGGGTTTTAGGAGGGGCTGAGAGCTGAGCTGCTGCCTACCTACACACATCCAAAACCAGCTTTTATTCTTTTATTTTTTGACACTGAATATACCGATATGGGCAAAATGACGTTGCATATTGTCATAAATTTTGGTATCGTGAATTTTCAATTTATCGCCCAGCCCTATACAGACCTATTAATACCTATTTTGTGCCCATTTCACAAAAAGGAGTTAAATCCACAATCTAATGTAAATAAACAGTAAATCTATCTTAAATTAAAGTGCATGATAAAAGAGGGGACAGCAGGCCATCTGGAAAAACTATTCTTGCCTGACCATAAATAAGACGTAGAGGAGCCTTAAGAGAGCAGAGGGCTGTTAGAGGAACATCTGTTATCTTCAAACCACCCTCATCTTTTCTCTCCTCACACAAACTTTTTCGAGTAATAAGGAAATAAATTGCTCCTACAGAGCGACGGTAACATATGCGCTCCCTCTCAGACACGGGCCTGGGTTTAATTCATCCTTAATGTTTCCCCACCGTGGCGTGTCTTTGACAGCAAACACGGCCCGCCTTGATTCATGCGTGGCACCGAATCCTCAATGTCCTCATTTGCGAGGTAGTTTTTCTGGCAAACATTGGTCCGCACAGCGATATTAATGGGCTTGTGGGGAAGCGGAGCATGAAGGTGGCGTGGATATTTTGCAGCAAAGTGTCGCCATTACATCGCTGGTTTCATAGAAGCGTTTTACGCCATTGAGAGTGACTGAATAGTAATCTGAGGCTGACAGGAGAGCAAACAGGAATCTTTTGGCGAGTGAACAAATAAAAGTTAACGCTAAATTGAACAGTTGCTTTAAGATCTCATTACTCTTGTGACTGAGATCTCCAAACTTAATAGATTCCCCTTTTCCTCCTGCCAAGAAGACTTTAAGTGCCTTAATGAAATATTTGCAGTGCAGAGGGATGAAATGTTAACACTCTTTACTGCTGCTCTAAGGAGTGAAATGAATTACAGCGTCTCAAATGAATGCCCTTTCCTCTGTTTAACCTGCTGCTTGAAACCTTGTCACATCTCTCCACCTGCAAACCTGAGGGCTCGGACGGTGTCAAGGGGAATAGAGCATCGCAGTATCAAGCTGCACAGCGGATCTGGCAGCTCGGCTCATCCTGATCACTGACCTTTTGGTAATAAGTCCATTCCCACAGCCGTGAAGCCAAATGTCTGCCCTGAGTGCTTTGTGCAAGGAGCAGACAGGCCGAAGAGACAGTCTCTAATTATGGCTAAATAGACCGTCAGTGCAGTGCTGAGGAATTAAAAAAAATTAACACAGCACTCTTGACTAATTTAGTTCGTAAACTGCAAGGGGCTGCAGTTTTTTCTTGGAGGCAAATCTGTTTTTGAGGCAGTTTCCTCTCCTGAAGCGTGTTCCTGTGAATCCCCGGCCAGCAGAGAGATTTGCATGTCAGCACATATTCTAACTTGTTTTATTCAAGGAAAGCAAATGTTTATAATTACCCCTCCACTTCACACACACACACACACACTAGCACACACACACTTAACTTTTATGCTCTGAATTTAAAGTGGTGTCAAACTTAATTCATTCTTATTCACACTAGGGCTGGGCGATTTGGCAAAAAAATTGATCAGGATATATTTTGTCATATCGTCAGATCTCCATTATATCACGATTTTTTTTAAAAACAGCCAGTTTAAAAGCATCTAAAGAAACTAGAGATTAGTTCAACATTTTATTAACATACAAAGTAAATAACAAAGAATAAGATACACTTAGAAAAGTATAAAAACCATTTTAACTCAACAGTACAACAAATGTCAGTTAATACTAAATATTACAGTTAACTAGATAGATAGATAGATAGATAGATAGATAGATAGATAGATAGATAGATAGATCGCCCCCTCAGGAATAATGAAGACGTCTTAAAATGTAAACATTAGATGTTGTAAACGTAGATGAACGATTGATTGCTGCTTTGGTGGCTGCACCGCTAGTTGTGGCTAAACTGCTAATGCTACTCGTGCCGTCAGCAGCGACAGGCTGTTCAGACTCCGCTCGCATTTTCATGCTTTCCCCATAATCACTCGGGAAACAGATCTGTTGTGTTGCCAGTTTTTTAAGGGCACCGACCACCAGCATACCTTGCACATCGGCTTAATTACTCGACGCCACTTTGGAGATACCTGAACCACCGCCACTCAACCGGCGTAAAATAACTTCTCAACAATAACATCTTGGGAGGATGACTCAAAGTCACGGCTGAGATCTATTTCGCTGCCCTCAGCTCCACGTTTCGCTCCATGTTCAGTCATTCTGTTTACTTCTCCGTTAATGTACTGAAGTGAAAAGGAAAAGCTCAACTCTGATTGGTTGTCATGACGCACATTTATGCTATGTTGATGCTCACAGCTGATCACCGTGATCGAACTGAAATTTACCACAATCATATAATCGCCCAGTCCTAATTCACACGGTCGCTGTTTTCCTCTGATGGTCTCACTCAGGGTCGAGGATTTACAGACTGTAAGGATGGCACCCTTCTCCGCTGAATGAGGCCTAAATTCCCACCCCTCTAATAAAGAGATCAGGCGCTGTGTGAAAACAGTGAACTGAGATCAATTTCACACAATATGTCCTCTTCAAGTGTTGTCTTTTTTATTTCCTGCCAAATATTTTTCTTTTCTTTTCTTTCTCTGTCAGCTGTTGTGTCATTTCTCACCCTGTGTAAACAGTAATACTAAGTGGTATTTCTATGACTCATGATGTTTTACTGTTCCCTTTATGCAAAGCTTGTATATTATGATAATGATATATGCTGTGCATTATTCATCTTAAGCCAGAGGCAAACATTTGCAGGGCTTCAGACATTCGGTGCTTGTAGCAGCTCAGGGAAGAAAAATGCTTACCACACCAAAACCTCAGTTCCGAAATGAAAAGAGGAAGGCCGGGCAGAACTATTGGATCCTCAGCTTTATACTTTATTTACAGCATTGTTAACATAACCTCGGTGAGGACAAACTTCCTCCTTAAAGAGAGAGTCTCTTTGAAAAAAAATATTCTCCTCTCTGCGTTCAATACCTACTGCTGTCTGAATTGATTCAGCCCAACATACTCGGATGCCCTCCTGTGAGAATAAAACCATGTTATTCCCTTCGACTTGGAAAGCGTGCAACCACCTACTCAAGCATTTCCCTCTGTATCTGGATAAACCGTCCGGTCAGTAATTGCAGTAGTCATTGTGCGGATGAACAATAAAAGGCTTGATTAAAAAACAAACCATGTCATTTGAGACAATGAAGACAAGAGAACAGAGGAAGGAGGTGTCGCCTCGGCCGCTGAGCTGCGCAGTAATTGGTCTTGGGCCTCTTTCACAGCCGGGGAGGGGAATGAAGATTGCTTCATTAAAGTTCCTCTTCTGATAACCGCAGCAGCCGCACTGATAGAAAAGACGATCTTAACTGAATGACGGCGCCATTAGGAAAAAAAAATGCCGTGGGGAATGAGCTGGAATGGCAAATAATGCAGATAATGGCTTTATTTGTGCACGGTGGTATTCACTAGCTCCAAAACACACGGATTCACATTCAATTACTGGTTTACTTTCCTGTTTTATTTATCAGCCCCTCGGTGCAGGGCTCGTCTCAGGCAGCTATTTACCTGCTGCTGCTGTGAACAGCGCTCTGCTTTACAGACAGGCGGCCTCAGGGACACTCTGGTTTTGTGCTCAGTGAATTACCAGTGTTTAATGTTTTCACAATGTGCTGTCACATGTGTGATGATTTGAAGTGAAAGATTTGTTTTCTGGCTTTTTAAGTAGCTATGTCACCGTAATATTCCCACTTTTTAAGGTTTCAAAAATAACAATCATTCACTCGTTCCCTGATGACTTGAATCATGCCGGTGTCAGTGAATTTATTCAGGGACCAGTTTCTGGATTACTGTGGAACATGTCTTTAATTCTAAAATAGTAAAAAGGGATTTCGGCTATTTAACAAAACTATAAACACACGCTGCTCTCAGTTAAAGAACTCAATTAGTAGCTAAAGCAAAACCATCCAGGAGTCTTTTTATCTGGGTAAATAAATAGTTGTGTTAGCTGTAGTTTAACTGGAGCTGTTTATATGTAGGACAGCTTCATTTGTTTTGATTTGAGCAGACCAACGAGGTTCAACATTAATGATGGCCCGGGGCTGCTAAAGGTTATTCTGTGGTCACTGACTGTTACGTAATGCTGTCCCCAGATTTTGTCCTCATGTGGCAAACATTCCCGGAGTACCATCACAATTTCACAAGCCTGTGTGGGAGGCAAATGCATTCTGGAAGAGAGGGCATAGTGTAGAGTAAACTCAGCAGTTCTGACAGATTGTATTCAAAGTATGCTGGAAAACCAAGGGCCTGTGTCCACTGACACCTTTTTTTGTGGTTTTGTGTTGGCATTGTCTTTTTCCAGAATATCCATGGGATATTCCGGCGTAAAATTACGTTATGGTTGAACACACCGTAACAGCAAGTTAGACACCCCCTTGAGAGATGAATGTTGCCGACTGCTTGCTTCTCTAGTTATACCAACTTTAGTAACGACCGCAGGATAGAAATACACAGCGTTCTAAGGAGCCAACGCACACACCTCAACCAAAACACCACTCTATAGCCACAAATAATGCTCAGAACAGCACCTAACTTCATCAACAGGACATATAGGGTCACAGCCATAGTACTAGACACCAAACATCTTTTTAGCTTTGACTGATTTCTGTAGCAAAGAGACTAAACACAACTCACCTACTCTCTTCCAGCAGCCACTTGTTTGTACGGCGATCTTGGGCAAGTCCAAACTGAGTGCAGGGGGGTTTCACAGCTCAAGGAAGAACATTTATGATCATTTCTTCATGGAAATACAATCAGACCGAGATGCTAAGGCAGAAGAACTACCACGTCTGCAGTGAAAAATGATTAATATGGTGATTATAACTTCAAGGAAATGATAAAGTAATGAAACACATTTTCTATGTATAGTTTTTTATTTTTTTTCCTCCGTAAAATTCCACTGAATAAAAGCAGGTGTGAAACATACAGAGCAAGACAGTTTTGGCCATGCTACAACAGTGAGCTCTGGTAAGAAGCACTCTGAAAATAAGGTTGTGGGCACCCCATGTGCAAAAACGCTGTTAGTGTGCACAGGCCCTGAACCTCTTATTTTCAGTTAACCTAGTAGAAAACGTGTTTTTAATCTATTATGTTCAGCTAAACACATTTTCAATCTAAGATGTAGGCTCAAGTAATGTTAATAATGTTGCCCTTACTGTGTTTTTTTCCTGCTCAATTATTTCTTGTATTTCTTTTGCTAAAGTAAGTGTTAATACCACTAATATTTTCAAATGAAGGTGCATGTTTGAAATCAGTCTTTGAGGCTGTTTGTTCCATTTGTCATGTTTGCGAGTGAATCTCAGTCTCTGCATCAGAAAGTGGAAGTAGCACTTCTTTGAAAGGGTGTGAACGTGTTCTGACAGTTCTCTAAGAAAAGAAGTGGGAGAATGTCACTTTACGTTTCTCCGTCACTTTGTGGTCGCCTTATTAGACCAGAAATTTCACAGATTACCCAACAGCAGCAGATTTATTTCAGTTTCAGGTCAGTTTTATCTAACTGGACTGTGAGTAAGGCATCCGCTGCATCGTGGATGATGTTTACTGACTGTTCCCAGAGCTCACAGTCTGAGTCGTAGAGATGCAGGAGTCGCCTTTGAAGCTGCAGGTGTACTGTTTGTATGTGTGGTGCTTTTTTTTTCTACACTCTCATTATAGGAGCAAAAGAGTCTTTGTTACCTGTGGTTTCACCTGTATCTGTGTTTTTTGTTTCTTCTTTGGTGTGAAGCTCCATTTTTCCTGCCTAACTCACAAAATTACATCAGTTAACACTTGCCTTACGTAGGAGCCGTTTCCCTTCCCTGATATAATTAGAGTAGATATCTCATGATCAAACTGTGAGTGGCACAGCTCTATCTCCTGACTGCATCTCTCTCCTCATCTTAACCTGAGAGTTTCTGTGGGGAATTGGCTCTGGGTGACAGGAGAGGTGAGCGATTCTGCAGCGAGATTAACCCAGCTCTCATGCAGAGAGATAAAGGTTATCTTTTTGCATTGGCACCAATCTGCAGATTGCCCGGTCCATGAAATAAAGCAACGCAGCTGATTAAATGGACACTGTATGATGAGGAGGAAAGGTCATTCAATATATATGGAAATGATAACCGCTGCCTGTGATTCTGAGGAACTGCACAGGTTAGATAGTTTTCAGGAGCTGTGAATAAAAAGTAAAAATAAGAAAGTAGATCTCTGTTTAAGAGTCCCGTTATTTTCCACTCTGTGTCGTCTCCTGGCTTCAGAATGTCCGAGCTCCTCCTCAACCTTCATGTCAAGGTTGAGTCCATTTATGTGAGTTGGAGCTTTATGAGGATTGAATACAGTTAGACTAAACTGAATGAGATTTTCTTGCAAGAGTTATAAAGAGGCCGTTCAGTCATGATCATATCAGATGAAGAAATACATTGTTATAAGAATGAATGCTGATAGACTGCTCTTACTATCAGTGTCAGTGAACATGAACAGGTTTGACATTTACAAGAATTATGATGATAACAGGGGAAGGAATGAGGATATCAATTATATCAGTTGGATTAAAATAAATTTGAAACCAATGTAGGGCTGGGCTGATATGATTAGTTTTCACCTTGATAACGATAAATGGACGATAACTTCTCCACAAGCTGCTCACCCCCTCCCACATTAACTTCGTCTACTTCAGCCACTACAACTTTTGAACCGTCCTCCAGTCAAGTCTCTGATTGGTTCAGCACAGACCGGAAACAACTCCCCTTTTCAATGGCTGTTTGTATAGTCTACCAAAACATGGCAGAACGCTGGCTATCGAAAAGCATATTGACCATGTTTCATACCGATATCAAGGGAAATGAACTTTTGATGTATTTCATTTTTGTTTTATCGCCCAGCCCTACAACTAGTGATAAAAAAAACACTAGATACATTCAGTAAAGTCAGCGGTGTGTGTTTGCTTTTGTGTCTGCAGTGTGATAAGCAGTAAGATTCATCTGTATTGACCAAAGTTTCTACCCACAGAAATGTTATTACAGTCTTGAACTGTGTGAACACTCAGCAATAGATTCCATTACCCGCTCCCTCGCAGACACACAAACACAGCTATAAGACCGTATAGAGACGAGCTGCTGCTCATGCTCTGTTTATTAAGGAATCTGAGCCGATGTTTCTGTTGAAATTTGCATAATCAGGAGAATGTGACTGTAAGAAAAGAGGACAAACCTCAAAGGAAGCAGCCAGTGTGAATCTGTGGTTAAACACTATTTCAGTTCTCTGTTGTGGCGGAAGCAGCCCAGCTGTCAGAGCGAGTTCCCATATGAGTGTAATCTCAGAGGACAGGGCAGCGGCGAGACTCTCACGGACACCCGCACCCTAATGTATCCCAGACCCTTGAAAACAAATGACCCAAATAGCCAGTGAATCAAACCATTTGGCTGACGGTGCGCTGCAGATGTAATGTTACTTACACAGAGGTTATTATTACAGCAGCCCACAACAAAGCCCATAAGCAGCACTGTGAAACGCTCTAACGTCATGTATTTGTGCTGAGGAGATCCGTCTGCTTCAGGAGAAGATTGTTTTTCCTCAGAGAGAAAAAAAGGAGAGTGACACATAATATTTGTCAGACTCTCGCTCTCAGGGCTCAGCGTTGGATTACTGTGTGTTTGTTCCTATTAATTCCTTCATTGACTTCACATTGATTCATTCATTTTTCAAAGCACCACTGAGCATGTCGCAGCCATGCACAGCAAGAGAAAACACAGACATATATACTGTAATGAGCTGGAGCGTAAAGGTTGTTGTTGCATGATTGAAATCTATATAATACATGCCTTGATTGGCTAATAATGAATGTAAACTTAGTATGTCATTTGCAGAGTATAATACTCAACAAAGCCATTAACCTGGGTAGAGGAATCGTCAGTCTTTTAACTCCAGACATTAACTGAGCGTTAATGAAAGACAAAGACAATGAAGCTGCTAATGTGCAGATTAAATATGTGTTTGTGTTAAACTGGGTAAAAGCCTCACACTTGTTTTTATTTTTATCTTAAGTAAGCGCTGTAATAACCTTCTTTTAGACGCAGACTCATTTTTTCCCTTCTCTAATCACTGTGGCTGCACTCGCACCTCTATGCAACTTGTGGTGTTGCACGTGGTTTCAGTTCAGGTCAAAGTGTAATGCAGTTATTCTGATCGTCTACATTAGAACAGTCATAATGACTTCAAAATACTGTAATTTGCACTTCTCATGATGTGACAGCACATGACATCCTCCTGAAACGTGTCATACAGGGCTGTCTGCCTCATGAAGAGGAGGTGACGCTCTGACAAGAATACATGATAGAAGTTAATCTTATCTGTAAAGTTTGAGGCAGTTTGAATCCTATTATGTTTAAGAATAGCCTTGTAATAATGAAGGGAAAAACAATTGACTGATTAAGAATAAAGAAGTTAAAAAATATATTAATATAAAATACTGTATTTACCCGAGTAGAAGACAGGGTTTCTTTCTTTCTTTGTTTTATGAAAATACATCTGAAGAAAAGTGAGTTTTTTTAATACTCTGGTTTAGTAATTAAATATCAGCATCCTTAGAAACAGAAGCACCACATATCTGTTAAAGGGACATTCTGGCGTCTCTTTGCTAAAGAAATGAGTCAAAGTTAAAAAAGATGTTTGGTGTCTAGTACTATGTCTGTGACCCTATATGTCCTGTTGATGAAGTTAGGTGCTGTTCTGAGCATTATTTGTGGCTATAGAGTGGCGTTTTGGTTGAGGTTTGTTTATTGCTCCTCAGACCGCTGTGTATTGCTATCCTGCGGTCGTTACTAAAGTTGGTATAACTAGAGAAAAAAGCGGTCAGCAACATTCATCTCTGGAGGGGTTGTCTAACTCGGTGTTACGGTTTGTTTGACCCTAAATTAATTTTACGCCGGAATATCCCTTTAAGCAAGTGTAGCCCTCATGATGGGGCCAGCTTTGACTCAACACTTCTCTGTCAGGAGGATGAAAGATGGAGAGACAGGGAGAACAAAACTGCGCTTAAATCGGACAATTTAACATCTGAGGTCATTAGCAGATTTGTTACCAATCCAGTTTAATTATGAAAAACTGACCGTTACATGTTGATTGTTTATTCTCTGTTTTGAGATCGTGGTTCATTCACCTCGACTACCATCAATGGTCTTTGCTAAGGCCAGGATGAAACAGCTCTAATAAACAAGCTTTAACTGTGTGCTTATCTTCACTAATTGTCTGATTAGAGTGGTAATAAACTTAACTTCCAATAATGAAACAACGCGAGCATCATAAACCTTTAATTTAAACAGGTTATTAAAAAGAAAACCTCATTATATAACATCCAGACTAACATACAAGCTGACTGAAGCTCTGTATTATCATTTGATTAAAGTCTTTTTTGAAGTAATAATATCACAGAAACGTTTCAGACGCATTTTTAATCTGTTTTATTTCTTATTATTGATTAAAGGATCACACAGAGGTCGTTTTAAGGGTCTTGTACAGCTAAGGTAACGCAACTGGAGCTTTCTGCGGTGAAGACGCCGCTCACCTCTCCCAAAGCTACTGGCCATGTGAGTTTCTGTCAGATGGTGAAAGAGCTGGCCCTCAACCAGCTGCAACAAAGCACCACAGGATCGCCATGACGGCGGGGGGAGGAGGTCTCCAAGCAACAGCCAGCGGTGGCATGCTCATTCAGCTATTGACTTAGCCTTTATCCACAGCCCGTTGTGTGGCTGTCAGATCCCCTACAGCAATCTCTGTGCTGAGCGAGGACCTCTGCCACGGCCGCTCGTCTCGATCTCTCCATCATGTCTGAGTTATTATCACGGCTACAAACTCATCAGCCGCACAGGAAGTCTGAATCTGCTTCTGTTAGAGGAGATCGGGAAAGGAGTCGCTGCCTGGCTGTTTCAGCGTGGTGTCAGGGAGGCGCTTTGAACAGTGAGCCGTAATGGAAGTGTTACTCTGAGGTGTGTGTAGCACAGAAATGTTTGCAGTATAAAAAGAGGAGAGATTGCCTCGAGCAAGAAAAATAAGCGGCCAGCACGAGGAGTGATGTTTGAAGAGGGGTCACGACAGGATCATTTTTCAGCTGCTCTTGAAAAGATGAGTGAATCGGTCTGCCAGGTTTACTCTGATTAATTACAAACCTATCACGGCTTGTTATGAAAACTCACAGGCTCAAAAGAAAAGGGTGGTAGTGTGATGGCAGACTTGTCCATTTTTCATGATACTGGTGCAAACTTTTGGATGATCTTACCTCAAAAGCATAGAAGAGCTGCAGTCAGTAAAAACAGTCGAAAAGAGGAAGAAGATGCTTTTTTTCCATCTCGTTAGACCCGCTTAGAGACGTGCTAAGTGTGTTAATGAGGCGTCATAAAATACAGAGACGCAACCTTCAATTTTGTGATCTATGAGCCTTTCCATCAACCAAATGTTATCATGTATTTAAGTTGATGGTTTAGATCGAGAAATGAATATCGTGGGGCTGGGCGTTAGGCCTTAAATCAACGTCTCTGACGTAGGACAGCGTCTTAAAGGGACATGAGACCATAGCCTACCTACACACATCCAAAACCAACTTTGATTTATTTATTTATTTTACACAGAATATACCGATATGGGCAAAATGACGTCAGTTATTGTCATAAATTTCAGTATCGGTAAACTTTCGGTTTGTCACCCGGCCCTATAATATCATATTTTTTTTATTTAACTTTGTTTGGATCAGAACTGCTTCCTTTAGCTCATTAATTCACACTAATGGAGCCGTTTTTTCAATGAAGCTCTGATAAAAAGGAGGAGTTTGCAGTGAAAAGGCCTCCCCGTATATCTTAAAGTGCTTCAGGTGTTCACATCCAACATTTATCTGCTGTCTCAGGATTAAGACACATACACATTATGCTGTTTATATACTCCTTATAACAGCATTTGAAACAGAGGCACACGGCTTGGCGATTACCTTCCTCACATCCAATTGGCAAACGTCAGAGCGGGTGTGCTATTCATTCATTATTTATTTGTAAGTCACATCTTGTATATTTTGCAGCTAAAAAGATTTTATTGACAGTCTTAAACAAAGAATGCAGCCGGGTGCAAACTCACAGCTCACAGCATGATGACAGTTATCTAATCTTCCCCATCAGTGACCCGCCCTCTATTATCAATCCTCTTTGTTAGGTATCTGTCCGATCATCGATCCTCCTGTCTTTCTATTGTTGTATTTAGAGATGAACATGTGCAGTTTTCTTCTTCACCATGTCACCACGTGACAAATGACTCAAACCACTCTTGTTACTGTGTCGTTATGCATCACACAGCCCACAAAGTGCCACGTATTGTGATCTTGTGTGAAAAAATAGATTTGCTGAAATTACATCATTGTGTTGACATGATTTATATGACCTGTGGAGAAATACTTAGTAAGTGCAGCTAGTTAAAAAACAGACTTGAACATTCAGATCTGATTTTAACCATTTAATCCAACTAAACATCAACACAGAATCAGCAAACTTAAGTGGATTAGAAGCACTTCTGAATGAAGGGAAGCTTAAGTCTGTTTATGTCACATTAATGCAGTTTTTATTTCATTTTTTACATGAACAGTTACACTTTTAACTCCTTTTAAAGGCAGAAAACATCAGGGATTCTTTTGCATTAGCACTTGATTGACAAAAATCTTGGAGAAACAGTCAGGGAGAGCGATCAGTTTGTCAAAGAATTCCTGAGACTGATGTTCCAGGACAACCTTTGAGCTACGTCATTACAGACATGACATCTCTCCTGTTGAATTCCTCCTCTCTCGTTTAACTCGTGTTCAACACAACATGAGAATCTAGAAACAGCTGAATCTGACCACAGCTCTGACTGTGGTTTCCCTTTTTCTTGATATTGTTATGACAGGCTTTCGAAGCACAAGTAACTGCTGGCTATCACATATCAACATCTGTCTCTGGGTGCCTATAAATCCCTGTATATTTAGGTCATTTCCTGAAGTTGGTTCGGATATTACTCTCCGTCTGACCAAAATGCGACAGTTTGCTTGGAGGAGGAATAAAAACCTGTAATTACGGGGTATTTAGCGCAGATTTCTGAAACTCTTGCGCCTGAAAAACCAATAATCAGTCTGTAAATTAACTTCTTAAACGTTTAAGTTTGTTTAACGTCTGTTTTTCTGCGGTGCAGCAACCACTCCGTGTGTGTGTGTGTGTGGTGGAGTTATCGGTTACAGCTGAGTATTAGATTTACAAAGACAAATATATGCTGTAACAATGTTCAGCATGGTGCCAATTCACTCTGCTTGCTTTTTGCGATTGTCTGTGTTCACACTCTTGACAAAAGGAAGCCCGAGATTTTCTTTGTGTGTGAAACAACACGAGTCCAGATTGGCTGTGTCCTTATCGACAGTGTATTTTGAAGTAATTCCCCAGAGAAGAAGTAATCATAATTAGCTAATTAAAGCAGGCTTAAGCGAGGGGCAGAGTGAAAGAGTGGCAAAGTAGATTAGCTGAAATTTGCATGTGTTGACACTGACGGAGGCAGGAAACGTCGACTGTCTCGTATCTATTTATGGGGAGTGATCTATTTTCAAGGGCACGCTTAGAGCCATATGCTGCTTTTAACAGTCTGTTGTTTGAGGTTATTACACTGTCAGGAAATCTGTGTCTCACATTATTGCTTTCTGTCTGAATACAAGAGAACAGTTATGAAGTAATGCAACAGCCTTGAGTGAAAACAAACCACACACTCACATTTGTAAGCACATCTGCCAGCGGCTCCGAGTCGACGTTAAACACGCCCCTGGTAATTGCGCGAAATCTTAGGGATTGTTCATTGTCCCGGTCTTTGTGATCTGGACATTGTCCCGGTCTCCTCTTGGCTCGAGTCCAGCACAGGGTCTTACCACAAACAGCAGAGAGGGGGGGAAGGGAGGGAGACCTTAATATGGAAATGGCATTAATTACTGAGCCTATACAACAGATGTGACCTTCACTCTCCACTCAGCGTAAATACTCATCTCATGAAGATAAACGACATTAAATGTGGCGTCAGTGCAGCACTCTGCCTGCCTCATGAAGACACCTCTCTGTGTGCTGAAGTGTTGTTGACAGTGGAACCACTATGACTGTCAGTTTGAACATTCTCCAGTGTCGGGATATGCAGAAACCAAACCTATGTAACATCCAGGACTCTGGCTTTTGTTCAATGTGTGTGTGTGTTTTAGTCTGAACCTGGTTCTGAATCCTGTCAGTGTTAATGCATCTCACTGCTCTGAACACTGAGCATAAAATAAGAAAACCTGAAGGGGGATTTTGGACCTCAGACTATATCAGACATGATGTAGACTCAGTAACATCACTTATATTGGAAATGCTAACTTATCCTCACTTTTGATCATCCCAGAGGCAGACAAAGAGGTGAAGTTGAGGCCGGCTCAGACTAATTTCTTTAGCAAAGAGACTAAACACAACTCACCTACTCTCTTCCAGCAGCTGCTTGTTCGTGGGAGAGCCCTGACGAGTCGATCACCGAGTGCAGCGGGGTTTCGCAGGTCAAGGAAGAACATTTATGGTCATTACTTTATGGAAATGGTCCGCGAGTGGAGACATACACCGCTGTGTATTGCTGTTGTTGCTAAAGTTGGTATAACTAGAGAAGCAAGCAGTCAGCAACATTTATCTCAAGGGGGTGTCTAACTTGGTGTTACAGTGAGTTTGACCCTAACTTGATTTTACTCCAGAATATCCCTTTAAAGTGAGAGGTTTTGTATAGTTATGAGTGTGGCTGAGTTGACTGACTGGAGATGTTAGACCCACCTTAGCTCTGACTCTTTGCTTCATGCTAGGTCGACAAAATGTTCGTTTGAGCCAGAATTTCCATTACGGTCGCCTCCATTCATATCATTCATTTATAAACACATGAGGTTTTGCACCTTCAAAATTCACCAGTCCACCTCTCTGATCATTTCAGTGAGTTAAGTCATTGTAGCTTCTTTGTTCGACTGTTTTGGATGAAGTGTTTGTGATAACCCCCGTTAGTTCCTGAAGAGGCGTTCTGAAGCCCAACAATGGTTTCCATTGAAGCGACATGTCAGTCTCACTTCGGATCTGTCTAAATACTGGCAAAGAGGTGGAGTGGAGCCGACCTTTAACCTCCTCTCCTTCTACGTATGTTTTTCACTAATAGAGGCTAAAGGTAGGGGAGGTGGTCGACCCGGCAGTCAAGGAGCACGCCGCCCAACATGTAGAGGCTCAATAGAAGTTGTTTCAGCGGTCACTGGTTCAACTTGTAGACACAGTCACTCTCTACTTCTCTACTCCCCACATCTCCTGACTATCTTCAGAAAACGGTCACTTAAACATATCTTATCAAAACTTAAAGGAGCAGATATTTTCTGTCTTTATAAAATCTTGTTCTTGTGAGTTTGATGTGTTTTTTTTCATGGGTGAAATCGTAATCGCTGAATCTGAGTTTCCTCTCAGACTGACTGTTTTGATCATTTCTTGGACGCTCTCCAACGTGTCTCTCCAAAGTTTTAATAGACACTGAAATATAATTCTTGTTTTTGAAGTTATTATATCTGGAGATTGAAGACTGAACTAATTTCATTTTCATATCGTAGAGAAAAGAGTTTGTATTTCATGAGTGAATTCTTCTGTTCATATTCATTAGAATTGAAGCCCCTGGTGATAAATGCTCCTGTGTTTAGTGCAGCTCTTTTTGAGGCGATTGCATTACCATTTGTTACCCCACAGACATATTTGTTCCTGGATCTACTGCATATTAAATCATTATATGCAAATTATCATGAGAAGCATTACGGGTAGATTAAGTGTTCAAGAATTACGTCCGTTCTCAGTCTTAAACTGGTACACTGGTATGTGTGCTTTAATAACTCAACTCCCAAAAGCAGGTAATCTAATCTTCTTATCAAAAATTTCTGAGATAATCTAAATCCTTCGAAAATAGCCTTGAACTAAAAACCCTGAAACCTCCACGGCTTCAGCATTTCCCAAATCTGCGTCATTAACTTGTCAGTAGCGAGCGTTTACCGCCTGAGCTGCTCCGACCCCCAAATCTCTTTCAGCCCCGCTGGCACTTTGATCACCGGGCTGTCGACTCCAACGCGCAGCGCTGATTAACATATTAACACGTCTTTTGTTTCAATCTTCCAGCGCCGGCCCCAAAGGAGACAACATCTACGAGTGGAGGTCGACCATCCTGGGACCACCGGGCTCCGTGTACGAGGGGGGAGTCTTCTTCCTGGACATCGCCTTCACGCCGGACTACCCTTTCAAACCCCCCAAGGTCAGCGGAAACCTGGAAAGCTGTTAAAATACTGTGATTGTTGAGCGACTGGTTCAGGTGGACGGTAGTTTTTAACTCACTGAATAACCTCGAGTCTCTTCAGTCTGAGCTTTTCTGCAGTGATTTGCAGATACAGACTCCATTAGTATTCAGTCAGGTTTCTGTCCACCTGCTGATTCGTCTCATCCCTCCAAACTCCCCCTTTTCACTTCCAGAGAAGAAGGGAAAAAAAAATCTGGCTCTTTAGCTGCTTAATGCGCCGCTGTGTTCACCAGCTGGTCACTGTTGTTGACTGCTGCTGTTTCTACACTGGGCAGCCAGCGTCCTCTCACTTTATCAGAGCTTCCTCGCTGACAACAGCTGCCTGCTGTGAATGAAAACGAACCTGATGAGAGCGGTGAAAACCAACTGAAACGGTTTAATCGAGGCCAGAAAATCAAAACTGTGAGCAGCTAAGAATCCTGAAATGCTCCACAAAGCTGAGTTTACATTATATTAAACTTAACTTCTGAATAAATCAGAGGAACAACAATCTAATTGGAGAGGAAATTGCTTTGAAACCCACCAGGGCCTTTTTGAGTAGCTTTCTCCGGGCAGAATATAAAGAGAGTTACAGCTGCAGATGCGTAATTCGCACACAATATTTATGTTCCACCGATAATGTAAGACAAACGAAACAAGACGCATCGGTATCTCTGTAGACGTATAATGAGTCAGCTGTTAGTCACACAAAAACCTTTTAGGAGCAATCGATGCAATTAACAGACTTCGATTCAACACTCAGGAGACGGCTCGAAGCTTTTCATGAGAAGGACAAAGAAAAACTGACAATCATGACAATCAAAAACAGCTTGATGTTCATGATGAGCTGTCAGATTGATGTGGTATAGAATTAAACGACGCCAGCGAACACAGACAGTCCCTAAAGGAAGTTTAAGGGACTGATGTAAGAGCTCTTTTTAACTACTGTGTACAAAATTAGGAAAGAGACGAGAATTCATCATTTGTCTTAGGGCTGTGCGATATGGCCTCAAATCAGTATTACAATATATTGATCAGTTCACCTCGATAATGATAAATGGACGATAACTACTCCACAAGCTGCTCACCCCCTCCTACATTAACTTCGTTTACTTCAGCCGCTACAACTTTTGAGCCGTCCTCCATCTCCTCACCTGTCTTTACCTCTTTGTTACGGACTGGATGGGGTGTTTTTTTTACACCGAATATACCGATATGGGCAACCTGATAACTGTCATTAGTCCTTGACTTTTTGAAGAAAGCAAGAAAGGAAGGGTTTTGCTGTCGGTGGTGTCATTCAAAATACTCATGAATTTAAGACCATACCTGACCAGTAGGGGGAGCTGCTGCGAGTCTATGTGGATAAGTTATGGGCGGGTCTATCTGTATCTCATAGCTTTTGGTGTTATCGTAGGCTAAGATCAACCGCCAGCAGCACAGCAGTAACATGGTACTAGACAGAGCTACACGTCTGCATGGAGGCTGCACATTGCTGAACATAATGGAAGTGTAGAAAAGTGTAAAAAACAGTTTAAATTAGGGCTGGGCGGTAAACTGAAAATTTACTGATTCCAAAACGTACGACTCCACCCCATCTGTAACAAAGAGGGAAAGACAGGTGAGGAGATGGAGGACGGTTCAAAAGTTGTGGCGGCTGAAGTAGACGAAGTTAATGTGGGAGGGGGTGAGCAGCTCTTGTGGAATAGTTATCGTCCATTTATCTTTATCGAGGTGAACTGATCAATATATCGTGATACTGATTTGAGGCTATATTGCCCAGCCCTAGTTTAAACCCTTTTTCTCTTGGAGACCCCCCAAAACTAACAGCTTCTTGTGCACTCATGCATTTGACAGTAATTACCATCATTACAGGGCTCTGACCAATCAGATTCAAGTTTAAAAATCACCAGGTAATAAAATATTTCAGTACCTTAAAAGAAAGAAGTACAAGATTAAGATTTTCTGGGAGTTTGATCCAGATAAGAGGAGCGTTAAAACCAAACTCAGCTTTTCGTTTGTTTGGTTCCGACTCTTGGGACAGAAAACAGATCTATCTTAGACAACCTGTGCTGTCTTCTGGGTGCTTCAAACTGTCCATAACAGCAAATAAAGTTTTGCAAGTATTGCTCGGCTGTCTCTGCAAAATCATATCGCAGCCCCAAAGCAAATAATAGATAAACAGGCTCGAGGAAAATGCTGGTAGTAAGCTTGTCAAGCACATTAAGTTGTATTGTTGTCCTGGTAAAAGTGCAGAATAAGTGTAGCGGTCTTTTACAGCTTCCTCTGAGTCTGGTTTGCTCTCTTCCTCTCCTCTGCCTCTGAAGAATCGTTGAGTTTTGACCCCTCCGTTTACAACAGCGTGAGAAGAATCCTCTGCTCTCTTATCATGTGTTGTCTGCAGAGGACTCCGAGGATGTTGAGTGGATTTAATCACTGAACACACGAGCCGTCAGCGCTGATTTTCTCTTTAGTTCGCAGGGGCAGCCCAGTCCCCTTTCACTTGGCCTTCATTTTCCACTCCTCTGTCTCTCGCTCCCGCTCTGTTTTGCACTTCCCTCCCCGCGCTCGCTCGCCCTCTTCTCCCCGTTTTCCTCCCTCTTTGTGCCGTGTAACCACCAGCTCTATGTTTGACAGCAGACTCAAACAAATCCACAGGCCTCGGCCCAGCTTTCTGTAGCCAGAGGGACTTGAGTGTTTCCGCCCCCCTCCAATACCTCCCTACCCCTCTGACACACTGTGATCTGCAGCCAAACCCCCTTCACACACACTCACACACACCAAACACTTCGGCCTGGAGCTGCCCCAACCCCCCCCTCGCTATAGAAACGCTCCAGTGCAGCTCAGACCTCAGGCTTGGGATTTTTGGACCCAGAACCTGACTCGATATTAAGAATCTGGAGGTGAAACAAGGGCTGACATGTTCACCAGGTGGATGTGCTTCACTCTGCGATCCGTGTGCCTGCAGAGGCAGCGAGCTTATTTATAACGTCCTGCCCCTGTGTGATTTTTGGGAATGCCAAGGCTCATTAGAGGTTTCCTCTGAGGGGTCGGGGTCAGGAGGGCCAGATGTTGCTGATTGGTCCTGACAATGACACCAGTGTTTGCCCTGCTGCTCCAAACAGATGTCAAGCTCACATCCAAGCTGAGACAGACCACATCAACAGGGGGGAGCTGGTCGTTTCAGACCAGAGCGGCTTCAGTGTATGTAAAGATTACTTGTTCTGGGTGAACGCAAAGAGTTCAGGAATTAATTTACTAAAACACAAAACGCAGCGCTTAGAGAAGGCAGTAAACGCAAGTGAAACACAACACTACTCCTTGGTTTAAAGATATATAAATGGAAACATTTAGTGATATCTAACAGTCGATTGAAGACTGAAAAGCTCTCTTGCTCACCCCTCCTGTCTGTAAAGGTATGGTGGCTTTTGAGGACAAGAATCCCCTGTGATGCATGATAAGTAGGACTCTCTGTTTGTAAAGATTTACCGTCAAGAAGGTGAACCAAATCCTCAACGTCTTTGTCTCATGAGGGTTAAAGATGGTGGCCTCCATGGAAGGAGACCATTTCCTCTGGAGGTGAAGAAACCTCGAACCTAAAGGAGACCATCTTCACCTTTGATTATGCTGGTCTGGGACACCAATGAAGAAGCTTTGAAGGACAAAGAAAAAAACTTATTTAGCACTAGAGATGTTCCGATTCCGATACCTGCTCCGATACTGCCGATTTTTTTTAATAACATACTGGTGTCATATCGGTACTCAGTGTCAGGCGACACCAGGCCACCAGGAAGCGGCCCAGTAATCCCGATGGTTTAGTCCACCACCGGCACTTGGTATCGGCCGATACCCACAGCACGTAGTATCGGTAACGGGGAAAAATTGGTATCAGAACATCTCTATTTAGCACCTGGAAACTCCTCATTTCATCACTGTTCAGACTCTTCCTGATATGAAGTTAGACAAAGCGAAGGGGTGTTACTTTTTACACAGCTTTGAAGTCACGAAACAACATCTAATTTATGCCTTCATGGAGAACGTCTGAGGCTCGCCTTCAACGCAAACTTGACTCTCCATTTAGCCGCATTAGCGTACGTTAACTAGTGTTGATCACAGCTTGTGGTATGGAGCCTTAATTCACGCTCATGTTCGTGATTATTACATTTCTTTTCTACTAAGTCTGTGCTGCTGTCACGCTGCACCTTTACAAACAAACCAGAGAACCTAAACAGAATGAAAGGTCACGTTTTCTCGTACTGGCAAATAAAGATGAGGAGCCGGACTGTTGACAGACTCGGGTCCGGATATATTTCTTTATTAAACACGGTTATAAAGTGCCATGTGTGATTATTCAGCCTCCTCTCACTGTTGAAATATCACAGCCTTGTATTCAGACAATTTTATTTGGACTTTTTACTGTTTGGTTAACAAACTGAAATAGTCTGAAAGCAGATGTCTGTTCAGCGGAGGAGTATTAACCTCGGGGTAATTGGTTGTTCCACATCCGAGTTAGAGGTTTGTTAGAAAACACCCAAAGCTTTTCACGGTCCTGTTTGTAAACAGCTCGAAATGTCATGTAGCGAACCCTCCCTGAATTATTTTGTGTTTTCTTTAAATTAAAATCAGATTTGTCAGAAAAGTTCAAAAGGGCACAGATCTGTTGGAGGCGGCGCTCGACTGTAACCTCAAATCCAAGAATCCACCAACTCTCTCTGAGGAGCCGTTCATCATATTCAGAGCTCTCTCCCACTTTCACAACAGTGTCACTGCCATGACCATCATTCTGGAAACGCTGCCTCAGGGAAATTAATTAGCACTTGTTTGCTGGAGTCCAATAATCAAAGTGTCAGCAAAACTGTTGTTGTTTGTTGGAGGGCTTTGTTTCTGCACCACACCGCCCTCTGTTGGCCAGTTCCATCCTCTGAAATATGATGAGAACATATGTTTGTATTTTTAATGACTAAACGACATGAACCCATAAACCAAATAACAAATCATAAATGTTTCCCTGACTGCAATAAAAGCTGCACTTTCAGATATACTGTGTGTTCTCCGGCTGCACACACACACACACACACATGCAGCAGCGGCGGTGACAAATGCTGTTTAAACGTCCCTCAGAGGAGCACTAAAGAGAGCCCATTACACCGCCGCTGATGCTGATATATCAGCGTTAATGTGAATAAAAGAGAAGAAGGAGGTGAAAGGCTCACAGCAGCTTTTAACTGTCCTACATGTCTCACCTATTAGCACTTCCAGTTGTAAAGAGCTGCTAAAGCTGAAAATGATCTTTATTTTTAGATGGGAACTCTTCTCCTGGACTTCTCCTGCTGCGATTGTTCATGTGAGAGTGGTTTGAACAGATCACTAACCGCTCCCTTTCAGCTCTCGGTCAGTCCCTGCAGGTTTTCTGTAGATTCACAGGATTAACAGAAATGTTGTGAATCTATACAGCAATAATTCTGACTGCAGGTCTTCAGTTAGAGTAAATGTTATTTATTCTGGTTGTTCTGAGAGAAGATGAGCTCTTAACCTCAGGTTTAACTGCTGTTACCACCTAACAAGCCTGTTAGCTCCTCCATCGCTCTGTTTAGCATGTCTGGTAAACTCATGTCTTGAGTTTAGCTCCAGACTGTGACAAGTTTGTTGTCTTTCAGAAACTTTGTGTTTTTCTTTCCTGTTTCTTTCTTTCTTTCTTTCAGGTTTTATTCTGTCATTAGAGATCTAGATGAGTTTGTGTCTCAGTGGTACTTCAGCTGTTTGTTTTGTTGTTGATGAGAAGCTGAACTTCAATCCTATTTTTATGAAAGCCTGAAAATATTTAAATACTGATATTCATAAATTGACAGACGTAGAATCTTACACTGAAAATATGTATTTGTAAATAAAGTTGTGTTAAAATCTGTCTTTCTTCCTTTTTTGTTTGTTTCTTTTTTCTTTTTTCTTTGTTTCTTTCTTTATTCCTTCCTTCTGTGATTGAACATTTCTTGGTTTTGAGGCTGTCGGCTGGAATAAAACGGCTGCAGAAAAGGGTCATTAGATCATCTCCACATCTTCAGACTGCAGTCATTGAGAATATCTGTCTATAAAACCTTTTACACAAACACAGAATTGTCTTATTTTGATCTTTTTTTAGCGATAACTCAAAACCTCGTAATTATCCCAATAATAAGGTTTCAAACTTCCATCTCTCTTTGTATAAAACTCGCCTCAGCCAGGTCTCTGACAAATATCAGGGAGTTATTTTGTGAATCAACCCTTCAAAGTTACCGTCTCTGTAACCTGGTACATTAATGAACACATTTCTCATCTCATAAGTATATTTTTTCATGTTTGAACTGGTATTCTGTTCTCTATTATACATGAGAGCTGATACTGACCTGGTTTTGTAGGATGTTGTAGTTTGTCTTTCAGCTGCAATTCGTCTTGTGGTTTCTAAAAGTCAGCAGGATCATCAGGAAAAATGTCCCTAAAGCTCATTTTTTCCACTTTTTACACACCGAGCAGGTAGGTTATTAATCAGAGAGATAATTCACTGTGAATTCATTCATTAACGGTGTGAATTCATGCTCCTTTATAGCAGCTATTGAAGTAAGACTGACCGACTTCATGAGATCATGATGGAAAAGGTCTTTGTCAGAAACGTCTTTGTCATCTGGAGTTTTTCCCCTCAGCTGCTCCAGTGCAGCTGCTCAGGGGCCACAGAAGGAGGCCGGTGTGTGTGTGTCTGAGTGTGTGTGAGTGTGTGTGTGGAAAAAGATTTCCTGGAAGAAGCGCTGAGATGGGATTAAAACGTGTCGTCAATGCTTTCAATTTACATCTTCTCAGCTCAATATCGTGCCGCACAGAAACCTGTTTGTAGCCGACAACAATAACGGCACAGTGAAGCATTTTCATTGAGATCATCTTGATTCTGCGCTTTAAAAATGTGTGATAATAATTATAGTGTAATCTCAGTCATGTAGCACCTCTTAGCTGAATGTGCTTCACAATCAGGTGAAGAAGGTTTATGTCAGAGATGTTAAAATGTGGTGTTTGTGTGTCTGCAGGTCACTTTCCGTACGAGGATCTATCACTGCAACATCAACAGTCAGGGGGTGATCTGTCTGGACATCCTGAAGGACAACTGGAGCCCCGCCCTCACCATCTCCAAGGTGCTTCTGTCCATCTGCTCCCTGCTCACAGACTGTAACCCAGGTAAGAGCCTCACCTGAACACGCGTCTGTCTGTCTGTCTGTCTGTCTGTCTGTCTGTCTGTCTGCTGTAACCTGGTTTGATTTATGAACTTTAGTGGCACGAAGAGCCCGTTTTTATCCACTCTGTGAACACAAGAGTCCTCGCCCTCCGTTTATTTTTCACTCAAGGCAAAATCTGGAGCTGACACTCGGTCCAAATGAATGTTTCCAGACTATTTATGGTGTATTAAGTAAGCCATGACCAATTCAAACCTCCATTGTTTCCCAAGGCTGTCGACCACTGACAGATCTTTGGCTCCATCCGAAGCAAGAAGCTGTAAATAATCAAACCACATTTTCACAGCAGTGAGAAATAACTGAGCTGCTCATGGACGAGCTCCACAGAGAATGCTTTATGAAGAACCGAATGTATCATGTAAGATGATAAGAAAATAAAGCAAATCAAGAAATAGTCAGAGGTTTAAAGAGAGATGATAGTGAATCGTAGAAACCTCTGAAAAACCCTCGATTCTGCGGAGGAGAAACTGGGTTAGTGGTCTGCACTTTAAGAAGAGCAAAAGGCCGTTTGGTGCTGTCATGCAGCAATTTAAAGATCAGCACGAGCAGAGAGAAATAACTCTCAGCTGAACTGATTTATTGTCATATGAGCTCCTCTGAAGCTCCTCTCTAAACGGTCTTGGCTGCTCCTGCGGGGGGAAGGGTCTGATTTCTTGACCACTTATAAACACAGCTGATATGTGATATGACGGTGGAGTAGATTGACGATCGTTTTTATTCAATAAAAGGGACCAGCTGTCAATAATGCTAACGTAACAGCTGTGATAAACTGCTTGGGTTTACAAAATAGAATTCAGTGTCGGTCGTTAATCTCATCATAACTCATCATGTTGGCCTGTATTAAAGAGAGAATATTCAATGACAGGTTTCATACTAATGCCAAGTGTAAATCTTCTCTTTCTCGATCCATAACATCTGTTTGATCGTCAGCTGTCTGAACTCTTTGACCTCGTTTACATCCAATATAAGCACAGACCCGTTTTTCAGATCGTCATGATTAAGGGAAAAAAAAACACAAGGTTCATCCAAACTTGTTGGAAGTTACCGTCAAACTAACAGAAAAATTGTCACAGAAATCCCATTTTCTCTCCATTTGGCCAATCATCGAGAAGTTCTTGAGGCTCATTTTATCCTCGACGTCACATACAGATCCGGCTTCCCATTCCTTTCGTCCGTATTTCTGCAACGACAGAGCAGCACCACCAAAACCACCATGGGGGCGGTGTTGCTGCTGTCACTACCCGGCAGACACCCTAAAGTACTGAAAATGACGATCATCGTCAATTTCTCTCATCGGTACTACCAGAGAGAAGAATTCTCTGTCCTCCAACCCTGAAGCATTTAGTGTCCTGACCGACCACTGCCTCCTCCGACACTGCCTCAGTTTCTGTCTCTTGTGCAAAATACACATTATCACTCGCTCCTCCAAAGTCGCCGTGTTTCTTTTTGATTGTTGTTGTCAGAAACTTTTGACTCCGGCCAAAAGTGGTTGGAGTCAAAAGTTAATGGTTAACATCCATGCCAACGTAAAGGACGCATCTATGTGGGCAGTGACGGAACCATCGTTTGAAACGGACGCGTACATCTTCATACGTATGGCGAGCATAAATGAGCCTTTATCCTAATAGGGTGTCTGTAAAAGTGCTGACTCTCATGTCTGGGCTCCTCTTAACAGGCTACCAGCTGACAATAACTGCTGTCATCTCCCGTTTATCGACTAACAGCAACATAAAGACCTGTCAAATACGTTAAAGCGTTATAACCAGGTGATGATTAATCTACAGAGTAGAATAACGGCGGTGACACGGAGCTGTGAAAACGTCGACTACAACAGCGATGTTGATTTGGCACCAAGTCTCTCATTGTGCTGCTGATGGAAGAGTCTCTGCTTACTGCTGATGAGTCTGAGCTTTTCTACATTAATAACTGATGTAATCTGTCACAGCGAAGACAACTTCAACATAAAACAGCTGCTGAAACCCTCTGCTTCTTCTCATCCTCCAGTTTATACCATCTTTAAAAATGATTCCCTATGATAATGAGTGATATTTTACCAACTCAGAGATGTAAGATTGCTCCAAACAGTGAGGATGAATAATCACTTTAAACCTGAAATTACAGGGTCCCACATCGAGCTGAATTCATGTTCATGTTGGAACTTATCAAACAAATATCTGCGCTGGTTCGGCTGTTAGGAAGTCGTTTTCTGACTCATTTATTAAAAAGCTGGTTTCATGTAAAGCTGTCGTGTTCATGTGTTTGCTCTGCAGGCAGTATTTTCGATGTTTAGTAGTTTAAACACACGTCCATCTCCAAACTGCAAAAGAGTTCATTAAAAGATGATTTGGACTCTTGAATCAAGAGTTTGTGAGGCCAGATGAACTCTTATTACATTTAAACTTCATATTAAAGTTCAGGGGTGACCGGGCTTTTTCTCTGAATGCTCTTCCTCTTCATGTCCGACTGTCCCCCTCACGTCCTGTTTTTAAATCAAATATGAAAACGCACTTTTACTGTATTTTTCACACTATAAGGTGCACTTAAAATCCTTTTGGCTTGTCGGAGCACTGCAGCTACTGTAGCCTCACCGAGTTATTGAATGAGTTAAATCAAATTGGACTTATCTGATTGTTTTGTTTGGCTTAATGCGCCTTATAGTGCGAAAAATACGGTACTCCCTGGCCTTTAACTCCTGAGAAGTTGGCCTTTTAATCCTGTTTTTACTGAACCATCTGTTCCTTCGTCTTTGTTTCTTTGTTCGTGTTAATTGTCGGTTTTTTATCGTTTTTTAAATTTTTACTGTACAGCTCTTTGGTCAGCGCTTTGTTGTTTTTAAATAAACCTGAATTGGATTCGACTGATTCTCACTCTTGTGTCTCTTTGTGTCTCTTTGTGTCTCTTTGTGTCTTCCAGCCGACCCTCTGGTGGGAAGCATCGCCACACAGTACCTGACCAACAGAACAGAGCATGACAGAATAGCCAAACAATGGACGAAGAGATACGCCACATAGACCCCCCCACCGCCCCTCCACAGCTGAGAACCCTCCCCTCCTTTACCCCTCCCCCCTTCACTGTACCTCTCTCTACCTCTCGCTCTCACCCTTATTAGTCTGTCAAAGCACACTCACTAAGTGCAACGGTAAACCCGCCCTCCTATCACCCTCCTCCTCCTCTTCCTCCTCTTCCTCCTCCTCCTCCCCGACATTTTATCTACCTTTTCTGTGTAAAAAACAAAAAAAAAAAACAAAAGAAGAAAAAAAAAAGTCCTTTGTTCCTTGTTGACTTGAAAGCTTCTTTTTTATACAAAGAGTAGATTGGGATTTTTATTTTCCAATATCTGAATGTTGGAAGTATTGTATTGGAGTAAATCACAGAATATTATAATGATCATAACGCATTGTCCTCCGGCTCTACAGTATGTATTCTCATTTTCTTAGCAGCACCTGGAACAAACATGCAGAATATATGCTTTTATTTTTCTTTGTGTTTTTGTTTCTGTTGTTTTTTTATTTGGTATTTGTCATTGATATGTTACCTGCATGGAACAGGAAGGTTTGCGTCAATGGATCCTTCATGCTTTTTAACTTCCTCTGATTTTGTTTGTACTGTATGTATTTTTTCAAAGGCTTTTGAGGCAGACCACAAAAGTATAGGTCTGCCTGTGAAAGAGGCAGGACTTGTATATTTACTGGCTACCCGCCACCTCTGCAATTGCAGAGTGGTTTGTTGTGCACTTGTATTACTGAAGCACCCAATAAAACACACTGTGGTCGGCTTGTGAGAAAAAAAAAAAAGAAAGACTCTCGGCTCTGTCTGGGATTTTTTGGGTTTGACTGCAGCCTCACAAACATCCACAAATATTTACATCAGCTCAGTGATCCTCCATTAACTCCAGCTCTCAGCTCCCGCCTGCTTTTATGCTCCACATACGCACGATTATAAAGCTCGACAGTGGGATATCTCGGCTCGTAAAAAATCCAGTTCAGATCATATTTCTGCTGTAGTCTCATTATGACTCCTGCTGTAACTTGTAGCTTTTATTACCTCCTGAAAGCGGTGGGAGCTGCACAGGGTGTACCAGAAACTCATGAATGGACTCTTCTCACATTGTTTGGATGGAAGAAGTCAAGTGGGTTGATAATGACCCAATTTTTGATGTCATTTGTTAGTTTAGCGTCACAAACCTCTCCCCCCTGTGCTCCTCGATAACTCCCACCTGAAACAGTATCACCCTCCCCACGACACACCCCCTCTGGCAGAGCAAGAAGCCGGCCAACAGAAGATCCTACGCTAGTTTCAAATAGGATTCACCATGTCGGATTGATAGTGACTAGCGGCAGTAAACGCCAGCTCTGCTAGCGAGCGCCGTCTGCAGCTGCCTGGAGAGCTACCGTGTCGACATGTCAGAGACTAATAAGAATTATTTATGTAACATGTGCCACGATAAAAGGCGGAAAAATGACCTGATCAACAAAAGCTCTGCTGTCTCGGCGTCTGTTTTCAGACCCAAATCCTGGCGAAGCTTTCTCCACCGCTCGAAGGATGACCCGATGTTTACTGTGTTAGATTCCTCGCTTGGTCACATTTCCATTTTGTCTCCGCCCTTTCTTCTGTCGGCCTGCGTTTTCTTCCCACTTTTGGCGGTGGGGCGAACAGAAGTGTTTTTTTTTTTTTGCATCCTTCTCCATCACAGCTCCTGTAGCTAAGCTGCTACACTTGGCTATGCTTTTAGCCGCTCAGAGCACCGAGGAGGGCTGGGAGAGTGGGAGGGGACGAGTCAGAACTATGGGAGAGGGGTGTGTCGAATACAGCGAGGTGATTGGATGGAGAGGCGGAGCAGGAGATTGACCAATAGGAGCTGTCCGGGACGGATGGCGCCCATTGGCTAATGTTTTTGCAGCCCTGCACCTGCTAGAGTGAATGGATATTTTCCGTTCCTTTTTCTCTTCACTTTGAGGAGATGGCACTATCGGACCATGATCGCCATAGAAACGAGGTTCGTAATAATTACCAATCTCTCTAATCGTCAACCATGACTTTAAGACACTGAGGACTAAAATAACTCATCAGATGGAGAATAAAAGGACCAACGCTAATGTATTTCCCAGGCTTTTCTCTGTTTTACAAGCTCATCAACCTCTCCTATTTCATTGTTTCCTAACTTACATTATTATAAAAGATTAATCAGACTATAAAGTTCCTTGAAAATCATTAACTTAGAGAAGTTACTCATGAAGGAGGGACTACCTGTAAACGACTGTAAAACTCACTCGCTGACAGAAACCAAACCGTCACAAGTATTATTTTGACACATGCAAATCTCACATCTCACTCACGCTTGACTTTAAACAGGTTCACGTGGGATGTGTCAAAAATCAGAGTTGTTGACAAGCTTCATAACTCATGAGAAATGCGTCAAAAAACTGAGGATGTTAGTTTCTAAAATCTGAAAATGATAAAACAGGACAGGAGAGGTTTCGATAATGGACCTGCTGAGAAAAGCTTTACTCGTTTTACTTGTTTGTACTAAAATCATTTCACATGGTGTGTTTTAGGGTCGTGTAATTTTGGCTTTATGAATTAGTAATACAGCAAAAGCTTTTAAGCAAAGGTCTGTGTCAGGTTTTGAATCAGCCTCTTCTGCTCTCTCGGTTTTATTTTCCACCCGTGTGGAAACAGATTTACAAAAACGAAAACTGCCGATAATTAAATGCTTGGCTTTTTCTGCGCAGAGATAATAGGAAGGCCGTTATATCCTGGTAAACGGAGGTGAGGGGACAGCTTGCCAAACTGGTAAAAAAAAGCCTGCCTGCCTGCATTAGTAGGTGCTGCAAAAACAACACTTAAGTTGACAGTCCTGCAGCGTCATGTTGTAGTGAAATGTTTGACTCACTCTGTAACCTGATATGAAATGTATAAAGCCAGACTTAAAGGGGGCTAAAGGTGAGAACATGAAGCTGTTAAAATATTGACACAGCAGCACTCACAATGTGACGAGATTACCCTATTAACCTTTTCAACACTTACACATCCGCCACCAGGTGATGGTACACCGTGTACTTCACAGCTCATTTACCTGCAGGAAGGATCTTTTTCCACCTTACAAATCTCTTAATGTGTAATTTGTTCGTAATCACGCTAGATACGGCACAAAAACAAAGGTGTAAGTTGCACATGGTGGGTGCCGTATACTACAACACTCTAACACCTACAGAATAACCTTTTAGCAGTGGAAATGTGCTGGTGAGCGGCTGCATGCGCTGAAAATGTTCCACTCATCTGGGCTGTTATGATAATAAGCATGAGAAACTGTTAGATGTGTACACAGATGTGATTCATTTAAGTGGTTTTTCAGTTTCTGTGGCCTGTGATGCAGCAGTTTAGTCATCGCTGTAGTACCATTACAACACCAACAACAACAACAACCTGCTTATAGTAAACAGCACATAACACTCTACGAAGGATCTCCACGATGAGGATCTACTGAAATTTCTTTTGCGGCGAGATTTAATCATCACTTCGTGAAACGTGAAATCTTGTGGTTGTTTATCTGTGAAATGTTTGTCGTTACAAGAACACAGGAAAACACAAATTATCACCCACAAAAACACACTTTATTACCTTACTATTAGAAAGAGACGAATAAATATTGACAAAATAGTTAGGATGCAGCACTTTTTAGTATTTAGTGTATTGTTATGTACAATATTAAAGCCATTTTACTACCAGAAAAAAGTCATATCGTGCTAATTAAAGCCTCTGTGTTACAGGTTTAAAGCTCCTGTGGATATTTTTGAAACAAGCTGAAATGAACAGTGATGCATCTTTGTGATATATGAAAGCAAATGAGACCCTTGGTGACAAGTTGATGATTTCTATATTTTAATTTCTAACGACCGTAACTGCAGTGAACGGGTCCATACGCCGAAGAAACAGCTTTTAATCTTATTCCCACTTCAAATATTTACTTCAAGTCATAATTTCCCTGTGAAGAGACAACAGGAGGACATGTTGCTGTCAATTCAAGACGAGACAAAATCAGCAATAAAGGAAGGGTTCCTGCTTTGTCCACAGGGGGCGTCAAAGTCAACACAAGCAAAAAGTTCCCTACGGGAGCTTTAAAGTGACGCTATTTGGAGAATAAAATTGTTGTATCACAAGATTTATGTCAAAGTTTCTAGAAATAATGTTCTGATATGAGAATAAAGTTGAAAAGTTTGAAGATGTAAGACATTAAAGTCAAAGTATCTGGAGATTTAAGTCGGAATATTACAAGAATAACTGGCAACTGGACGCTTATCAATCAGTAAATTACAGTTAGATTAGGACCAAACCAATATAAAATAGTTGCTTTACAATGAGTTTATTATTTTGATATAAATTAATTCTTGCAACATGATGACTTCATTCTCAGAATGACTCTGAAGTTTTTGCAATATAACAACTTTTTGTCACATAATATGACCAATATTTCTATAAAAGCACAACTTTATCCAAGTAATATTAACACTTCAATCTCTTTTACTTTCACTTTCTAATCTGGCTTTTATTACCAGCCTACTCCGGGGAATTAATAAGATAACAACTGGGAAATATCTACTAATATTGAGTGGCTCAATTAATCAGATAGTTCTCCACAAGTTTCTGCAAAAAAATTGTGGTATTAAACTTTTTAGAAATAAAGTTTTGATGTGAGAATAAAGTTGAAAAGTTATGAAGACATAAGAAATTAAAGTCAAAGTATCTGGACATTTAAGTCGTAATATTACAAGAATAAACTAAACTGGCAACTGGATGATTATCAATCAGTAAATTACAGGCAGATTAGGACCAAACCGTTATAAAATAGTTGCTTTACACTAAATAATGAGTTAATTCTTTTGATATGAATTTATTTCTGCAACATAATGACTTAATTCTCAGAATATTATGACTTCTAACACAACATCACAACTTTATCCCACTTCAATTTCTTTTACTTTCCCTTTCTAATGTGGCTGTTATTACCAGTCTACTGTGGGGTATTAATAAGATAACAACTGGGAAGTATCTACTAATATGAAGTGGCTAAATTAGTCAGATAGTTCTCTACAAGCTTATGCAAAAGTAAATGTGGCATTAAAGGGACAATAAAAAGCAAATGAAGCAAAAAAAAAAGGTTGGAAGAAAATTGCATCCTGTGTATTTATGCATTTCTGTATGCTGTCTCAATATCTTGCTTCTGTTTTTCTGTCACATAATCTCACCAATAAAGCCTAATCCTTTTTATATCTTAGTCTAACAGGTTTATGATCAGGTGAAAACAAAAGTTAATGTAATCTTAAAGTTTGCATGAAACCTCCTGTTGCAACTTTAATCTATGTATCATCCAAATTGCCATCGGACCAAGACGTTGAATAATAAATATCAGGATTAAATAAGTCACATTATCTGTGAAAAGCTGATTTAATCGTGTGTAAAATTCATGATGTAGGCTGCCGTGTTTCCAGAGTAGGACCGGTGCCGCACAGCCCACTGCAGCCGCGGTAGGCTACTTCCGTACCGCAGAGGGCGACAGGCACCAGCCAGCCGAGACTGTGGCGGAGGTCCAGACACAATAGACTGGGTAAGTTTGATTAGCGAGCGAAATAAAACATCTGACGCCGATATTTTACCGAGGGGTGTGAGTGTACGGGTGGGTCTGCTGCCCGTGTGTGTGCTTAGGTGAAGTCTGTCGGTACACACGCAGAAAAGAAGCAAACAAACAACACGGTCGAGGTTAATGGTTGCACGGAAAATGGGCTCCGGCTATGTGCAGGAGTGGATTGGTTCCTGGCTGCTGTCTTTTAAACGGGTCGTTTATATTCTCAGTCTTGACTTACTCGTTTGTACACTATCTTTTAAGCCTACAGAACCTTAATGTTTTATGTTATCACCGAGGCTAACGTCGTTTGCTTCATCTGTCACGGTTACCGGGTTGTGGATTCACTTGTTAAGGATGCTTAGCAAGCAGCTTTACAACGCGTCACTCCAAGAAGTAGTCTGGTCCCTGAAGTCGTTGGGCCTGGGTGTTCGTACGGATTCATTGCACACGACTATTTTGCATCAAACTTAGCCTCGCTTGACAGTTGTTGGCGTTAATTTAGGGCTCTCTTTAATCTAAAAAGTCTGCCAAATGGGTGATTTATTCAACCATCGCCGTATAATGAGCGATATCGACACAGAAAGGCTGAGGAAAAGTGGAGCCACCGGCTGGGTTCGCATCGTTCCGTATCCCAACATGGTCGAAGCGGCGAACCTGCCGCCTGCAATACACAATGAATGGGGACGAATTCTCTACCGCGTCAGTTCGCTTGCGGTGGTCGTACCGATGTGTGCCTCTTTGTAACAGCTTTACACCCCATTATGTCATAATAACCATCGTTGTAGGAAAATGGTGGTAAACTGCTGAGCTGAACGCCTTTATGAGAAGCTGCTCAGACTGAAGGAGTAAGTCTCACTGTGGGTTCATCCCGCAAGACCCTGGGTCAGGGGTGTCTGTTACCCCCAGTTTCCACCGCATCAGGAACGGCTACAAAAAGGCTGATAGTAACCATTCAAGTTAAAGTGTCAATTTCCACCGGCTTCTTTCCGTTCCACCGTGGATCGCCAGACTCTGCAGCCAATTGCAAGAGTTCTATTTTGCCGGACACCGGTGCATGCCGAATAAGCTCAACACAGATTAACCCGGGACAGACACAAAATAAAACATCCGTCTACTTTTCAAAATAAAACACTCTGTGTTTCTGGCAGATCGTATTTCACATCATGCAAATGGGCGGGGGCGAACAAATGAAAGGTTAAAGTGCGTTCGAATTAACTTAGAAGTCAGAAGCCCGAGCTGAAAATGACATCACACCCGAGTTACCAGCGTTTCAAAAACAAAATTGGAGGTGGAAACAAAATGGCTACATCTACGAAAGTTATTTTAGAGCTTGCCTTGTCCGAATATAAAGCATTTACCCTGATGACACCATGGATGAGGAAATGCTGATTTTAGAAGTCTAGAAGTAGATTTCCTCCTCTGGTAGGACACAATTTACTGCTTATATGGTTAGCGCTAAAGACAACTTGTTATCGCGCGATTGTATCGGCCGCAGGTTCTTGTGAGTTCTCGCGATTACTGCTGTCCGTAATCCGCCATGAAATTCGTCTCACAAACGGATCCAGTAGGAATTGGCGTACAGTGAAAATCAACACCATCCAGGATGCGGTGGAAATCCTGGGTTAGAATAGGAGAGGTGGGGGGGGGTTAGCCTTTTCAGGTAGTAATTGCTTCCTATTCTAAAGAACGGGGTCACCACCACAGTTAACCAGCAAAACACAAACATAGGATTTAATCAATTGATATCAGGTTTAGCTCGACTTTACAGTTGTTACATGTGAAATCCATTAAGTATGGTTGTGAATGTTGCACTTCGCTAGCTTGTAGGCGAACGTTAATTAACGTTAAATGGTCGCTACTGACAAAAGCGAACAGTGAAGCAAACCGCTGTCCACACTGTCAACACCCCTGATTTATGAGTTATGAATGTGGCATACCTATTTATAAACATATATTTATGTAAACAAATAGTTGCTTTACTACGATATCTTATATGGAAAAAGAATAATATAAGAGGCATGAAAATGGGACAGAGCCCCAAAGTTGCCTTTAATATGAAATAATCCCTGTTATTTGTCAGAAGTACAAGAAAAAATGTCAAATTATGAAAAAAGTCATCATTGTGGGAATGAAAAGATAAGATTACGAAATGAAATCAGAGATTTTGAGATGAAAATGTAAATTACTTGATAGAAAGTCTCAGCTCTATAGTCCCAAGTATAGTCCCATAATCCCAAGTGAAAATTGAGAAATTAAAAAAAAACAAATGATGAGGTTTCATAATTATAAGGTTAAAAATAGTCATTCTGGCATGTTGAGGGTTAAAATTTGATTTAGAAAATTACACAATCGAGTTGGAATTACGACAGTGACATTTATTACACAATAGAAAGTGTGTGTTTTTGTGATAGGGCGTTTTATCTCAGTCATTTCCATTCGTAATCTTGTACTTGCTTATAATTAGCTCATATTTTGGCATTTTATCTCTTTGCTGTTTTCTTCAGAATTCAACTTTTTATTTCACAACCACGACTCTTTTTCACATGATTCATATTTCTATTTCAGAATGACACAACCTCATCATGTTTCCTCTCTTAATTTTGACCTTAAGCCTCCTAATTTTGACTCTTTGACATTTTATTCCCCAAACGATTTCATCACATCTTATAACTATTTCCGAACCTTTTTAATCTCTACGTTTAAGCGAGTTTGTCTTACGTGGTTCTTTTGAAGGCCAGCGGCAAAACATGCAAATAATTCTTTATAAATAGCAAAACAGTTTTCTATGAATTATGAGAGTTGTGAGTACGAGTTAGCATCTGCTTGTTAAAATCATCCTGAAACAGCCCCACCCCTCACAGCTGCCGTATGACTTATCTCATGTGCGTTTTTTTTTCCTTTCTCTTTCTGCCTCAGGTCCCGGCTCTTCTCCTATCCAAACCGGTATGTCGGATGAGGATTCGCGTGCCAGCACCAGCTCTTCTTCATCACCGCCTTCCTCCAGCCAAACCAGACAGAGGGACTCGCTTTGCAAAAAGAAACGGGAGAGCAAAGCCAGCATGAGCAAGACCTCTAAGCTGCTTTCCACCAGCGCCAAAAGGTAAAACTAAAACTGAAGAATGAGTACGGAATAATCAGTCCTGACAGATTTCTTAGTTTATCCCACAATCATGCAGGTTTTTCCTTTATTGTTCCACCTTGTCCTTGTTCCTCCCTGAGAGTCAGTGGGGGGTCTTCCTTTGGACCTGTGAAACACCTCCTAACACCAATAAAAACTGACTGTTGATGCATTTCGCTGATTTCTTGCACAAATACTTAAAATAGATGCTTCCAGTGCAGCTATAGGGAGGTTGGAAAGCAAACAAAAAAAGCCCCAGCCATAAAATTCAGAAGAACAAGCAGTACTCTTTTAGCACTCTCAGTACTCTAACATCTGTGCCCAGATGTCATACAGGAAGAAAAACACCATCAAAGAGGAACACATGTATATTTCCCTTCAGACAGTAGCCTCAACAGACCATAACGTACATGGTCATGAGGTACTCACAAAACTTCCCTTTTTAATCTCATAAAAAACTGACTTAACCTCTCACTGTCCTTGTGCTTTCGAAACTATAACGTCATGATTGTAGCAGTATTACGAGTTGTAATAACTCAGAAATTAACGATGTGAACAGGAGGAATGATCAATTTTCCATCGAAATATCTTCAGATGTAATACCATCCCCCAAAGGCCGAGGCAGATGTTTCTTTGTTATGCTGCGCCAAAGCTTCCCTGCCGAATTCTTGCGTTGGTTATTTGTGGTCGAACACATGATGACAACAGCGAGCGCACTCAGCTGCTGATTCAGAGAGGAGGACATAAATATGACATGATGTAAGCGGGTAACAGGTGCTGACGAACGTGGGATTTGTCTCTCCCATGATGGTTGAAGTTAAGTTTAACTCACTGTTTCATTTCAAGAGGTTTTATCACTCACAAAAAAATAGAAAGTTTAACTCGGACTATAAATACTGAAGAGTTGTTGTGCTGTGTAGGTGGTTACATTGAAGGATAGATAAACCCTAGAATTTATAACCACAAGTTTTTGAATGCCGTTATGAATAGGCTTACCAAGCAGGGGCGTGTCCGAGCTTTTTGGACAGGGTGGCCTACTGACATAAGCAGGGGTGGCCAAGAAAGCATTGAAGGATATTCCGGCGTAAGATTAATTTAGGGTCAAACACACCGTAACACCGAGTTAGACACCCCCTCCAGAGATGAATGTTGCCGACCGCTTGCTTCTCTAGTTATACCAAATTTAGTAACGACCGCACGATAGCAATACACAGCGGTCTGAGGAGCCATAAACAAACCTCAACCAAGACGCCACTCTACAGCCACAAATAATGATCAGAACAGCACCTAACTTCATCAACAGTATAGGGTCCCAGCAGCGCCGACGTCAGCACGGGGGCGTGGTGCGTAACGTGCCAGTGCGGCCATTTTGACAGACATAACAACACTACGCGCACTGGAATGAATGAAATTAGGATGACGTTTGGTTTTAAAAACCAACTATTTATATATTAGCTGACTACACAGTAACGGAGAACGGAATGGAGAGAGCAAAACTTGGACTCAACCTCTTGAGCCAGCCTCTGGTGGACACTCGAGGAACTGCAGTTTCTAGCACATCCTTACAGGCCTCATTTTTAAAGCATGATTGTTATGGCATGATTGCAGCACAACCGGAATGATTGATTTTAACTTAAGACTTATGTTGAGGTGGCCAATGAGAGGGCCAGTGCCCCCTCTAGACATCCCTCTGGACACACCCCTGTTACCTACTTTATTTACAGAAGAAATCTCGATAAAAGGTTGTTTTTCTAATAATTTGTTCAACTGAAATTGTTGAATGTTTTACAGTGATTGACTTTCATCACTTTTTCATGCAGGATTCAGAAAGAGCTGGCTGATATCACACTGGACCCTCCGCCAAACTGCAGGTAGGTCATGTTTTTCCTTGAAACCTTGTCGTTGTCAGTCATGTTTGTGTATTTATTAAACTCACTGTTCCAACATTTTACTTGTGTAGTACCACCTAAACCCAGAGACGAAGCACACTTAACATTTAGGGTGTTTGAAGGTCGACTTCTCATTGTCAGAACGGATCATTTTGGGAAAAATTCAGCAAAAAAATTGATAACGAGAAAAATAACTTGTAATTTCATGTTCTATTAAGCATGAGGACTTTGATTAGGCTGACCTTCTGCAGCTCGGTTGGCCGTAGTGTTGGGATTTAAAAGATTATCTGTAAAAACCTGGATGGTCTGGGGTTCAGGCTCCCATCACAGCGGGCGTCCTCCCTCCTGCGGCGTCCTAAAGGCGAGTCACTGAATCTCTCCCCGCTGCAGGCGCTGTGCTGCAGCCGAGCCTGACCTTTGACCTCTCTGTGAAAAGAGAAAAGAAAAACAGTAGACTGGCTCAGTAGATCAAACGAGCCACCTCAGGCCACAGAGCAGCCCAAAAATCAACACCGTCTGGATGTATACGCCGCTGCTTACCGGGGAAAAAATCTGCTATTTATTCTCGTCAGAAGAAGAAGAAAAAAACCTGTTTCTGCTGTTAGTTGTTGTTGTTGCTGCTGACATTTTTCTCCAGACGTTTTCTCATGTATAATACATCAACTTCTCAGGCTGATTTCGCTCTTCTTCCCCGTCTACCTGTCACCTTACAGGCAGCGATCTGTCCGTCAGTCTGTTGAGAGAGAACAAGCTGTTTGTTTGCTGCAGGCGAGCAGCACCTGGCATTTACAGATGCTGTACTGTAACACGTAGAAGATCTGCTGGATTTGAGAAAATACCAGACGTGTGATTACCTTCTTTAATAATGCAAAGTGCGATAAATAAGCAAACATTAAGGAGCGAATATCAGGCATACTGCCACCTGCTAAGATAGGTGTTTGCAGTATTTCCCTCCTGAATCCATTTTCTACATTTAACCGGCGTCACTTAATATGAGGGTAGCTGATAGAGAGTGTGAGCTCCATGTGACTGCATCAGAACGGTGTGAAAGTACAACTAACATATCCAGGACGACATCCAACGTGAAGAATGTACACATACTGAGTGAGAAAACATCGAGTCTGAACATAAAATCATGTTTCCCACTTAGTGCATAATAATAATAATAATAATTAATAATTAATAATGAATATTCAGAGTGTTATGAAAGGTTTGTAATGGGTCTCCATTTATTGCAAAGTTTGAGGAGAGTTCAAGTAATGGGAAATAATGGGTTTATTGCAAATAATGACACTTGAAAATTTGCTGCAATGTGAGGAAAAAATACCGTAATTATTGTAAGAAAGGCTCAAACTCTGTTCCCGTGTTAAAACATTCACTGTGTTCAGCAATGTCCAGCCTTGAATGCAGACGTGTAGCTCTTTATAGTATCACCTAACATCAGCTATTCACACAGCAGCTGAGCTCAGCCTGTGTTAGTGTTGTCAGTAAATACAGACGATTAATCAGGACAACCAACGACATTTTGACAAACTCTATATCATATCGTAAGGCCGGTATCACCATCATCGTTTCTTAAGGAAACACATTTTCCGGCTCCAATTACAATCAATCAAATCTGAAGCGGTCACCACCTACTGTTTGATATAGATTCTGTTATGATGTGTAGAATAATGCATCTTTCACCCCAATAATGCAGCTTCTTACAGAATTGTATCATATTCACTAACAGTTTTTCAGACTAATTTATTTCTTCTGTCTTTTTGTACTAACATTTTTTTCCCCTCTTTATGTTTTTCAGACACATTTTTATTCTGTTTTTTTTTTTTTTGTACTTTTTTTGTTTTCGTCTTTCTGTTTTCTTAGACTGTTTTTTTTTCCTAACTAGGCGAGATACTTAAAAATCCTGCAAGAATCTCATACAATCAGATAACATTAACCACTGCAGCTGCTCCAAATCAGCGGATTCTCCAGCTCCTAGATAAATTCGACTACAGGGTCAATGAGAGTAAAGCATGTTATTAGTGAAACATAGGGTATACAAATCCTGAGGTGTCTGCACAAAGAAGACAAACTTGTGATGATTCCATCTATCTGACTTAAAGAAAGGAGAATCTCTCAGTGTCTCGAAACCAAAAGAAAGTAAAACTTGATTAAACGAAACAAGTGGGCCATGTTTGCTGCCAATAAATGGAGCAGAGGGAAATGAAAGCGTCTGTTTTTAAATGATCACGATCCCAGAGAAGAAGAAAAACAATTATTCTGAAAAACAGAACAAAAAAAATGGTCCAATAAAGAGAAAAGAAAAAAAATAGCAAAAAAAATGAGTCTGAAGAACAGAACAGAAAAAATTACTCTGACAAACAGAGACTTACCTTTTTTTTTTCTCTCTCTCTCAATAACTTTAGATCGCTGGACAGAAATCCAAAAGTTTGAGTGGCGATACTTTGCTGAGCCAAACAATGTCTTCTCTAGAAGAAGACACCATTTAATTATCTAATAAAGACAGCAGTTTCTCACGTGTTAATGTAATTAAATTGTTGTATTTTGGCAAATGCAGATAAGAAAATTAACGATGTGATTGACTTTATATATCATATTTTATAGCAGCTATTTGCCTTTTGAAAAAAGTGGTGTAAGTCAATCTTTAGCTGGTCGTTGTGAGGGGCAGATGAATCCACTACCTGGACTCACTTCAGTTTACTCGTTGCCGTTCTAATCAGACCTGAACTCCACGATTTTCGATCACTCAAAAGTTTACCTCTTTTTTCTTTAAACTCATAATTTTGAGCATATGAGTGTTGAAAAGAGCCTCCACTCGATCGGTTTGCCTCATGATATATTCAGCAGACTTTGAACAGTGAAGCGGTCATTTGCACCTTTAAGCACCGTCCTCTGGATCTGTGAAATTCCTCCTTAAATCAGGAGAAATCACAGCAAAGCTCGGAGTGGCGTCCACAGGATAAATGCGGTCCTCTCTGTATCATGACCGCACCGAGACGATGTTGTTCCCGGTTAAATTAACGCCTTAAATCACGGATTAGAGACGGATGACTGCAGCTGCGAGTTCTTACAAGGAAGGACAAAAGCAGCAGCAGCAGCAGGTTTCAGCGACAGCCTCGTACCATTTAGGCGAATTCATAATGAAACGCCTAATTACAACAGTGAAGTGTGACAGCTTTAAACACTACCTGCCCGCAACATGATGGATTAAAAACCATGTTTAATTGAGTTTCTGGTGGTATATGATAATGCATTCAATTATTACAGAAATGTTCGCTCAGGCTTTACTCGTCACTGAAGGAGAATTATAAATATATACGGATGAATCTGGAGCGATGGTTCAGCTTCTCCTCCGTCTGGTTTTATCGTCTGAGCTTGATTAATGTGCCGATTGTTTTAATCACCTCAGACAGTAATTATTCAGAGTGTCATCAACGCCAAAACTGCGAGGTACAGATTCTTTATATTTCATTTGATCCTCTGCTTTAGTGCTGTAATCAACCAAAAATATTCTTGGTCGACTAAAACCCTGAAATTTTCATCCAAAGATCGACTCACGGAGGGGTCACGACCCTAACGGCGAACCACTCTGCGGCGGGGCACTGACGCAGGAGTAAAAATATACTAATACTTGAATACCATGAAAGATGAAACGCTCAAAATTAAAATAAATATTCAGCAAACCACCGGACGTCGATTAACATGGATGCTCTTCACCCCCAATTTTCACCGCTTCCGGAACAGCCCTGATGCGGAACTGCAGCGATTTTCACTGTCCGCCAATTCCTACCGGATCTGTTTGTGAGGCCAATTTCATGGCCGATTACAGACAGCAGGAATCGCGAGAACTCACAAGAACCTGCAGATTCATGCTCAATCACACAATAACAAGTTGTCTTTATAAAGACAGCCACATAGACTAACCATATAAGCAGTAGATTGTGTCCTTCCAGAGGAGGAAATCTACTTCTAGACTTCTAGAATCAGTATCTCCTCATCCATGGTGTCATCGAGATAAAATGCTGTCTATAAACCTTTCACTTGTTCGTCTCCGCCCGTTTACATGGTGTGAAATATGATCCCCCTGAAACACGGAGTGTTTTATTTTGAAAAGAATCCGAATGTTTTATTTTGTGACTGTGCACTACTTCCTTTCCAGCACGGGTTAATCTGTGCTGAATTTATTCGCCATGCTCCGGCGTCCTGAAAAATAGAAATCCTGCGATCCGCAGCGGAACGGAAAGAAGCCTGTGGAAATTGACACGTTAACTTGAATGACTAGGATCAGCTGTGATTGGCGGATACGGCCTTTTCGTAGCCGTTCCAGATGCTGTGGAAATTTGGGGTGGGAATTTTGTCGGAATATAAGGCAAGCATTAAAATAACTTTGGTAGATGTAGCCATCTTGTTTCAGACGTGACGTCATTTTCAGCTCCAACATCTGACTTCTGAGGTAACTCAACGCAGCATTAACACGAATCGACCAATAAGTCGACCGGTCAACTAGGACTTTACAGCACTACTTTTGATACGTCATATCTTGAATCAACTCCCTGAAAACAGCTGCTGTTAAAGTGTTTTAATAACTGGATGTGATGAAGCTCAGACGGCTTCTCTCAAACGATGGAGGAAAAGGAAACTGATCCTGACTCCGGCTGCTGCATCCCTTAATGTCCCGTCATCACCGCTGATTGGACTTTATTGGTGTTTTGAGGCCGACGGGGAGCGTGTGTGTGCGTGTGTGTGTGTGTGTGTGTGTGTGTGTGTGTGTGTGTGTGTGTGTGTGTGTGTGTGTGTTTGAATCATTAAAATCAGCCTCTGAGGAGAGAAATCTTCTCATGTGGTGGAAGTTTTTCTCGTCTTTTTATCACTCAGTTAATTCGCTCAAACTGAATTTTCCACACGGTGTCGTGAAACTCTGCCGAAGCCTCATGTCGACGCCGATCAAAAAAGCAGAGCGTAACATCTGCCCCCTCAAACCCCCCCCCGAGGAGCTCCGGATCAATACTGTTATGTCTTGTATTCATAACCCCAAGGGGTGCGAGACCACATGTTCTGCATGTTGGAGGGATAAAGGCCGGTCTGCTTTGAGGGAAAATCAATACAGATTACAGATCATGACACACAGACACATCACAGGGGAGCCGCTTTGAAGGGAAACATCTTCTGAGTGATGCACCATGGGAAAAACTTTCTTCACCCTCAAAGAAAAGCATCGTCTAGATGTCATGATAATTAATCTGCGTGGAGGATTTATTGGTTTTAATAAATAAGTTTTCCAGTTTCTTAATTACGGCCACGAGAAATGCGACACGCTTTGATGCTTTTCTTCTGATCCGTCGAGCCGCAGAAATCACCGAAAACTTTGAAGTTTTGTGGAATTTCCCTTTAATGACACATGTTGCACAGATTTTGTGAAACTCCTCATAAAACCCCGTTTGTGCAGCGATTCTTGAGTTTGTCCACAGAGAGCGTGAACGAATGCGTGACTGGAGCGGGTGTTTCTATCCCTCTGTATTTGATTTTGTTCTTGTCCGTCCTGATTGGATGTTCTGATGTAACATGAGACAAAAACATTCACTGACTCTATAAATATACAGGAGTAATTAAAGTAAATGTTTCCGCTCGCAGTGCTGGCCCCAAAGGAGACAACATCTATGAGTGGAGGTCGACCATCCTGGGACCGCCGGGCTCCGTGTATGAAGGAGGAGTCTTCTTCCTGGACATTGCCTTTACACCAGACTACCCCTTCAAACCCCCCAAGGTACGAACAATCTGATCTTATTCAGAATATAACGAAGCTGAGTCATGAGTCATGAGTCATGGCGACCTTTTCCCCTCAGAGGTGTTCAGTAGTCACATGGTCAGGCTGTTAGGTAGAAGTTTTGGCGCTGTGGGCGGGTACAAAGTTAGTCTCTCTATAAAGTTTGTCAGCAAATGCCCTAATATGTCCTGTTAGACAGCTGCGTGGACTTTAGACATAAGTAGGAATGGGCTCGATTAATTGACGATCGATTGATTTATCGTTAAGAACAAAATTCTGATTAATCTAACGTTATTTTTAAAAAAGGGCTGACAGTGTGCGTCTGTCCTCCAACTGTTTTCCAGCAAAGATCACGATGTCGTGTACAAGTAAAACACGACGACTCCAATGATGTTCCACTTGATGCACAAACATCTGACTGAGGTTAATAATAATAATGATAAACAGTGTTTATTTATATAGCAGTTTTCATACACAACCATGTAGAGCAAAGTGCTTCACACAGAAAAAGGAATAAAAGAAACATAGAATACCCAAGTCCACCCCAACCCAAGATTAAAAGAATACCCAAATCTACACCAGACCATCCCCTCATTCCCACCCCACGATCTAAACGCATCAGAAACAGAATTAAAATGCATCAACTTGAAAAGGGCTTAATTTCGTGGAAACAGGAGTGTGCGCACTGAGGAAACATCATTATAAAACTCAAGATAAGGAAACAATGGAGTGTTAGGTTAAAATCTGGAAACGAAGTAACATAGAGTGAAATTTAGGAAATTATAAATAAAATGAAATAAAGACAACATTAAAAGAAACTGAAATAAGAGCAACAAAATAGCTCAACTATTAAGCCATAAACTATAAAGAGATAAATGCTAAAACACTTAAACAAAGTTAATGATATAAAATTCAGTTAAAAGAAAGATTAAAAAGGTAAGTTTTGAGTTTGGTTTTAGAGTCATTAAGATGAGGTGCAGTCCTCAGGTCTTAATGAATCCTCCGAGCGCTTTCAGTCTCAGTCTACCATCAGTTACTTCCCAGCAAGAGGGTTCTGTAGGGTGACCAGACATCCCCGATTTCAGGGGACAGTCCCTGTTTTGCATGACCTGTCCTCGACTAAAGTTGTCCCCCGAAATGTCCCCAATTTTAATGTTTCATGAATGAGAAAAATTCAACAGTTATAACGGTAGCCGGGCAGGAAGGAAGCGTGAGTGATCATGTAGCGTGCAGTCCTGGGGGATTAAAAAAAACGATCAAATTGATGATTAATCGATGAAGGGACTGTCTTCAAATGCCCGTCCCTAGATGTAAGAAAACACAGCAGACCAGCAGGTGGCACAGCACCCCATAATCATAGTCCAGATCGTTTCAGAACAAGTCTGTCGTTGTCTCTGGTTCAGGAGTGTCCTGATGTCAGTCGTCCTCTCTCTCTCTGAAGATGTCTGAGTCTAGTCGCTCTTAATACACCGACTCAAGCCTCAGTCCACTCTCTGTCAAACTCTTCAATCAGCTTCTTCTGACATGGTTGAAGTCCTCGCTGCTGTTTCTGCTTCATCTTTTCCTCCATCATGATTTTTACATGAATGTGCTTCAGTCGAGGGTTTTCAGCTTTGACCTGAAGTGGCTAACCTCTTCCTGTAGAGGGCGCCATTGACCGTCTTCTGTACAACTATCTGCCTGCTGTATTCACTCTGGTTTCAGCTGCGTGTGCTGAACCAGCCTGAAAACTCAGTATTTCTTCTGTTTGAATAGTGATTTAGATAAACATTTTAATGATGAGAGTTTTCAAAGTTAAACCAGAAAAATGTTTGAAACATTTAAGTTCCTCTGAAGACTTTAATTCAGACGGACCTTCATTTAAACTCTGCTCTCCTCCTCCTCCACGTCTGATCAAACCACACCAGTATGCGAGGCAGCTCAATCACATCGCAATCACGTGAGAGTCCAGCTATTATTATGTCGTATAACCTGCCCCAATTAGCACCCGTGATGGAAAATGTGTTGCCAAATCTGGAACTGTACATTCCGACCTGTTGCCCAACCCTGACTCCAACGGTACAGGATTTTCAGGAAAACGTCTCTGCCGTTTGAACAGATTTACATTCCTGAAACAGATGAATGAAAGTAAAAAGATTTAAAATGTCGCAGCTTAAAGTTTTTTTCACTCATGTCTAACATCCTCTGCTCTGATTTTAGTTAGACATGGAGGAGATAAACTTTTAAGAGACTCATCGTTAAAGTGAATTAAGCCAGTAAATGTCGGAAACATGTCTGTTATATCCGCAATAAAGTCCTGTCCCTGTGGTAAAACTGGAATTTTAGTGACGCTATAAACAGACAATATCCGAGCACACTGAGAGTGAGTTTCCTGGTTTCTCCTGTCGTCTTGAAGTTCCTCTTTTCAGCCACTAGAGGGCTTTCAAACCTCACAGATCACACACACAGTGTAAAGCGACTGCTGGTTGAAAAGCTGTAAATCTGCAGATCTGACTCACCCAAGCTCAGCCTCAGCATATTTAGTTTTAACAGCCTTGAGTTATTTTTACAGCTGATTTTATACCTTAATTGAAGTTATTTGAAAACTTTAATTGCTGAATTTTAAAGGTGACTTCCTGGTTTTTTAATGTCTTTATTTACAGTAAAAAGGACAGTAGTCAGTCAGAGCAGGAAACAGGGAAGAGAGAGTACACAGAGTACCACCTGTTCGAGTGACGACAGCCCTCGTTTATGAAGCGTGTCAAATCAAATATGACCCCCGCTGACTGTTTTTGAGAGCAGAAAAAACAGGATATAAAAACAGGTGTACATGGTTATGAACGATCATTCAAATCAGAGAGTAATATCCGCGTAATTCAGTGAGTTTTTAGAAATTTGGATAAATATGTCACCAGAAAAGGAACACCATGTTCCACTTTAGAGATGCAGAGATGCCCTCAGATTGAAAATCAGACGTTCAGTTTGCAGTTCAGCTCCCACAGTCACATGTCAAAGTGCGCTCAGCTAGGTCAGCAGATCTACATGTAAAAAAAAAATTATATTAGTTTGATTGAAACAGGATTTTTTAAACGCGCAAAATCAAGTCAGTCAAACTAAAATCCCACGACGTCAGATTTCTCCGAGCCAGACGAAAAATCCGAGATAATCTGGTCTGGGATCAACTTTCTCCTGCATGTTTACACCTCAGTCAGACTTAAAGCGGCCTCAGTGCTTTCTCTGCAGTTAGCACCCTGGGCTTTGACCTGGGAGTCAAACGGCTTAAACACAATGAAAGAAGAAGAAGGGATGTGAAAAGAGACGAGTCCAGTCTTTTTACTGTTCACCCGTGTGTGTGCAGGTCACTTTTCGCACAAGGATCTATCACTGCAACATCAACAGTCAGGGGGTGATCTGTCTGGACATCCTGAAGGACAACTGGAGCCCCGCCCTCACCATCTCCAAGGTGCTGCTGTCCATCTGCTCCCTGCTCACAGACTGTAACCCAGGTAAGACGGAGAGCCGATTAAAGAAAGCTCCGAGACTTTTCTCACAGCGGGTCGATAAATTAACCGTCTTAATCTGAGATTTGATGTGCCTACCAGGGTATGTACACTACAGGCCAAAGGTTTGGAAGCACGACCATTCCAGGCCGAACAGTTGGGAGTAACTTCAAGTTTTTGTTCACAATACTTTTTTTTTTTAAATCCAGCATGAGTTTTATGTATTTTGGGATGTATTTACTCCATGATCAGATGTTCCTTTCCATTGCTAAATATATGTCAGCAAAAGAAAATAAGGGCTTAATTTTAGGGTTGAAAATATTTGCAAGAGTCACAACTTCAGTGCAAAAGCAAAAAAAAACATCACAGTTGGATTATTCACTTCAACTTTTTGGCTTTTTAGAGTCTGCAGACAAAAATCCTAATAAATCTCAACTGCCTTCAAACTACCGCAAAAATGGCTGGAAAGAAGCAACTGAGTAAAGAAACAAAAGTACAGATTTGGACATTGAGGAAAGAAGGATACACAGAAAGAGAAATTGTAAAACGCCTAAAGGTGTTTAACAAAGGAGTCCACTTCACTCTGAAGAGACTAGAGGGATCTGGAAGTTATGATGATAGAAGAAGACCTGGACGAAAGAGAGTTACCACAAAAGCAGAGGATAAACATGGCATTGTCACCAGTAAGAGAGATCGGCGAAAAACAGCACCAAAAATAAGGGAGGAAATCAACATGACAAGGTCGAAACCCATATCTCTGACAACGGTAAAATGACGTTTGAGAAAGGCTGGTCTGACGGGTTGTGTATCTGCAAAAAAACAACACTACTTCGTCCACAGAGCAAAAAAAAGAGATATGAGCGGGCAAAAGCTCACAAAAATTGGACTTATGATGACTAGAAACAAGTTTTTTTTTTTTGTTTCAAAACGCAGAGTCTATGTCCGCAGACAAACTGGTGAACTTTCGAAAGCACCACGTGTTACACACACAATTCAGCATGGAGGTGGTAGTTCCATGGTATGGGGATGTTTTGGAGGTGACAGAGTAGAAGATTTGTTTGACGTAAAGAGCATCATGAAGAAGGAACAGTACCACTCCATCCTCCAGCACCATGCTGCTCCATCTGGACTCAGACTTGTGGCTCATAAGTTTGTTTTGCAGTAAGACAATGACCCTAAGCCCTCTGCTGAGCTCTGTCAGGGTGACCTAGACAAAAAAGAAGAGGAAGGTGTTCTTCAAAAGATGGTTTGGCCCCCTCAGTCTCCAGACCTTTCTCAAACTGAGCTCGTGCGGGATGAATTGAATCGATCGGTCAGAAAAACGCGTCCCACGAATCAGCCGTCTCTTTTTAATGAACTTAAGAAAGCTTGGAATGCAATCCCTGGAACATACCTTAGAAAACATGTGGAACGAATGCCTGGTATATGCCAAGCTGTTGTTAAAGCCAGAGGAGGTTACTTTAAAGAAAGCAAAGTCTAAGCAACAATAACTCAAATAAGTTACTCTTTACACAATAGTCATGTTTGTTGTGTTGCAAATTATCTATATGAAACTATGATCTTTTGGCCTGTAGTGTACGTCTTCATCATTTCTGTACGTGCACCACCTGTAGCACCAGGAGATGTAGGCCAAAGGGAAGCTGCTGCGCCACCACTTACTTGTTTTGCTGACTTTTAGAAACTTCACGCAGTCCTCACCTACTTTTTCGTGGTCTCTCACCTCATGTTCACGTCCAAGGTGAGAGAAAGAAACAAACTGGAGCGCATTTTGAGAAGTGAACTTTAAACCATCTTTTTGACCTCCTTACACACTCGTCTGCGGTTTCGCTGCACAACAGAAACCTGAAACTTATGCTGGAAACATAACTGAGTGCCAGCATGACAGGAAACTCGGCGTCATGTGGGCACGCTTTTTTATTTTATAAAAACTACTCGATGTGCAAGAGTGAGAGCAGACGGGGAGTTTTTCACATTCTACCCAATTTTTTTTTTAACACATGGATGTGCTGCTTTATTGAAACATATGAGTCAACAGTCTATCGTACACCTTATTGTGCCACATATTCTGAAAATATAACTTTCCAAATCAGATCAGGCAGAACTGAAACAGGTGGCTTTAACCTGTGGTGAAAAGAGGAGGCAGATTTTCCGTTGTTTTTTACGCTAAAAGCTGAAGAGGCGAGGCAGATTTTAGAGTCAGATGTTTTTATACCGCGGAACGAAACGAAATGTAGAATAACAGGTTTGTTTTTAAAAAAAATAGTGTCTTCTTTTTTTTGTCCTGATTTGACTTTCTGGTGTTTTTCCTCTCAGCCGATCCCCTGGTAGGAAGCATTGCCACCCAGTACACGACTAACAGAGCAGAACATGACCGAACAGCCAAACAGTGGACAAAGCGATACGCCACATAAACCCACAGAGGACGGCCGAAGAGGAGGAGGAGGAGGAGGAGGAGCAGCAGGAGGAGGAGGAGGAGGAGGGTTGGGGGGGCTCAGGGTGGTATGTGTTGGGGGGTTATTTGTATCTCAGATTTTTAGTACTTTATTGTCTGGTATATTTTTTGCTTCCTGATTAAGTTATCTCCGCAGATATGGTAATAAAGGAACACAATGGAAAGGAAGTCTGCTCTGCCTCCTTTTTATTCTTTCATTGTCGACTGAAGGGCGGATTGTTGGAAATATGTAATCCTGCTGGAAAAATACCAAGTCCTAATTTATGGATGTGTATGCCCTCGCCGTTTAATCCTCTTTAGGGCATGTGGACTGTGACGCCATTCCTGTACATTAGTCAGTGGCACCATCACCATGAGTTCAAGTCAAACCTGTGAGTTCAGATGTGAGATTTTAAGGTCAAACTAAACACTTAAAGGGACATTCCAGCATAATTTAAGTCATGGTCAAACACAGAGTTAGGCTTTACTTTAGCAATGACCGCACGATAGCAATATCAATCAATCAATCAATCAATCAAATTTTATCTATATAGTACCAATTCACAACAGTCAGAGAGAGGGTAGGGGCAGAGAAAGAGAACAAGTGAGAGGGAAGGAGAGAGACGAGGAAGGGAGAGAGAAAGAGAACGAGGGTGAGGTCGGAGATGTAAACCGCAACACACAGCGGTCTACATCTCCACGTGCAAACCTCAACCAAGTTTGTTTAACTAGAGAAGTAAGCAGTCGGCAACATTCATCTCTCGAGGGGGTGTCTAACCTGGTGTTACGGTGTGTTTGACCATAACCTAAATTTACGCTGGAATATCCCTTTAATTATCACCTTTAACCAGCAGTCAGAGCTGAGACTGAACCACGTTTATGACGATCCATTTAAGACCCTGTCTTACTTGTTCAGAGGACTTCTGGGAGCTAATACTGCGTGTGTTTCACAGGGGGTGAAGATGAGTTGAGGATCAAACCTGTGAATTATTGTATGTGAACGATACCTGTCCACATGGTGGCGCTGTAACTGCAATTAAGAAATGAGCATTCAGTGGTGGATCCTGATTATATACTTTATAATAGAATATCAAACTGAAGACTGTATGGAGAAGTTAAATCAACGTCCTGTTGATCATAAATGTTCTTCCTTGAGCTGCGTCACCCCGCTGTAGTCTGTAATGCACTCGCCTGAGGTCTCGCTACAAACAAGCTGCTGCTGGAAGAGAGTAGGTGAGAAAAAGTTCTTTGATAACTTTTGATTTTCAGTCTGTCTACTTTATACTAACCATCGTAGGAGTTTGGTTGTTCAAATATACACCCTGTCACTCAGAAATATAAAACTCGAACCAAAACCTCCTGTTGGTTTTACGGTGAAGGAGCAAGAGGATTTTTGTAGTTCCAGGGATGGCCCGAGTTTAACAATAATCATATATTTACTGTTCAAACTGTGAGTTTTAGGGCATGTGAAAGCCTCTAAATATGATCATTTACACAGAAGGAGGGAAGAGAGACAGAATCATTCCTCTCAGCGTTCCCAGGCCCCGACATAGATCTGTTTTCTTTGGCGTATAGTCACCTGAGGTCTTCATATCTATTTGCTGAGTGTCTTCTTTCACAGGATCCACGTGATTGAACTTCCATGTTTCTACAGTAGCTGGAAACAGAGAAACTAATCACTGGCGTAGATTCCTGTATTTTTTTTTTTTGGTTGGTTCTGGGACATGCTTAGGGAGAAAATCTGTTTTCAATCAGATTCATTAGACGACACACACGGACTCCAGACATGCCTCCAGAACTTTCCTACTGCTTGATATGCATCTGTTGACGTCAGGGAGGGTATCAGAGCTCCTGTGAAAGAATGTGCACTTCGGTCGATTTTGGTGAAGTTTGTGATTAAGGCAGAGCTTCATCTCTTTTCCAACACTGCAGCGCACATGAATATTTTTATGATGTGACCAAAAATTTCAACCAAAGCCAAATATCCACTCAGAGCTCGCCAGTGTGTCCCCACTTCCACTCTATTACAGAGCGTACTCTGTTCGGAGTCACTCCCACAGCTGAATGGAGCTCACTTTATTAAGGTGGAGGGATCGAATGTGTTTCAAGCTCTGCAGAGGCAGGAACTTTGTGTTGCCATGGTAACATGTCACACAAATAGAACCTTATACTCCCCCCCCCAAAAAAAACCTCTCCTCATCGTCTTTGGTGGCATTTCTTTATTTGTAGACATCGTATCTGCTTTGTTTTAGAAGGAACTCAAAATATGAAACACTTCAAATCCACATGTTCTGGAAAAAAAGGTTCAACAGCTCCAGGATACGTCTTCGACTTTCTGTTTTTTTATCTGCAGGTATGATTAAAAAAAGCTCATGGCTGTGCAGGTTACAACACCTGACGGTAGTTTAGAGAGCATGATGAAGACCTGGGGGGCAGGAATGTCAGACATGGAGGTGACTTCAGGACAAAGATGATTCACTTCTTACGGAACAGATCGCCATGGTAACTTGAGCTGAATTCACGCCACATAATTATGTTCAGGACAAAAGTTTAGTTTGAAGGAACTTCATCAGGGATCTTGATTGTGGAGCTCAGAGAGTCTTAATCAGGACAGTTTTACATTTCAAAATTACTTTCCTGTCATTCTTAAACAGACTAAAAGGAAAATATTGATGTTAGGTGTAAATTTGTGCTAAGTGCTCAAAAATACCAATTATTAAAATGATTTTTCTTAAGTTTAAAGCTCCTGTGAGGATGTTTTGGTTTCAGTCAAATTTAACAGAGCAGTCTTTGCTGTTCATGTTGCTCTGGCTTGTTTTTTTTGAGCAGCTGTCTGTTTTTAGTCAAATGTTTCATTCATGCAGAATATTGTAAAAACAGGACTGTCTCTAGGCTGACACCTGCACTCTCACACTGGTTTCAGGAGTCGAATATTAGGATATAAAAATCTTCAGTCTTGTCCCTGATGGTCTGATTTGCATTTGGATGTTTTAAAAAAAACATCAGCATGAATTAAAGTCTGTTTCATAAACATAAAAAAAACTCCTCATGGGAGCTTTAAGAGTAAAATACTCATATAATAGCGATCTCTTGACTCAAACAGCTCAGTTTGAGATGCTTACTGGATAAAAATACACATAAATTTTAAAAAACATTTAATCTTTAAATCTTTTTTTTACAATTCAGCTCTGTATAACCTCCAGGCAGAGCCCATAACCTCCGTCTGCGAGTCTTTCCTGTGTTATTATTACTAGACTGGTGCTTACTCGACATTAAAAGTAACAGTGACCCACACGGTTGACCTGTTTTTATAACCAAGATTAATTTTATTGGTGTAATAATACATCATAAATGTGCCCCATATCAGCCTTTATTTACATCAAGTTACGTGTGAAGTGAGTCAGGTTGAATAAGTGCTCTCACTGTACGTTAATCCTGGTGTAATTTGGGCGTTTTGATGTGCACTGAACAAACAGGCACGTGCAGCTCGTGCTGTTTAGTGTTTGGCAGAGCCCTCAATGCGGAGAACACTCTGTCCTCTCCACCTATATCATGAGCGCCAGCATACTTCAGATAGTTGCAGTAACCCAGTTTTTGCGGTGTTTTGATTCTGCCCTCTATACTTACTTTATGAAGTAAGATATGCAAATCTAAGGAGGGACGTCTTAGTGGAATGTAGGTCAGAGGTTGTTTAAGGTAGGACTCAGGACAGACACAATGAAGATAACAGTCAAATTAAAAGTGTATTGTTCAGCTGTCATCCAGCCTGTCTGAGCTACAGTGAGCGTTCAATCATCTCTGGATAAACGCACAAAGTAAAGAGCAGCCGGTCTGTGGTGTCTGAAGGGACCTCTAATGTAAAGAACACAGTGTTCCCATCACCAGCATCATTAACAGTCTGTCAGGCTAAAAATAGAGCAGCGGGACTACAGATCCTGTGATCACGTCTGAAGTATTTTGATTCAGTTTGTGGTGGTTTGCTCGGGTGTGATGCATCGAAACTTCTTTATAGGTTTCTAGTAAAATAAAAACGATGTTAAAGAGACATCAGGGGTAAGTGAAAGTAACGCGTTTGAGTGAAAATCTGTTTTCCTTCAGATGTGTCGCACACATGTTGATCATTCTTCACTTCTTATGCTGTTAAATGTTTTTAAACCCTTTTCTGCACTCTCTTCTGAAATGGGATTTAAAAATGTAAAAAATGCAAATGTAAGATAATTTGTTTATTTGTTTTGGATAAAGAATGAATCATTCATGCATCATCTGCTCTTGGCTTGACTTTTGGACTTCACTTTTCCCCCGTTTCACTAAATCTGCTTCGACAAAAACTGCTAATTTTTTCAGCAGCCAAGACTTTTAATCAGGGTGAATCACAAATCCTACATCCCTGCAGTTTCAGCTTCACTGCACTGACTCTTTCAAGCATTTTATAGCCAATCTCCAGTTTATATTTCAGAGGTTTAAACCCCCTCCTATAAGATCCTCCTCATGAGACCCTCACATCTATAAAATAAAGGTGACTGCTTTTGGCTGTTTAAGCCCCCAGACTCTGGAAAAATCAATCACTAAAACACTGATCTGATACATGATTGTCTGTGAACACAGTGTGTTACTTCTTCCACAAGTAGTTTAAACCAGATTATGCAAAATGGAAACTGTGAAAAGTCAAAATCCAGAAACCTTGGGGACTTTAGATGGTCTGAAGCTCTCTGAGGAAGACAGGCAGTTTAAAAGTCAGCATTCATGATAGTGTGAGGATGAATGAGGTCAGTTTACATACCTGAGACCATTAAAGCTACTGTGAGGATTTTTTTGTTTTGTGTTGAAATTAGCGCCCCCTGTGGACAAAGTAACACCTCTTGTCCTGTATTGGCTCCTCCCCTCTCACTGCAGTTCAAACATCAGCCACCTTGCTGATGGTCTTTTTCACTTTTGAAGCTTCAGTGTTAGTTTCAGTCTGTTTCTCTGCCCCTCACGGTGCCTTTAATGCTCTACAACAGTGGTTCTCAACTGGTGGGTCCCGACCCAAAAGCGGGTTGCAGACACGTTCTGGATGGGTCACTAACAGCTGGTCAAAATAGTCTGTATGAGCAATTTCAGTAGTTGTCGCCCTCATGTTGTCCCCTCCATGTGCTCTGAAATGCACTTTACTCAATAAAACAAGTGGATTTATGTTAAAGATTAGAGTCTTTAAAGGTTGTCTTTTATAAAAAAAAAAAATTTGCTTGGTTTGAATTCTATAAAAGTGGGTCACGACTTAAGGACCATGGAAAAATGTGGGTCCCAGAGTGAGACCAGTTGATAATCACTGCTCTACAATATGTACAGGATTAGGAGCAACAATTGCCGACATCCAGATGATACTTCCTCAGAAAAGTCTTCTAATAGTTAGCCTAATAAAAGGCCAAATCACATTCTGTAAAAATAAAACTGCATGGCTCTGTAGTAGAAGAGTCCCGGTACTAAAATGACAAGACAAGCAGAAACTGCTTTGTCCACAACAGGCGCCAGAACTGACAAAAATCATCCCAGGAACATTAAAATGAGCGTGGATGTTTATATATCCTAAAATCAAAATGTCAATGTAACTCACGGTGACCCTGCTTTTGTACATGATCAAGAAAATTTGGTCATTACGGTGGTTTAGTGGGGCTGTAGGTAAATGCTGACACCAACAGAAACTTGTTTTATTTTTTGCATCGAAGGTGGCAAAAGATTTCCTAAACATCTCTGTAGTTGAAGTAATTTCTTCTCATCATTTCCCCCACGCACCAGTCTGGTTTCAGAATTAACCATAGAACAGTTTCAGCTATTACATTACTCACAAATGACATAATAACTTTACTAGACGGGGGGGATTTTTATAACCTTCTCTCAAAAAAAAAAATTATATCATATCGGATGTTCTGAAAATACATGTGCTTGGTTTCAGGATTATTTATATGAAAGACATCAGTTTATTACAACAGGTCAGGCCTGATTGTTTTTTTTTTTGTTTATCAATAAAGGTGTGCCGCAAGGATCAATCTGAGGCCCCATGCTCTTCACTAACAACAGGATTTCTTCTTTGAATCGTTGCTACATCCGCTTGTATGCAGATGACTCTATCTTGTATTGTAGTGCTGAATAGAAACTCATAGAAAACTCTCAAACACACAATAGAAATTGCTGTTCTTCCAACTTTGTCCATTTTAGCTGAAATCTCGACAACGTCAATATCCTGTCGAGAATAAATGCAGGTTTGTGAATGACCGTCAGCCTCCTACGTTGCGGTTTAAGATGAACAAAGTCAATTCTGTTAAATCTAAAGGTTAAATCTTACTCATGTGCTTTATGAAAAGAAACTCGCTGAAGTTGACAGCTGGTAGAACCCGGTGTCTCCTCACCTTAACCAAATTTGGCCCAATTACCTACCTTCTGATTTCAGCTGCAGTTTGGGGACTTCCGCGGTGGTCGAAATTGTGCACTTGCGTAATTTCAGTTTCATTTCATTGAATACAGTCTATACAAAGAAAAAGGACCCTTTCTAGTAAGTATCGGAGCACACCCTCTGTCATGATACTCATAAAGAATCTCCAAAGTTCATGAATAAGAAATCTGATTAATTCCAAATCAGATGGTTATCACAGCTCAGTAACAGGCAGATCAAACCAAGAATGAACCCGACATTAAAACAGACTCTCAGCAGCAGGTCTGACAGACTGTGGCGGATGATTCATGAGGGTTAGAGCTGAATGACTTAGGCCTTCTCCTGTTTTGTATATATGAGTGTCGTCCAAGTAAGTAAATGATTCAGTAAGTCTGTGTAGGTGTCATTCCAAGTCACATGTCAGTCCACAAGAGACATGCCGTTTAAGAACACGGAGATAATACAAAACAGAAGGCCGTGGTTTCAGGATGGGCGGTATAAAGAGGAAAAGAAACGTGATAGGCATGGTTTATTATGTTGTGTTGAATATAATAAAGCTTCTCACAAGAGGTGCACTTAAAGTCCATGTTGCTGATTCAGAAAATAGGTTATTTATTGGGCAGGAAAAGTCACGTGTCTGACATGCTGTTTTGTTTTTATGGTCAAATGTGAAAGACAACATCAGTCTTTGAGAAAAGATCAGCAACATGCAATTTATACGACATGTACCAGAGACATTACAGGAAGATCTCATCAAACCTCATTATCAGCTGTTATTTTAAATATTAGTTTCAGCATCTTATGTAGCTGCAGGTAAATTCATAATCTGCTCTTCTTCCATGATACCAACATGGGACTGTTAAAGGTGAAATACCAAAATGTTATGTTCTCTGCTCTGAACAATGACGCAGCTCTAAACTGATGCATTGATAAAAGGGCTAAACAAAACACTCTGGACGGATGCAGTGACGTCTTACACAAATCCCCAAGACATGTATTTATTTAAATCCTAAATCAGGCAGGAGTAGGAGAGAATTACACTTCCAAAACTTCCAGATGTTTACAGCGCTGCTAAAAGAAGAGGTGATGAAATACTGGTAAACACGCCACTGACGCAACTTTGTTTGAGAAGTGTTGCTGGAACTGAATTTGAAAAAGAAGTGCAGGTATTTACTACAAAACAATAACTTTTGCACTACTTGATGAAGCCTACAAATTTATATCCATAGGTGAAAGAAAACACTCGGCCAACTACGCCAACAGAGGGGGTGAGCAAGAGAGCATTTCAGTCCGTGTCTGTCTGATGTCCCCATTTCTGCACTGTACATTTTAGTCTAGTTCATAAATGTCAAAAACTCCCCACTGTCCTAAATTTACAGGAAGTGGGTTTGTACTGAAAATGGATGCCCTGGATTGTATTTATCTAAATGAAAATGTGCCACAAAATTATTCTGCATGATAAGGTGAACAATGTAAAGTTAGGGGAGAGTGGGGTAAGTTGAGCCACCCCCAGAAACTGATCATGTGACCAAATATTTAGGAGATGGGCATCAATTCATGGAGTCTGTGAAGGTTAGAAGCACATGGGTGAAGGTGTTAGGGCAAAACCTGGTGTCTTTGACTGTTTTTAAACCTGCTGTTCAAAAGCTTGAGAACAAACTCTCAGAGCGTCTCTGTTTTAACGGATGTTTCCTCACATCTTTGTCCTGTATTGAGTCTGTGTGACTGTTTGTTCTAACTATGTACTGCTGCCATTCTTGGTCAGGTCTCCCTTGCAAATGAAATCCTCAGATCGCAATGGGACAAACCTGGTTAAATAAATAAATGAAAAAAAGAAAAGAGTACAAGTATAAAAAAAAGCTAAAAGACAGTAAGGCCAAAATAAGATAGAGGTAAAAGTATCCCCCACTCTCCCCTATATTTTAGTCTAGTTCATAAATGTCAAAAACTCCCCACTGTCCTAAATTTAAAGGGAGTGGGGTTGTAGTGAAAATGGATGCCCTGGATTGTGTTGATCTGATCTGAGTGAAAATGTGCCACAGAATTATTTTAATAATACAAAGTTATTTTGTTTTTAAATTAATGCAATAAGGGAAGATGCAGCTTTCAGTGCAGTAAATTATTATGGGTTCAGGGGGTTTAAACAGCATAAATGGAAACTCTAAAGTGGAAATCTCAAAGTTAGACGAAGTACAGTAAAGGAGCACGTTCTCAGTCACCCCACATCCACGCTTATTTCTCTGCTGTTTACACGTGAACTCCGTGTACTCAGAGGTTAGTATGGCCTGCTGCAGCTTGTTGTCATACTACTGGAAAAAAGAAAACACGTTCTTGGCCAAAAAAACTCGATGACTCGACCGTCCACAGTGGGAACAGGAACGCACGCGGCATGGCCATACTTTCCTGTTCGTGGCTGCAGCCTCCAGTTGTGCTGTGCAACGTGACTGCCGTGTTACCATTCCTCTGTTACGTCGAGAACACGCACTTAGCTCCGCCCCCACCACTGTCCGAAAAGTGTGTCACTGGGTTAAAGTGGCTCGAGCAACCGGGCGGAGAGGCGTGGCAAATGGGTCACATGGCCAAGCCCACTATTGAGAACATTTAGTCCTGACGATCCCGCAGTCACACAACCAAAGGGAGTTCCACGGAAGCAGTCGCACGTACTCTCGATCTTGTTCTTTTCCGAAACCCTGCAGCTCATTTCCCGACACTGAAGCCTAATATGAGCGTGGGGACCGTCGTTTTAGTCCACAGCTGCTGAGTTTTTTCGTCACGGCGGCAGAAAAGTCGTGACTGACAGTTGAGTTTGGTCGAAAATCAGTTTGGAGATTTTCCTTTTTTTCCTCCATTGAAGATGCCTGAGGACATCGGGACAGCCAAACCTGGTAAGAAGATTAAATTTTAAGTCTTTTACATGTACAAGAAAACAATTAAAATGCATGCACTCTGCAGGGACAATACTGTGAACCTGTTTTTTAACATTAATACCATAGATATACACATAAAAGTCGCTTAATATGCTTAAATAACATGTACATTAAGTTTTATAATGCAGCATCTTTCTATTAATGATAAAAGTAGACTGGAGGGCAAAAGCTGTATTTGTGCAATCAGCCTTTAAATGTAAAAAAAAATGATGCAACCTGTGGCTAGATTTCCTCTAAACGCTTCATACCAAGTATCATTATGTATAACAGGGTCTCTATGGGGTCATGAATGGCGTCCCAGAACTGTCACAGATTTCTCTTTCTGGCTCGATTTCAGCTTCATAACGTGGAACTTAGTGTCCTAAATTTGTTTAAACACATTCATAAGTATTCTCACAAAGTTGTCGAGTTGTTCCACCGTGTTAAAGAGGCACTTCTATCCGTGTTACCGTGTTTTAAATCGGGGTTAGGAGTGTCAGTGCGGCGCTGCTGCTGCTGCCTCCTGTAGTGTTTATCTTCCCCGGGCCCCGCTCACTCACATGGACACCGTAGCCTAGCCATGTGCCTGTTTGTGTACACGCGGCTGGAACACTCCTCTGATTGGTCGGGGGGCGTTCCCTTCTCCGCGCACGCTTCAGTCGAACTACTTTCCGATTGGCCGGAGAGGCGCCCGTGACGTAGATCATTGCATAATCCACTGTACACAGCTCTCACCCGGCGCGAGGCTGGCCTGCATGATACACGTGAGACGGGGTGAGACAACAGCCGCTGACCTAGATTCTCTTCCTCCTCCCTCCCTTCCTCGCGCTTCGCTTTCACAGAAATTCATGACAGGTCCACGTGTGGGTGGGCCGTGAAAGGGAACAGTCATGGTTAGGGTTAGGTAATCGTTCGCTCTCGACTCTAAATTTAGGAGCAAAATCGATAAGACAAACTTTATTTAAATGTTAAAAAAATTAAAATTTACATTAAAAAAGTTTTAATTTTATTTTGTGAGAAGGGACCAAGTATGTCAGGATTAAAGGAGCTTACTGCCCTACTTCACTTGACACTTTTAGACACGGTCACACTGCCAAAGGGACACTTTAGTGCCTTGCTCAAGGGCACCAGACTGTAAACAGGCATTTAAACAACAGCAACTCAACAAGTGTATGACCTCTCATTTAGAAACTGCATTAAACAAGTCAATTAACATGTCATAACTACTCCCACCTTGCTGTAAAATCTTTAAAAAAAAACACATTTATTATATTTGTTGTTTTAATTTTAGTTTTGTAGCCCTCGTGTCCTTTTTGAAAATAGTAAACCGGAAATGTCCTCTTGCCAATCATGTCATTACATAACCAATCTCTGGATGTTTTCCCTTCTCGCATTCTTTTGTTCCTACTGTTATGTTGCTCCAGTGCTTCAGTGACCCTGTCTGGTCGTCAGTCAGCGGAGCACACTCCCATAGAGTCCCAGTCATGTTATGTAACATGTTACCCAACGACTCGAGGTTATAAAGCAGGTCAATCTCATATGGTGGAGAGACCAACCGAGAAACGCACACAAACGTGTCAGAGGCACCTGTTCCAAACCTACTGAAAAGTGTGTGCGTTTATTAGGCAAACTGAGCTATTTTTACCCACCTTTGTTACACTCAAACTACTGTTATCATCCCTCTCTACAGGGATGGTGCTTAAAGTAAAATGTAGGTTTTACTTTTTGTTTTATTTATCGATGTACAACATGTGCCATGCAGTAGAAAAGTTAAGGTAAACATCTGACTACAGAGATGTTGAAGTTAAATTCAAAGAGATAATACTTTAATTTTTCATATTTTACAAATTTATCAAGTTAAAGATCCTCCATATCCATAAATAGAACTGAGGGTGAAACATGTGTTGGCGTAATCCCAGGTTGAGACAGCAGGTGGTGATAAAGAGCTCGCCTAATCAGCCACAGGAGAATTACATGATAAGAGGACACTAAAAATGAGCATGATGCACTTATTTTAAAGACTCAGTGATTTACCCGTCTTAAAATGTCATTCTCTCTTTATTTCCACAGGAGGAGTCATAGCCTATATTTCCTCTGGCTCCGCCTCCAGCCCAGAGTCCTGTATGAGCACCAGCCCCAGCAGCGGCTACCTGTCGACATCGCCCACCCCCTCCCGCCCCTCGTTGCCCAGCAGAGCTGTAGGCATGGTGGTGGATATCTCTCCCCCAACCAAGAACCAGCGCGGACAGGGCGTGGAGAAGGCGGGTCGCTCCTCCACGTCCGCTAAGAGCAGCATCACGAGTAAGAAAAACACAAACTCTTCTAGAAATGAGAGTTAGAGTGTCTGATATGGTGCATGTGAATCACTGTTTCTCCTGTTTCTCGCAGAAATCAACGGTATGGTGCTGTTGTGCAAAGTGTGTGGTGATGTGGCCTCGGGCTTCCACTACGGCGTCCATGCTTGCGAGGGCTGCAAGGTGAGACAGGTTCCTGCAGTGGAACACACTTCCTCTTCACGTTTGGTTGACTTCTTTCCTGGAAGTTAAAAAAAAACACATGTTGTGAGAACATGACAAGAAAGCGCCTCTCTTGTGGTGTTTTAGGGCTTCTTTAGAAGAAGTATCCAGCAGAACATCCAGTACAAGAAGTGTCTTAAGATGGAGAACTGCACCATCATGAGGATCAACAGGAACCGCTGCCAGCAGTGTCGCTTCAAGAAATGTCTGGCTGTGGGCATGTCCAGAGATGGTGAGCAGCACTTTTTGTTTTGTAGAGACACACCTGTTTTTAAATCTTCACACAAAGCTAATCGACTTCATCTCTTCTCAGCTGTCAGATTCGGACGCATCCCGAAGCGGGAGAAGCAGAGGATGCTGCTGGAGATGCAGAACGCCATGAACAACATGATGAGTAATAACAGCCAGCTTCACAGTATGCTCCACGGCCACCAGAGCCCCTCGCTGCCCATGGAGGCTATGAGCAACGACTCCAACTCCTCGCCATCCTCTTCCTCCTCCTCCGCTTCTGATTCCCCCTCCTGCTCCAACCCCTCCTCCCCTCAGTGCCCCCAGGACTCAGAGTCCGTCGTTTCAATGGACACCAACTCCAGCTCGGCCTCCTCCTGCGGGTCAGACAGCGGCGAGGACGAGGCGGTGTCGAGCAGGCAGCACCAGGATGCCTTCTCGTACAACCAGGAGAGGTCGCCGAGGCAGGACCAGGCCTCGCCCTCGCCGGTTGCCCTCGAGACGGGGTGCGACAGCCGCATGGAGGAGCCGCAGGAGAGCTGGAACAGCTGGAACAACAGCGCGGCAGTGGGAGGTTTCCAGCACTGCCCGTACAGTAACAGCCAACACGTCACTAACACTGCTTACAGGGAGGAGAGAGGAGTTCACCAGCAGCCGCCTCAGCAGCAGCAGCTCAACAGCGCCCCCAGCTTTGAGCCATCAGAAGACAGCCAATTTCACACACAATCTGCCTCAAGTGGTTATAAAGGACCAACACACTGTGTGAGCAACAGAGCACACCTGGTGGGTAGATTGATTTTTCAATATTTCAAACGTTTTACAGTCGAAGTTTTGATCTTGTTCATTTATTGACCGTCACTCTTCCTGTTTTCCAGGTTTGTCCCATGAACACCTCACCCTACGTAGACCCCAGAAAGCCCAGCCAGGAGATCTGGGAGGAGTTCTCCATGAGCTTCACCCCCGCTGTGCGGGAAGTGGTCGACTTCGCCAAGAGGATCCCGGGCTTCCGTGACCTCTCCGAGCACGACCAAGTCAGCCTTCTGAAAGCTGGAACTTTCGAGGTAAGAGAGCAAACAAGTGAAAACGGCAACAGCTTTGAAGTCAAACACGACGGGCGGCCTGTTCAAACACAGAGCAGACTTTCAGCCATGTGTGTGCTGACTAATATTTACTCTGACAACAGTTGGAATAGAAATGAGATGCTCTTAATGAACACAAACTTTCAAAACTGAGACTTAAAATTCTCTTTATTTCGTCCTCACAGGTGCTGATGGTCAGATTCGCCTCTCTTTTCAACATGGTTGAGAGGACGGTTACTTTCCTGAGCGGCAAACGTTACAGCCTCGACACGCTACGATCGCTGGGCGCAGGCGAGCTGCTCAACTCCATGTGCGAGTTCAGCGAGAAGCTCGCAGCGTTGCGGCTCGACTCTGATGAAATGAGCCTCTTCACAGCCGTGGTGCTCGTCTCAGCCGGTAAGTTTTAAAAATATCCTGTTAGCACATTTGAAGATGCTTTAGTCCATTTTTAAACATGATGTACTTTCTCCTGACATTAACCTCGTTCTTCATTTTCTCAGACCGCTCAGGGATCCAGGACTTGAACTCTGTTGAGGCCCTGCAGGACAAACTGATCCGGGCTCTGCGAAATCTCGTGATGCAGAACCACGGCGAGGAGTCGGCCACCACCTTCACCAAACTCCTGCTCAAGCTCCCTGAGCTGCGTTCCCTCAACAACATGCACTCAGAAGAACTGCTCTCCTTCAAGGTTCACCCATGAAAGCTTCCTGAGGAGGGAGGGGACCCCACCGGTGCCCCTCCACCCTAATCCACACACCTCCACCAGGACCTGCCTCTTACTGCCCCTCCCTCGCCGACCAACCCTCGTTCGTGTCTGTCTGTTTCTAGAATGTATGAAAGTTTTTTAAATCTATTTTTGTTAAGCAGACCGCGTGGGGTCTGAGGAGAGAAGAGTAAAAACGTACTGTATTTATAGAAGAGATAGCTTACGCTTGCTGCACACAAACACATGCAAGTGCAAGTGTGTGTGTGAGAGAGTTGATGATTTTGGTGACGTTGAAGGTGCTTCTCTGTTCTGGGGAGTGAAATAAGAGCACTTAACTGGCTTTAGGAGAGCTTAGAGAGTAGAAACCGACAAGTGGATCCACAGGCCATTTAATTCCAAAGTGTATTCTCTGATGAGCAGGTGAACGTGTGAGAGACATTTAAAGTGAACACACCGCATGTCTGTTTGGTCCAATGTTTTGACAGAGAAGGCAAGCTATCTTATCAGATCTGTATCTCTGAATGTGTGACGATCGCTGCTAATGCATGGCTGTACTTAATGCAAATAACTCTTACTTGGATCTCCTCCCCTTGCCTCAGAAAGCATCAGTTTGTTGTCCCCAGCGTGTAAAAAGATGTATGTTTTTTTTTTCTTTATTTAACATTTCTTTTTTTTTTTACACTGCCTGTACACTGCCTGGTGATTTCTGGGGGAGCTGATGACGCCATTTTTCCGCAACACTACATTTGCACATGTTCTGGAGCAGAAAAACCAAGTTTCACAAAACCTTTGAACGGTGTGACACCGAATCGTGTCCATGTACATGTAAACGCAGTCACACCACGCTGTTTGCCCATTTTCCGGTTTTTATGACTTTTTAATTTTTATTATCGAACTTTGTGTGTTTTCAGCATAGCACTGAACTTGACACGTGTTTATTTTTTGTTATCCATATTGTGTTGAAATACTTGTTTCTCTGTTTGGCAGAACTGCCATCTGTAAATATCTATATAAATATCTATAAATATATAAATATCTGATGACATAGAATATAAATATGAAATAGTATAAATAAATACAAATGAAGTATACTCTGGAGTTTGTGTTTTTATTCATCTGATTGAATGAATGAACCTACAGAAGAGAAGCAGTAACTCTTTTCACCACTAGATGGAGCTATTTAGCTGCAGCATTTGGGTTAGATCAGCTGCTGTACGAGTAGGTTGCAGCACATGATTATTGATCGCTGAGTCTGATGGTCCCAGAGTTCAACAATAATGACTTCATTTAATAATAATAATAATAATAATTTTATTTATATAGCACCTTTAAAAACAGAAGTTTACGAAGTGCTTAGACAACAGTTGCAAGCACAGATCAGCACATGAAAATAAAAACATAAAAACAAAAGCTCAGTTAAAAACAGGCCTCTGAATTGTAGGCCTGTTTCACTTTTCGTAAGAAAAATGCAGTTTTTAGATAAAAAAGTTATAAAGTGCTTCACAACATTAAAACAAATGGAGGAAGAACATACAGACAACATTCATTTTCCAAAACAGTTAATAGAAATTATTTAGAAACCAATAAAAGATGAAAGTCAAACCATGTGTTACATCCTGATAGGCTAGGGGTATTCAGGACTAACAAGATAAGCAATCAAAAAACAGGTAAAGATGGAAATAAAGAGAGAATGACAAGGATGTGCAATAACTGAAGTATTTTAATAATGAAACTCAGATCAGCACCACGACAAAAGTAAAACAATCTTCACAAAACTAAAGACGATCATAATTCTGACAACAGGAAGCGATCCTTTTCAAAACAGGACGACTAACTAAGAAACAGGTGAAAGCTACAAAAACTCACCAAAAGAAAATAAAAGAGACAACACTCGGTCTAAACAAAAATAAATCACTTTTCCAATCACTATTGAGAAAATCACACTAAGGCTGCTCTACTGCAGAATGTCTCTCTGGGCTGAGAATGAGAGAGAATGAGCCGCATGTCCTCTGACACTCTCACACAGACACTCCCACTCACTCACAGGGACACTCCCACACAGGTACATGCTCACTTTCACATGCAGACACATCTACACAGATACTCACACACATATATCTGTAACACCATGTCAAAAGTTTTTAAATAAGTAAAAAAAAAATAAAGAAAAATAATGACAATGAGAAGGTGGAATAAATAAATAAGATGAAATAAGGTAAAACAAACAAACAAATAACTAGAAAATAATAATGAAAAAATTAAACAAAATAAAATGATTTAAGACTAAATTAAAAATTAAGAGCTAAGTTAAAAGTCATACACAGTAAAAGCACACTTTATAAAATTGTTTTTTTTTAACAAGATTCAGAAAAGGAACAAAACACAAAACTTTTATAGACATCTCTGGTGGACATTCCTGCAGTCAGCATGCCGATCTCACGCTCCCTCAAAACTTGTGACATCTGTGACATTGTGCTGTGTGATAAAACTGCACCTTTTAGAGCGGCCTTTTATTTTGGCCTGTCAAAAGCACACCTGTGTAATAATCACACTGTCTAATCAGCATCTTGATATGACACACCTGTGAGGTGGACGGACTGTCTCAGCAAAGGAGAAGTGTTCACTAACACAGATTTAGACAAATTTGTCGTCAATATTCGAGAGAAAAAGGTCTTTTGTGTGCATAAAATAGTCTTAGATGTTTGAGTTCAGCAAAAACAAAAGTGTTGCGTGTATATTTTGGTTCAGTGTAAATCTGGACCAAGAAATACAAAGTTTTACATACTCAATAAGGATTTACATCTGCATGGTGGAGTTTCAACAGGACTTGATCTTCTTCACATTCAAATCTCTCCAAATGTTTCATTCAAATCCAAGAAGTGACCCAACAAAAACATGGACCCAGGTATGATCAAGACAAAATGTTGTATTTAATGGGAAACAATGGTTAAATATTAAATCATTTTAAAATTTAACCACAAAACTCCTCTGAACTACCCAAACTGATGATGAAATATGAGTGGATATCAACTTTTTTAAAGTTAAAACTGTTCTGTGGAGTGTAAACAAAGTTTGTGGCTGCATGCTCCGTGTAACCTAAAAACTTTAGTTTGCATCCTCGACCTGTGAGCATCATATCTCTGCAGGGCTCGTTTGATTCTGTCTGATTTGTTTCACTGCAATTATTTTTCCAGGAACCTGATCTGTAAAAACACAGACAGAGAAACAACAAACCTTCAGTAGTTTGCATTCACAGTACCTGAAATGATGCATTCAAAATTAAACAAACCACTCAGGTCCAGTGAAGTTTGAAATGTAGCATCAGAAGACGAGAGCATGTTTCAAAGATTTGCAGTCACTTGTTTTGTGTCACAGGTGAAGTGAAATATCTGCATACACCGGGGAAAGAATAAAGTTTGTGATATAGACTGATCGGCGATAACATTATAACCGCCACCCTATTACTGTATTTAACCCCTTTCATAGGGTCGGGGTGCTGAAACTAATGGGCTACCAAAGTGCTAACCAGTGTGTACCATTACAATTTGTTTACATGGGGTATGATCCATTTCGATCAGCTTAAAACATCAGTCAGACCCTCAGTGTCAGGAGTCACCATGCAGCACAACTACATGATATCACAGCAGAGCAACATTAGGAAGGAAATAGAGGATGAGCGCCACTTATGCAGTTTTCTTAAAGTTCCTTACAGCACCTTTAAGTGTCATATCAAGTTAAAAAAAAAGACGTTAAACTTTTTTCTTCAAACATAAGAAATTTGAATGCTCTCCTATAAGGTTCAATGAGCTTGTAAATAAATATTCAATGATAAAATTATTATTTAAAATATTGTTTTCCCACAATTCCTTTCTTTAAAGATTATTATCTAGTAGTCAAAAGTAAAGCAAAGCTGTTACTTAATCATATCTTCATTTAAGGATTGATACTCATGGTTTAACTGTAACTTGATTCAAAAACAGCTGTATATAACATGTTCACTGTAAACCCAAACAAGTTCAGAAAACTCCAAATTTTCATCCTAACCCCTTACATAAGAACTTTTACATTACACTAAATCTTAATCTAATATAATCTAAAAGATTATGTCTTAATCTTTATTCTAAATTCAATCTATTTTTATTTTTAATTCCTTTCTCTTAATATTGATTTCTTCTTCTTTGATCGCACTGCAGCTAGAGTCATTCTTCGCCACTGGGAGAGTCAGACTCGACCAGAATTTACTGACTGGGTGAAGCTGCTGATTGATAATGCCTCTTCTGAACTAATGAGAGCAAGGTTGAATGATGACAAAGAGAAATTTAACCAGGTCTGGGGCCATTTTCTGAATCATATAAGAGGGAATAAGTATGTATGACATGTGAGGAGATGAAGACACCGGTAGACTCTGTTTTAGTGTTGAGCAGTGTGATGTTATGTTTATGGGTTGGGCTCTGCATGAATATATATGCATGTTTTGTTTTTGGTATGTGTAATTGTGATCAATATGGTTGTTTTGTTTGTGCTGAAGTTTGATATCTTCTGTATAATGTTTAAAATATGAAAGTTAAATAAAAACTTCAATTACAAAAAAAATGATTTGATTGAATGATACTTGAATGGACTCGTAAAATCAACTGCACACAATGTTTTACATCAATAATGTCAACTCAAAATATTACACCTTAATGAGCTCAAAATATTTACCACCTGCCAACTTCAAATGTACAAGACGCCCTGTTTTCAGTTCCTAATGCTCAAACCTGCACGTGTAAAGATGATCAACTTTTTTCCCTGGCTGTGACAGAGATTGATCGTATTTCTGAAGTCTGGGTGTGTCACATTTTACTCCCCCAGTTTGACTGTAATGAATATAAAAATTCAGCTGTGGACCATTTGGTGTTGATTTGCATAACATTTTAAAAACAGCCTGAAACAGCGGCGGCAGACTGACTCTCCAGCGGACGGACAGCTGTTCATGTTTGAAGACTTTGGCACTTTGGTAAGTCTCCACTCTGGAAAATAAGCAGCATTTTACCTGGTTGAATATTATCTAAAATTGACTGATCTCTTACTACAACATTAACATCAACTGCTGTATAGTCCATTTTTAAAACTGAGCACCTTAATTTGTCTGTTTATTTATCTGTATATTTCGCATTTCATATTTATTACTCATTTCAATAGCCCACGTTCTTCATATCTCAATTTTTTCTCTTAGGATGTTTAGTATATTTAGTCTGTATTTATTGTATATACTTGGTATTTTTAGTCTGTATTGTACATACTTCTTATATTTAACTTTATTTTGTATTTTTTTGCTGCTGTGACATGTGAATTTCCCAGTTTGGGATCAATAAAGTATCTATCTATCTATTAAGGTTTGTACTTTTTTCCTTTTACAGCAATAATACAGCATCGTTATCGTCTTCTACAGCTATTCAAGGTCAGCATGGGAAGCACTGTGATCGTGGTTCTCCTGTTCACAGGTGAGCAGAGCTTCACGTTTTATTATCAGAAAATATTAAAAAGAGGAAACAATGAAGATTGAATGTTTAGTATGTGGTTAGTGTGTGGATTTTTATTAATCTAGCCATTATATTTATGCATTTGTTTCTTCATACTAGCAGCATAGAGACAGTAACCATCAATCTATCTGAATAGACAGAATCAGAATGCCTTTTATTGTCATTATACGTAGTGCAATGAGATTAAAGCCACCCATATCAGTGCAAAACATTGGAAAAAAGATAGATAAAAAACATAGAAAATATGAAACAAGATTAATATGAAGTTTATACAATGTAAACATATGAACCTGAGATTCTTTTAACAGGATAAATATGGTAAATATACAGAAATAGCATAAATGTGATGTGCAGATTGATAGATGAAGTAAACAAAACGCACAAAATGATTTATGTCATAAAAGCATTAATATTAAGTTCCAGTTGAATTTCTCCACCTCATTCTCATCCTTCCTCAGGTTTCTCCGTCCTCTTCACCCTCCAGCAGACCCAGGATGTCTTCTATTACATCAATACTAACACGACCTGGGATGATGCAGCAGATTACTGCGAACACAACTACATCGGCCTCGCCCAAGTGGACAGCAGCAAAAGCGTGGAAACAATAATAAAGATTTCAAGCAAGGGGTACACCGGAAAGGCCTGGATAGGATTGTATCAGAACAATTCAACCTGGACTTGGGAGAACGGACAACCGCTCATCTACTCCAACTGGATCAACATGGGTGATGGGTTTTGTGGGTCCATTGGTGGAGACGGATACTGGATCGATAAAAGCTGCTCTCTCAAGAGAAGTCATGTTTGTATGGGTATGAGCCAAAATTAATGTAGTTTAGTAGATTTCTACTTTCTAGATTTACTTCTCTTGCCTGTGTGTGCGTGTTGAAAACCAGCTTAATTAAGGAGAAAACACCCTATGTGGTCTGCAGGATTCCTCTTACAACTAACACAGTTATTAAGGAATGACAATCAGACAATCAGATCAGTCAATAAGATTTAGAGGTTATTTATTTAAAAGCATTCTTGGTATAAAGCTCCAGAACAACTTCAGGATACTCTTCAGGATATGTTCTGTTAATTTAGTATTTTCCTGGTTTTATTTAAGAGCATTTTGTGTTTTATATCTTTTACTTTTTCATTATCTCCGTCACAGACAAGGATGGTTTTTACGTTTATGACAACAACTTGTCATGGAACGACTCCAAAACTGACTGTGAAGCTCGAGGATATACTCTGGCCTACATCCATGATGAAATCAAGAATGCTGAACTTCAAGCTGAGCTGGGTATGGATGACAATCACTGGATTGGTCTTTCCAGGTCTGTATCCTGGACCTGGACAGAATCAGGAACAAATGTCACCTTTCAAAACTGGCAAACTGGACAACCTGACAACCCGGGCTCAAATAACTGTGTAGCTGTACAGATGGTTGATGGAAACTGGACGGATGAGGCTTGCACAACACCTTTACCTTTCCTCTGCTACAGTGAAAAGACAACCACAGACAGCCCTGAAAGTTCTGAACTCTCTCATGAAGGAGCTGTTCGGGAGACAAACTCAACCTCAAACTCAACAGGTCTCAAAAAAATACGTCATCTGAACACCCGTCTTGTGTTTTTCAATTAATAGTTCAAAATCTGAATAATACTAACTTACTTTTTAAATATCAGAGAAGTCTTACATTTGTGAAAAACTTCTGTTTGTGTTTGTGATCTGTGCAGCTCAGGCAGTCAGGAAAACGATGATAAGGATGAAGATCGCAACTGATGCAAACATGGAAAACGGAACCCTAATTTCTGGATTGAATCAGCAGGTAAAGTGTGGTATAGTATGTTACCGAGCATGACTATAGACGATAAAACAAGATACTTCCTTATCATACATTTAATAAAACCCCCGGTATACTATTAAGTGAATAAATTGTTGTGTGCTGGTTTGATTCGAAAGCATAGACTGTATATAGAATGGACATAGTCTGCCTCCTCGCTGGGTAAAGCTACTCCGAGAACAGCACCCTCTGGTGACAGGCTGCAGTATAGGTCATAAATTCCGCCTCCAGCAGCAAAGCTTATGGAGCTGTGAACAAACTTTAGACATTTTTACCCAGAATATACATTTTTCTCCCCCCTGGTTGTGATGTTGACATGTAGTTACTGTCAGACTGGTTTGTGCTCAAGTCCTCTTTTTTTCTGTGAAGCTCCATTTCTAAAAGTTATTAAGGGGTTCATGTTTGCTATGATTGACATCTGATACAGCCTATGGGCGTTCAGGGATTGCATAGCTCACCCGGGGGTATCACAGAAAATACCAAGAGCTTTTTGGCCTCAAATCCATATACTAACGGGAGGCTGAACCAAGTTGTCCATAGTATATACAGTCTATGTTGGAAAGACTCTTTAATGCAAGACATCCAGAGACCAGAGACATGGCTTTACTCAGAAAATGAGTCGTGGGCAGCGGGTCCATCAACGCCTTACAACTTGGTAGCTAGCAGGGCGGCAAAAACTGGAAAGAGCTACACAGCTGCACATTGCTGAACAAAATGGAAGTCTTCCTGCTGGAACTCTATTTAAAACTTTTTCTGTATCTGGTTTGGTGGTGCAACTTTCCCCCCATTTTTAAAGTACTCTTATTTTCATTATAGCGTTTATTATATTGAGGTCACCTGACTTTGTCCTAGTCCAAAAAGGTTAGAAAACTGAAAACGTGTTACATTATTACGAGTTTATCCCAATATATTTGTAATCACCATCCAGATGCAACCTCATGAGTGTCGAAAGAAGTCCCGTATATGACATGTACTCCTGATGGGATCAATATCACACATTTGCACATTTAAATAAATAATGTCAGACTCATAACAGGATATCCTCTCCCTCTGCAGCTGCAGAAAGCACTCGCCAAACAGGGATTGGGTGAATTGAAAGTGACCTGGAGGAAGGTGCCAGTGAAAGCACAAGAGCAGCAACAAGAAGACGGTAACCATAACAACACAGCTACACAGATAGTAAAATGTTTTTTTTTAATGTTCCCAAATGCTCATGTCTTTTTTATTATTATTTTAATCATTATCACAGGTATGTCCTCGGCCAGTGAGAGTAACTTCTGCAGAGATGCACCAGGACCTGTTTGAGAAGATGGTTTACCAAACTGGTCAGAGGAAGTTCTCCTCAGGTCTACCCTCAACAAAACCAAAACAAAAATATAGACCCTGGGCTTGTTTGGATTCGATTTTCTGTGTGCTTTGTGTTTGACAGTGAATTAATTAAAGTCAGGAAAGAAAAAAAGAATATTTGCTTGTTATTAGTTTTGATATACCAATGCATATGTATCTGCTACATGGTTTTTAAAGTGCCACTAAGTTACTCCTTAGTTAAATGACGATCAGTTACTCTTTTGCTGTGTTAAAGGGATATTTCGGCATAAATTTTCGCAGCTCAAGGACGAACATTTACAATTTTTTCATGGAAATGTAATCAGACTAAGATACTAAGGCAGAAGAACTACCGCGTCTACAGTGCAAAATAATTATTATGATGAATATTACTTCATGGAAATGATCCGCTGCACTCAGTGATCGACTTGTCAGAGCTCCCCCACAAAGCAGCTGCTGGAAGAGAGTAGGTGAGTTGTGTTTAGTCTCTTTGCTAAAGAAATTAGTCAAAGTTAAAAAGATGTTTGGTGGCTAGTACTATGGCTGGGACCCTACATGTCCTGTTGATGAAGTTAGGTGCTGCTCTGAGCATTATTTGAGGCTATAGAGTGGCGTTTTGGTTGAGGTTTGCACATGGAAGCATTTAGAGAATAACTAGAGAAGCAAGCAGTCGACAACATTCATCTCTCGACAGGGTGTCTAACTCGGTGTTACGGTGTGTTTGACCTTAACTTAAATTTACGCCAGAATATCCCTTTAAATGAGGACCAATTACTCCTTTGCTGTGTTAAGACTTTTAACTAAGAATCAATAAACTTCCTTAAAATATTTACACTTCTGGCTCAAGTTGATTCTGTGTTCATTTGTTCTCTCATTTGTTCAGAGAGTACAGGCAGTGATTGGTGATGAAGTGTCTCATTGCTGCCAAATGTTCTCATACATGCACTGAATTCTAAGTTTCCAGCATCACAAGGTGACCTGTAACCGATCACTCATTTTCATATGGAAATAGAGACTCAGCTTTAATTGACTTGGAGCCACACTCATTTGACAATGCAGGATGTCAACATCTGTATCTTGAACAACGTGGCCTTATTTGGTTAAGTTGTATCCGGTACAAGATTAGGGTAAGGTTAGGATAAGGGGTTAGGTTTTTGGTTTATAAGAAAACTAAAGAAAGGTTTGGGCTACGGTTATGATAAGACTAAAGAGGGGTTAGGGAGATAGAGTTTAGAAGTTAGGGTTAGGGGGTCAGGGACAGGGTTAGGGTAACAAAAGACTAAAGAAGAGTTATTCTGTTTCACTGTATGTTTCCGTGGCTAAACCATAGTCGAAAATAAAGACTGTTATCAAGACTTTTGACTTTCCGAGTTTTGATGGTATCGACTCATCCCTCTTCAGAGGTTTCGAAACCACTGGTCTAGGTCAAAGGGATTTTTGTCAGGATGTCCATTTGAATATAAAAATCATGCAAAGACTGAACCTTAAAAGAGCGGAGCTTTGGAGACTCTGGGAGAGGTATTGGACAGATTCTTGCAAGTTCAAGCCACGGAGGAGTGAGTTTGCGGTTTTACTGATGAATATTAATGTGAGTAGATTTTATCAGAACCAGAATCTCCTTTTTAATAAGTCATTTAAAAGACTGTTTTTCTATTTTGGTTGTTGGTTTGGACAATGTGTTTTTTTTTATCTGTCTGTGTAAATTCTGTTTTATTTTAACTTTTCAGTGACGTCAGAAATGGACCACACCATCCCCTTGCTTTTCTCCATCTTCGGTAAGAGTTACGTCGTCTTTTAATACATTTATGTCATTGTTTAATTCAATTCTAGTTTTACTCTTCAATTAAATAGTTCTTATAAGATACAGAAGCTTAAAATCAAACATTAAAAAACAGGGGACTTTTGATGATTGATGTCAGTATTTTATGCAGACAGACAATACCTTAGGAGGATATGCACGGCCGTAGATACACTAAATGTTTACTATGAGTTGAGTGGATCCAGGATAGCTGACACTGTGGTTTGGTGCATAAGTTCAACTTGACACATATTCTTGTAGAGCAACATAAATAATTTTGTAGTTCTTTAAATTTTCAACGCGCTACTCACTTTTTTCACTTATTCACAAGTTGAAAAATGTGGATTTCGGTGAATTACCTACAACTCGAGAGCCACTCAGTATGTGAGTTGTTTGTTGACACACGTCTTAATGATGGAAACTCATTAATCTTGAAACTGATCATGGTAGTGATCAGCGGAAAAGTACGCTAAAAGAGCGTACTTGTAGGAAAGTGAGTGAGGAGGTTGGATTATTTGGTAAAGTGTGAAAACAAAAATCCTCACCATGTTGTCGCCTTCAACCATGTTTGGTAAAAAGAATTACCATTTTGCATTAATTTACATGTTTGGGCACTTGCATAAGAATGATCAGGCACTTAAATAGAGCATGAATTAAGCAAGTAAATCAGAATCAGATTTTTTATCCAAGTAGGTTAACAAGGACAAGGACTTTACAACATATGCAGGTGTTTAAAAAATATGCAAATTAAGCAAGTAAATAATTTCATTCCCAACCAGTAGAGCACAACATAATGGTCACATGACACAATCTTATTTCCATCAAGATTGTTTGTACTTTAAAATTCAGTGTTAAAAATCTTAAAATTCGCAGTTCCAGATGTTATTCTTTTCCACAGGACTCTGCACACCATCTTTTTACGAATTGTGTCGTTTTCACTACATTGACCTGGAACTGAACTGGACAGATGCTCAACATTACTGCAGAGACAAGTACAGCGACCTGGCTACGATTGAAAGCCAGACTTACATCAGCCACTTTAACGGACCAAAACAAGCATGGATTGGGCTGAACGACGACCCGTTGTCCTGGCAGACGACCACAAGCAAAGACAGAAACTCATGGCGATGGTCAAGCACTGGTGAAATTACTGGTTATCAAAACTGGTATAAACAGAAGCCAGACAACTACAAAGGAGGAGAGTTTTGTGTAATATTTAACCAACACGGGACATGGGATGATAAAAGATGTGACCTGAAGTTTTATTTTTCCTGTTATACAGGTAAGACTCTGGTAATCTGGTACAGAACACTGCTGTCAATCATCTTTTTCAAAATAAGATAACTTATCAAAATCAAATTTCACTAAAAATAAACACTGTTGTAAAGAAGCATAATAAGAGCCAACTTAAATATAAGAAAACGTGTTTTGGAAATGTTTAATTTACATGTATTTTGATTTTATAGTTTGATCAATGTTTTATCAATCAACATGGAGAAGACGGGATTAACTGTTTTAACTGCAATCGAACTGAAACAGGCCGGAGTGTTTTGTCCGTGAGTTCAGTAGCATGGAGGCTTTTCCAGGATGCAGAGTAGCGAACAAAATCTTGACTGAGAAAGGACGTGATTTGATTGAAATCTGGCTTGATGAGGTTTAAGATCACTTGGCCCATGAGATTTGATAAAAAATTTTATAAGCTCAAAATTTATCGAGATTTTTTTGTTTCCGATCCCTAACAAAACCAGATTTTAATAATTTCCCACTGTCATCATAGGTGTACTTTCTGTTACAAAATATTGTGATATTGATGATACAGTTACAGACATACTTTCTAATGTACTAAAATTGCTTGTGAAGAGTAACAGTCATGTTCTCAAACTTTTATTTTTTCTGTGTTGCAGCCATGAATTCCTCTAGTCCAAAAATTTTTAAGATGATTGCGTCGGTGAAGACCTGGAAAGATGCCCAGGCTTACTGTCGAACCCATTACACAGACCTGGCTATGATTGAGAATGCTCAGGAAAACGCTGAGGTGCTGGCACAAAAAGAAGAAGATACAATGTTTATGTGGATTGGCTTGTCCAGAGAAGCGTGGAAGTGGTCCGACAACAGAGAGAGCTCCTTTAGGAACTGGCGACCTGGACATCCAGATAATGATGGTTATCAGTACTGTGTGTCCAGAGGTAGTCAGCATCAGTGGAACGACAATAACTGTGAAAAAAGCTCCCCTTCTGGTGCCAAGATGGTAAAATAGAGAACATTTCATGGGTCATTTTTTTGCCCTTGTGAGTTGAAAATAATTCTATCTTTGGCTTGTTGTCACGTGTCCAGTCCCCAAACAGATGAACATCTTGAAGATTAAGATTCAGACTGATGCTGACCTAGGAGATCCGGTTTTAAACACCCAACTCCTAAAACAGGTAAAAGTCTTTGAGTACTAAAAGCACCGCGAACAGATATGAAAATGAAATAGTTATCAAAAGTTGGATCAGAAAGGGCAACTGGAATTGATAATGTAGAGAAAAACTGTCCTTGTTTGTTTACGATAGCTGATCAAACTTCTCTTCATTCCCAGCTGGGCACTTCACATTAAGTGGGCGATCCAACCGAGAAAACAGGAGAAGGAAAAACACAAAGAGAAGAATAAACAGTGCTCAGCAAAGTGATGGCAGGCTAAGGTACCTCTTAAAAGAGTTCGGTGAAATCACTAATTTCAGGAGGAACGAAAATTCTGCCCAGTTTTCAACCTGATCCGTATCTTTTCTCCTGAGATATACTGTTTGAAAAGCCTCGTATTTACTTCTAATATTCTGTTTCTATTTCAGCTCGAATATTTTGGTCTGTCCTTATGCCTGTAGCCAAAAACTTCAGTGGCATCTTACTAAACAAGTACAAGACTTTTAAAACAGCAGAACCTATGTATTAGCTGGTCTTCTGATAGATGTAGAAACAAAGTAAAAGTAATGAAATAATGTTTGGGTACAACTTAATATTCATCGAGTGTGTGCAAAACTATGTAACCTGAGTTTTTTTGTTTGGTGTTGTGCTGTTCTGGTCCCCTCCCTCTCTCCTTGGCATCACCTGAGTGATCACACCTGAAGCCGTCTTTTAATCTAGATCTGAAGCATAAAATGAAGGACTGGAAAGAATCCACAGTCAAAAGGCCCTCAGCTTCATGTGTGCTTGGTGGGGCTCTTCAATACTCTTGTTGGTGTGGGTTATTGTTGTAGTTTAAATTAGAAATATTTGGATTTTGTTAAAGACAGATGAGCTTCTCTTCAGTCGTTGTTTTTTGTTCTTTGGGTTGTAACTTTTTCTTGTTTTTTAATAATAAATTCTTTAGATTTGCACATAATCTGTCCCCTCCTTCTATTGCCTGAATTTAATTTTCTCTATTGCTTCCTCCAGCCCATAACAGTACCAAAGTGAGTTTGAAGGTACATGCCACGGTATGCCTGAACTCATACTAGTGTTTTCAAATGCGTATACAGAAACATCACCCATATCATTTAAATTATAACTTGACTAAGAATTGAACAAACGGTGTCACCAAATTAAATCATTATCTATGAAAGATTAAGTATGATTCATACCAGGCTTGGAGTTAATGTTGTCATCTTGGGTTATTTGCACATGAATTAGGTAATTAAACATGATTCAACCAGGAATGATGTACTCCCTGAAACTTAGATGGACAGTAAAGTTTTGATTGGACACCATTCTGTACATAAAGGTCAAAAAGGATGAATAATAAATCTTTTAAAAACTGAAACCGTACTTATTGGCCTAAAAACCATCATTTGAGGTGTCAGATAGGCTCAGTTGTTGGAGCAGGCAACTAGTTTACAGACGCTACAGTGACAGTTGCACTAATCCTGTGATGGATTTCTGGTCTAAGCATGATTCAGTGCATGAGTCACCAAATCTGAGTCAACTGGGAGTGTTCTCACTCTTATTTGAATCTCTGTGATACCCAAAACTCATTCCATTATAATTCAATCCAAAGTGTACCTTGAGTTTGACTTTAAAAAAAACTTAAAAATTGAACTTTTTTAGTACATTTTAGAGAAACCATATTACAGTGTGCTTGATTGAAAAGGAGAAGAAAATGCCTCATTGCCACTTACAAAGGCTATTTCCTTCATCCCACTTTATGTTAATTGCACAGAGAGAACCAAGTATAAGTACATGTTTGGGTCAGAGTTGAGGTTTGGTTACAAGCCCCAAAATACACCATGTATAGTCCAAGACCAAATATGAAATCGGCATTACATGTTTTAAATATTAAAAAAAAACCATGGCTGCTGTTAATTAATCAACAAGAAAGGTTGAGCAGATCCTTAATTCATCTTTTCTGGCCTTTTCCTCGTCACGAAGAAAATGAAATTCAACTTCAAAGAGGAGTTTGACTCGAACAGAGCCTTTTAAAACCTCTTCAGTACTTGTCATGCCATTGCTGCTTGTGTGACAGTGAAAATAAAGAGATATATTGCAGTAATAAATAACCTCTCAATGGTGCCAGGCTCAGGGTAAAGGTTTACAACTGGTTGTAAAGAAGCAAAAGGGAAGCTGAGGATCTAAAAGGTAGTTGGCCATTAGCCTCCCACCTACCATTTGGTGGAACGCCAGATTTGTACAAAGCCTGCTTGAGAAATAAAGTTAGGAGAGAATGAAAAGGACTTGTTACCTTCAACAAAGCCAAGTATTATTCGTGGATTTCCTTGATGGCTTTGACCTGATCATGATCGGTACCATTTAAGTTTCTCATTATAAGTGCATCTCTAACTGGGTGCTCAAAAACTGGAGTCAAAACTTGAACAGCTGGTGTATTACTTGCATTATGATTATAGGAATAAACATTTCAGTATGTACAGTACTGACTTTTGTTTGCTCATACCTCGCACATACGGCCCTATGAAATCCACGAAGAAGAAACTATGGTCTGAATTATAGTATTCATTCAACAAGGAAAAATGAATCAACTATGAAACGCAGAGTTTCAAAAAAGGTTTTCATTGTCAATTTTAATTTTTTTTTTATTTTTTATGGTGCCTGGGATAACAGCACCATTAAGGAGATAGCGACTGCAGCTGGCCCTGCAATGACCACTTGTAATCAAAAATTTATAAGTAAATTGGAGCGAGGTGGTGTGCTTCAGCAGTTTCTCTCTAATGTGAACACACCCACAAACACAAGACATAATTTCATTGAGGACATACTGGCTGATATTCCTCAGAAATGTCTGTTTCCAGTGAAGCATCCATCACAACTTACAGGAAGGTTTTATATACTTATATAAATAAAATTAGATTGATTTGATTGATATACTTCACAGAACGATTGAATGATTCTGCTGGACTGCAGCATTTTTTGTTGTATTTTTGGTTGACATTTGTGAGTATTCATTACAGGATGTTTTCCTATTGAATTTCTAAAATTTTATTCATGCACTATATATAATAAAGAACACTTTAAATTTAGAAGAACTGAAATGGAAAAAAGTGGAATTTGGTTAAAAATGAAACAGAATCTGCACAGAATCAGGTCTTGGTGGATCTTTATCACAGCACTGCAGCAGAATCTGAATGTAGAAGTTGATGAAACTGGTGAACATAAAATTCACTTAACTTCTGTATAGTAGCATGGATCAAATGTCTGATGGCATCCCTTCAATATTAGTAAATCCCTACTAAGCCTTGGCTGTCCACTCAACATCAAGTATCATGTTAGCAAGTCAGTAGACATCCCAACACCCTGCCATCAAACATAATTGATCAATGGCTGAATAGATCTCCTTTAACAGGGAAACAAAGGCCGAATGAATGTTATGATGGAGGGCAAAAAAAGTAGGATTGGTGCTTAGTGGAACAGAGGAAAGAAAGGGAAGACGAGGATGAATGAAGGAGGAGAAAGGAGGACAGGGAAGACTGCGCTGGGAGGGAGGTCCAGCAGGAGCAGCGGGCTGCAGGAATGTTTCACATGCCTGTCCTCTGGATGACCTCGCCTCCCTGGAGTGTGGGAGATACTGGGAGTAATTAGCCTCCTTTAACATTGGATCTGTGCTGCCTCTATGTCACAATGGGGTTAGCAGTGGCATTGAAGGAGATCAAGTGTATTTATATTTTCAAACAAAACAGCTTTCTTTTTCTGCATTCCCGGCCTGTATCACTTTGTTTGTTTCAACATTCACAGATGGTGTTTAAAACTTATTGTTTTTGTGAGTACACTTTTTCTTTTAGTTTAATTTTTGTTTTATTATCTAATGGCTTGGAAGTCATTTCCAGTCATTTTGAGTCAGAAAATGCTGTAAATTGGGACCATTATTTTGATGTGGAATAGGTTTTCTCCCCCACCCATCCACCAGTCTCACAGCTGACCTACTTTATCTTAAAGCAGATTTAATTATGGATCCTCCTAACAGCAAATAATTCTCACTTAAAGTCAAGCATTAAGAATTGAAGTGGATGTGAATAAAGAGAAACAGGGGGTAAAAAGTATTGATTTTGTGAAAGGCCACATGGTTTCAATCATGAAATGCCAATACTGGAACATCAGTGTCATCTGCTTTGCTTTGATGCCCTTTACTTAAACAGACAAGTGTCCCTTTATGGCGAACCATAAATCCAGAGTTAAAGCATTCGGATAACAAAGGTTTACAGCCCATGTTTTTTCAGTTTTAAAGGAAATTCCACATTTTCTTTTTATGATATCTTCCTGAAAACCTTTGAGCATTTTTGTTTTCTAAAAATTCATGAACTGTTAAGCTTAGAATAACAGTTTTAAGTTTCATATAAAGCTTGGGTAAAAAAGGTTGGATATTTTTAGGTATTTTTCAGTGGTCTTGATGATAAAAGCAACAGATGCACACACCTGTGTGGTTATAACTAAGTTTTTAGTTTTCTCCTGCTGTATTTAATATCACACATACAGAGAGAAATTCTACATTTAAAAGACACTTATCATACTGTGTAGCTCGTTAAAATTCAAACAGGCAAACTAGGGTAGTCACAATATCAGTTCTCTTTTTACGAATATGGTAAAAATACCATTGGGGTATTTGTTGAAAACTTTGGACGAAAAAAAAAACGCTACACAACTAACAACAACAACATTCATCTTTTTAAATGATGTTAACAGTTCTGTTTCATCCATGTCACTGGCCCCATTACAAAAACTTAATTCTTATTTCTCTGCCGCTTCGTTTTAGTGGCAACCCACCTAAAGAGCCACTACTGTCCCCATTTATGATCTAGTAAGTTAAACCAGTCAGTCAGACCGTCTCCTGATCTCTCAGCAACTGAAAAACTATGAAAAGAAGAAATCTGAGAGCAATTGAGCCAACAATTTAACATTTTAGCTCTCTCATTAGCTAACATTAGACAGCTAGCATTAGCCTTTAAACCCTCTTCAGCTTCTTTCACAAGCGTTCCCAAGCATATCAGGAAAATACATTATCTAAGAGGTAATTTAATGTTAATCTCTACATCAGAAAGTGGTAAAATCTTGAGTCAAGGCATTAAATGCTAGTTTACAGCAGTGCCAATCTGGGATAGTGTTTGCGATGAAGTGGTTGAATGCTAACAGTTTGGGTTTTTTTGAATGCTAACAGTTGATGTCATCTAACTAAACGTGACTGCGCTGAAGATGCTCATTAAACTTAAAATATGTCCCTGTTCCTTTTAATTTCACCGCTCACATTTCTGTGAAATGACAACCATTAATTTTCAAATTTATGTGACTTTTAATCTTGGATTGGAGCACAACAGCATGACGGCAATTTAACCTCCCTTGGAAGAAAAACTGCCGTCATGTTCATTTAACACAACATAACTTTGCAGTTTTTGGCCAGTTAAATGAAAAAAAAAAAACGTAAATTAACTATGACCCCCTCTTTATATCTGTACTAGCTACTTAGAAAGCTACATTAGCTGCTACTAGCATAACGCACCGGAATCCTTAAGAGTCAACGGTTTGGTCAGTTCGATGTTGCATTGTGGGTAATGTAGGCATCGTGGTTTTAACTGAAAAACACGATTTCTTTCGTTTTTTTCTTTACATTTCGATACTTTTCATACGTAAAACGCAAATATAGAGAGGAAACTCTAATTTGAAAACCATATATTAAACTTTTATTGGTGTGGAGGACTCCAGGTCTCGTTTCCACCGTGATGTCAGACAGCGGCTGGGTCATAGGGAGGTCAGCAGCGGAGGAGGTTCACGGAGAGTTCACTCGCATACATTAGGTAACACCATCGCTCGCTCTGACATAACTAGTATGAAGCAGGTTGAGTCGAGACATTCGTCAATAAAGAAGAGATAAGAAGAAGAAGAAGTCTCGGGACAAACTTTGTTATGCAAAATAGTCCTCAGATCTGGATGTGTTGAACCGTTTTCGTCCTGTTGGCGAACTACAGTCTGCTGCGTGTCAACATGCAAACAGTTTCCGAGCATTTGCGGACAATATAGGTCTGTTTATGATCGCACACGCCTCCTTGAATGTACCACAGGGATGTTTCCCAGCTAAAAGTAAGCCGTAAAACCTGTAACCAGAGAGAGAGAGCCCGCCCTGTTGAGAGGGTTTACCCATGCGGACAATATCTCCAGACTGAAACGGCACCATGTTTGACTATCTGGAATTTCAAGCTTTCGGTCCAGGAGAATTCATGGATTTCTACACAACATCCAGCCCTGCATGCATGCTGCAGAAGCAGGACCAGGATGACCTGGCAGACTACTTCCCCGAGCTTCTGATGGAGGCAGATTGGCAGCAGCACCGATGCTCACAGTGTAGGTGGAAACTGCTGGTTAAAATCTGAATTAGTCATGTTTTGGTCAGTGTCCTTGTGGAAAGAGATGGCTTATTATCCTGTCAAAAGTCATTTATATGAAGAAAAGCTAGTGTTAAGTATGTTGCTCATACTGTGAAAGTCCATCTTGTGTATGTATGGTTGATTTTGCATCATTAGGCCCTTAATACTGCTATGTCTTTGACACACTAACTCACTAATTCATAAAAATTTAATAAATAGCACAACACCTTCAAGAGGAGCTTCATTGACATTTTGGGACAAGTCAATAATATAGTAAAACATTAGGATGCTCTTCAAGACTGGAATACAGAATCTGATTATAGGTGAGAGACGGAATAAATCATGGTTAAGGCTGCACAATATATCACAAATTTATCAGTTTAGGCATTTGCAATAAATGCTTAAAAATCTTTTGTTTATTCTGAAAAACTAAGACATGATTTTACATCCCAAATCAATGGTTTGTGTTTAATCTGTTAGATGTAGGCCTGCTTCTTATATTGCCATACTTTTGCACCATTTTGATGCAGTCAAATGCCGTCAACTGACCTTAAATTTAGAGCCTTTTGGATTCAGGACAAACATGTTGCAAACAAAGATAATCCCCCATAGCAACTGGGTTATTTCTGGCTAACATGCAATCTTGAATACTTGTTTATTTATTAAGAACACATGTTAGTGATTTGGATAAATTAACTGCACTTTTTGTCATATCACACAAGTGGTAAAAATACAGAGATAAGGTCCATAATATTACTGTAAAATTGATCTGAAATAACAAATTATAAAGAAAGAATTATGTGTTTTCAATACACGTATGTTTCACATTGAAATGCTTCAATATAAACATCTTGCAGGAAAAAGACACATATCAATGTCAGTTTTTGCCAGTATCCTGTAGTCCTGATCAAGATGCACTCTGTTCATTCATGAAAAATACAGGGAAGTGAAAATGTAAGTGATAATGAAGCATGCAGATGTAAACTATCTAAGGATTGTGCGCAAGAGTTGCTAAAATTACTATAATTAAATCAATTAAACCCTAAAACACTGAATAAAAATCAGAGATGCATGGTATAATGAGGCTATGCAAACGTTCTGCAGCATGCATACAAAGAAATATTTTAATTATTATAAATCTGGCCTGGAAATCGTAGTTGTACAATTGAATTTAAAGTCAGATATCAAGTTTACATCTATTAGCACTTTTGGCAGAGAAATAAAGTGGGACATGACAATTAAGCAAATAATTAATGAGTAATATACAGGAGGAATTAAATGATCAAATGTATTGATACAACAAATGACAGAGCCAGAATGACAGAGCCATATACTCTCAGTAAATTAAAGGTAAGACAACAAATAAAACGAACCATAGAAATGAAAGACAACAAAACTTAACAGTATAAACACAAATAAAAACCAAATAACTTTACTTTAATGTTGTTATTTAACTGTCATTTCTCGTGTCTAATGATTAAGATTTCAACATCAAAAAGGCAAGTAGGAAAAATGTCAATATATGTGTTTTTCAGCAACCCTAACTAAGAAGTGTAATGGATGCTATCTTAACCATTTTTCAGTGAAAGTGTTGAAGAAGCGTGTTTGTTTGGATATCAAACCTGTCTTTTAGGGCAAAGTTATGACTGTGATCAAATGCTGTGTATTATTAAACACTGCAGGAGTTCTCCTATTTTTCTAAAAGCTAAATATAGAGGCACTCGGTGAGCTGCAGAAAGCACAGCTCTGTCTCAGAGCGCGGAGATGTTCATGAAAGTGTTGTGGTGGTCTGTGTTTGGGACCAGGCGAGCAGGGCCGGTCAGTTTGGGGTCACTGCGGGTTCACCGGACGGTCATCGGCTCAGGAGGTCAGAGAAGAGCCAGACTGCAGCGGTGGAGGAAGTAGTTGGAGATGCTGAAGTAAAAGTGCAATAAAAGTAAAAAGACCCTTAAGTCCTGCGTTTGAAGGTGAAAGTTCAGAGTGTAAGATGGCGTTTTGTCTTCTGAGGTAACAGGATGTAACTCAGATGCTGGATGAATAAAGTAAAATTGAAAAGTACATTATAGTATTTAGATTTGTAGAAGAGTAGGAAAAAGAAACTTAATTATGTGCAGTACTTGAAATAAATGTTCTTTTCTTTAAAGTTTAAAGTATTTCAAAGGGTAAAAAAACACATGAAACAGATTTTCTTTTCACTTTTTATTTAGTTATTTTTGAACTGTAGTTTATTTCTGAGAGACAGTTAAAACACCATTTCTGAAGCTGTCTCTACAACATGTTTTATTTTCTTTTTATATAGTTTCATCTGATTTTGAGGGATGACAAAGTACCAATACTCTTGACAAATGAAATAACCCTGAATTATAACCCTTTGGTAGTCATGTTGCTTGAAAGAGAATGATCAAGAACCGATTCAATGTGCTGAAAATTTTTCCCACCAAAAAAGCCTCAAAATTTGTTGTTATGAATATATTTGATGCTCTTGATCAAGAATAGGCAAAGATAGAAAAAAGTTATAATATCAGGAACCAACTGAAAATGAGTTTTTCTGCTCCTACAAGATTATATGTTCAGGATAATCGAATCAATGAATCTAAAAACTAATCAGCTGATAAATCAATAACGACAGACTTTAAAAGGAAGTGCATTTATTGAATTTTCATTTGTGAACGTTAGAGGAGCTTCATTAAGGTTCGGTCAATCTGAAACAAGAGCGATGATCCTCTTGGTCATTATCAGGATAACTGAAATCAACATCAGGCAGCATGTAGAGCCACACAATGCATCGTCGATACATCAAATAACACCACCTAAATTGGGGTGGGGGGCGCCCTCCTCCCCTCTCCTCCAGTCCAAATCAGTTACACCGCCCCACCACACACACTTTCTGTTTCTTCTCCCTCCCTCTCATCAGTCAGCTGGGCTTGTGGCATGCTCCTGCATTGTTTTGTGTTGGGAGAGCGCTCGGGCTCCTTCGCTGATGGGGGGTGGTGTCCTCGTGTGACCCACTAATTCCAGGTTCAACCAGAGGCCACGGGTTCAAGGGGATGGAGATGTGCAATTTTTCTCGTTTTGTCCCTTTCTCAGAATGTCTTTCTTCGTTTTCTGTTCGCCGTGGAGGTGAACAGAGAGCTGGCGGGGAGGCTGAGCGAGCCCCACAGAGTACGGAGGCTCTCCTCTGAGAAGTGGTCTCTGAGTGGGAGGGGGTCACTGTTGTTATTAATGTAGTTGAATGATACACTGAACTGGAAAATGGAGGCTGAAGCTGTGCTACAATGGGTGCAGCTGCTGAGGATTTTGGAGAGAAGGAAAGTCTAAGATGCCCATAGATGCCAACTTACTAACACTACATCCTGTGCTGGTATCTCACTGTTATAGTTTCTTATTGTCCTTTAATAATAGACCTAAAAGCAGCTGATTTGGTGGCTTCTTGGATTCAATTTCAAATCAGTTTAATTACTGGAACACTTGCTTATTGCACTTTTAAGCACTTGTGCCAGGGATATGTCCAGATTCGAAGACTGGGGTGGCCCAACCCAGACTCTGACATAAACAGGGGTGTCTGTGGTGTTTTTGGTCAAGTCAAACTGAAGGTTAAAGTTCAATAAAATTAAATAAGGTCCAAAATAATTCAGAGCAGGTCAATAATAACCAAAAGTTGCAACACAAAAGTCTTTGAAATTTAATTCTACATGTTCATTTTAAGTTACAAATGAGTAAGAGAACAAAAAAAGTGCTTAATTTGAATACAAAGACAAACTGGCCCAGGTTGTTTGCACTTACCAAATAGTTTAGTTTAGGATTGAGTTTAGTGGTGGCAGATATGAGGCTTATCTGCTGCAGCTTCAAAAAGTCTGATAAAGAAAGATAAGATGGGTGATCATTGACTTGAGGTATTTTATCAAAAACTTTAGTCACCGTATAATTTTGCTGTAATTTTAGATGTTTTGTAACACAAAATAATGAAGTTTATTTATAATTACCTTGTTTTAATACAGCAAAATAAGGTTTAATCAGACTGACTGACCTTCAACATTAGAAAAGTTCTTTCCTGACAAACCATGTTACAGTCGATAAGTAATAGGATAAGAATAAGAAGAACTTAATTAATCCCTGGAGGGAACAAATATTTTGACAATTCAGTTGCAGTATTTGCAGTATTTTATCACTGTCACTTGTTTTTGTTTTATTTAACTTTTCAAAAGCAAATCAAAACTTACAGAAACTTTGTTCCACCTCGCTCTACAAAAACAAACTCAGACGGGTCAAATCTGAGTCTGCGGACTTGTTAGTCACACTGTGTTGTATTTTGCGTCATGTGTGTTTTCTTGTCTTGTGTGTTTTGCAGCCGTGGAGAGCCAGAGCTCCAGCTCAAGCTCAGACGACCTGTTCGCCAGCCCGCCCTCCCCACCACCCCCTCCTCGCACTTACAAGCCCTGTTTTGTGTGTCAAGACAAGTCCTCGGGCTACCACTATGGCGTCAGCGCCTGCGAGGGCTGCAAGGTAACACGTTAAGCCTGTGGTCCACTTAACACGGAAAAAAATACACTTTTGTTATGCTCCAGTAGAGTGCTGAGAAACACGGGGAGGTGACTGCTTTCATGAGAGCCGCTATAAGAGGATAAAGACTGTTTATCAGTTCAGGATAAAACCCTTTCAATGACGACAAAGCTCAAAAGAAAAATAAAAGGATCTGCAGCTTTATTCTGTGTAAGTGGTTTTCTCTGAATGCTTTATCAGTTTTTGATTTTCTTTATTTGCTCAGAGGAAACACCAGCATCACTGGGTGGCCTGGACTTTGTCCTGATGCGTGTTAAACAGCAGTATCTTTGTCAACATTACAGTAACAGAAATCAATACACAGATAAAACATCCTGGTCAATTAGATTTACAGCTTCAGTTACACAAAAGAAAATGAGTCTAATGTAGTTGTCTGTTTTAATAATTCATCTGTTTTTTAGTTAACTTCATAGTTCAGTTTCTTTGTTTTGTTGTCGTTGCTGCTTTTTGGGGTCTATAAATCTCGATATTTTAACATTTGTCTGTATGATAAACTCTTATCAGGGTGTCGTCTCCCTAAATTAGTCCTGTAACACTGTGAAAGCCCATACTTTGTTGCTGTTTGTGTTTTTTTGTATACATGTTTTCTTCACTTCGGTAGATGTCTTTCACTGACCCTCTTTCATGCTTTTACGTCCAGTCTGCCCTCTTTTTTTATCTGTGAGGCTGGAATCAGAAACAGTACACTATATATGCCATTATTTCTTTCCACTAAATAATTTGATGCAGTTATGTGTGATCAGGTTGTGTTGCCTTTGCTATTTAGATTTAATTACTATTGTTCAGGAGTTCTGACCAATCAGATTCAAGCACTTAGCACAGAGGGATAATTAGCAAGAAAGCCAGGTAATGGCTTTTGTTTTGTGCGAAGTTCTTGTATTTTTGCGAAAATTTGAACTCCATTTTCCCAAAAAACAAAAAGCATTTTAGGGAATTTCTACTGTAAAAGTGATTGATCTGCATACATCTACAGTTTCTCCACTATGTTAGCTTTAACGTAAAAGAAGTTGATCAAAGCTCCACTGAGTAACTTTTAATTCGTGTTGTCGGCGCCCCTTGTGGACAAATAGATGCACTTTTTTTATAGTGTCACATGTCACCTATTTAGAATTTTTGCCTTCATAAATTAAAGCCGCATGCTGCATGAACGGGCGCTCACTCCTCTGTTTAAATTGTAGCGTCTCATAGCTACAAGGTTTGTAGCAGCTGTTTGTTGCAGCTGGGTCAGATTAGAGCATGTTCAGCTCACAACATAGAATCAAGATTATTTCCTGTCTCATGGCAAAACTTAAAAACTTGAGGATTGGATGCGCCTGCGTTTACAAAACTCCAGTTTCACTTTGTTCTACAACCAGCTAAAAACTCATCAGAGGAGCTGTAAATACACAATATCTCCTAACTATATTTTCTTCTGCTTTAAAGTCACTCAAACATTGAAATAAAAAAGGCCATTATTTCACAATGTAAGGATTTATTTGCAGGATATTTCCCTTTCATGTATTTGTACAGAAACTCATGGTCCCTATGGATTTATGACTGTCTATTAAAACACTGATTGTTCCTTTAATGCTTTCAGTGAATCAGATTTTGGCATAGTTCTTAAAGTATTTCATCATGTACTGATTAATTTATGGTATTTAAGTCAAACAGATAAATATGTCATCTTTACTGCAGCATTTTTATCTTCCTGTGTTCTTGTTTGCACAACAATACTCCCCTAAAAACCCTTTAAAAATTTGAGTAAACAAACCTGTTTTTCTTGTCAAACAGACTCCAGGTGGAATGTTTTCATAGTGTGGTAACTTCAAATTATTAATACCTTCTCTCTGCAGGGCTTCTTCCGCCGCAGCGTGCAGAAAAACATGGTGTACACCTGCCACCGGGACAGAAACTGCATCATCAACAAGATCACCAGAAACCGCTGTCAGTACTGCCGCCTGCAGAGGTGCTTCGCCGTGGGAATGTCCAAGGAGTGTGAGTTTCCCTCTCTGTGTCTCCCTCTGGTGATTCAAAGAGATAAAGAAGCTCGAGTGAATCTTGACTTATTGTTATAAACACTCCGAGAGCAGGTAACAACAGATTCAAGGACGGGTTCGACTGATAGTTGACGACAGATTTCCAGTCTCTTTGGTTGGAGAGGGAAATGTCTCAGAGGTCACTGTCACAAAAGGTGATTATTAACCCAGGCCTCTTATTTTTGTTTGGCACAACCTGTTATGTAAGTGAATCATAAAAGATGAGAGGTTTACAGGCGTACTTGAACAAAAGAAACTCGTGTAGTGTTGATCCGAACACATGCAGTATAATAACAGAGAAACTTTAATAACACTCCTATTTAGAATAGTTTGGCACAGTGCAAAACATCTAACCTCTTCACAGGTAACAAAGTGTACTGTTGGCATCATGTGTTTAATTTTAATGGTGACCAAATACTTTCTAAGTGTTCTTGAATGCATCATAAGAAGAAACATGTGAGCAGCCATGTGAGTAAGTGGAGGTAATATCTGTTTTTAGAGGGTTTGTGTTGCTGTTTCGACTCCCTGTGACTAGGGATGGGTGATAAATTATAGTTCTCGATTTATCATCAGAAAAACATTTGCTATCTCACGATAAATGCAATAAGAGTTTTGAATAAATGTTTTAAGTTTTTTCACATTTCAGACTTGAAATTTCAGTTTGATGTCACTAGTTTTCTCCATAAACTACCACTTAAAGTTGTGTTTAAGTATCTAATTTTACTACGCCCACTGGTAAGCGCCATCCAAGAACTATGATTGTGGTGTCCTCAAGACAGAATGATTCAGAAACACTGATAGGAATTATATTTTTTTATCGTGACTTTTATCCTTATCACCAAATTGGCAAAACTTACTATGATAATTTTTTTCGCCCATATCGCCCATCCCTACCTGTGACTCCAAATGAAACAATTTTACAACTAAAATGGAAACCCTTTCAACTGCACCAGCTCCAAGAAACTCCTTAACGCCTACTGTACTTTTTACAACCTGATCTACACTTCAAACTATTTAAGCAAGCTGTCAAAATCTAGACAACTCTAATCAGGAAACCTGCAGGGGTTTTAAGTTGTTTTTTTACACCCTGCTGCTAAAGGGGCCAAAAATCTCCAATTATCCAACCATTTTTATTTTTGCAAGTTTGGATCAAATTTATGAGCATTTTAAATAGAATAGAATGTAGAATATTCCTTTATTGATCCCCCATGGGGGAAATTTTTTTTGTCACAGCAGCTCCTATCAGGAGTTTAAAGCTCCTATCAGGAGTTTTTTGTCATTTGTGAAATAGCTTTATAATTCGTAATGATGTCTTTTCATGTCATCTGAAAGCAAACAAGACCATCAGCAACAAGACTGACACTTTTTAAACCTAATTTTAAATGCTCTAAATCAGTGTTGGGGGGGTATGTGTCAGAAACGGTCCTATTTGTAGAGTTTATACTAAAATTTACTGTAAATAATACTCTGGACCATCAAAAGTCAGCAGGATTAGATTCCTGGTCAAAAGCCATTACTTAGGCCTGTAGGGGACATGATTTAAAAAAAATACTCTTTTGACCACAGGGGGCGCCAAAAAAGACACAAAAACAAAGTTCCCAACAGGAGCTTTAAATGTGTTTACAAACAACTTAAACTTGCTTTTACTGGAAAAAGCAAACACACACACACGCATACTCTTCTCCTCCTGTTGTGTCTCTTTACTTTGTGTGTCCGATCTGTTGACAGTATCCATCAGCAGCATGTTCATTTAGATGGTTTTAAAATGTGAAATGAGGGAAATTAGACATACTTAAACATCTTATTTTACAACAATCCAAAACTAACTGTGCAGATTAGCTTCAGCAGTAACCATCTGTACATAACATCTAAAACAGCGATATAAAAAGGTTGATATTTAGTATGAGACAATGAAAGTTTATCTCTGCATGAGCAGGAGAATCTCATCCTCTGATCACCTGCACAGCGGGAGTCAGTCAGGCACTGCAGATTACGATACAGAGAGTGACAAGAGATCTTAGATGGCAAGCTTAGTGAATCTCATCTTGTTTCTGAGTATAAGAACAGAGCTGAAAAATCTCTGTGACAAAGTTTAATCATCTTTCTCACAAAAGCTAATGAGTTTCTGTTTAGTTTGTCGGTCAGTAATGTGGAGGAGGAAAGCCTGGACAGTGAAACAGAAACAAAGGTCAGGGTCGATCTCTGTGCTGCTCTCTCCCCGTGTCAATGATTTATTTTTCCAGAAACCAGCTGGTCATGAGCAAAACACTAAAGCATGTGAGATTTACAAGAGGAAAGAGGCTGTTTTGGTTTTCCCAATTAGGAAGCTGACCCTGATGGTGGCTGGGGAAACAGTGTCTCCTAAATGTTGGTCTTGGAAACGTCTCTAACAAGCTTTTTTCCTCTTGACTTGGAAAGTTCAAAGATTTTCTGGAGTAAAAAAAAGAGTAACCCAGTTTCTCGATGTTAATGGGTCATATTAAAACCTCCTGAGTCACGATGAAGGAGGAATCCTGATGCTGAGAACTTTAGAGAAACAGACTGAAACTGCACGATGAACAGCAGCAACACTCGTAAAAGACAGAAACAAACTCTGAGTTACCCAAAAGTAAAGTGACCTAAATTAGAGAGTGTGTGTGTGTGTTATGTAGAATGATCTGTAGGATAGCGATAGGGCTGCAGCGAAGGATCCACCCCTCCACATGTCCGTTGTTGCTCCTCCACTCTCAGACACTCACACATTACATAAATACATCACATGTATCGGACAGATGGATGCTATGTAACCGCTCGCCGTCTGCCTCAGCCGCTGTGTAATATGATCTCACTAGGAGTGTTTACACAATGACGACTAAATGTAGGGCACCCAGAGAGAGGAGGAGGAAGAGGAAGAGGAGGAGGAGGAGGGGGTGAGGTGGGGAGGTGGTGAAGGGGGAGGAGATTTGTAGTAAGGACAGCAGAGAGCGAGGTGTTGCATAATCCTGGACGCGGCAGACATGTGTGTAGCTGCTCGGATCGAGTCAGTAGGACGACAGAAACGTGTTGACACGGTTACAGAAGTGATTATGAAAGGCTAACCTGGTTTAGGCGGCTTCACGTGCTCCCCGGTGTAACAGATAATCCACTCAGCTGGAAGCCAACTCTCTTAACCAGAGACGGAGTTTCACTGCAGCAGACGGCTCACAGACAGGTCTTCTCAGAAACTGTTTTTCTTCTCCACCTGACCTGAACTGAATCCTGTTTTCATACTCGGTTTATTTTTGTCATAGTTCAGGTGAGCTCCCTCATAACTCCGCCAGAGTTTCCAGTTTTTTTTACACCGCAGAGTTATTTTTGGAAAATATTCATCCACTTGTGAAACACTCTCTCCACTTGGTTGTAAAATACCGACACTTCGTCGCTGTTCTCAGCTCGACAAACACCCAAACCACACTTGAAATGAAAATACTAACTTACCACAGCATGAATAGGGGCTCAAAGTCAGCTGTGGTGGAAAACTAAGGGGGTTACCATAGTTACCAGTAACCATAGTTCGGTCTAGGGTGTTTATTCGCTTGTTTCACTCCATTTTTGTGCGCCATATTCTATCCCAAACACACAAATTAATACAAGAGATGAGGGTTTCCTTATCAAACATAGTTAAGAGGTGAAACATTGTGAGGGTTTGTTGTGTTGAAATGATGTAACAGATAAATCGACATTCTCTCTCACCTTCCTCCAGGTGAGCTCCTCCTTGTTTCTGCGTCTGTATTAAAAACAAGTCATTTCCTGTAGCTCAGGTAGCTGCATACTGTCACCATCAGAAGACTGAACCTCCATCAGCGCCACTTTCATAAAATATGTCAACAGGAAATCTTTAATGATTTGGAATTTCCCCCCGTGGGACTATTAAAGGAACATCTTATCTTATGATGAGGTATGAGTGAATGAAGCGAATACTGTGTAGAATAATTTCCAAAATTTGCGCAGACCTCATAACTGATCATGCCTTTGCGTTGACTCTTTATTTGAGTTTGGTGTGAACACAACATCAGGCATGTCGGCCTCTCTGGGTTTTTGGTCCTGCTGATTATTGGGCTTATTTTGGGTTTGAGGCCCATCATCTGTTTCTGTCTTTGACTTTTCAGTCGATCATTAAAATAAATCAATTAAAAAGTTGTGTTAGTTTATCTCCACTGCCAATATGTCTTCCCCTCTGGTTTTGTTTATTTGCTTCTCCTGATGTCCCTCCCACATCGCCTAATGTACTGGCTAGACGTCACATAACCGTGTGATGTAACTGTACTGTGAGTGTAACTTGTAAACTGATAACTCTTTCTGTAGTTTTGATCAATTTCAGACATTGGTGACGTGGTTTCAGTCCTGATGGTGACCCTTAAGTCCAACCTCCGCTCAGACTTGTGTCTGTTTTTGGACAGCCACCATCAGCTGCTCGGTTTTCCTCGTTATCATAGCCGAGTTGTTTAAAAACTTCTTGTTCAAACCGATTAGTTTTTGTGCGAACTGTCCAGATAAAGCTGAAGAGGAAATCTGTTATCTATTTTTAGCACACATGATCACATCTGTTTGTTTATCTTTTGGTCGTGTGTCTGAACGTCTTTTAACCTGCGCTGTGTTTTCCCTCAGCTGTAAGAAATGACAGGAATGGGCGGAAGGCGAAGAAGGAGGCGGTGAAGATGACGATCATGGAGACGTACGAGCTGACGGCGGAGCTGGGGCTGATCGTGGAGAAGATCTGCAGAGCCCACAGAGAGACCTTCCCCTCTCTCTGCCAGCTGGGAAAATACACCACAGTGAGTGAGAAGATAATATCACCTTCAGAGTGGAGAAGATCAACGCTGTGGAGAGTTTTATGTTGATATGAAGTACAAAGACAGCATATTTAACGCTGAGACTGTAAAAAAGTGTTTTATAAAAATAATTTCATCATTTGAATTTGAGAATTTTAGGATATTTCACAGAGGTTGGGGCAGGAGACACAAAACACAAAATAAGATGAGTGCGAAAGCAAAGAGTGAAACAGTAAAATTTCAGGATTTCGTCATCTGAAGTGAATAATATGAAAAGATTCAGGGATGGCCTTTACTTGATGGCTTTAATACGAAAGAGGATCAGGGCCACATAAAGAGAAAAAAAATAATTACAGGAAGGAGATTGAAGACAAAATTTCGAGATTAAAGTCAAAATTCAAAGAAGTTGAAATTTTGACTTGACTCATGTTAACTTTAATCTTGAAATTTTAACATTAAAAAAAATCTAAATTATGTCAATAGTCAGAATTTCGACTTTTTAAAAATTTCGACTTTAATCTCAAAATGGAAATTAATAAAATCTCCCTCCTGTAATAATTTTTGTTCTCCTCTTGTGGCCCTAATCCTCTTCATACTTTAAACTTTGTGCTCTCGTGCCACTGCATTAAAAACAGATGCGTCTCTGTAGTGATATTCACTGCATGGGACCAAAGTCACTGTAAAAAACGAGTCTTTGTGAACACAAACCATAAAGAGAGAACGAGTCTTCAACATGATCCAGAAGCACAGACTTATTTAAGGTGGGCTGAGGTGAAACAGAATCAAAATTTGACATTTTTTTGGAAATCATGGAGAGAAAAGGAGAGGACATTTGAAAGCGTACAGGTCCATGTCAGGGGAGATGTCTGCATTAATGCTGAACAATAAGGAGCAACATATGCTGCCTTTCAGAAATGACCTTTTTCAGCAAGGACCTCGCAAATCTGAGCGATACAGCACCAAAACACATTCTGGATTTCTTAGTGGAAGAGTCTGAGTTATAAACATGCAAGATGACGAATGAGACTTCAGATTGTTTGGCAGTTAGAATCCTACATCAGGCACAAATGAGGCAACATTTCTGGTTTCTTAACATGTACGGAGTTGTTAAAATTAGAGGTAAAGCCACATGATGGTAAAGATTTTTTTACACTTTGCACAATGTCCCAACTTTTGTGAAACTGGGGTTGCAGCTCATTCGTGAATCATATGGTTTGAATCTTATACTAAAGAGAGCTCAACAAAGCCTCTTATAAAAGGTGCTTGTAGGACTGTTTTTCATTCATACATAATGTAAAGATCGTCGTGCGCGTCACGAATCAACATAACTGCAAATCCCTGTGTTACATAATAGTTATCTAAGGAGGAGGATGTAGCAGGGAGCGCCTTTCCTCATGATAATGATAATGATAATAATAATGATACACGAATGTTTGTCACAACACGTGTTTGTGGTTTGACCACTCAGCAGAAATGAGCGATGCTGGGAAGAACGAGAAACACAAGGAAATACAGGAGGAAAAATAAACCTGATGAGCTGTTCATTAAAAATGTCGTTTGTTTGTCTCTAGAGATAATTTTCTGATTCATTTCAAAGTCCAAAGAGAAACCTCATCTTTTAGTGTTTCTGTTTTATTTTCTCTGTAATTATAACAAATACAAACATGAGACTGTTTCTTTTTGTCCCAGAACTCCAGCTCGGACCACAGGATCCAGCTCGACCTCGGCCTGTGGGACAAATTCAGCGAGCTCGCCACCAAGTGCATCATCAAGGTGGTGGAGTTTGCAAAGAGGGTGCCTGGTTTCACCGGCCTGACCATCGCAGACCAGATCACCCTGCTGAAAACCGCCTGCCTGGACATCCTGGTACATCTTTCTGTTGTCTTAAAGTCCTAAACTTGACAATCTTGTAAATCTGATGGTCCTGTTTGCTATTTTGAACTACACAAAAACATCAGTCTGAAGGTCAGCAAACTCCTCACAGGAGCTTTAACCTTTAGTGGATCTTGACTTATTCTGACAGCTGACATTTACAGTCAAACTGACGAGTAGCAGCTGCTCGTCTGTCGTCACCACAGGGCGTGATCGTTGACTCTGACGTTCCGGGGGAGTGCCACTTAGCAACCACTCTGTTTTGTTTGGACTGTACATGTGTTTCCCTGAAGAGGCTTTCGAGGAAGTCTTCGTTTTTTTTTTTCACTCCCTCTCTGGCACCAGTTTAAACCCGAGTTATGTAACACAGGTGAAGGGGATCACACAGGCTTTCTTTCTTTCTGTTCGGGTTTTTAAAACTTTATTTGGCACCGACTTCGACTGGAGTTAAAATAATTCACATTGATAAAAAACAGGATACCTGCAAAAGAGAACATCAGAACAAAGAGGAAACAGATTTTTACAGATGCAGCCGACAAGGAAACATCAGAGGAGTGAAAAACCCGAACAACGAACTCGTTTACCTCGTCTCTACTGTAGCCTGGAAATTAACCCTTTCATGTAGAAATCATCAAGTCACAAAACAAATGAAAGGTCAACTTAATGGATACACAAAGAAACAGAACATAATATATGTGGAGGAGAAATTTGAGGAAAAACATCGCTCTTTATCCCAAAACTTACGATATTTATTTAAATCTGATATGGCAACTAAGTCCATGACTTTCCTCTCAGTCTGTTTGTGTGTTTTTCATCCTCAAAGGTAACCATACACACACATCTCTGTCCCCAAATTAAGTGTCACCTCCTAAAAATGAAGGATAAAATTTAAAGCTCCTGTAAGGAACTTTCACTTTGTGTCCGTTTGGTCGTTCTTTTGTCTGGTTTTCTGAAATGAGACTTAACTCGGTACATCCACTCTTCTGCTCCCCATTTTTAATTTCTGATGATTCAAGATCTTGAACTGACAAAAATAAAGAAAACTAAATTAACTTTGTTCAGGGATTCACTGCCTTGTGGTTGAGATCTGTCACACAGACTGTGAAATGATAGACGTCTGTTAATCCCTCTTCTTACACGAGCTGCTCTTACTCTGTACGAGAGGGGATTATAAGTCTAAGAGTCGGACTTTTAAAGGAGGAGTTTCCAATTGGAGTTTTCTCTGATTCTGAAATAGTGTTACTTATGCGGCTTCATAACCTGCATAATTAAATAAGATGATCATGATTAACTCTTTGTACTGAGTTTAGGTACCTGTGTTTGGGGCACAGAGGTTAATACTGAGCGCTCACATTGAAGTGTCTGCTGGTGAAGTTTGAAGCTTTAATGATTTTCTTTATGCAGAATGTTTTATAGTCACGACTGAGACTGGAGCGGGATTAGAGAATAAACATCCGTTTTTTCATAAATACAGTACGATACGATTGACCCAGCTTCTGCTCTCCTGTAAAGTTTTTTTTTCTACATTCATGAACTTTATTTTTTCTTTGTTTTTTCTTTTTCTGCAGATTTTGAGGATTTGCACTCGCTACACTCCGGACCAGGACACCATGACTTTCTCCGATGGGTTGACCCTGACCCGGACTCAGATCCATAATGCCGGATTTGGACCTCTGACTGATCAGGTGTTCACGTTTGCTGGCCAGCTGTTGCCCCTGCAGATGGACGAAACGGAGAGCGGACTCCTTAGCGCCATCTGTCTCGTCTCTGGAGGTACTGAAGAAACGACATCAGATAATATAACAATAAATTATGACAAGTGAGATTTTACTCATTCATTCACCTGTCATGGAGACTGAGTTTGTCTGTTAAAGACGGAGTTGATCTGTTTGTCTGCACAGACCGTCAGGATCTGGAGGAGCCCTCGAAGGTGGAGGTGCTGCAGGAGCCGCTGCTGGAGGCGCTGAAGATTTACTCCCGCAAACGGCGACCCAGCATGCCGCTCATGTTCCCCAAAGCCCTCATGAAGATCACCGACCTGCGCAGCATCAGCGCCAAAGGTCAGAGAGCAACAACAATAACGTTTCTAAGAGGTTAAAAAAAGAGAAGATGACCAAGCCTTTTCTCACCTGCACATCATTCTCTCAAGTCTTGGCTGTCAGAAGAAGAAATACTGGGATTGGAAAGGAAGGTTGGATGGAAAAAGAGGATAGACAGAAAGAAGAGAAGAAGGAAAGGAAGGAAGGAAGGAAGGGGAGAATAGATGGGAAAAAAGAGGAAAGGAAGGAAGGGAATATAGGAATGGATAGAGAAAAAAGAAAGAGAGAAAGGAGGAAAAAATTGAGGAATAAGAAAGAAAGACAAGAAGGATGGAAGGAGGAATAGAAGGACAGAAGAAAGAAAAGAAGGAAGAAAGGAAATGAAGGAAAAAAGAGAGGATGGAAGAGGGAAAAAAGACGAAAACAAAAGGAATGAATGAAACTTTCTTCTAACCGACCTACCTGTCTTCCTTCCTTCCTTCCTTCCTTCCTTCCTTCCCTCCTTGTTGGTCATTTAACTGTTACATGTATATGAAGAGTGTTTGTATCTGGTATGGACATAAACAGGTGTGACGTTCACTTCATGAACACAGGTGTTTGTTTCCACAGGAGCTGAGAGGGTGGTGACCCTGAAGATGGAGATCCCCGGCTCCATGCCCCCTCTGATCGAGGAGATGTTGGAGGATCTGCAGAACCTGGAGAAACACCAGAACAAACACTCGGACACAGCCGCTCCCCTCAGCACATGAAACCCTCTCAAGTTTATTTCAAGTTTCACTCTGAAGCTGCTCAAAGACTCTCGGTCCGGTTTTCCCTCCTGGACAAAAACACTAACAAGTCCTCCAGCTGCGGTCCAGAGGGAGTCCTGTGTCTTACCTCATGTGTTTGTCTGGAGAAGAGTGAGTGGATATTCACAGATTGTGTTTAAGAGTTGTTACACTAATGACGAAGCTGATTGAAGAAGAGCTCGTTTCTTTGTTCTGCCTTGAGGAGGAAAAGATGCAGGAGTTAAATCTGTGCTTTATTTCTAACTCCCCTCTCTGCAGACTTCACGTAACCGCTCCAGCGTCTCTGTTTCAGGTTCCTGCTGTATTTATATTTGCATGAGATGTCACACAGATTCATTTTACCTCATGAAATAGCAACATCTTTAGAGTTAGCGTAGAAAAAATAGTTTGTTTCTCACCTTTCACCTTTGTCTTTTGAACATGTAAAGAGGAAAAGCTCTGATTTAACTCAAACATATTTAGAGAAAAAGGCAGATTTATATTTACAAAAGGGAAACTTTAAATATATGAAAGTATAACTCATGAGAGGCGGATGCAGATACAGCTCAGTTCACAGAAAATACGAAACACTGTAAATACATTTAAAGGAAAAGTCAGCGATTTTTGAATATCTCTCTCTGAGTGGCGTGTTGGAGGTTGAGATCCATATCAATATCAAGTTGTGGGTAAAGTCTGAGATTTTATGGCAAATATGATAAGAAATACTCTGTAGTTCATTGTCCAAAGTGTGACATCTTTTCTGAGGAAAATTTACAAAGTGATCCGACTTCTTGCCTAAAGGTCCTTTCACACCAGGGCTGTTTTTGTCGTGCGATTATTTCGGACGTCAACATTTTTTTCGAACCCGTATCCTGTCAGTACAAGCGTTCACAACAGCGATGTTTTCCCATCCTGCGATATCGCAGCATTTATTTTTTCGTTTCACTGTAAATTTTTCCAAAGTTTCTCATACTGTGTGTCCACTAATGACCAATCAGATTCACCGGTATATCCAACATGGCCAACCGGCTGATTGTTTACGTATCGGAGAACAGAGTGCTTTTTTACAAAGGCCAATCAGAGGCAAGGGGGCGGGACTTCCCCCGGCAAATCTTCCCCGGGATTCTTCCTTTTCCCCCCCGGAAAGTTGCAAAATCGCATCGGGCTTGATGTGTATAGTCAGGCGTGTCATAATTCGCCTCTGAATATTTCGTAATTTTGCGTTCTATACTTGCGTCTGCCTGGGTGTGTAAGGACCTTTAAACTGCACAAAAATACTACTTAATAAGCAGCCAGTAGTCTTGAAATAAAACATGCAAAATTATTAGAATCAGTTTTTTTTCACCCTAAAATATTTTGAATCAACTGTTCTTATTTTGTCAGAAAAACGTGGAGATGTAGTTTCTACTAACAAAGTCAGAACCTAAAGAGAGATTGTGAGATAAAGTGCAGCATGAAACCACAAATGTATTAATATTATTATTATTATCATACCTGTTTTTACCGAATAAACGAACAAATAAATATCAGAACAGATTTATTTTATTTCAGGAGCCCTTCGATCACATCCAGACAACCTTTATCCTTCTGTTTTCTCTCCAACAGAAGTCAAACTCTAGTGAATTGTTTTGCAGTATCAAATATATATAAAGATTTTGTACATTGTAAGTAAGCTAAACAGTGTTATTTTTAAGTACATGTTTTAATCTCAGATGGTATATTCACAGTTAGGCCTGAATTTTCCTAAAAATAACCGATTTTACTCTGTCGATACTGATCTTTTCTTTGTTCTTCCTAATTTTGAAGCGTTTTCTACTGCGATAACTTTTGTATTTCATTTAACAAAACTTGTACACCCTTCCAAAGGCACCAGTGAAAGAGACAAAAATCGAAAACATGAACAGGAATGTTTGATGAGTAATTAAATCTGGAACTTGGACGGTAATTGTGCCTAAAAAAAACAACAGACTCTCCATGAATCGTTGTGATAATTTATAACATTTGTGTACAAACCTGAAAGAGATCATGTGCCTACTCTCAGCGTGCCAACAGCTTCCATTTCTGGACATTTTTCATGTTTTACAAAAGTATTAAACCTGGAACAGATCACTTCTCATATGTTTTGTTGGTCTATTAAAGTCTTGTGTACTGAGTTTTTTTGTGTGTGTCTTCTCATCTTTTAAATCTAAAAGTGAATTCTTGGGTTACTTCTGTAGCTACTCATAGAGCGGGTCATCCTCTCTTGAAATCTTGGCTTCTACTGCCCCCTGTGGCTCGTGTTAGCAATTACACTTTATCGCACCAAAGAAAAATATAACTCCTGTAAATAGTAGATGACTTTTAGAGACATAACAAATGAGAGGATAGACAATTGGATTTTCCTTTGGGGATGAATAAAGTTATTTTTTTCTTATTATCTTATTCTAATTCTTATCAAGAGAAACAAAAATGAAAGATTAAAAACAACTAAATGAAAAAATCTATAAGGACCTCCCCTACTCTTAACTTTAAGTGTTTTTACACTTTTTTGTGTATTTGATATGATCTCCTTATTGTAAAAACATCTAAATATTCATCAAAAAAAAAGCAAAAAGAAAACATTTATGAGAGAATATCCAAAAACAAGAACAAACTTTTTATTTAAATGTTTTTTTTCCTCATTTAACCTCTCAAAATAACTTTTATCTTCGAAAACAGTAAATCTGTAAGTGCAGGATCAACCTGTCCAACCACAAGAGACTGTAAACTACATATGCAACACCAGCGCCACCTTGTGCAGCTGAAGTAAAAGGCTACTTATGAATCAAAAAAGTCAATCAAGAGACTCGAAATTTGTCTTAAAAGGCTCTTTATTTAAAACAAGTTTTTTTCATGTATACTAGAAATGTATTATCCTGCAAAAACTTGTGTACTTGTACCTTTTAAATGTTTTTTTTTCCACTGTAGTTCTGCAACTTCAATTATCACCATCAGGCTGATAAATCAAACTTGATAAGACAGACGTGCTCTTCAGTTTCTTATTCAGGTATACTTTGACTGCGTTGAATATTTCATTTTCTACACCTTGTTTGTTGCTACTTTATCGACTCTCTTGCACCTGTTTCAGATGCAGCACTCCTAATGTCATCATATATTCCTGTAAAATGACCTCAAAGGTTTTCCAAAGTCCAGCAAAGCAGAACAAGAACAGTCCATACTTTCTTTGACATAAACTGCTGTGTGCTGTTTGACTTAAAGGTTGTTTATTTAGTTTATCCTTTAGACGCAGAGCTTTTTACAGATGAATCTCTCTTGGATCAAAGTGCATGAGAAAGTGCTCCCTCTGCTGCCCTCCACATAAAAAAAACAGATGCACATTTCATATTTCATATTAAAAATGATAAGTTATTCAAAGTGCATGTTGATTTTGTTCAAGTCCAGCAGAAAGTGGTAAACATCGGAAGACCTGACCTGATTTTTAAGCTGCAGCTCTTTGTACGTCAGGAAAATTGGCTTAAATCCATGAACAACACGGTGTGATGTGAAGTCCTGCAGCGAGGGCAAGTGAAAAGTCAAACAGCTGAGTCTGATCCTGAGGATTTAAAGTGCTGAATTTTGACAAACCTGATAAAAACACAGAAACAGAGGAGCCGGAGCTCAAAGTACAAAAACAGCTCTGCAGAATTCAGAGGTTTGGGAGGTTTTGGTGTGTGTGTATGCAGGTGAAATGTGGAGTTTATGAAATAAGCCGTTTCTGCCGACTAGTTTGACCTGATCTTGTTGGATGTGTTTTCCTGTTTCAGGCCGTTAATGAACGAATGATGGTCAGATTAACATGAAATAGCTTTCGTCTTTAGTGACTTTGACATGTCGAAGTACAATCCTCAACCTAAACATCAGTGCATTCAGAATTTTATGTTCATTTCTAGCAGACATACTTTGTCTCTTAGTGGATGTAGACCTGAGAAAATCTGAAATAAACTGTGTTTTTCCAGATGCTGCTGTGACGTCTGAGAGTGAATATCCATGGTCGTCACTCCTTTTTTTTCTTGGTCATTTCTTCTCTCTGAATCAAAACACAAAATGTTACAATGAATGTTCAATATGTAAATAAGGAATATTGATTTTTAAAATGATCATTGCTGGGTGAGTTTATATATCATTTTGATTTTGTTTTCAGTGAATAGAACTCTCCTGTCAGATTTCTTTGTCTTAGCTTTTAATTCCTGTTCATCTTCACATCTTCACCTTATAAAATGTAACTATTTCTGCTTTTATTTTTTGTGACGTTATTCTTTTTTTATTGATCATTTTACTCTTTTTTCCTCTTTTATTGATTTTGTGTTTTTAAACTTCTACAGCACTTTTGCAGTCATTTCCCTTGTACGATAAAGTATAAATCTGACTTGATCAATGATGCAAAAAAACAGCAGAGTATTAGGTGTCTGTCTGTTGTATGAGCGATTGGTAATTCATATAAATGTTCATGTCACCTGGAGTTTGGTGCCTCATAGTATCTGTTCTCCTCCAGAAGCTCCTCAATGATCGCCTAAAAGAGTAAATGACACAGAGAGGCGATTTATTGTGGGGCTGTAAAGTCTTAGTCGATTGGTCAATCAATTGGTCGGTATGTGCTGAGTCGACCGAAATTCTGATCGGTCGACTCGATTTTTCCCGCGTCATTTTACAGTCTAGTTAATGTCATCGGAAGGAATGTACCAAGTGCTAATGGGGGTGTTTTCAGAGCACCCCAATTTCACAGGTAACACCCTGTCTTAGAACACCCCCTTGTTTTCACCATTTTTGGATTCGTCCAACCCACTGGAGACCGGAAGACGTTAATCGACGTCCGGTGGTTTTGCCGAATAGCGATTATTGGTCGAAAATTTAAGGGTTTTAGTCGACCAAGAATGTCTTTGGTTGATTACAGCCCTGATTTATTGGATCTTCAGTATGACCTTAAAGTAAAAACAGATCTTTACTCTAAATTGAGACACCTTCTTGGGACAAACACAGCTTAAACTAATCCTAACAAGGACAAACATCTACAGAGATAAACTCCAGACAAACAGACCTGCATCTGCTGATAGGTGACTCCATCTTTGAGGTTCCCATCACCTACAGGACACAAAACAACAACTCTGCAATTAAACATCCAGGTAACAAGAATCTGGTGGATGAAATATTACTTCATAATATAAAAAATGCAAAAATACACTTATGAGCTTGTTGTAGTCAATCAGTTTTCAGTTTGTATTTTGGATTCAGTGACATTAAAGGTGAGGTGTAACTCTTACCTGTGTGGTCATCAGTGTGAAGGTTTTCACTGAAGTGTTGGACCAGAGGCCACCAGTCTGAGCTGGTGGAGCCCAACTCCATCAGGTCTGGAGAGGCCTGGAGGAGCTGCAGCAGGAAAGAGTCTCGATTAAAGCTCCTGTCAAGAGTTTTTTTGATGGACTCAAATTAATTTAGATGCAAACAAAACCATCACCAGCGGGATTAGTGATTTAATACCCTGATATTTTTACTGCCTGATGCTGGTGTGAGGGGGTAGGGGGTCGGCCGAACACCTTACACTTCAAATATTCACAATAAAAAGTAAGCAGGAGGAGATGTTTTGTCAGCGGAAACTACTTTAGAAAGAAAAGACTGTGATAAATATTAATCAAGTCATTTTTCATTCCTGTCGACCCCACACTCCTTTCTGCTCCAGCCTCTCATCTTTGTGGTTTTGCAGGTTCTTCACAAAACAAACAACGTTAATATGTCGACATTGTGTTTGTTTGTTTTGGCAGACTAACCTGCACTTCAGCAGAACTGTGAGTGAACCTTACAAACCTTGCTGAGCTCCACTTTAAGGCTGTACGGATCACTCCCGCAGAGGAACAGAGACTTCTTAAACCGCTCAATGAGACGGCGTTTGATGTTGTGGTGTGAGGATGGAGGGAGCTGGAAAGAAAGTAGAGTCAGTCTTTTATATTTTTAGTTGATTTAGCCACAGTTTAATGCCCATGTAGTTAAAGAAGTCATGTGTAAAACCCTTTTATGTATTATGGTTTATAATTAATTAGAATTGATCAGATATTTAAAAAATATAGGGGTGTGATGGTACCTGAGTGATGAAGATGATTTTGTGCAGCTGAAGGAGGAGTCTCTGAATGGGATCGTCGATCTGTCGGAGTTTCTTCTGAGAGACACAAATCCCTGCAGAAACTGAGAGAAGAGGAAATACACACCGCGCTGACTGAGGCCAGACAAACAACAGCTTATGTAAACCAAGAAACTGATGAGTTAAAGTGACTTATTTTGAAAGCAGAGGTACCTGGTCTGGGTTTAATCTTCGCAGAGGCGTAATCCTCACTGAAATTTAAAAACAAACAATTCAATAGAAGTGATCGGATGTGGATTGATTAAATGCCTGTGAATACTCGTTTCTTTACCAGTCGCATGAATGAATAAGACAGAAAATAACAAAGGGAGCCTGTAGTTTGCAGAAATCATTGAAAATTGATGACGTTTTCAATCAAAATCCTCCTCTAAGCACGAATTATCCACATAAACATGGAGCAAATCAAACTCCTTAAATGCTGCTCAAGTTCTGTGTATATTTGTAAAGATCAAACAGAAATAAACAACAACTTTCACTCACCTGGATACAGTTTCATCAGGTGTGACACAGGCCCTGGACTTTAATCCTTTCAGCAAAACAAACAAACAAACAAACAAAAATGTATATTTGCTCATTTAGTAAATATGTTTAAGTGCAGAAGTGCTCACATAGGCTGCTCCTTTCCCCCAGGCCTGTAACTTTACAGTGTGTGTGATTGCACAAAATCTGCATGATCAGACATGTTTACTCTGAACGCACTGGTGTGTTTATGTGTGTGGTAGACAGACACGTGCATGTGTTGATCAAATGATCAGACGTGGTCTTAATTCTGATTTGTCCTGAGCCACGCCCTCAGATGACCCTCAAAAGCCTAAAGGGAGTCTTGCTGTCACCACTATCAGAGGTTTTAGTCATTCTACTTAATATTTTGATTATATAAGAAAAATTCAAAATATAAAACTGATGTAATTACGATCTGAAATTAATGCGTTTTTATTTTTTTATGCTTTTTCATGACTTTGAGTGACTTTGTTTTCTTCCCATCTGCTGCCGCCCTAACTTGGAAAATCCACACAGTGTCGAGTAGAGAGACTTCCTGAACCTCTCAGATGAAGTTTGGTGTTTTATTTCTGATGCAGTGGCTGACTAATTGGAAGAAAACAGCGAGTTTGTCAGAGAAAACGTACCCTCGTGTTTCCCTCTGAGAGCGGCAGAGTCGATTTTTGAGTCACATGAATCACCTCCACCATACAGAGAATGATCTGGAAACACACATTTAACCATTAACAGCATACTGAGGATTTAAAATCAGACTTTTATCTGTTTATGTCGACTCCTGACCTGGATTGATGTCCTGCTCGCTGTGGTTCAAACTGCAGGCCGCAGAAAAGCGTGGCGTCATGGCATCATTATTCAGTAAGGACTGTTGCTGCGAAAACAAAAGAAACTTGTTTTAAAAACTCTGCAAGAAAAACGAGGTATGTACAGCTTTAACATTTCATCTACAAACATAAGCTACATAGTCCAGACTTGGACGCCCTGATGACTTTAATGTCCACTTTACCTGAGTGAGGTTTGAGTGACAGCAGCTCGTCCTGCTTCTTTCCACAAAGTACCTCTGCGCTCGTTTCCTGTCTCTCTCTGCTCTCCTTTCTAGTGCATTCTGGGAAGTGAAGAGTCCGTCCATCAGCCTCATCATGAGGTCAGAGATCCTGGAGCTGACGGCCACGATGTCCGGGCGCTGGTCTGCATCTGGACTCAAACACCTGATGGTAAGTCATGTGACAGAAAAACAGAGATATGTCAGGGGGGAGGGTGACTTTCGTAATTATTGGACTAGACTCTGCTCTCACAGCATTTAGCAAATTCCAGTAGAGAAGAAGAACTTCCTTTAACAGGCAGAAACCTCGAGCAGAACCAGACTCATGTTAGACAGTCATCTGCTGAGACTGAATTTGGTTTAGAGAGGAGAGAGAGGGAGATGGACAGAGGTGAGGTGGAAGCACGAAGTTGAAGCAGCTGAAAAAACACGTCCATGTCTGCAGCAGCGATCCAGAGGAACCTACAGCATGATGGGGCTCAGCGACTCCCAGGAAAGACTGCTCTAAACCTTAAATTTCATAATGGATCCAAAATCTAAAGACCTTATCAGAAAAACTAATAGAGCAGAATGAAAGTGTGACTTTGACTTTGTCTCACCATCTGATCATCTCTGAGACTCGTCCTGAAAACGTCCCCTCTTTGATCGGCTCGTAGTCGGCCTCCACAATCTAAGACAAAGAAAAGAGTTTTACTGTCAGAGTAACGATGGAGGAAAACAGTTTCAGGTCCAGATTGTTTAATGCGAGTCTGTGAGGTGGTTTGAAACCTTATTGGCCAGCGACAGCATGTTGCTGCTGTAGAAAGGAGGCTGTAAAGCTGCCATCTGGTAGAGGATACAGCCTAAAGCCCAGACGTCTGCTTTCTCCCCGTACGGCTCGCTCTTCACCACCTCTGGACTAAAACACACACGAACACACACAGACAGAGAAAATCAAAAGATTTGACATAATGATTTTTTTTTTTGACAAACATCCAAAACTAAACCTTGTTTTAAACTCCTTTAGGGAAGTGATAAAAATAAGTGACAGTCTCTATTGTCATGAAATGTTCTGTTAATTTAGTTTTCTCCTGGTTTTGTTATTTGAGTGTATTTTCTGTGTGTTTTTCCCCTCCTGTTTCTGTTCCCTATCATTCTTGTGATCTTGTCTTGTGAGTTTTCAGTTTGTGTTTGACTCTGTTTCCGTCATGTTCTCAGTGTTTTATTCTTTAGATCAGTTTTCAGTGCTTCCTGTTTTATTTTGTAGTAGTTTCTGGTCTTGTTTTCCCTCCTCAGTAATTGTCTCACCTGCCTCTCGTTGCTCGTTTCCCTGTGTGTATTTATAGTCAATAGCTGTCCTTTCCCTCTGTCTTCGTTGGTTTATTGTTTCTATGTCTCAGTTGAAGTCGATGTGTGAGTCCTCACTCTCCTTGTGATTTTTCTCTGCGCCTTTTGTTGGATCTTTGCTCCTTATGTTTTTTTCAGTTGTACATCTTCAGAGCGAGTTTTTGCTCTGAATTTTCTTTAATAAATCTTTAGATCTGAACTTTGCTCCTTTTTCTTTCCTTTCGTGTACCAATCCTGACATCTATAGTAGTTAGAAAAGCAAAAACAGACCATCAGAGAGAAGACTAATGATGTCAATATGGTTGTTTTTTATTTTTTTCTCATAGTTCTCCACAGAATTGATTCAATGTGAGTTAAAGCTCCTCTGAGGAAGTTAAAGTTTCTGTTAGCTTTGTTGCCCCCCTGTGGACAAAACAGTCTTTACTGATTTTGTCCTCTACAGGCTTAAAAAGTATCTTTTGATAAAAAATATCATCTCACATACTTTTAACAGATAAATAAATAACTTTGTTAGTGGAATTTGTGAAAACAGACCTAACTTTTACCAAGTTGTATTGATATTGCATCGGTCTTGTCCCTGATGGTTAATAGAGATTTCCATTGACTTCATAGATGTCAAAAAACTCCTCACAGGAGCTTTAAAGCTTCTTATTTTCCAGGGTAAAAGCGGCAGGAATACCTTCACTTTTTAAAAATACAAACAGCTAAAGTTGAACCTCTGTCCACCAAAGAAATATTGGTAGAAAAACTATTTAAATCCTCACCAGGAGTAAAGGATGGTGCCGACCACTGATGTGAGTTTGCTGTTCTCTTGTTTCTGCTTGGCCAGGCCAAAGTCAGCTGCAGGCAGAGAGAAGAAACATCAGATCAACTTTAACAATAAGACGATGGAGGCAGCATGAGTGGAAATCTCTGAGTGGACTCTCACTGATGGTGACTTTGTCCTTTTCCCCCAGCATGATGTTGTTTGGTGTGAGGTCTCGGTGGACGATCCTCTTTTCTTTGTGGAGGTACCTCAACGCAAGACACATCTGGAGAACAACAGTGAGGTATGAGGGACTCACAACGTTTTACATTGGATATTGTTAGTTATCTGGTGTCTAAGTGTAAGGTTTGGGTGTTATATGTAAGACACAACCCACAATGTGACAGTGATGCATTAATCTTAGTAAACTCATCTAAAAGTCAACAAAACGTTCATGACCTCTGATTAGTTTGGTGAAATAATAGTTTGGATTATCGAGTTGTTACCTGTATGAAGATATTCCAGATTCTGTCCTCTGTGAACTTCTGCTGCTTCTCCTTCAAAGAGTTAAAATGTTCGGCCAGCGGCACTCCTTCGATCAGCTCCATCACGATGTACAACTTCTCACCTAAAATCAGCAGGATCTATTGTTATCGTATCACTCTTTCTTCACAATCATTTTGGATTAAAAATATTATCCTCACCGTCCAGAAATGTCTTATAATATTTAACAACATTCGGGTGCATCATCTGGAGAGGAAGAACAAAGAGGAAGTGAACACCGTACAGTGTGGTTTACATGTTAGACGGGCTGTAATGTTTGAATTTTAATGATTGAAACTGAAACTCGGTGCCTGTTCTTTGATGATTGAAAGCTCAGAGATGATTTTCTCCACGTTGCTGTCTCTGGACTTCTTGTCTTTGCCAAACACGGGGTTATGAAGGTTCACCTCCTTCAGCGCCAGCAGGTTCTGACCACTCTGCTTTTGCACCTGTTAGCAAAATCAGTATTTATTCAGTATTTAGCATTAAAGACTTGGTAGAAATGGAGTATGATGTTAGAATCTGAACATTAGATATCACTAATTATTTCCATTTCTACCATGTCTATGCACTGCACCTTTAAAACAGACCTGGATTGACCTTGTTGGCTGCTGATGCCGATGCTGATGCTATTTTTGATTGTCATACCTTAAAGACGCTCCCAAAGGCCCCTGTTCCCAGGTGGTCCAGTATGGAGTAACCATTGATGACTCTAAGAGGAGGGCGGTTTTGGTCCACAGCTTTGATGCTCTCTCTCAGACTGTCCAGCTCTTCTTCCTGAGTTATAAATCACACAGAAATCCATTCATTTGTGTTTAAAGAAATCACCTTTAATATTCAGTTTATCGACCCCCCAAAAATGATGGTTATGTTAGTTTTTTTAACAGCCATGAACCAGATGAATAAACAGACAGATCTACCCAGAAGCCGCTCTCTTACAGTGTAGAGTGAAACTTTGGTTTGCAGTCCCTCGTAGGCCGTGAGGTCCCGCACGTAATGTCCAACATCAATAAACATCTCAAAGAGGTCTGTGGGAAAGAGTCTGACAGGAGGACGGATTATATAAGAGCGTCAGAGAAGATTTAAGAGAGATTTTTCCAGAGGAGACATCCAGTAAAACAGGAGCAGCTTATGAATGATGTGAACTTCAGATTATTTACTTTTAAAGGAGATCTATTGTGGTGATCTGTTCTATCAAACAATAACAATGTGAGATGTCCAAACTCATCCTCCAAATTTCCTACTATGAAATACACGAATGGTGGTATAATCCCAGGTTAGGGTTAGGGATGTTAACCAGGTCGTGCCGACCTATCAGGATGATGCTTCAAGCTGAGCTCTTCCTCCTGCTCTGTTATTTGAACGCCCACCTGGAAGCTGGAAAGTCTATTTCACCGCTTCACTTTTTCCTACTCTGCGCTTTGTTGACTCAGTACATCTCTGAAAGTTGCCCTAAAGTGAAGTCACAGTAATTTTTTTCAGAAAGGTTCCAGAAAACAGTCACAAAGTAGCTGTTTTTACTCACGACTACACCGATGAATCCTTCATAAACAAAAAGTCAGTCCGACCTGGATTTACAGAGTTCTGGAGCTTTTCCATCCACAAAAATTAGAACCACAAACTGGAACACCAACTGGTCTCTAAAAGTAACCTCAGATACTTGCTGTAAAACCAAAACTTTGGAGTCTTTTCTCGACTGCTAAGCTGTGTAAAAAGTAACACCCTACAGTCTGTGTACGACTTTATATCAGCTGAAAAGGAGTCAAAACAAAGTGTTTCAGATCGTGACGGAAAAATGCAGAAATAAGGGATTTTTAGAGCTCCAAGCACAGAATAAACAAGGATTTTTTTAGCTGTCGATCATGTAAAGCCTCTCTCTAGGTGTACCAGACCTTTACAATGAAATGTGAAAATCAGGAATAAGATTTTAAGATCACCTCTTGAAAATATGTCTGTTTCTTTCCACGCTGAAGAGAAACCTGAGGGTCCGAAACACATAGCACTGCAAATGTGCAAACAAATAAACAGACGTGTGAGTTTCTGTTGGGTTTTATAGCTTCAATCATTCATTGTGGTGTTATTTTATTCATAAATGATGCATGTACCTGTAAAGATGTGACTTTTGTTCCTGAGTTTTGCTGCAAAATCAGCTTTGCGATGATGTAGACCCCGTTCTCCTAAGAAAAGAATATAAAATCAATTGATATCATGTTTTAAAAGGTTTCATGTATTATTGGACTTCACTCTAATTTATTTCTATTGTCTCAACTCTCTTTGTGTGAGGTCTCTTTCTTACCAGCACGATGTGATGAGCAGATGTGTCATCCAGACTAAGCTCGGTCAAAACTGTGCAGCAGGCTGGAAAAGAGATTAAAAGAGACCTGTATTAATTTAGGATCCCGTACGAGCAGGATTGTAGTCTCAGACAGAGATCAGGACGCATCTGTCAGCACTAACAAAACACTTCCCAAACTACAGGAGGAGAAAGACACAAGAAGAAACACGGAAACTCCAGGAGATGAAAGTTTATCTAGTGATATTTATCTGGCAAAACGTCTTTCACACATTTTCAGTGTTGTTTAAATTTTTGTGGTTTGAGACATTTACTTACAGAAACATTTCCTGTAAAATCAGAGCTGTAGAGAGTCCGGTCCCTGAGGTCTGGATTCCTTAATGTTTACATTCTCCGTCTCTGATAAGACTCCTCTGGGGTGAGGATTTACTGTAATGATTTTCTAACCGTCTTCCAGTTTCAGCGCAACAAAACTACCCAGAAAACTCACTGAAAACTCCGCTTTTTCTGCACAACTTATGAGAAGTTAAACAGCAGCAGGTTACAGAGTTAATAAATGAAGCTACTGCAAAAACTGCAGTTCTTAAAGTGTCCACTTGGGGCTGCCTGCAAAAGCCAATCTCCATTTCCAGGACACAGACACAGATTTTTAATCTAAGAAAGGTTTGATAGGAGAAAATTCAGCATTATTTGTGAAATTGCATGATTAGGAGGCGTGGCTAAATTGGAGGATGTGTGTCATTAAGGTTTGATTGAATCTCTTTTCAGAAACCAGTGGGTGACATCAGTAACACTGTGTCCATGTTTTTACAGTCTATGGTCCTGACCTGACTGCAGAGCCACCGTGTTCTCCGTCTCCTCCTGCTGGCTCAGCTCCTCTCTGATGTGCTCTCTCTGGATGCGTCCGGCTGCGTTGGCGCTGGAGAGCGTCTCGATGGATGAACGGTCAGAAACGTACTGCCTGTCACTGCAAGAGGTACTGCAACATTTCAAACAGTCCCAACCGTTTTTTTCCTTTTAGTTTCAAAAATTTAAAAGATAAACTTCCTCCTCTTTTGATATTTTTGCACTCATCTCTGGCCCTCAATGTATTTTATAGGATTGAGTTCAGTAATGTAGATCAGTATACATCTATGCAGAACATAAAAATAAGCTGAAAATATGTTTTGTTGTATGGAAGAGTGGAAACTTAAACCTTTTTCACTTTATAAATACTAAAATGTTTTGCAGCACTTCAGTGTTGCTCTCTTCTTCCTACAATTCCCATAATGCAACAGCATTTTGTCAGCCTTTAGACCTTGTTGAGGATCTTTTAAGTTCCAGAGCACCACTTGCACAAGTGTCAGAGGTGCATGCCCATATATGGAGGTTAGGATAGATTTTATTTGAACTATTCTTCTCTTGATAAGCGTCCTGTGAGTCCTGAGAAATACAGGATATAGTAAATAATCATTTCACTTTGTGTCTCAAACCTGCTGAGCAAACGGAGCAGTTGCTGCACCCCGCCCCAGCTCCTGATCTCCGTCCTGGTGTCGGGATCCTCGCAGAGCTGGACCAGGACCCAGGCGACGCTCCACAGAAGCTTCAGGTGCTGACTGTGCAGCAGGCTCAGCAGCACCGGCAGACCCTCCAGCTCCCTGACCTGGTCCCTCACCTGTCTCACCGGGGACAGGAGCCTCAGCAGCTCTGCGCTCATTCTGGAGAAACGCCACGATCAGTTTGTTTACAAATTATTTTTGTGTTTGCTGCCAGTTCACCGTTTTAAATCAAGTCATTCCCTCTTGGCTGCACTTAAAAGCTTTTAAAGGGTCATAAATTCGGTCTGTTTGGGTACTTTTAAATGAGACGACATGAGCCAAAACAAATCAGGACTTGATTTATTTGTCTAAGAATAATTTTAGCCCTAATAAACACAGACATGTTCCCACAACTTCAACAAAACATGTAAGACGGACAGACAAACACATCAAACACTGACCTCTTTGACAGCAGGTCATATTCCTGCAGTATCACAAGCAGGTTCTCCACAATCGGGGGCCGACCAATCTCTTCTTTGCATCCTGGGCTGCAGGAGGAAAATATCTTTTAGCAGATGAAACCATGACTGTATTCAGTGCATGAAATGAAGTATTTTGTTACCTCTCAGCCAGAGTGGTGAGTGCCAGCAGAGCTCCCAGCAGCACACTGCTGTCTGTCGTAGAGAGGAGCTTCACCAGTGTCTACAAATAGACCAAAACTCCTCTTTAACAGAGAACAGCTAATGTAAAGGAGACATGAGGCAGTATCTTATCATCCTGCTAAATTACAGCATCACTTAACAGCCCTACATCCTGCTGCATACTTTCCTTTTGTTGATACTTAAAACTGTCCTTGGACAAGCACTTTATTTTTGTTTTAAAGAGTACAGAAGGGAAAAGTGCTCTTACTTTATAAAGTCACAAACTAAGAAAAGAGCATCCATCTGTTTTAGTGGTTGAAGCTGATAGAAGGAGAAAATTGATGTTTGCGCTCATATTTATTGCCGCCACTGCCCCAGTTTGGCCACCCCAGTGGAATAAGTCTGGCTCCACTCCTGCTCAGATATGGATATAACTTAAAAACAAACCGTACGTAATCATAGCTGACATTATCAGGACTTATCACTCACCCTGTGAGCGCCGCTCTGGATAACACAGACTCTCAGATTTTCATCAGCAGACAGCTTCTGGAACATGTCTGCAGAGGCGGCGCTGATGAGAACACGCGAAATCCCTCACACTATCAGCACCTCGGTGTTACTTTTAGGTTTACTCACATGTCATTGTGACCAGCTTCTGCACTGCAAACGCCTGCTCGCCACATGATATGTACCGGGCGGCAACAGACTCTAGATACTGAAGAGAAATAGAGCAGCTGTGAGGATGACATGGGAAAGAAAGAAAGCCTGTTGAGGCATGTGCGTAAAAATCTTCTACCTTGGCAAGTGAATTGATCCCTTGGAGCTGCTGGAGTTTTCGCTAAAGATGCAATGAAAACAGAAACAAATTTGAAACGTATGCATCAATAAAATACACAAAAAGTAATAAAGAGACATTTGTTGAAGTTGTACCTGATACTCTGGATCCCTGATGAGTAATCTCAGACATATCAGAACTCTGTGCACAGACTCTGGGGGTGCATGGTCGATCCATTCACTATAGAACGAGTAAAACAGGGTTAAAGAGTAAAGAGAGAGATGACATTAGACGGCAATTTACGAATATGTTACCTGCAGAGTCGATTCTTGACCAAACATGTGAGGATGTCGGAGAAAAGTGCATGAAGAGGGTGGCTGCTGAAACGTCTTTGGTCTCTGTATTTAATACTGAAAATGAGGGGCCATAGTCATCATTGAATTAGTACAGACTGTGTGTAAGTCTTTTAAAAAAGCAGCTGATGTAATTTTTCATGTTTAGCAAGTAAAAAATGTTGACTACTTTTGAGTGATATATATATGTTTTTAAAAACTTACAAATGCAAAAACAGGCTCATAGTTTCTCCAAAAAATTGACATTATTGCACAAGTGTCACCATGACCCTGGGTGATCAGTATTTCAGTGTCAAAATGTCCTTTTAAAACACAGTCTATCAACATGACCCTGTCTCTCCTTATGTATTTGATATTTTATGTGGTGTTGCAGGACTTTGATTGCAGTGTTTCTCTGATTCAGACTGTAAACCTGAATTTTTCCAGCTCAGCAGCTTCACTCTTAAAATCAGCTCCGCTCTTCAGTTTATTGGAGTCCTTCGGAGAGTTCAGGCCTTGAGATCTGCTGGCTCCACTGCTGCATGCCTTACTGTGACTCAGCGCTGCCACCTGCGACACAGAGACTCTCATCAGCTATATATACACAGGCTGACGAAATCTGAGCTGGTCTGTATCCTTATCAAAAAGTCTAGACACACTCCTTAAGCGTGGCGTCATTTGTTGATGTTCACCTCTGGTGTGGAGCTCCTTTTGGCGAGCAGGGACTGAAGCCTCCTGAGATCATGAGATTCCCTGAAAAACAGGCTGATCAGGTAAATGAAAGTGTTATTGATGAACAGGCTGTTAAATATATAAAAACTACACATGATTTAGCTTACTTGCTTTGGCTTCCTTTGGATTTTAGGGGAAATTTTTCTCCCTGTCTCACTTTTTTAACAGGATTAGACATTTTCAGCATTCCCCGTTTGTTTTCGTGAGTTACCTGTGGTCCAACTTTAGAGTTTTAGCACAAAATGACACTTCAAAATGAAACTAAAGCAGCATCACTAGCTTCTATAGTGACAGATAGCTATATAATCGATATTTAGGCTTAAAGAAGTGTTACAAAGACAACTCTGGCGGCTCTTACCCTTCTTCCAACATCGCAAACTAACAACAGACGGTTGATTTAATCGTCAAAATACGATGTTTGCCACATAAACATACTCGGCTGATAAAGACCTACTTATTTATTCCAGAGACACCTCTTACAATAGCGAATAAAAACGGACTGTGCAGAGCTCCGCTGCCTTTTTAACCAATCCAAGTTAGCAGTATTAGGTAGTCCTGTGTTGCCAAGGCAACAACAGACGCTGTTACAGTATTCCGGTTGGACTCGGAAGTCGAGTATTGACCCGATCCGATACAGGTGATTGAAAGGATGATCAATGATGATGTTGTTGTTGTTTTGGCGTTAGGAAACACACACAATACTACTTTTTTCGACTTTCATACATTCCCCAGACCAGTGGTTCTGAACTGGTGGGTCCCGACCCAAAAGTGGGTCGCGGCCACGTTCTGGGTGGGTCGCGAACAGCTGGTCAAAAGGGTAAACGTTAAATGCGCATCTGATGTTTCACGTGTTTTATTTTGAAAGGCACATGTTATGTTGTGGTCCTCCTTTTGAATTTCCCGCTGGGATTAATAAAGTATCTATCTATCTATCTATCTATCTATCTATCTATCTATCTATCTATCTATCTATCTATCTATCTATCTATCTATCTATCTATCTATCTATCTATCTATCTATCTATCTATCTATCTATCTATCTATCTATCTTAATGTTGCCTGAATGTAGTAAAAATGCTTTTTTTTTGTCTCTATATTGTTCAATTTGATATTTTCTGTATATGCAACTCTAGTAGTTGTCGTCCTCAGTCCATGTGCTCTGAAATGCACTGTACTCAATAAAAACAGAGTATTTATGTTTAAAGTTTTTTTTATATATATATAAAAATAAATTTGTTTAGTTTGAATTTTATAAAAGTAGGTCGCGACTGAAGGACTATGGGAAAATGTGGGTCCCAGAGTGACACCAGTTGAGAACCATTGTCCTAGACCCAGGTATTGTGGAGCTGCAATGTCGTCAAGCAAGTCAAACTCGACACAGAAATTACCATAATTAAACTCTCTCATTAAAATTGAATTTTTAACTGACAGAAGAATTATTAAAACAATAAGCTGAGTAATGTCAGGAGGAAACTGTAAATTCCTAAAACAAACGTTTGTCCCCTCTGGTGTCATATGATGTTTTAAAGAGACAGTGCCAAAAAGTCAAAAATAAGCTATGTCAAAATGGTTTTCAAGCGTGCAAAGAGGAGGAGCAGGGGTATTCAGGTTATTTGTTTTATTTATCTTATGTTTCAGGCAACACCTGTCAAAACTGTCCCAGTTGGTTATCCCGGTTGTAACAAAAAGAGTTAAAGAAAAATGCAAAAAAAATTCTGACTGAAGCCTTTCCTTTAAGGTGTGTGAATGATCAACGATCAATATTATTGTCAGAAATAGAGGCCCCCAAAATCAAACTTTGCTTAAGGCCCCACTGAGGCTTGGTCCGGCTCTGCTCAGATCTTCAAACAGAGAAGACATCCGCTCAAAAATCATTTGGAGGTAACTTCTCGCGATAACACCTGGGCACTGAAAAGATTTACATGCTCTCGCGAGAATGGGGTGTGCTTCCCTCTTCGATTCACGTAGGATTTACGTCAGTCTCCGTGCGTAGAGCCGTTGAGTGTCGTGGGCGTTACGTGCCCGCTAATGCGCAGCAGCTCCAGCAGCAGAAGGAGGAGTGAGGAGGGGAATGTCGGCTTGCTTGTGAATGATCGTTTTTTTGAGGCGGCCGGGAGCGTCAACGTTATGGGTGAGACTGCTGCAGTCACATACACTCACGGCTTATATTCAGAGTGGTGTTGTAAAATTAATCTGTGACGGTTAAAGTCGGATGAGGTTCGCTTTTCGGAGCTTTTTTGAGCTTCTGCAGTTGTCTGAGTAACCAACGCCCAGTCGTCCGCCTCCAGTTGGATGGGCTGCTAGCTGGCTAGTTGTTAGCATTGGCTTCGGCAGCAGACTGCATAGCCTAACGGGAGAGTCATTTCCTGCCTGAGTATTTCTGTAAACGTTTAACAAATCCAAATATATTAATGTAACTCAGTGGTTGTCGATAAATACTATCAAACTGACTAACTAGCTTACTTCTAGTATGTAACGTTCACTAACGGCTCCCTCTGAAGCTGTAGTCAGTTTGAATAAAGAGGGATATAACACCCCGGGATTTTTAAGCATTTTAGCTTTGTTTTAGGTTAACTTGACTCCTGAGATGATAGTCCTACAGTGAGCAGAGGATCATAATCACTGATGCTGATGTGTGCATGAGTCCGAAATGCTGCTTCACATGCAAAGCCTCCACTTTTCTGTCCTTTGTGTGCCAGAGAGAGATGGGGGGCTGCATCCGTGCGTGATCAATAGATTGATTAAATTGCCTTTGCTGGGGCATCAAGGATAGGCAGTTAGACACAAACAAGTCAGATGTGCCACGGTGAGGTATAAGGAGGTTACCGGGTTGGCTTTTAATCTGGATTAAAGTGGATCTAGTACCTATCAGGTCTGAGGAGTCTGAGGCCACTGATCTTAAAAAAAAGTCAAAACATGGACCCTGATGAGTCTGTATGTTATAAACCTGAAACTTGGCATCAATCTGTTTTATTGTAAATTACCTGAATAAGGAAACTCAAGTTACGTCCTCAATCTGCTGCCACTTCCTTTCAGACATTGTCTGACAGGAAACAGACAGCTGTCATTCAAAATGACACATCAGACATTTTTTCTCAGTGTGTTAGGTTACAGAAAAACTGCTGTCGTAGAGGATAATTGGCAATAATCTGCTAATTCATATGAGAGCTTCTGGATAATGAAATGCAACCACTGTGAGAGGTTTTCTGTCTTTGTAATGCAGGATGAAAAAAGGAAATCAATCATGTTAATTTGATCTTTTAATATACACACATATAGAATGTGACAATTCTGTCATGGTTTGTGACTCACTCCCGCCTGATATCCGGATAATTGACTCTCTCCCTCTCTTCAAATCCAGACTCAAAAAACCACCTGTTCAGATTAGCGCACTCCTTATAATTGACCTTGTCATGTTTTGTGTTGTTTTGTTTTCTCTATTGCGTTTATCCTGCTGTTTTGACTCTGTAAAGTGTCCTTTAGTGTCCAGAAAGGCGCTTATAAATAAAATGTATTATTATTATTATAAGTCCAAAAGAAAGCTCTTTTTACCTGAACTGCTCAACCCTTTAACAACAAATCTGACACTAGACCTGCACTACATGAAAAAAAAATTCAATTTTACCATCACAAGTAGAAGTAGATTTGGGTCAATTAATCAGTCAGACCAATTACAGACTTTTTAAAAATAATCAATACCTTCACTCATGAGGCGATTGTAGAAATGATGTCTGCAGACACTGCAGGCAGTCTGGTCAGTGTGGCTGCTCTGAAGCAACATTAATGTTTTAAATGAAAACAGAGTTTTTCTTTTTAGCCGACCAGATCTCAAACAGTGACTGGATAGCACTTATGTGAAAGCAGTGTAGATGTATAATAATGCAGTTTAATATAGCTTTTCACAATAATAAGTCATGTTCTGAAATATAGAGCTTAACTTTATTCATTATTATTTCTATTTCATGAATGAAATTCACCTGAAACATGTTTCTTGCTAAGAAAAAGTCATTTTTTTGACAAAAATGAGTTTTTGGCCTACTAATTTTCGTCAAAAATGACTGGGGCCATTATTTTAACAGGGTGACGATATGATTGTGATGTGCATGGAATCATGGATGCTATACAGAAACAGTCTGATATGATATATACCATGGGCATTGGCCTATAAAAAAATATTGATGACCACTTACTAGAAGTTTGGTAAATAATCTGAAGAAGAAATGCAAGAATGCATAGGAGCTAAAATAACTCATACTTTCTGTTGTCTGCTTTACCAATCTTACTACCTGTCTTTGCGCCGTGTCTCCTTAATCCATCATACACCAAAAAAGCAGTTTTCTCTCCTCTAAACTATCACTAATAAATCTGTGGTTAGTTGGCAGGTTAGTGTCAAAGCATGATAATAAGAATAAGAAAACCTTGGCCTTCTAAAAATGTACTAAGAGAGAAAACATTGAATTTTTGTGTTAAAAGATTTCTAACTTTATTTCGATAAGTTTAGATTTGTGCAGTATGTTTATTGCACATGCTCACTTCACAGTATCAGTGAACTTCTATTGCTCAGTCCAAATTCCTTCTTCATCCCGAATTCATTACAGGACCAACAAGTGATGATTAACAAACCGAAGAAGTTTGATTACGCTGATATTTAACTGCACTTCCTGTGGGCAAATCAGCATATTAAGCCACAGCGTCACACCAGAGACACGTGGGCTGTTGTTAGTAGGCAGGAGATGCTCCAGTGATATCGCCAGAAATCTTCTCCTCGCCACAGGCGAAAAGAAAAAGCTGCAGCAGCCGAGAACGGGCCCCTGCTTTATGGTGCTACTGACATTAAAGGAGCAAGTGGAGTGGAATATGTACCACACCGGCCAACTGTCTGTGTTGTTATCGTAGCCCAGATCATGAATCATTTTGCCCCCAGGCCCCTCAGCTTTGGGAACTGATTCTAGACACAGAATGGGTTGTTTGTCAGATGGCCTCAGATTGATTCCCTGTTGCTTTTTTTTATTTTTGTGCTCTCTCATTCTATCTTTCTCTCCCTGTCTCTCTTTGCTTGCTGACCCCGGAAATACTGGATTGCCCCTGCACTTTGGGATTCCACCATATTGATCTTCACAAAACAGCAGTAAGTACAGAAATGATCTCAATGTCTAAAATTACCTCCCAAAAAAGAAATATACAGAATACTATTTTATTGTTTATTTTTCAGCGCAGGTCAAAATAATGTAGTTCCTTAAATGCCAGCAATTGGACCCCACACAGAAAGCATCCTCAAACATCTTAACTCTAAATTTTACAGCAGACCTGATGTGCCATTGCAAAATCATTCCATACATGTAACTGACGAGTACAGAGAGAATAGAGAAGCAGATCAATTGGGAATGTCCCGATCCCAACTGTTGGATCAGAGCCTGTGTAGGCATTTTTATGGCTGATTGGCTTTTGGCAAATACAAGTATTGGATCGGAACTCAGCATTGGCAGATTCTCAATATGAAAAAACAAAATCAGATCGGGATCAGGGGCTTGAGAGGCTGATCAGGACGCCCTTAATATCCATGTGACTGATGCCCTAAAGCTGAAAAACTAGAACAGTGGTCTGATGTGAGGTGAGATAAAAAGAAGGAAACTGATCTGTTTTATTCCCTTTTAATTTGGTTTTACTATTCCACTTCATTTGAGATTTATATTAGTAATTATTCTGCCACACTCTGCATGTTGATGTTTGAAACTGTTGAAGACGAGGGTTTAGTGGGTTAAAGAAGCAGCCGTGTGGGAACCGTTTCTTCTCAGCTTTGCAGCCGTGGAATGTGTTCGCGATAATATTTCTTCATGGTTTCTGATGTGTTTATTTTCATTTCTCTCTTACAGCAGCAAAAAAATCTGGAAGGATATGTTGGGTTTGCGAGCCTCCCCAACCAGGTCTACAGAAAGTCCGTGAAGAGGGGCTTCGAGTTCACCCTGATGGTCGTCGGTAAGAACACATGCTGCTCAGCCCTCTGTTTGCTCTTGTTTATATGAATCGTTTCTTTGTATTTGTTGCGGTTTCCGTTTTAAAATCTGTCGCTGTGGTTTTGCTTTTTAAAGTGAGAGGTAGGTGGTGTGTGAGTGTGTGTGAGTGTGTGTGTGCAGCCAGAAAGAGACACGGTCCCAGCTTTGTAGTGTTAATTGCTGAATCAGAGAGGAGAGGACTGTTGCGTTACTCTTTCATGTAATTAACCTCGTGTCACATCCTTAAACCCGTCCCCCCACCAGGACAGAAACACTTAAATGGATTTATGAAGCGGCTCGCAGCAAATCAAAAACGCAGGCATTCTTTTCAAATGCCGGGATGTGGTGTTTGACACCAGGCCAACATCCTCCTCGGCTGATCTGGCCCTGTTTGGAGGGAGAAAGTCCTCGGGTCAAAACCATTTCCTGTGGTGGGACCAACAGAGTTTTTACCCAGCATGCCTCCAAGAATAGCCTGCATCCCGTCGTGTTCCCTCCACTTCGTTTCTGCGGGCCCTGTGCTCACTGTGCCGCTGACACATTTCAGTTACTGAGCAGTCCGTTAAAAGCTGAAGTGTTTAATCAACTTTTTCAATCATCTGTTTATTGATTTGAGCTGTAAAAAATTTAGAAAATCTGCTTCTTCCAGTTTCTAACATGTGAAATCTGCACGGCGTCTCTTCTTCCTCCGACTATGAACTGAAAGTCCTGTGCTTGTTGGTTGTTGCAGCTTTTTTATTGTTCTGAAGTACTCGCATTAAAACATCCCCATGATGAGGCACTTTGGTTTGTTTGTTCCTGCTCTTTGCAGTGTCCTTTGTCAATGCCGTGAAACTAGCGGTCCTCTGGGGCCCGTGAGTGTTTCAGTGTGTTTGCAACAAAACGCATTCAGGGAGTAATTAGAGGAGATACAATGGCATTGCATCTCGCAGTAAAGACAGTAGAGAGGGTCCTCTGGGCTTGGTGGTAGTTAAATGGCTGCCATTGTTTTTGTGGAATCATCAAACATGAAATTCAGCTTCTCTTGGCTCAGACGAGCTGTGAGCCCACATGTCCCTGCTGCGAAACGCAATGCGTCATCAGTGTGCTGTGAAAATAGGAAAGGCGGATGAAAGATAAGAGTAAAGGAAGGAGAGAAGAGAGAGAGAGAGAGAAATGGGACTGGTATTACCAGCAGTGACTGGCACGTCTGCTCTGCCCATGCCTCGTGACACACATGACCCAGCAACCTGTTCATCTCACACTCTGCAGAGAAGCTCGTTTCACGGGGCTGTCATCACTTCATTCTGCAGCGGCATGAACAAGCGCATACCCATACCGCATAGTGACATGCCATGCTTACAATGTACAACAAACAGAAGCCACAAGTGCAGCTCCTACACATCGCACTCCGCCTGGAACTGCGCTGTAAATGTTAGCTCGGTAAATATTGACTCGTGGCCGTCCGCCAAGGCAGGCAGTGTCAGTGGTCATTTCCACTAATGATTCTTTTCACCGGGAGCTTGGAAACTGGGCGCTCAGTGGCCGACCAAGCTTGAGAAGCCTCCCAGACCACACAGCCAGCCAGCTGCACATAACAAGAGGCATTGTCTCTGTTGTTTCCTTAGCCTTTAAACCGAATGGATTAATGTGCCGGGCAAATGTCAGCATGGTCCTCGGAAAGAGACATGCCCTTTGACTGTCTTTAAGATGTCAACAGTGACCTTTGTTTGGATAAAATACAGAGCTACAGGTTTCTGTTACATACATTTGTGATGTTTGAATGTCTGAAAAGCTTCCATGAATGTCACAGATCGTCACAGTGTTCTGAAAATACTCAGTCGTCTTCTCCCTCTGTCTTTTCCAGGTGAGTCAGGCTTGGGCAAATCCACTTTGATCAACTCTCTGTTCCTGACGGACCTGTATTCATCAGAGTATCCTGGACCCTCAAACCGTATCAAAAAGACTGTACAGGTACACCGTGAAAATGAATGTCTTCAAACTAAAATGTTGGACACAGTGGTGAAAACACCTGCAGCGATAGCATGCACTGAACCATGAAAAAAACAGACACAGAAAGGAAACTGCTGCAGGTTTTATTTTCTGCACTGAATAGACCAAATATCTGAGTTGAAAAATAGTTTTGCACATCAGCTGATAAAACTCTCCAAACCACCAGCAGCTATGGTAACCTTCCAAATCATCATGTTTTATTTGAAAATGTGGTCAAAAACCCACAAAAACTGAACATGTAGCATCTCTGAACACATCCGTCTGCACGACACAAATGTCGTCTGTAATTCTTGTTTTTTCTTTTCCGAGTGTTTCCTTGACAGTTTGTTCCCACGGAGATCAAGTGCACTAAAAGCCTCTCAGCTAAATCTATTAACATCAAACTTCTTTGTTTGCCAGATTAAAGCGACAACAGCAATTAGACCAGAAACATGCAGGAAGTCTGCACTGTTCAGAAAATATTATGATTTACAGCATTACTGTGACAGAACAGACAGGAGCATTTGATATTTAGATATTTGATTTTTGTTTTAATCACTTACCTTTAAAAATGATATATATTTGTGTTATTTTACTTTTTCTTTGATGGTTTACAGTAGTCTGCGTTACCCAAGTAATACTGTAAAATTGGCGTTTTGACTTAAAATTTGGATCAAGTGTATCCTGTCTTAGTCCTCAGTCTGCTCTCATTTATCAACTCCGCGCTGTCATCTGACTCCCTCCCTAAATATTTTAAACTGTTAGGATCCAGACACTTCTAAAAATCCCTCTTTAGACCCAGCACTAGTAAAAAAAAAACACAGACTGATTTCAAAAATCCAGTTTCTCTCCAGAATCCATGAAAAACTTGTCCCCGGCCAACTTTTAATAACTTCTCCTCAAGGGTCTTTACGTCTTTGAGCGGTTAAAAGTAGATTTTTACAACAAACACAGCGCTAAGTCAGCATTACTCAGGGTCGCTAATATAAATATGCAAACAACGGCAAATGCTCCAGTCCTTTAAGATTCAATTGCTGCGTTTTATATAATCAATCATACAGTATTTCTGTTCAGGCTACATCACTGCAGCAACATTTCTAGTACAGCCTAAAACTGGTTCCTGTTTTATTGATAATCATGTTTCCTCCTCTGCTCTTGTGCTGTTTGGAGTTCCCCAGGGTTCAGTACCCGGGCCTTTCCTGTTCTCTCTTTACATGCCACAGTTTAAGAAATAAAAAAAAATTGTGTATTATCTGATTAACAGATGATCTTTCATCACCATATCACTAAACTTGTTCAGTCCTGAGAAGAGTGTTATTCTTTTACTTTAAAAACACTCTTTTATTTTCTCCTGTTTGGATGTTTGTAAATCTCTGTTTACTTGCTGAAGTCAATCATCTTTACACTGCTCTTAATTGGTTCATAAAGCAGCCGCATTATAAGCTTGAACAGCTGTCAGTCTCATATCTCCCTCGCTGTCACATCACTCCACTGACTCCCTGTTGAATTCAGAATTAATTGTAATTCTGATAATTACATACCAGGCACTGCATCATCTCACCCCTAGTTACACTTCTGACTTGTTCCATATTCCACTCCTCAACCACTCAGGTTATCTAACCTGTAAGTGCGACACAAGTCGAACAATATCATCCACCCTGATAAACAAAAACCAAACCTACTCAGTAGACCCTAAATAAACCAACATGCTCTCGATTTTGGAGGACAGAGGAGAGTGTCTTTAATAGTTGTAGATTTTTTTGTGACTTTTAGGATTAAAAATATTTTCTGAGTTGACCTGATTTGTAAAACACAAGTTTTGACAGACTCTGAAAGAAGATGATTGACGCCTCGGGGACAACCTTATTTGATATATTAGGTTTAAACAAGTCAGACTGTCAGCTGCAGCCATAAATGCCATCTCCCCCCAATTACACAACGTTGTTCCAAAAGTTAAGTGCCTGGAGTGCTCACTCTTTATCTGTCTGGCTCCTGACTGACAGCATAGCTCTCTCCAGATGCTCGGGTGCTTCTCTGGTTTCCCAGCATAGCTAGCTAATAGCACAGTGTGAGTGGACATGTTGCTACATGCTGCTAGCTTTAACTATTTTCTTTGTGAAATATATGATCGGGGATGTTATCAGCCTGGAGCTGTGATGATTTCAAACCCTGCCTTGTATTTACTTTTCTTCAATTCATGAATTACTTGAAAGGTTTTGTTTCAAAGACGTGTTTTTAACCCAGCGCTCCCCTCACTCTCTTTTATTTTCTCTAATCAGGTTGAGCAGTGTGAAGTTTTAATAAAGGAAGGAGGAGTCCAGCTGCTGCTCACAATAGTTGACACCCCAGGGTTCGGAGATGCCGTCGACAACAGCAACTGGTAAGAATTTTGAACGTGTCAAATCCGCTTGTTCCCTTTTTTTGTGGGGATGTTCTTCTAAGCAGTGTCCGTCGTTTGTACCCCAAAGCTGGCAGCCGATCATCGACCACATAGACAGCAAATTCGAAGACTACCTGAACTCAGAATCTCGGGTGAACAGACGACAGATGCCTGACAGCCGGATCCACTGCTGCCTGTACTTCATCGCCCCCTCGGGACACGGGTACGTCACTTTTATTTAGAGCCTGCTGATAAGAAAGGGATTGAAGAAAGGACTGAAGGGGGATCTGTGAACAGTGACGGGTGGATGAGGGGAAATCAGAGGTCAGAGAAGCACTGCAGGGACTCACAGGGATTGTTGCTTCAGATAAATAGAAAATATGTTTGATGGACTGAACCAGTATTGGCTGACTAATGTTTTAAATCCATTTCTACAGACATGTTGATATTGAAGCTTTATATACAGAACATGTGAATGAAATGGAAGCTAATCTAAAAATATAGGGGGTCAGCTCAGTGAACAAGATGAAACAGTCAGTAAGTTTACATGACACTCAAGAAAACCAAATTATTGCCTTACTCTGCAATAACTCATGCAAACACTTTAGTCAGACTGTAATCAGAGTTTGAGAACTATGATTGGAGTCGCAGAACTCAGATTAAGACACCCAGATAATGTGATTGGATTTAGATTTTCTCTACCATGTAACCAGTGTAGTCGGAGTGTGATTGGACAGTGCATGTACAAGTGCACTACAACCTCTGTAACTCCGGAACAAAAACACCAGAGAAGAAGTGGTGCTATCATTTAAAGAACTTCGACTCAGAAGCAACTGCAACACGGCTGAAGCACGAAAGAATGTCCACTTTTAGAACAACAAGGAGAGGAGAGAGGCATTATGCTTTCCGTCCTGACAGAAATGGACATTTTGAAGTATATGGACGGTTGCAAAACAAGGAACGAAGACGTCTTTAAAAAAGGCTTGAAACAGTGCCGCTGAAAAGACCCTTATACCCCCCTAGTTTTGGGGAGGAGGACACGTTCACGTCAATAATTCGATTTTCTCAGCTGCATGTATACACGGAGAATAAACGATGAGTGGCAGTAACAGGGTCTTTGGGCAGAAGTCTGACAGCCTTCACTTGGTGATTGCGATGAATAATCGGTGAATCTGCCCACACAGGAAATGTCCGTTTTCATTTATGAATCTTTTAAATCGGTAAAAGACTTCACTTCAAAAACCTCAGATCACACAGCCGCCTTACAATCCAGGAAAACAGCCAATGGAGCGTTTCTTCCATGAGCAGGAACTCTTTTCTCTTTGTGGAGCAGCTCTTTGGCCGACAGCCCGAAGCTAAGGTCACGCTCTGCGGCTCCTGAGTGTGTGCAGTAAATATATTTGTCTTGTCTTACTCTATCTCCAAAACTGCTCCCCCCAGGCTGTTTGCTCCAAATGATCCTGTGAGACTGAGTCAGCTCGTCTCACAAAATAGGGGTTAAAACTTGAAGCTCGCAGGAGGGGAAACGTGGGGGGTGAGTGGGGGGGTTTATAAGTAATAGAGTTGAAGATGCTGGCAGATTGCCCGGCCGTTGATACAGATCGACAACTTCTTCATAGACGTGTCTGTGAGGAATTGTAATTTTAAAGCTAATTCACGAGCCACTCCATCTTTTTGTAGCCGTTGACAGCTCAGATGTGCTTATTTTCTTTGGATAAAAAGTGTCTTTTTTATGCCCAAGTCAGTCAAACAGGAGATGGTGTGGGCGAAGCAAAAGTGAGAAACTTGAGAGGTTATTTCCTGGCCTGAAACAAAAGCTGCTGTTTGGCTGAAAGCTCATTAAAATGTCCGCAGTGATTTAAAATGAAGCTAAAATGAAATCAGGGATCATAATCCTGACAAAAGACAAAGGGAGCTCGTGGTGTTTACTGCTGGAGGAGAGGACAGTGTTTGTGTCAGCCGTGTGGAGCTCCATTTCTGTTGATGCGATTGTTGTCCGTGTGCTCACACGTCCTTAAAGCTGTCGACCGTGACTGACTGACTGCAAACAATGAAGAAGCCTCTGTCCTCCTCTCTCCTCTTCCTCGATCTGTCAGTCCGTCTGTCCTCTCTGTGAGACATTGTGTTTGTACAAGCCTGTCCTCTGTACCACACAAGCTGTACTTCAGCCTTGAGGATGAGCAGCGTATGTTCTCACACACATACACACACACTCGCACACACACAGGACAGAGCATCCCCTCACAGCAGCTGCCGAGTGCTCTCACACACAAGCACAATGACCTCCAACACTGAGGGACAATCTGGACATTGAGCTCCCAGCTGAACTCTGGTGACTGGTTTGGCTTGAAGTTTTGAGGTCAGAGACTCACTGAGGAAAAGATCACACACAACAAACAACATTCAATCACTTCATGTGGCCTGAACCCGGTTCCATCGAGGACCTGGGCCCCACTTTTAACCTGAAACTCAGTCTTGTGGGTCCTATGAGGCAACAGGTGGTCAGTTTGTTGTGATGATGGCTGAACAGGTGAAGAGGTGTAACGCTTGGCCAAAACAAAACAAGGAGGAAGTTAAATGCAGTGTATGTTGGACAAGTGCTCCAAGGTGGGGTAGGAAATCTTGAATGTAAACTCTACCCCAACCCCTCCAAACCAGTTTTCCCCTCAGCTCCTCCTCTCCCCTCCCTCTCCGCTCCAGTAAGCCCCGCCCACAAACAGACGCTCCTGCTCGCTCGTATCGTTCCAATTAAATTCAGATATAATGTAGATAAATACTTCAGATCATTACAAATGGAGCCCAGTCAAGGTGAAAGTAAACAGCATTGGTGCTACTGTAGATGCCAACAGACTACCAGCAAACACAATGTTTGCAGGACTTCTACAACTAAGATAAAATGACATAGTCCAGGACCCGAGGTCAACAGTTTAGCGATGGCGCTACAACACGCTACAGCAGGTCCGTTTGACAAGAAACACTTCTGTTACAGACACTTGGCTTACTTTGTTAAAGCGCTTTACCTGTCCAGCAGAAAGGTTACAGGGTCACCAAGATCCCCAAGTGTCCCCCATCGTTTATGTTGACCCGGCTTTTTAGCTCTTGTCCGGTCTACCTCCGTTTTAAGCGCCCGTTATTCCTCCAGAGTCTCCAGTATTTACTTTGTTTTCTTGCTAGTGTCGGCAGTCGTGGTCAAAGGAGGATTCAGACAATTTTCCGAACTTTCTGGTTGATTTCTACTGTCCGATATTGTAGCACGCTAACTTTGTTTGAGCTCGTGAACGACACGGGGGAGCAGTGTCCGCCTCACAACCAATCAGGTTGGGGGAGGCAAAGAACGGCTTTGTATACAGTCAGAAAGAGCGGGTCGCTCAAAAAATGTTCAAATGTTGACTACACAGACATAAGAGAACACAGAGATATTGTTATATTACCAAATGTCATCAACAACTAATAGCTACTGACTGATAATAAAAGCTTTTTGTTTATACACTTCATTAAAAGATGCTTCTATAACAGATTCCTGCCTACCCCACCTTTCAGTGTTGTGCGTCTAAAGTGTAGCTCTTTTTACCTTCTCCTCTACTGAAAGTAACCATGGTAATCACCTTAACTTCTCACTATGATGATCTCCTATGCCTCTGAAGTTTGATCTGTAAGACATCCAAGTAGTTTTGTGAGAGTGGATACCCATTTCTCTATAAAGCCTTTGCTAATACAGTGACCAGTGTTCGATTAGTAATGTCTGCTAAGAGGCGCAGCAAGTTTACAACATCCGTCAAGAGCAATGTGTGTGTGTGTGTGTGTGCTCTCTTGGTATGCATTACTAATTAACCGCCATTCAGCTTCCACATCCAATCAGAGGTTTCAGTGCTGGTTTCAGATCGTCAGAGCTTTCAATCACTGCCTTTCACTGCACTTCATTTTCACGGGACAGAGAGCTCAGTCGTGTGAAATCAGAAGAGCTGAAGAGGAAAGATAAAGAGACTACAGAGGGATTTCTTTGATATGCAGACGATCATAACTTCTGCTAACAGTAACCCTGAAATAACCCTGTGAATCTCCTCAGAGGAAGAACTCTTTTTCCATCAAGAAATGTTAATGTGTTTTGTATTTGTGGAGTTTCTTGATTTTTAGTAGGTGCTTCCATGTGAGTGTATTTCAGTCTGTAAACACTCTGCATTAAAGCTACCATAAGAAACTTCTCTTTTGTATTTACTTTGTGGACAAAACGGTATGTTTTAACTTTGATTTGGTTATTAGACAACTTTTCTAACAAGATATCTACAACGAAAAATCCAGCAGCTCATCAGTCTTCATTCTAGCCAGTTTCTTTACCAGCCAAAACTTCTCACAGGAGCTTTAACTCAGTCACAACACGATGGAGGCGAGAGAGAAAGATAGAGAAGTTCAAAAATATGTTGATGTTGTTTTCTGCTGGACCAGGATGAGTCTTGATCAACATGGTGAAAGTAAATCACAGTGAAGCTGATGTTTTGGGGTTTTCTGAATTGAAGCCTGTCAGCAGCCTATTGTTGTGGTTAGTTTGTGAAGGATGACAGCAAAGCAAAGTCATGACCTTAAGGGCTGCGGCTGCGGTGTCTGGTGCATAGTTCAGTGTCTGCGATTGGATTTGATAAAAACAGGTAGACATGGAGTATTGATATCTCCTCTTATTCTTGTTGGTGTTTAAAAACTGCTCCATAGATCAATGTTATATTTCTATGAAGTGTTACACAGACGATCAAAGCAGTTGCATTTCTTGCTCGTTATTGACTCAAGTCTTCAGCAGAATGTCAGCGGTATAAATAGACGACCGTTTAAACTGTTCTCATCGTGGCTCCTTTGTCAGATAATAACAGTTCTGCTGTCAGCTGATGAATTCAGGGTTTTCTTCAGTGTCAGAGGAGCTCAGAGCTCCACACTGACCTGCGTGGCTGTTGGCTCTGTGACAAAGACAAATCCCACTCTCAATAAAACGGCATCAGATCCTGCTTCAGGGCAGATTTTTACCAAGAGTGACATTTCTGTTATAAGTGAATATTAAATGTTGAGCTGTAACTCAGTTTTTCCCCCTGACTCCACAGACTATTTATTCAAAAGCAGCACTTTCTCATGGCTACAAGGTCGTGTTCTTAGACATAACAAACATCAGTCATCAGCTCTATATTTGGTTTTGCTCCACTTATCTGTGCCCTGTCCGAGATGAAGCGAACAAAAGAAGCAGCTGTAAAATATCCAGTTAACTCCTAAGATGACAAAACTTTACTGCAGTTTTATTACTTTTAAAAGTGTGTTAAAGTGTGAAGATAAGATAAGTGTGATTTAAAGGTACAGGGTGATTTAGATAAATTCATCACAGCCTGTAGTGTGCAGTTGAATTGTGCGTAAATCTGTTTTCTTTCTCTCCGTGCAGGCTGAAGCCCTTGGACATCGAGTTCATGAAACGGTTGCACGAGAAGGTCAATGTCATCCCGCTGATCGCCAAAGCAGATACCCTCACCCCTGAGGAATGCCAACAGTTCAAGAAACAGGTCAGATGTTTCCACAGCTGCAAGCTCCTGCTGACGACGTAGACGGTGTTTGTTTTACTGTCATCGTTGGTTTGGTGGTCCCAGTGTGCATCATGAAAACCTCTCTGCTTGCAGAAGCATTTCAGGCTGTTCCCTCTGGGGAGGGAAGCGCTGATTAGATTTCTCTGCATTAGAAGAAGTCATACTCAGCTGGTATCTTTATAAGCCATATTTAATCAAATCTATCTAGAGGATGATAAAAATATCTTTGCTTTTCCGTTTAGATCATGCGGGAAATCCAAGAGCACAAAATAAAGATCTACGAGTTCCCAGAGACGGATGATGAAGAGGAGAACAGGCTGGTGAAGAAGATTAAGGTACTCTGCTGCCTGACATTTTACTCTTTTTTTACTCAACCAAGACCCACATTTTTCCTTTAATAATCCTTTTTTTCTTTTGAACCAGGACAAGTTGCCATTGGCTGTTGTAGGAAGTAACACCATCATCGAGGTGAACAGCAAGAGGGTCAGAGGGAGACAATACCCCTGGGGGGTCGCCGAAGGTACGAATATGGGCTGGGGTCACTGTAACCGCAGTGAAAAATGCTGAAATTCATTTTCAGAAAGGAAGAAGAGATGTTTCCAAACAACCCCTAAAACAGTGGGCGGCTTCAAATGAGTCAATATTAAAACAAGGGCGTGTAGTAATGAAGTACCCATGAGCTACATCACATGGGTCACAAAAACAGGAACATAGCAGTACCAACGTTTCCTGGTATCATTATAAAAAGGTTTCATATCTATTCTTCATCTGATGACTTAACTGACTCTTTGTTCCTCTTTTTAGTCGAGAACAGCGACCACTGCGACTTCACCATCCTCAGGGACATGCTCATCAGGTAACCAAATCACAAAAAGAGAGAAAAACTCCTTTTATTTATAGATCATGAAACCTAAAACCAAACAGGCAGCTTTAAACAGAAGCTCTGAGCATTATAAATGTCAAATAAGTATTAGTACCTTTAGATAGAGTTATGGCTGAAAACGCAGAGGAAACATGATTCAGAGATCATCTGAAATATTTTGAATTCTCTCCAGGACTCACATGCAGGACCTGAAAGACGTGACGAACAACGTCCACTACGAAAACTACCGCAGCAGGAAGCTGGCTGCCGTCACCTACAATGGAGTGGACAACAACAGGGCTAAAGGTCAACTGTCCACAAAGTGAGTAACGGACGACGTTTAAGAGAAAGACAGACAGCAGCTGCAGTCAGAGCAGAGAGGATGGGCTCAAAGATTAGAAAACACAGAACAGAGCTGGTTCTGGTGTTAAATATGTTAAGGTGGTCATAGTGCTGAGGAGGGTGCAAAAATTTTATTCTATTCTAAAAAAAAGTTTTCCCCTAAATTATACTGTTTCCATAGCAACAAACTACATTTTACTGGTTTTATTGCTTAGTTGTAGAGCATATAAAGGTGTAAAAATTGTTTAACACACTGGAGCAGGATCATAAAAATCTACACGGACAAAAAAGTCATAAAGAGAGAGTCACAGTTTTAGTGTAAGTTATAAAGAAGCTTAACTCAGCGATATGAAGCTGATAAAGAAACGGATGTACTCATGTTAGTCTCATAGACAAAGAGTCTTCAGTTTAGTAGTAAAAATAAAAAGCCATGTTTTGTCGGGTTTGTCTGTAAGAGGAGAAGAAAACAGCTTTAGATGCGTTTGTAGTGAAGGTCAGGTCTATCATGTGTGATACACTCAGGAGGTAAGGAAATCTAAATCTGGTGTAATGTTCCCGTCCTCTGTGGAGCTCTCCAAAACCAGCTCGGACACGGCTGCAGCCTCCAGTCAAGCATCCCGGTTGTGCACAACACCTTTAGCTGGTTTGTTCACATTGAAACATGCTTTAGACTTGAAACAACTGAATGTAACACCAGACCATGAAGTATTTAGCTATTCAGTGTCGACATGAATTGTCTCATGAATTCTGGTTAATGCTGCTGAGACTAACGGAGAGTCAAGGATGTGCAGAAAAAGAAAGTCTCGCTCAGTTTGTTTGAATACGTTTCGACTCTCTGGACGTGTCATTGTTAAAGTGTGGGGGTTGTTATGTTCAGGGGTGTTCAGGTTCTGTTCTTTGTCCGTTCATTGTCTGTCGGTGATGATCAACAAACCCTCAGTGATTTCGCTTCTCTACTTTGCATAAAATCATGCCACTGATTCTCATTCAAAGCACCACGCTGCTTCCTCATTCATGGAGTAACAAGCCAACAGCAAACGGCTAACTCACTCACTCACTTAGCACCACGGCTTCACAGCAGCCTCACACTGCTGATGCTAACACACAGCTGAACATCTGAGCGGATCTGCTAATACATTCGACACTCTGCTCACAGAGCAGACGCTGTTTTCATCGAAGCTCTGAAATCACAGAACATGTTCAATTAGACCACGTTGATTTATTTTAGTGCATGAGCTCATTATTGCATGCTGTCTGTGTGTGTGTGTCTATGTGTGTGTGTGTGTGTGCGTGTGTGTGTGTTTGGTTGTATGTGTCTTCATTTTTTAGACTTGACACAGTTGAAGGAATGTAAGTGGGCTTATTTTTCTTATTTTATGAGACCCTTGTGTTTGATTTTCAACCCTTCCTTTCTCTCCTCTCCCGTTGGCTGCATTCGGGTGATTTCCTCTCTCATGTTGACTTAGGCCTGCCTCCCCCCACCTCCCCTTCCCTCCAACCCTGAACCCCCCCAACCAACCTCCCTCTGTCAGCAGATTTTTCCAGGAACAGCGGGGGGTGGGGGGGGACTGTGAATTAACACATTTATGAATACAGCCTGTCAGTTATGAATGTGATGGCCTGTTTTTCTCTGAAAGCAGAACTTTAGAATTGTGCTCTCAGCGCTGGTTCCACCTGCTGCTACTGCTTGGATTAACAAACGAGACCCGAGTTTGAGATGTATGGAGCGATTCGAATTGATCATAACCGGTCTTAATCGGAATAAGGCAATCATTGGGTTTTCTCGAGTGTCGTGTAAACATACTGACTGTTACGATCTAAGAACCTGCTGCAGCGAAAACAACACTGCAGAATATATGTTTAGCGTTTGACTGATGAAATGCTCATGAATTTTGCAACTCTGTTCGTCGTCCACCACTAACGTTTTCGTCTAGTCTCGTCTCGTCAACGTAAACGCACATTCGTCTCGTCACATTTTAGTCATGTCAGACTTATGTTTAGCTCGTCAACGTCACGTCTTCGTCGTGGAAAAAAAGGGGAAAACAACACTGACCTGCTGGCTATTGTCTTATGACATCCAGTCTGTTTGTTTCTCGAGGCTTCAGGTGTAGCCAAGAGACTTACAGTTTCGGTCATGTTGTGTCCAAACTGAAGTGCAGCTACTTGCCATTCGCCCGGGCTGTGGCTTCAATTACAGGCAAAGGCTAAAATGCTTTAATTCTCTACTATCAGGATGTAAACGAGCACAAACCACTAACAGGATAACATAATACAGGATTGTTTTTTCCACTTGATGAGAGAGAATGGAGTCAGTATTCAGAAACGGTGTCTAAATGTGGACCATTAGCTTTGGTTTTATGCAGATATCAGTTAATAGACACAAATTAAACCTAAATGGTCATCAGAGGACTGCAGATGTGTTCCTAGTTTATGTTTGTATGGATCACAGCCGGCTCCTTTGTTTCCGTATGAACTGCCTTCCTGCGTAATCGCCAGTATCAACAAAAATCTAGAGCACGTACTTCAACAATCCTGCCCTGCTGCGCTCAGATATTTGTCTTATTCTGTCGGCGTCTCTAAATGTAGGTCTGCGGTGGTAAAACTTGCCGTCTGTTTCTCGTCGCCCTTGTTCCTCTAAAATGTCGTTTAAATTGTCACAACGCTAAAATCAGGGTAGGTTGGATTTTACTCCTGGCTTTACTCTGTTCACACACCATCCCTCCACATATCTCACGTGAGGTGTCTCTCTGCAACAAAAGGTCTCAGCGAGCTTTACTAACACGAAACCACCGCCCGCACTAACAGCTGCTGTCCACAGGTTCCTTGCATTTTGTCCTCTTTGCTCGCAGTGACGTCTCATGGTTGGTTTCCTGTTCCTGTCACAGCCTTGTGGGATCCCGTCTTTTTACCTCTCACTCAGTTTTTCTCCCTGAATCCCGATATGATGTCTCTCTTTTGAAGATGAGCGCAGATGTAGTTCTGATACAGTTATTATATTCTTGGATTATAGTCAGTTTGTTGTCTTTCTGTCAGCTCAGATTTTTTACTTTCAGCTGGCTGGTTAAAGTGCAAAATAAGCTCTTCTTTATCTCTTCTTCTCTTTCTTTTAAATGCATGAAAACAACCTGCAAAAAGAGAAGAAGAAATATTAAAATAAAATCAAATTTAGTTTAAATGTTTAGTGATAGAAGACAACAAACAGATAAAGTTATGCAGCTTATTGTTCTGGTAGAGATAAATGAATGTTTAGAGTGTTTCAGCGTACTGATCATGATGCCTGCAGTGCTGGTCTAAATTTGTATGTTTGTGTGGTTTTGTGTGTGTGTGTGTGTGCGCGCTCACATTCTTCCTGTGCAGGAGTCCTCTGGCCCAGATGGAGGAGGAGAGGCGAGAGCACGTGACGAAAATGAAGAAAATGGAGATCGAGATGGAGCAGGTGTTCGAGATGAAAGTCAAAGAAAAAGTGCAGAAGCTTAAAGACTCTGAAGCAGAGGTAAAAACACGCACACACACACACACACACACAGAAAAACAGGGACCTGGTTTCGAAAACGCCGCAGTTCATGTGATTTCACTCATCCTCGTCTGCTCTCCTTCCTTCCTCTTTCACTGACGTGTGTCAGCGGTTCTGTGTGAGTGTAGGAGGATGTGTTGAATTGTGCAAAAGTTGTGCCAAAAACTTGTTATCGAGAAGAAAACATCTCCCAAGTGTGTGACATAAACTGGCCAAGCTATTAATGATGGGACCTCTGACATCCTCTTGAAATCAGGGAAACATGAGACTGGAATTTTGGCTGTAGTTAAGTTTTTAAGTTTTACCTTCTGATACTGATATCATGTAATTTCAGTGTGTCTGAATGAGGTCTGTTGTTATATCAGATTTTCTCCTCCCTATTATTGTGGGCAAAAACAGCTCACAACAACAATATTATAGCAATATTTTTGGAAAACTAAGAAAAACACACTATCAGTCAAATGATTCAAAGTTAAGATGAGGCCCGCTGGTTTAGCAGTCTTCACACGTGCCCCATATACAGAGGTTATTCCTTTTAGCAGCTGGCCCGGTCCTCTCCTTCCTCACGTCCCTCCCTGCTCTCTGTTTCCTCTGTCCTCTGTCCTCTCCTCTCTAAGTAAAAGCAGAAAACCTTACATGTCATCATCCGCTCTTCTTCAAACTATTCCAGCTCCAAAAATTGTCTTTGGATTCTTTCACGTTAGTTTTTCCGCTGACTTGTTCCTCTGCAGCTCTGATTTCCTGTCATCGGTCTGTTAATGATAGTTTTTGATTTTCCTGCCCGTCTCCTGCAGCTTCAGCGACGTCACGAGCAGATGAAGAAGAATCTGGAAGCTCAGCATAAGGAGCTGGAGGAGAAGAGACGTGTGTTCGAGGAGGAGAGAGCGAACTGGGAGGCCCAGCAGCGCCTGGAGCAGCAGAAACTGGAGGCCTCCAGGTACGAGCAGCTCTCACTCTCAGACAGCATCGCAGTCTTCAGCTGTCTTTATTCCAACCTCACACATTTCTAAGCTCATATTTACTGCAGAATGCATGCACTGTAGGAATGACATGCACATTAGTTTCAGAGGGGGTTGGTGGTGGGCAGTGATGGATTAGCTCCACCTTATGACCAAAAGACCCTACTACAGAGGGAGACACTGGATTTTCTCAAACTTGGTCACAAAGGAAAACATCGTCTGATAGCCTGGTGAACAAAACATGACAAAAACCTTAAGAAACATCACCTCCTCTGATTGTGACATTTTCATCTCTTTGTCTTGATTTGGGCGTTTGGGTTCTTAAAGAGACAGTAACTGAAATTGAGCACTTTATACTAACTAAAATGAAGGTTTTAAAATATTCCCAATACTTTTTTAACATAGTTTATTTAGTGAAATCAAAACATACAGAAAATGTTGAGCGGTAAAAATAGCTCTCAGGTGAACATTGTTCTGTTTTAGGGGTCAAAAGTCCAAAGATGATCATAACTTCTGCCTACAGAGTTGTAGAAGCACAAAACAAACATGTAGGAGGGCGGCAGTAACTCAGGAGGTAGAGCGGGCGTCCAATCACTGGGAGGTTGGCAGTTCGACCTCCTATCCCGAGTGTGTCCTCCACTGGTGTATGATTGTGAGTGTTGTGTGGTGGTGGTCGGAGGGGCCGTAGTCGCAAACTGGCAGCCATGTTTCCGTCAGTCTCCCTCAAGGCAGCTATGACTACCAAGGTAGTTTACCACCACCAGGGTGTGTCTGTGTGAGCGAATGAATGAATGATGTATCCGGTTTAAAGCGCTTTGAGGGTCTCTGATAAAGGGCTGTATGAAATCTGATGCATTATTATTATAATTATTCTTATTCTTAACTTGCGTTTGTTGGTGTTGGTGTGAGGAATGACAGCGTGGCATGTCTGGTCTGGTGTATCACAGCTTGTTTTGTTTTCTGGATCACGAGAAAACTAATCCTGTGATCAGAGAACACGTGTTTGTTATCTCAGGATAATGAGCCAAATGATCAGTTATGATGTGAAAACTTGATTTTTAATCCTGAAATGAAAAGAAAATAATCTAAATGACCTCAACCTCCCAGTTAATAAAGTTAATTGAATGTATGGATATCCCCTCTACACAGAGCGTCCTCATAAGAGTGATTCTATGTTACTCATGATCTAGTTTTGTGTTTCTCCTTCTGCAGAACTCTGGAGAAAAACAAAAAGAAAGGCAAGATCTTTTAAAGGACAGACGGCAGGACCACCCCAACTCAAGTTTTTTCTGTTTGCCAACGTTGCCGGTCAGGACGCCAGTGTGTGGCACTGACATCACCCACCTCCTCCCCCCTTTCTCCCCCTCTCCTCCCCTTCTCCCATTCCCCACCGCCCTCCCCCCTCCTCTCCACCCTTCCCCTGCTCTGTCTGCCAGCACAGCTGCACTCCTGCTTCCTACCACCAGAGGGAGCGCTAGAGCAGGTATGTGAGGAGGTGGGGGGGGGGGGGGGGGTCGATATGAACTCTCCATCAGAACTGCCACCGCAGAGCCTCCTCGCTGCCTCGGGACTCATACTCATGAAAGAATGTGTTAAATGTGCCGACAGAAATCAATAACCCATTTTTAGAAAGGCCAAACCCTCATTATTATTTGAATTATTATTATTATTATTATTGATGTTATTATTATTATTATTGTTGTTGTTATAACTGATATACTGTCCCCGCCCCTATTTGCTGCTCTCTTCTTTTCATCCCAAGGTTGCTTTGAAATGACTGATGTGTACAGTTTTAAGGAGAGAACTGCAGACAAAAAAATTAACCCGAGTCATGTGTGACTGTTGTACAATCAATTTTTGGTGAATTGTATTTGTTTACAGGAAAACTGAAAGTAACAGTATATGACCTTTAACCCGCTCTTCTATTGTGTTTTAAAGTAAAATGAGGACAAGGCATTAACTAATCCTTTTTGTTTTATTTTGAGTGTATCTGGTAACTCATGAGTAACCCTTTTTATTTGAATGTGACGGTCTAAAATGAAACAGTGTCAACAAAAAAAATCTGAACTCAATAAAAAAACCGACAAAAATGCACCTTGGGCCTTTTTATAGACGTAAAAAAATGGCTAAAAGTTCTTTTTTTAAACATTATGCTTTCTTTTCTCCTTTGTGTTTAGCTTTTTCCACTAGCCTTGGACCACCATTTATAACTTCACAAGTGTTATATTTCACTTTAGTTTATTTTTCTATATACCGAGCCAGCTAAAGTAATAACTTCTTTTGTATGTTGAGAACCTCCTCAGACTTGAGCAGCGTCCGCTGTTAGAAAAAAGAAACACACCTCCAACTGTGACCCTGAATTCTTAAAAGAAAAGTAAAAAAGTTTCAATCACTCTGCTGCGGACACCGATCAGTGGGAAAATGAAGAGTCGACACCGCAATTTGCTTGGCTATGTACTCCATCTCTGTATTTTTAATTTTATTTTTCATTTGTATTGTACAAAGTCACTTAATAAACCTGTGATGAGACTGAGGCGTGAGAGGGCTTTATTATGAAAATGAATGTAAACATATTTAAGATTATGGCACTTCTTTTTTTTAAACAGAAAGTCATGGATACATTCTCCCAGTAACGCACAGAGTTCAGTCTTTACCATTTTAAACAAACGCTAGATGGCGCCGTTCCTCATTTTAAAGCATTGGCAACCCCAATATGTGACTATAACACTGAATTACAGAACATTAACAGTCTGACACTCCTTAAAAAATATCATAATAGAAAAAAAAAACATGTCATTATTATTAAATGAAGCAAAACTAAAAAAAGACGTAGATCCTCGATCTTGAAAGCAGCTCAAAAGGCTCCTGCAGGGGGAAAAATATCTGTTACCAAGCAGATTAATTCTCTTCAGGTTATACAAGATTAATCTTGAAGTACCGTACCTTAATCCTCGAAGCCTCTTTTACCCATCAGACCCACAAAAGTCTGAAATTTGTGCCCTAAGATTGAAAAAGATGTGAAAAATATCACTCATCAATAATTTTGAGATATTGAAATCAAATGAAGTATTACTACTTACGTTTACGTGCTGTCTGTGTTTTAGCTGTTTGGAGAGAAAAAAGACAGAAATCAAACCAGAGTGCAGCTGACTTAAACACATATAAGGTCATTTTTGGTGTAAATTGCTCTCACCGAATTCCTTTCTTCCCACGAGTCCAAGATACTGGCGTGGTCCCAGTTTTCTCGTCATTCTTCCTAAGAAATCTTGAATTCCTCCAGAGTTTGCCCATTTGTCCTGGTGCAAACCCAAAACAGAGAGAATGAGGATATTGTAATCTTCCCGAATAAAACTCGATAAATTCCAGTTGTAGCATAGTTGTCCAGAATTTGGAGTAATGCTGCGAAATGACTTTTTCTTTGCATCCATTAAATTTTCTCCAAGCTCAAAGGTCTTACCTCTTCGAAGCTTTCTTCCCAGTTGTGGACATCCTTTTCCTGACAGAGGACGTTTGTCAGAAGCAGCGCAATCACGAGAACAAGTTTAAGAAGCTCCATCGATGCACACCGTGCGTAATCTCACCCTAATCCCTCTTTGTTGACACCTTTAGCGTGGATTAGAGTATCAATATATACTTTTGTGCAAGTGATGCCCAGTTCGCTGCTGCTGTATTATTGTAGATGCTGACTGCAGAGAGCAGTCTCCCTTATTGGTGCTTCTTTGCGCCACGGAGGTCCATTTGCGCACAAGAGCTTTTACGCACTGATGGAGTGGGTGATGTTGTCCCTCTCTGGTGAGTCACTGGGCTTCGATTTTACATTAAAATCTAGGTTTTTCATTTATATATACATATATATATATATATTTAAGAAGACAATACTCACAGTGACAAAAATGAAAATGTCCTCATAAGGTGCCCAAATCCCCAAACCTGCAGGTTATATCCAACAATAACAATGACAGAAACTGAGGCTGCTATGACAGCAAAGTGATGCCACTAACAAGGATTTCTGTCTTATCTAGTGATTGAAGTATTTCCAATAAAGAAAGAAAAAAAAACAGCAACTCCAAATTTCGTACCTTAAAATGACCTTTCCCACATATAGGTTGAATAACTCAAAGCAGTTTATTCCTCTAAGTGATGAAATTTATATCACAGGTAGTGAGGTTTTTGGAAGACAAACTTTGTGCTTTTTTCGGGACTTAAGAGGCTTTCACCTCAAGAGATATTCAAAACTTAAACGGTTTAGGTGTCCATGTAACTTTTAAATAACTGTTTTTAGGTGGGTTGGCTTAATTAGATAAATATTGTCAGAGAAAATTGCTAATTAAGTTTATTTATTTCAAATTTTATGTTAACTTTCAGGTTGATAAATATCTTTAACGTAGAATACATAAATAAAACATCGGAAATACAGTTTTTTTTCACTATAACGTTTTTATTTAAACATATGCAAACAGGGAGCAACGACAAAATGAGTTTCAATCTAATAATAAAGTAGATTTTTATGACAGTCGGAATGAAACGGTACTTTAAACCTGAAAAGGATTTCTGACAATATTTCTAATTCTTCCAGAAAATCAATAACATTAGCGATCTTCTACTTATATAATTTTTTATAATTTTATAATATTTTATAATTTATCATCAAATTACAAACATTAAGTCACATTGGTGATAGTAAGATTATAAAATGTTAAACCAGCTTTTTAGAAATAAAGACCAACAAGTGTCAGACGAGTCTCTATTTGTGTTGGCAAGTCTCGCGAGAAAAAAAAATCTTTCGTTATGCTAATCGTGAAGCGCAGAAACACTGTTTTTTCCGCCCAACTTGATTTCACGACGAAACACACTCAGGGATTTAAACGGATAACGATAAACTTCGGTCACGTATGTTCTTAAACATATTAAATTAATTCGTTACTGGATCATTTAACCGAATTCCCCACCAATGGTCGTTTTTAGCGTTTGGGAGAGTCTTGTCCCATTAGAGCCGCCGTAGCCTGCCGCTCGTCCCGCCTCCAACTCAAATCACTCATAGGAAGATTATCGAGATTGTCAAAACGTCCTCTGAACGTGTTTAACAGCAGTCTGACCTTTTAAATCTACATAAACTCTGAAAAAAAAGAGATGTTAGGGACTGAGAGACGATGGTGAGTTCACGGACGCTCACTGTCAGGGGGAATATGCGGTTGTCGGGAGGGAAGTTTTCGATGTTTTGCTGCCTGGTTGTTCTGACAGCTCAGTTCAGTAAAGCAGAAGGGAAACTGAAACTGATCGGAGATACTGCGGCCTGTGACTCCCACGATAATAACGCAGTGAGTGTGAGGTCCGTTACAACCTCATCTGCAGGACCGGAACCAGGAGACCCTGCAGCCGCGTTCACGATCCGAACTCTGGATGGAGAGTTTTCCTTCCAGCCCGGAGCCCAGCAGGGATCTCTCATCATCCACGCCTTCACCAACAAGTCCGGGTTTCTCGAGTGTCTGTGGAGCTCCGAGTCGTCCCTGACCAGCCTGGTGCAGGACTTACCGGAGAGTACCCAGGTCCTGTTTCTGTCCCTGGACGACTCTTCGGTCGATGATGCTCTGTGGATGAGGGAGCAGCTGCACCGGGTCGCGGTCCAAAGGTGACCCACAAGACTTTAGTGCATGTAGTTAAGTGCATATACTTTAGTGCATATACTTTCATGCATGAACTTTAGTGCACATACTTTAGTACATATACTTTAGTGCATATACTGTTGTGCATATACATTAGTGCATATACTTCAGTGCTTATATTTTAGTACATATACTTTAATGTAGGTACTTTAGTGCATATACTTTAGTACATATACTTTAGTGCATATACTCTTGTGCATATACCTTATTACATATACTTTAGTGTTGTGTTCAGTTGTGTACCCTACAGTGCCTGAGAACCACCACTGCTGCAAATAAAAAATGATGCAAAAAAAAAAGTCACAATGGAAGTTATCAATGCAAAAAAACAAAAAGAAACTGAAGCCAGCTGCAAATAAAAAGAAATGGTGCAGATAAAAATTTTTTTAAAAAGCCTCAATGAAATTAACGACGCAAAACAAAGTGGCTGTGAAAATAAAATGATGCAAATAAAAAAAGCGCCAGGGAACTCATCTATGAAATATTTTCATATAAATCTTTGTCCTACAGTGGTATTTCTATGAAAGCTGCTGAAACAATCATTCAGTTTAAGCTTTAGTTGCCTGTATTCTTAATTTCATGTGTGACTCTTTTTCCAGCGGTAAGAAGGAGGTCCTGTCCAGGCTGCACATCTGTCCTCTGCCCGTCTTCACTCTGGGAAACTGGTTACCCAGTGTGCTTTACTACTGGGGCTGCTCATCTCGCAGCTGTGTCCTCTCTCAGGCTGTTTTCACCTCCGAGGGTCAGTCCGCTGTCGCTTTTTGTCTCTTATGGGGAGGAATTCTGCATCAAAAGTGGTGTTTGTCAAAGTAATCTATTGGCAAACTTTGTAAAACAATATAACAGTCAATGAGTGCATGAAATACTAGAACGAGGAACAATTAAGGCAGTGTTTTAGGCTCCCTTTTGTTGTATATTATAAAATTATTCCTTCCCATTGAAAGTGAGTTTTCAGGTGATACACTATATGAAACTTTCTGCATTCACTGGAGCTCTTACCTCTTTATTTCTAACACTTCAAATTTGCACAAACTTTCAGTGCGAAGCAGCAAATGAACAGTCTTAATTTTTCTGAGTTTTTTAATTTTCTGGATCTACAGGGTGGAATATCCCGATAATAATCAAGAGATTAGACGCCAGGTACGATTGGCTCATGACAAGATGGGGTCCAAAGTCTCATCAGTTAGTCGATGCAGGTGATGGGTGCGAACCTGCCCCCTCTGTGGCGGGCGCTGTTGCCTGGGTGTCCGAGGGTAACTGCTCCTTCTTCACCAAGGTCAGTTCATATCAGAGGTAACGGAGCAAGCTGTGTCCAGGGGGTGACGCATTTGCCTCAGAAATCGTATGTGACTCTGTGACTCTGGTTGCTGTGCTTCTTTCCAGGTGGAGAACATGGCTAAATCCAACGCCTCCGGTGTCCTTGTCTACGCCATGTTCGGTAACCCGCTCCAGGACATGAACTGTGATGGGGACGAATGTAACACAACACTCAACATCCCTGCTTCCATGGTGCACTATGAGCCTTCAGTCGCTCAGGCGCTTCAGTAAGGATTAAACCCATCCTCTGTTCGGCTCATAACATCCTTTTGACATAGATAAACAGAACATTGTGAAGGTTAAAGGGATATTCTGCTATTTTCCAGAAGTGAGGTTAGATAAATTATGTGTCACAAGAAAGCCCATTCTGTTTTGCATGGTTTGCAGACAAATATATACATAAATGACTGATATATTGTGAATTTTGGTATTTTATGTACCCCAATGTTGGCAGTTTTGCTTCTAGTACCCTTACTTGTGACATGTGACTCAAACGACCCTGCTAAAAAATACTGAAATAGCCCTTTAAAATAATTTGACTCATAATTTTTCTAGTTTTATCCTTCATAAAATCTGAATTTCTTTCCTTGCATTGATGCTTTTCACGGTGGCAGGATTTATTGAAGTTCATGTGGTTTGCAGGTCTGGACAGCAGTTGTATGTGACCTTCCAGATCACCCCCTCCCCAACTTTCTTCTTCAGTATTGACCAGCAGGGGGTGCTGGCTGAGATGGGCTGGTTTCTTTACCCCTCGTTCAGCTTCCTCAACTGGCAGGCACAGTGGTAGGTTCAAGGTTCAAGGTCAACTTTATTATCCACGTGAAGGTGATTTAATTATTATATTTAAAAATGTAATGATTTTTTATTTCGCTTTGGCTTTAAATTGTTTTTGTTTTCTTAAGTTTGGTCTAGTTTTCAATCGTCCTCAAATGCTTAAATGTTGCTCAGTTTTGATAAGTTTTAGAGTTGCTTTTAGGTTTTCTTGTTTTGGGAAACTTGTCAATGGTAAGATGCAGAAGAGCCAAAAAGATATTGCAGAGACAGAACAGAAAATGTCATATCGTTAGAAAAATACATACAGATGAACAACCACAATCATCTACCAAAGAAAGCCTCAGAGTTAGGGGTGCCCCCTTTTTTTACCTGATTGGTCACCCCAAGATCCTAACCGATTTGCCTTGACAGAGGCAGAAACTTGAACACTGGTCATTTGTGAGCCATGAGACTCCACTTAAGACAGTCCATGAGGGCCTTGTGTCAGTGAGGGTGCTTGTGTCAAAGATGAAAATGAAAGAAAGCTTCTTTATGATTTCATTTGATTTTAGTTTGTGTTGTAAACAAACAGTCAGTGTCAGTTTTTCTAAATCCTCATCTGATGTTTTTGTGATTTTAGTTTTCTTAATTTTGTTCCTTTCAATGATAACCTTGAGCAGTCATTGTGCAAGGTCTTCATCTGCGACTTTTGTCTCCAGGTTTGATTTTTATGCAGATCTGCTCATGAAGCTTCGGAGACCCGCAAAGGTTGTTCCTGTTTTTGACAAAGTCCTGATGCAGGGGGAGAAAGGAGCCGTGGCTACAGTCGACATGCCTGCAGGTAATTTCATTGACAGGAAACAGGTTTAAAGATTTACTAACAGACTGTGGGTTAGGTCTTATCCTGTGTAATCTAAAGAGTCCAGAGACAAATCCAAAACGACCAAACACTTGTTGAAAAAATCCTTTTAATGGCTGTGAATGTTGGATGAATGCAGATGGCATAATCCTGCAAAGAAAGTCCAGCTCTATTCACAAACTTTATCAGCAAACAAACCGATAATGATAAAAACCATAACACTCAGACACCCTGATCCAAAAGGTCCATTAGAGAACTAACACTGCTCTGAGAACCACAGTCAGCTGAAACAGAGGGTCAGGAACCGTGCATTAGAGCATCAGTGTGAACTCGTAATGCTGCGATGAATGAGCTTTTTAACACCACATCTCTCTGCAGGACTCTTGGACTATGACCTGCTGGAGCTCGACGCGTCCCTGTTGTGTCCCGGAAAGAGAGACTCCACCTGCGCTCACTGGGATCACACGGTGCAGCTGTTCGTGTGCTGCGATCAAACCGGTCCGTACTGCAACACGGAGCTGGGTCGATGGATCACCGCCTTCAGGAGGTAAAACATAATTGGTCATGTGTCTCTGAAGCTGCTAGTTTTTGCTTCTTAGACTTTTTAGTTGATAAGTTTCTGTGTTTCATTCTGGCAGAGGTACTGGGCGCTGGCTGACAAATGTGTCCCCCCTGCGCCCCCTGCTGGACGGCAGCAAATGCACCCTCACTATGAAGACAGTGCCGTGGGCGATGCCGTGGTTCGTCTCCCTTAACCTGAGATTCAGTATCAGCAATGAGACAGGTAAACACTCAATAAATACCCTTTTAATTTATAGTACACTCTACATATGATCACATATAAGATAAACTTTGTGGAGATGAAATCGAAGCCACCTTTCAGCCGCTGCAGCTGCAGTCGAGCTTCATCATAGATTACTGAAAACAGCCTCGTCTCGATCGCCCCATGCTGATTTCCCCTCAGAAAAAAAACGTCCCGCTGAGATCTGAGCTCTCCCTCTGTCACAGTGAGAGAGATGTGACAGATGTGACGTCCCCTCAGAACCTTTTCGCTCCCTTTTTTTATCTCACCGGAGAACTTTTTAATAGCAGAGAGGAGGAAACTCCCTGCAGGAAAGAACAGACTGTCAGTAAATAGTTTGGATTAAAATAAGACGCCCTGGAAAGATGTGTCTTGTAGTTCCTGGAAATATTCTGACTTAGTGTTTGACACAAAGGATAATGGGCCTGTCGGGCATCAGATGTGCCAGTAAACTCCGCAGGAATCATCTGACAGCTCTTGGTTTGTTGATCTAGTATGAATGAAGTCGGATGTGGTCCAGGACTCACAAGTACGACCACCCACGAATCTCTGCGGGGAAAAATAACTAATTTAAGCTTCATCAACATGCACCTGCACAGTCTGAGGACAACATGCTGTTTCTTTATGCCTCAAAGCTACAGGAAACTTCACCGATGATGGTGAAGAGGAGAGGCTGCATCCTTTCAGACTCATGCCTCTGTACAGCGGGGGAACCTTCGACAAAAACTACAACAAGAGATTCAAGCCGATCAAATTCGCCGTCCCACCGTCAACCAAGAAGGTGACAAAGATCTGCTCTGTGATGCTTTTGAAGACCTTCCTGTAAATCTGTCCCAGTTCAGCAGCTGTCAGTCTGTGTGCGTCTGCAGGTCGAGCTGTACGCCGTCATCACAGCGCACGGCAGCGACGACAACAGCTGTGGAGAGTTTTGTGTCACCTCCCATCACTTTCTGTTCAACGCTTTTTACAACAACACACTCATATTTGACTCTGCAGGTGAGAAAGGTCGGCCTTTGGTGAGGGTTTACTGAAGGTAGAAGATGAGACTGTTTTAAATCAAAGTGGAGCTGTTCAAACACATGAGGTTGTTGCTGTGACCTTTTAGGATCACCTCTGGGCTGTGCCATGAGGGTCAAAGAGGGCGCGGTGCCGAACGAACACGGCACATGGCTGTACGGGCGAGGAGGCTGGTGTGACGGACTGCAGGTGGATCCCTGGAGGATCGACATCACCAAGCAGGTACAGCCTCTCCATCCTTACAACCTTCAAACCTGATCATCGTTTCTTTTTTGTTGGAGTAAAAACTGACTGAATGACAGGTAGTACTGAGAATGAACACTTTACTATCTGCCATCCACCGTGTAATAAGCAGATATTTTTTCATTAAGCAAAAACAGGGGTTCAAAAAAAGCAACAGGAGTACTTTAAAAGTCCGGGAGATAACAGCTACATGCTCTTCCATTCATCACGTCCACTTACGGTAATGATACATCTTTGCTCTCAGCGCAGATGTATTCAGGGTCATTGGGGGACAAGCTGAAATCCCTGATGGCTCCTCTTCCTACACTAGATTCACAAGAATCTGTTATAAAGGTCTCACTGAAGTAAGCCTATTAGACAGAAAAAGTGCTTAAGGATTCTGGAGTGAGTTATTAACCCTCAAAACTCTCCATATAATCATGTACAACTCTTAGACTTTCTCCGCCGGGAGCTCTTTGATTGCCTCTGCAGTTATCTGCAGCACAGTCCTGAGATCTCAGATTTGACTGCAAGATTGCAGAAGTACACGTCTCACCTCATGACTGATTGTGATTGGTGCCTTTTATCTGTTACAATAAGAAAATTGGGTCTCTTTCCAAAGCTGTTCATGATTATAAAAAGCTCCCTGTCCTGCTTCATTGTTCGCAAAAAGCAGCCTCTAGTGTTAAAGGGAAATTCCAGCGTAAATTTAAGTTAGGGTGGAACACACCATAACACCGGGTAAGACACCCCCTCCAGAGATGAATGTTGCCGACTGCTTGCTTCTCTAGTTCCAACTTTAGTAACGACCGCACGATAGCAATACACAGCGGTCTACATCAACTGAACATATAGGGTCCCAGCCATAGTACCAGCCACCAAACATCTTTTTAACTTTGACTAATTTCTTTAGCAAAATGACTAAACACAACTCACCCACTCTCCTCCAGCAGCCGCTTGTTTGTGGGGGAGCCCTGACGAGTCGATCATTGAGTGCAAAAACCTTCAGCTTTGGTGTCCTCTTTGAATGCCAAGAAATCCCCATTGGGTTTAATGGTAAAATGCCCATTTTAACAGCAAGATTTAACATATTTACAGGAGAAGTGTGTCAGCAAATATCTGAAAAGTTATTACTCTCACTATTCAGTTAAAGGAATAGTTGCACTTACAAGGGCTGTATCTCAGATCGATGATTGCTGACATGCTTTAATTCTTCACTACCTGGATGTAAACAGGCAGAGATGACGAGACTGAACAGTTTGGCAGCATTTTGATCTAGAAAACAGAGATAAAGTTGTATGTAGGCTGAGTGTGGTTAAACTGGAGCAATGCATAAGCAGCACAGGCATGAGGACGTTAACCTGCAGGGACGACTGGAAGCTGATGGTGTGAGCTCGGTCAAACATCGAATGAATGATATTGTCCAAGTTCACCTTCAAAAATTACAGTTACTGTCTTTTTGTGTGTCTTTATAAAATCTAATTTCATATTTTCTTAATTTCTCTTTCCTTTTCCAATCAAACAGTGTGCATCTTTCATAGTTTTCTATCTTTTTCAGCTCGACGTCAGCGGATCTGAATCCAACACCGTCGTCTACTTCGGCTTGTTTAACGGGACCGATCCAAACCCGACCAAAGATCCCGGATACATCATCATGTCTTCTTTTCTTGTCTTCTATAAATGATGCCTCTCTGATAATTTAAGATTTAAATATTTCTGTGAATGGAGGACTGTGTGTACAATCAAGCCAAAGATTAAATGTCTATTTTCGGACTGCTTTTTTCGGCTCTTTTCATTCGTTTTGATCTTATTTCATTTACTCGTATAGACAGGGAGGGAACAGTGAGCTCTGCAAATAATGATTCATCAGTGAAGACAGCTAGGATGCGAAATATCACCCGCCATTCTCACCCAGCACGACCCACAATTTGCATTTATCTGAAGATGTTGCCCTGAAGTCGTCGAGAAGAAACCTCACAGCTCTCCAGAGGATGAAGACGATATTTCTGAGAGCGGTAATTACATGTAATCATGCACAACTTTAAACTTCAGGATGAGGAGATAGTTTCTCTCTGAGTCATCTCCTCGATGGAGAATCTGCTTCTTGGTGAGTTTTTCTTCTTTTATTTGACACTTTGATTCATTTGTCAAACGAGATTTACCTTTTAAATATGGGCCTATCCTCTAATGCATGAAATTGCACTTCATTTGTCTATTTTTTTTTTTTATTAAATGACATTTCACAGTATTAAAAACATACACTTAAAAAAAACTTGGGACATAATGTACAAAAAATACATCATAGTTTCTTACAAAATACAAAAAAAGGTTACTTTTCCTAAATAAAAGTTAGTGGTTATGAAGTTTTTTATTTTTATTTTTTTCAACGATGCTGTTCAACAGTGTGTAAGTAACATCACAAGTCCATTATCTGCATTAGCTTTGCTTGTTCACGATTAAGACCAAAGTCCTTCAGGCAGAGAAAAAGGAAATACTCACATTTTAATCTGTAATTTGACTCGCTGATGATGCCTCTTGTGTAACTTTTCATAACTATCCATGTTAAAGTAACTACAGGTTTAATACTAGGACATCAAGTCACAGAAAAATACTTGATTATCAGGGATGTTTAGGACTAACGGCTGTGAGGTGTTAGGCTCTGACGCAGATCTCTTTGCAGAGCTTCTCGGTCTCAAACTGGTTGTTGTTTCCGAGGCAACCTCCGAACCAGAACTGAGCGCAGGAGTTAGCCGTGGCGTCGTAGTACCACTTCACCACGTAGTCCCGGCAAGGTCCTGGATCTAGGACGTGGCCACACCGCTCTGTTTGGGAACATCAAAACAAGATGGTTATTATCAACATGTAGCCCACAGTTGGAGTAAAATCAGTCCTCGTTCCACCATCTTCCTCTCTTTTGTAAACTATAACCTGATTTGAGGTTTTCTGATGGCTGCAGAGAAGGAGTTGTGGCTGTAGGCGCCGGCGTCCTCTCCTCAGGCAGGACTTTCAGGGTGGGACCCGCAGGCCCGACGGCTCCCGTCATCACCTTGTGGCGGTCGGGATCCTTCATGTCAAACTGCGGTCCGAACTCTGTCACAGGTCTGAAGGGCTCCCAGTCAAAAAATGGCAACCTCTGAGTGACTGTGGAGGATCTATCGTCAGTCTTGGGTCTCTGTGGAGCGATGGGTTCTCTTTTGGGTAGCGGTGCTGGTGGGCCGGGCTGTAACAGAACAGAGGATCATCCTTCTGCTGCAGACCTGTTCAGGTAAGTTTCAAAAAGCAAAATGACGGATTTGTTTCCCTCACCCCTGCGTGAAGTCTCCTGAAGTCTCCTGTGAAGGTGGGCGTGTCGGTATCCGTCCTGTACGGGGGTTCTCGAACGTTACTCGAGGCCTCTGGGATTCCTGGAGGCAGTCTGGAGCTCGGGATGGTGCTGAACAAACGTCGGTCTCCATCCTCACAGATGCGACTCAGCAGTTTCTTTTCCAGGGCTGAAAGAAAACAGTAAAGTCAATTTATACAGTACAGCAAATTTCTCTTTTTTGTTTAGCACATTTCAGCAGCAGGGCAATTCAAGGTGCTTTACATGAAACAAGCAGGCAAAACATTCAACACAATTTAAAAAGTAAAAACAGCGTAAAAGACATTTAACAGATTAAAAGTTACATTCAAAGCTAAAGTAAGATTGAAGATAAAAGAAAACAAAGGTTAGATTGGAGAGATAGAAAAAAAGATCAAGACAGGCAGATGATGAAGATGTTGATTAAAGGCCTCAGGTTTGATTTAATGATAGGCCACAGCAAACATATGCGTTTTCAGTTGTGATTTAAAAGAGCTGAGAGTTTCAGCAGACCTACAGTTTTCAGGGAGTTTGTTCCAGATATGAGGAGCATAAAAACTAAAAGCTGCTTCTCCACGTTTAGTTCTGACTCTGGGGACAGAGAGCAGACCTGCTCCTGATGATCTGAGCGGTCTGGATGGTTCGTAACGTATCAGCATATCAGAAATGTATTTTGGTCCTGATCCATTCAGTGCTTTAAAAACCAGCAATAGTATCTTAAAATCAATTCTTTGACAGACGGGAAGCCAGTGTAAAGATCTGAGAACTGGAGTGATATGATCTACTTTCTTGGTCTTAGTGAGGACTCGAGCAGCAGCATTCTGAATCAGTTGGAGCTGTCTGATGGATTTTTGGGGAGACCTGTGAAGACACTGTTACAGTAGTCAAGTCTGCTGAAGATAAATGCATGGACAAGCTTTTCCAAATCCTGCTGGGTCATCAGTCCTTTGACCCTTGATATATTCTTCAGGTGACAGTAGGCTGACTTTGTAATTGTCTTTATGTGGCTGTTGAGATTCAGGTCTGAGTCCATGACAACGCCAAGGTTTCTGGCTTGGTTTGTGCTTTTTAACATTATCGATTGAAGCTGAGCACAGACTTTTAATCGCTCTTCTTCTGCTCCAAATACAATTACTTCAGTTTTATCTTTGTTTAGTTGAAGAAAATTCTGACACATCCAATCGTTGATTTGTTCAATACACTGACTCAGTGTTTGTATTGGATTGTAGTCGCCTGGCGATATGGTTATGTAAATCTGTGTGTCGTCTGCATAATTATGGTAAGATATTTTGTTGTTTGCTATGATTTGAGTTAGAGGGAGCATGTAAATGTTGAACAGGAGTGGCCCCAGAATGGAGCCTTGGGGAACCCCACAGTACAGCAAATTTCTCATATTTGTTTGAGGTAGCTAGCTGCAGAAAATCGTTTAGTTCAGATAGCAGATCACTGAAGCTCGGGTCACATCAAACCAAAACTTTACTCTTGACAAAATCTTTGTTTTGAAATTTGGGTGAATTGACCCTTTATGTGGCCGTCATGCTCACCTGGGAGCGTCCTGAATTCATCTACCAGGTAGACGTGGTCGCTGTCCGGGTCAGAGGCCATCAGATTGAGCTCCTTCTTGAACTCTTCATACAGGGGATCACTCTGGTTCACCACCCCGATCACAAACCTCTCCACGTTACTCCCCTGAGCCTCCGACACGGCGCTCTCCAGACTGACGGCGTCTCTTTTGTCCGCCTGCCCATCCGTGATGATGATGGCCACCTTCCTCACACCCGCCCTCGCCGCCTTGAACACCTGGTTGGCTTGATGGATGGCGCTGCCTGTGTACGTGCCCTCGCCCAGGTAGGTCATGGATCGCACGGCGGACTTGATCTCATCACGCGTGGCTTCCTGTCTGAGGTGGACCACCACCATGTTGATGTGGCTGTAGAGGACCACACCCACCCGCGTGGTGTCCCTGCTGACCGAAGCTCGGTCGATCAGGGCGTTTACAAAGTCTTTGATAATGTTGAAGTTGTCGGGGCCGACGCTCTCTGAGCTGTCGATCACAAAAACCAGCTCCAGGGGGGTTTGACGGCAGGTCACTCCACAGCCTGAAGAGACAGAAGGACCGGTCATAAAGAGGACAAACACCAAGTCCAAAATATCAACTTCTGAGTCCTCGATTACTTACTGCAGATGGACCTCACTATTTTGATGATTTCTTCCCTCTGTAAGAAAGAGGCAGCTTTGGTTCATACTTTGAGTTTTCTGCGACATCACATGTCTAAAATGATTTAAAGGTGGGGTGGTCAGGATCTGAGGAAGTGCCAGTTTTTGGGAGAAATCTTGAATATAAACTCTACAAACAGACGCTCCTGCTCGCTCGTATCGTTCCGATTAAATTCAGATATAGCCTACTGCAGATAAATACTTCAGATCATTACAAATGGGGCCCAGTCAACTTGAAAGTAAACAGCATTGGTGCTACTGTAGATGCCAACAGACTACCAGCAAACACAATGTTTGCAGGACTTCTACAACTAGGATAAAGTGACATAGTCCAGGACCCGAGGTCAACAGTCTATGAAGCTGCTGCTGTGATAATGTTCTGTATTTGGACTGATGGACTTGACTCACCGTAAGACCAGGCTCCCCCTTTTGACCCCCTCTACCCTGTAATGTGAAAAAGTCGTTAGTAGTCTTTGTACAATGTAGTTGAAGGTACATGAGTAACTCTTAAAACTAAATCCAGTACCACAGGTCCGATTGCACCGGCCTCTCCAGGTTCTCCTCTCTCTCCCTTTAGTCCTTTTTCACCCCTGAATCCTCGTTCACCCTGAGAAAACAGATACCAGCCTTAATAACCTTCTGTATTGGAGGTTGCGTTGTTATTTTATGTGCACTTTCGGGATGCTCTTCTTCAGATTTGATGCAACTCTTTATATTTCACTACTGACGATATATTTTATTACCTTGTCCCCCTGCAGACCTTGTCCAGGAGGACCTCTGGGACCAGAGATCCCCTGAAACCCAGGTTCCCCCTGAAAAACAGAGAAGAAAAACTGACGTCCCCAAAATGTCTCTCTACTGTCCTCAATCCTCTTCAGGTACCTTTTTTTCTTACTTAAGTCTGTAACTGACAGTGTATAGTGATACCTTTTGACCCTGGATGCCCTCTCCAGGTAACCCCGGTGGACCAGGTGGGCCCACTTTGCCGACAGAACCCTTAAGAAAAAAAGGAGAACTGTGAGTCTTTTGGACGCCACCATCACAAGCCAAAAAACAAAACCCACAACTTTAACACTGCTGTTAGGAAACAGACAGATTACCTTTGAACCCATCAGACCAATCCCTGGTGGCCCAGCAGGTCCAGGAGGTCCAGGCAGACCCCGGTCTCCCTTGAAACAAAATTATTCATAAACATTTGTCAAGAACTATATTTGGTGTCTGATCTCAAACAGAGATTAAAAAAACTGCCTGAAAGTCTCCAAATCTTGAAACTTCTAAGACCAAAATTAACAATATTCCAGTTTTATAAAATACCGTCCATGTTTGACGAACTTTTACCTTTGGTCCTGGTAACCCGACACCATCAGCTCCAATTTCTCCTGGCAGACCAGGAGGTCCAGAAACCCCCTGAGACACAGAGGTCGATTAAACCAGACAGTAACGGCTGATTTTAGTGAATATAAAGTGAGGTTATAATCTAAGTTTGTACTCACTGGTGGACCGGGGTAACCGTCACCTTTCAGTCCAGGTGGTCCAGCAGGTCCAGGTGACCCTCTGTCTCCCTAACAACCAAAACACACCTTTTAAATTAATACATGTCATGACCGTCACTCTGCACACCTGAGATAAACCCACCTTTGGTCCACTTAAACCAATCCCTGGTTCTCCCATGGCTCCAGCAGCACCCCTTGGACCCGGGTCTCCCTGAAAATGCACACAAAAATAAACATATAAGTCAACCTGCTGTTGCTGTTTATGGTTAAATCTGAGTGATTTTGATGTTACCTTTGCACCAGCTATTCCCCTCCCAGGTGGTCCAGGTGCTCCTGGTAGCCCCATTATTCCAAGTTCACCCTGAAGGAGAAGAAATACTTTGTTTACATGGAGTATCTACCAGCCGAGCTAAAGTGGCGCCCTCAGATAGTTATGTCGTGTTAATTTTCACAGAGCCTCTAATGTCCTTCAGGGAGGTATCTTCATGTGTTGTGTGTAGAAATGTTAATATTTAGTTGTTACATCACTTGCTTTTTTCTGGTTAGCATGTACTTACCTTTGGTCCCATTGGACCAACAGGGCCGACTGCACCTGGTGGACCTCTTGTCCCCCTGTCCCCTCTGTCCCCCTGCAGAGCAACACAACACTGCGTCACATACCCCTCTCAATAATACTCTGAATTGACTTTAATTATTGGAAAATACATCTTCATCGATGCATCACGTTACCTTTGCTCCAGGTACACCTTTACCAGGAGCACCGTCAGGTCCCCTCGGCCCCGGCAACCCAATGTCACCCTGTGGTCATGAAGAAACAGTCAATACAGCAAAAGACTGGCATGAAATATTAGGAAAAAAGTAAAAAAGACGTTTTTACAACCTTTGGTCCCGGGGATCCATCCTCTCCTGGCTGACCTGGTATTCCTATAAGCCCCTCAGATCCAGGGTCACCCTGAAAGAGGAAATAACAGCTGACATTATCAGCAGTAGGAAGACTGATTGGACATACAGTGAACCAATGAGAAAAGGTTATTTGACCTCTGAGTGATGGACAAAGACTTACTTTGGGTCCTGCTTGTCCCACACCTCTCGCACCTGGTGATCCTGGATCACCTGGAGGTCCTTGACTTCCCTGAAAGTAACAGCGTATGTGAAGTCTTATTTATTCACTTAAAATGAATGTGATTCGAAAAATATTGATAATACCAGAGCAAGTATTAAGATCCAACAATACAGGTTTGAGTGTAGATGTGAAAGTAAAATACACCATAAAGATCAACAAAAACTGCACAAATATAAGAGCATCTGTGTAAAACTTGATCATAATTTTAATCTGAAATCACCTTTAATAGAGATTAAAAACAGGTGTTAGGAGATTAAACAGAATAGAGCTTGTGATATAAATAGAAGAGTCAAAACTGGAGCTGTCTCCGTGACTGAGGGGACGACAGATTAAAACATACATTTGATTGACAGGCCAGTTTTTTTTAATCAGACCTATTATGTGATAAAATATGCAAAGTAATTTAGATGTAATCAGACAGAGAATCAGTTGACTGTCCATCACTATTACCTGAGATAAATATAGATAAATATAGATCATAGATGCCCCCCTCCTTTCTCACCTTTGGCCCAGTGATTCCAGTACCTGGAGCTCCTCTGGGGCCTGCAGGTCCAACGGGACCCAGATCTCCCTGGGAGACAGAGACAAATTCAACGACCAAAACACAGTGAGCAGGTGGTGAACAGTGGCAGCTTTTCCAACAATGTCATTGTTTGTATGTGGCTGTGAATGCAGCACAAACTTCAGTCAGGATTTAATCGTCTGATATACACGAACACCACATTTACCTTTTCTCCTTGAAATCCCACTCCAGGAGAACCAACAGGACCTGTAATCCCAGGTGGTCCAAGACCTCCCTTTAGGGAAATTCAAAACAGGTTCAGTACATATCTATCTATCTATCTATCTATCTATCTATCTATCTATCTATCTATCTGACTGGTCTGTTTATCTAAACTGGGAAATATAGACATTTTCTAAATAGATGGTTCACGCAATACAGTGAGGTGAACACAGAAATCACAGCTGTAAGTTAAACTCCTCAGATGTGTAAAAACATTTAGACTGAGCTGATTCTTTATATTTACAGTAGTCATATTAAACTTAACCTTACAGGAGCAGCATTACTGCTCTAGAAATATCATATATAATATTAATAGATTGACAGGAATCATCAGACCGAAGAATCTCCTTTCACTTCAGACATTTTTACCACTTAAACTCCCTTGTTGTCAAATATTTTCACAGTCTGGTATTAATAACTTGTTAAGGTCAAATCATTTTTATTTTCATGACAGGCATGTCTGTGGATATTCGAGTAGCTGTACCTTGTCACCTTTGACCCCAACTCCAGGAGGTCCCCGATTCCCCCTCGGACCCTGATATCCTCGATCACCCTGAAACAGCAGCAGAAGGTCTGACACTGAACACACTAATGTTCATAAAACAGCTCTTTTATAATGGTTACCCGAGCTTCACTTCTAAACATGCTTTTTAAGTAAATGCACAATTCTTGATAAAGATCCTTGAAACAGTTTTTCATTTGCTCTGCTTGTATTTAAGAAAATATCCCCAAATTAACAAGCCCACTCCCCACTCAGAGTTACAAATTAAACCCACCTTTGGACCTGGAAACCCCTCTCCAGGTGGTCCAGGGCTTCCTTGTATTCCTGGTTGTCCTGGAGGTCCCTTGTACAAAAAAAAGCATCAAATAATATTCTGCAAATTTTCTTTCTTATCAGATATAAAGGAGTAAAGAAGTCTTTAAAAAAGGGGGAGTCCATCATCCAGTTAGAAGGTGCAGTAGTAGTCCTCCAGGTGGCAGCAGGGAGCAGAAATGTGTCAAACTGCATTTTACAGAAATCCTTTAAATGGATGTGAGTAAAAACCACAGAGAACTTGCTCATGATTGACAGCCTTTCACACATAAAAAGCACAGCTACTGGGTAAAATATAATAAAGCAGATGTTGAGCTTTACCAGGAGCACTCAAAAGAAAAAAAATGTATACACCCTTACACTTTTTAACTTTTGAAATACAGTTGTCTTACAAGGTTTAACCTATCTTGCCAGTTTTACGTCATCTCCTTAAAAACAGAGTCAAGACTCACACCAGCATCTTTATCCTCTGTTTTCATACTCACTGAAAGTCCTGGTTCTCCAATCCCAACAGGACCTATGGGACCTGCTCTCCCCTGAATTCCCTTTTCACCCTGTGAGCATTAAAAAAAGTCAGCACACTTCTTCTAGACCATATCATCTCTTTTACTATCATGAAGGAACAAGTTTCAAGTTGGCATAAGCAACTTTATTAGCTCCACAAAAGTCCTTTAACTTTAGAGTAACAGCTGCTTTGACCCCACAAATAAAAATGTTTGGTTTAAAGGGAAACCTTTTACGCTGCTCTGTAATTAAATACAAACTATAACGTTATAATGTTGAATATTCATATTGAACCACAGCAAAAATAACACTTTTAAAAACAAAGGCTAGTACAAGTTGGATTTACATCTCAACTAACACTGAAACCTGGAGCTGTTCCATCAGAGAGACCTTACATAAATGCTTGAAACCACAAGCTGTAAATAATATGACAGCAGGCAAAGGAACAACATTTAACAGCTAGCCTGAGACGTTATAGATCATTTTGTGACTACCTAACTGTAAAAATTAACACAGAGAAGCAGCATCTAACTAACCAACACATAAATCAGTGGTAGAACAACCGAAGTGAAGCGCTGAGATGGGGGCTTTTAAAGATGCCAGTATGGAGATTATTTTTAACTGTAAATCACGCAAAGCCGCTCCATAAATGTCTCCAGAAGAAAGGTAAAAAAGTTTCCCTTGAGAAGAAAACCAGACATCCTCAGCCCACTTGAGAATGCATTAAGGGTACATTTGATTTTAGGAGGATAATACAGCTGTAGAGGATGTTTTTACGGAGTTTAGATTAACACAAAGAACTGACCTTGGCTCCTGGGAATCCAATACCGATGTCTCCTGGTGGTCCAGAAACCCCCATAGGCCCTCGGTCTCCCTGTTGCAAGTGAAGCAAGAGTAGCATGTCATAATAGATCAACTCTGTTAAAACATTTAAAATGTAAATCAATGAGAAACTGTCTTTTTTAAAATGTTTTTTTGGCCTCGTTTTCTAACCTGTACCAACTGATTGCTCTATATCTATGCAGATGACGCCACCCTTAAGTTCTCTCCTCTGATCCCTGAACACAATGCGCGTTACAAACCCTTAATTTGATATTAAAAAGACGCAACTTAACTTTCCACGATTAAACACGCAAAAAGCAAAACTCTTGTTAAAATGAAAAACATAGTTTGATGCCAAAAAAATAAATAACGCAGGAAACTGAACAATTTGCCGGAACTACAAGAAGGTCAGAGCAAAACCTCAACCTTTGTGCACATGTTCATGTCGCCTTTGTGGACACACTATGAGAATTTAATAGCAAACTAAATGCCACAAAAATCCATCAAGCTGAGCTTCAACTTGACTTACTGTTTGGAAATAAAGACCGGCACTTTGTCCTGCTATAAAACTTTCACTTGATTCATATCTGGACTTTTTCTTCACGCGTTATAAATCACTTTTTATGTCATCAGGATAAAGACATCTTTGTCGAACAGCAGCTGAGCGGCTCTGTGGTGATGAAGGAATCAGCATCTTATTAGCCCTGGGCACACATTTAAAAGGTCAGTTTTATTCTTCCTCCTTTTTCACCCAAATCTAAAGTGACAGTACAAATGTTGTGTGGGAACATGTCTGGAGAGTGCAGTGAGTGCACGAAGAACCAGGACTCTAATGGTAATTTGCTTACCCAATTAAACATCACTGACTTAATGAATGGTGCGTGTCTTTAGGAAATTAAAGGTAGAAATTTAGGCTCTGGAAAATAACTAAATTATTCAAACAAAATTCTACATTATTTTTGAAAATATTTTCACAAAATCAGAAAACTAACTATGTTGTAAAAGTATTTGGTGACACTTTACAATTACCATAATTTATAAATGGTAAATAGATAGTTTATTAATGTTTAGTCATAATTTAAAAACAGCATATAGACCAATTATAAATGGCAAATAGATAGTTTATTAATGTAAGTTTGTAGTTACTTTACCATTAACAAGTAATGAAATTGTGATTAATTTTCATTAATTATTAATGGACTATTTATTAAAGGTTTACATAGGGTTTAAATATTGGTTGTAATTTAAATGTGTGTCAGTAGCACCTTGTAAATGGTTAATATTTGTTTTTAAACCATCTATAAACATTACTTAGATGGTTATTGTAAAGTTGGGGTTAGGTTTTTAAAATTGTAAAATTTACAATTTATTAATGGTCTATATGCCATTTATAAATGATGATTAAACATTAATAAACTATCTGCTTACCATTTATAAATGTCAATGTCAGCTTTATTTATATAGCACATTTAAAAACAGCCAGTGGCATACCAAAGTGCTTTACAGTAAATAGCCAGACACAGTAAAAACAATTATAAAAACAATAAAAGCATAAAACATATAAAAACATAAAACAGCAATATAGATAAACATAGCACATAAATAAAATACCCAATAAAAGTAGCTATACTTCCCCAAAAGCTAAAGTGAACAAGTGCGTCTTCAGAAGTGTTTTAAAAGTGGAAAGGTTGTCTATTTTCCATTTATCAGTTATGGTTACTGTAAAGTGTTACCAAGTATTTAAATGTGAAATCATACCAGAGCTGAAAATAAACAAAGTTCTCCTGAATCACAGTCAATTTTCAGGTGTAAACACTCACTTTAGGTCCAGTTGGGCCCTCAGCGCCCATGTCTCCTGGTGGTCCTAATGCGCCCTGAAACACAAAACTCAAATCTTAAACAGTCCTCAATGCAAAATGTAAAATTGCAATTGCATTTCAACCAACCAGTATCCAACCAAGCGTTTCCATTCACACAACTGAGGTGATTTGTTTTTCTTGCAACAAAAGTCAGACACAAAAAAGTTCATCCATGAGCCCCCCATGTTGTATGACCAAACTCCAGGTCAAGACCCGCCCATCACCACTCGATGGACAGAACATCGGGATTAAAACCAACATTCATGGCTTTCATGTCCTTCAATTCTCATGCCAAGCTCAAAAAAAAATAACAAGGTTATACTGACACTGTGCCAGTAGCACAGAGGAGGAAGAGTAGAGCAGGGCTGCACTAATCCCACCTCACAAAGTCTGTTCCTGCAGAAGAATAATATCCTGCAAGCCTGGATTCCCTGCTTTGGACAGCCACATTAGTATCAGGATTACCCATAAGCCAATATTCACATTCCATTAGTGCAGAGATGAATACGAGACAAATTCCACTTCCATTTTTCATATTAGAGAGTGGACAAACTGTTGTGATGTCTGTGTATCAATACTAACTTCAGGCAGCGAACATATGTTCAATGAGTAAATGAGTAAAAAAAGTAAAATAAGAAATCAGGGAATTACTTCAGAATTCAAAAATGTGTTAAAAAGAGAGACGATCATATAAATTCTCTCAATATTACTCTGTGTGAGAGTTTACATGACTCTGTAAGGCTGCACCAAGGCACTCAGACACCAAGTTAAATAATAACAGCAGCCGAGTAATAATAAAAAATAATGGATTAAATCAGTGACGTATTTACCATGTGAAGTATTCTCTATAGCGTGACATCCACAGACATGTTTGCAGCTCTGAGGCATGTATCTTATTAAATGTTATTCTGACCTCCAAGAACTAGCCTGTAATATCGACCATGTTCACTCTGATACTCTGAGAATATATATCCGTGCAATACCTGATTTCCTTTTTGTCCTCGCGGGCCTGGAGGTCCCTCAGGTCCCTGCATTTTAACACTTGATTCATTATGAGGATAAAGTTCATGGTATTAGTTGACATAGTGTAGTTGGTAAAGCTCATACAGTGTCACCCTTTTCCCCCGGAGTGCCACAGTCTCCTCTCTCCCCCTAGAAGACCAAATACAGCATACAGACACCCTCTGCTTAGTTATTATGATAATATAAAACAATAAAAACATGTGTTGGTCAGTGTTTTTACTACTCACCTTATTGCCCTTATAACCTGGACGTCCCTGTAAAAGAGAAACAGTTTTGGTCTGTACTGACTCTGATGAAAAGTTACCATAGAAGAGGAAAAGGGAAAATCTTTTACCTCTGGGCCTTCACTTCCAGGTCGACCACTTAAGCCAGACTCCCCCTTTTTAACAGAAACACCTTTACCATTAGCATCATGAAGTCATACACCAAATTCATCTCTGTGACTTTACTCACCCTCGCTCCTTTTTGACCAGGCGCCCCCCTGAAGCCTGCGTCTCCTTTTCTACCCTGAAAATGTTGTTACAGCTTTTAAAAGTCTGAATGTTACTGAGTATGTCTGAAAAAGTTAGAAGTAAATATGACTCACTGGACTTCCTGGCTGGCCCCTCTCTCCTCTTTCACACAAACACACCTGAGCCTGAGGACACTATGAGGAATGAAAATACAAGTCAGAGAAGCTATGACCATCACAGACACCGTAAGAGGGGAGCTATTTGAGTGGAATGATTCGCTAAGGATTTTTGGTAATTACAGAAACATATTAAACAATAGAAATCTTATTTTTGGAACTCTATTGGTACAACCAGGTGTAAAAAGAAAAATCCTTTTGGGGACTATATTGGTTGCAACTTATTCGTCAAAGGTAGCCAAACCCTTACAGAGATCTGCCGATTTGTTGATGATGTAGATGGATCATACTCATTTGTCATCCTTAACCACCCCCAGATCTACTGCAGCTCTTCTAACAATGCAGTAGTGGAGCTTGTAACCTAGCAACAGCCAGCAAATTCTAAATAACACACTCTATGGGTGGTCAAGACAATATTCGTACAGCTACATGGCTTTATAAGTCTTGACAATCTAGCAGGGATGCTAGCTTAGCAGTCGTAGCTTGACCAGAATTTCTGCAATCCGCCTCTCAAACAACTATAACAGAACTTGCAAGATTACAACAATGAACTTACATATACAGTTTAAGCAACGAGTTCTGAATCTAGTCAAACATAAATGCAAATAGCTACATGGCTGTTAAGGTCATAAATGTATGTGTGTTATTGTTGTTGAATTATATGGGTTGCCTACTGGATGTGCTAGCTTGGCATTTGTAGCTCGGACTTGATTTGTATGTTATTAACAAAGTCATAGGAAGCAAATTGAACGTACATTAGTATGTTAAAATAACACACTAACCGTCAGGTCAGAAGGCAGTTTGTCAAATCAACAGTTTGATGCATTTATAACTAAATTAGTCCCCCCTACTGGTAGTTGGAAGTGCTGCAGGTTAAAGTAACTCCTTCAGCGGCTCACCTTTGAGCTCTTTATGCTATGTTAGGGTCTCACATATACCAAACTATTAACCAACTATTTAGAGGAGTGATACTTACCCCCTCAGCTGCGACTGCACTCTGTAAGAGAAATACAAGGACATAAACATCAATGGTGAGAGTTTAATTACAGGTTAATCATCTCAGCACTAACTCAGAAAGGTTACATTTTTGAGATATCATGAATTAACTCTATTTTTATGCTTTTTTGTCTTTTAGGAGGAAACTGATGAGAATGAATGATATCACACATTTTTGGAAAGCAGAACAAGCGGTGCCACTCTCTCAGACAGGCCCTGACCCTGACATTTCTGCATGTGTGTGTGTGGAAAATGCAAAGCAGATCGGAAAATCCCCTCATGGAGACACAACTCTGTCGCTGGGATGTGAACCCGGTTTGAGGACAGTAAGTGCAGAATAAGAGGCAGAACGTAAACACCCTGGTAAAGAAATTACATGCTGCTGTAACATAACAGGCAGCTGGATGTGCAGTAGATCAGCGGTGCGTCTATAGGAAGTGAAACAGCAGCTTATATAGGGTATTTTTTTCACTGTCAATCAAAAGGACAGGGAGAATACAGGGAGTTGGTATCTGTGGTGTTCAGTTGTGATTAGAGGTTGCAGACTCTGGGGCATCAGTGGCACATAGTTGATAACCACTGAAGCATCTTCTTGCTGACAGTCAGCCACAGCGGCTGCAGCTATTATCTCGGAAGTTGTGCATTTGTAGGCTGACCTAGATCTTTTCAATAGATGTTAAGGTACGTTTCATTTGGATCTGGTTCAGTTTTTTTTTGTCACGATCCTCTTAGTGTAGAGCTATGTCCACCTTTTTTTCTTTTTTGGGGGTTGCCAGAGTCTGAAACTTTATAAATTTAGCCAGAAGTTTACAGACATCCAACTGTCAAATAAGGTGCTTTTCCTGTGAAGAGTCCTGCTGTTACTAGGTAGACCCACACACAGAGCCAGTCACCAGGGGGAGCTCTAAATCTTTTGACTTACAGGCTACAGTCATTCACTGTAAATGTATTAGTACTTATTTCAGTATTTCAACATGTGATGGTCGTAAAAAGCCAAACTCACCATCTCTTCATGAGTTCTTCTCAGACATGGTTTCTGTCACTGTCGTTGGTAATAACCAGTAGTGGACTGGACCATCAGGATCATCGGGCCAATTCCCGGTGGCCTGGCATCTGGACCAGATTATCAGAGTAGAGGAGTAACGGTGATGAAAACTAACATAAGAGTCATTGAAATTCCTGACTGTATCAACCTGAGGGATCTGAAGTTTAATGTGTGTTTCGGGGATGGTCCACCCCATCTGTCATTAACACGGCTACCCTGACGCTGTCCGCTGGCGTCTCCTGCACCAGCAGCTGTGAGGCGTTGGTGATGGCGTAGGTGGTGTAGGTGCCATGGCCGATGTAGTTCATGGTGCTGACTTGACTGTGAAACGAGTCCAGGTCTTTCCAGTCGGAGAATCTGTGCTCTATGGATACAGAGCTGCTGTACTGAAGCTTTGGTGATGCTGCTACACTTTGGACCTCTTTGTATGTTCAGCCAGCACCGCAGGAAACTGACCACCTGAATTCTCATTCCTGTAGTTTTATACTTGTTATAGATTAGGTTAGATTAGATTAGTTTATTTAAAAGGGGACAGCGCAATTTCATAAAACACATGATTACACATGGTTAAAAAAAGCCAGAATTAGCCATAAGGCTAGTTTTCATCTGTAGTCCCCTGGCCATGATGTGAAAAAGGCAGTTTCAACTTAATTCTCCTTACAAGAACTGCAAGTGGGGCATCAGTCTGCAATTATTCAGTCTGTCATATACTTTTAAGATTTTTACTGCAGCCAGTCACCAGGGGGAGCTCTAAATCTTTTGACTTACTGGCTATAGTCATTCACTGTAAATGTATTGGTGCTTATTTCAGTATTTCAACATGTGATGGTCGTAAAAAGCCAAACTCACCATCTCTTTGAGCAGCTTCTCCTCCAGTTGAGGGTTGAGAAGACTTTGGACAAACTGCTGCGCCGGCGTGCTCGCGACGGCACGCAGCTTTGCATTATTCTGGCTCTGCTGTGCAATGTCTGACAAACCCACAGCAAAGAACTTTATACCGTGACCTTTGGCCTCTGCTGCAGCTGAAATCACATCAGGGTTTCGGGGATGGTCCACCCCATCTGTCATCAACACGGCTACCCTGACGCTGTCCGCTGGCGTCTCCTGCACCAGCAGCTGTGAGGCGTTGGTGATGGCGTAGGTGGTGTAGGTGCCATGGCCGATGTAGTTCATGGTGCTGACTTGACTGTGAAACGAGTCCAGGTCTTTCCAGTCGGAGAATCTGTGCTCTATGGATACAGAGCTGCTGTACTGAAGGGCGGCCATTCGCACCCTCAGAGTCCAGCCGGCGACCTGCAGCATGGCGAGACGGGTGCTGAAACTCAACACGAAGGCCTTCTGCTTCTCAAACAGGAAGATTTTTGCACTTTCTGAGCTGTCCAGGATGAAAGCCACCTCCAGTGAACACATCATACCTGCAGGAGGAGAAAACCAACAAAAACTCAGGTAAATGTAGAGAAGAGCGTGCACAGCAAAGATGATAATTTGGATGCTATTTCCTTGTTATTCAAATGTTGATCTAGTTTGCTGCTGAGTACAAACTCTAATCCTTTTACTGTGAAGAGATTAAATACCTGACCTTCAGACAGAAATAAGGAGAGAGGAAATGAGACACAGCAAATCAAATTCTCGTGAATGTAGTTGTTGCTGCGTCCTGTGTTCCTTCTCTGGCCTGTGGCCTCTTAGACCTGTGAGCTCTGTTTTATGTGTACAATCATGAGCACAAAAACCCTTAAAAAAACGTTGATGTTTGACTTTCAAACCAAGGATTACCCGACTGCTAATCTGATTGAAAGTGACAACAAAAAAAAAAACACTGACTCATGCTACTTTTCATTACTCCTGTGTACCTGCAACTTTTAAATCAACATTTTCTCTGAAGAATTTCTGCTGAAAGATTCGAGTTTGTTCCACTTTGCAAGAAACAATAATGCTAGAAATATATACATTTTGCGTAGTTGTTGATGTCTACAAGGCAAAAAACTCAAACCTTAACAGGTCTTGATTGGTGGTGAAAATATCTTTAACATCTTCACTGTTGTTTCCACTTTATAAATCAGTTAATGAATCACTCTTTACTCATATAGCACCAGTTCACAACCCTGTGATGCCTTCCCTCTCTTTTTCCAGGATGTTGCACTTTTAAATGTTTAACCATCTTTAGTTTTCTTGTATTTGGCTCGATATTACTCTAATTTCATTAACATTACTTGCAACAACCAATAAAGAAAAACCTCTTTTATAAATGATGTTTGATTTGGATGCTATTTCCCCTGTTATTCAAATGTTGATCTGTTTGCTGCTCAGTACAAACTATAATCCTCCCACCTGGAGACACCCACAGTAGTCTCAAATACCTGACCTTCAGCACCAACATGTGGATACCTCATATAAACGAAATTACCATTTCCTCCATCGTCATGCAGCCTGTAGTTGTTGCTGCGTCCTGTGTTCCTTCTCTGGCCTGTGGCCTCGTGTCTGAGAGCCAACAGCAGAAGGCAGAGCGCCACTCCTGTCCTCAGGTTTCCCCTCAGCAACATTTCCATCCTAGCAGAAAAAAAGAAAAGTTTCAAAAACAATGTACAGAGGTGCAACAGTCTGTGTATAGCAGTAAATATTCAGTGAATAACATAAGATTCATGTATTTTACAGACACACAGCATGCTTCAGACAGTAGTAACCACACCCAAACAGAGAGATGCAGTTTCTAGCAGTGATAATAAACTCCTTAATTATTGAAATGTGTGCTAAATGCCCCCAATATTACAGTACCAAAATAAGTAGATACATAAAATAATCTGCAAATAAGAATTAATACAAACAATTTCAAATTATGTATTTAAATTCTATCACATAATCCAGTCCATATGCAGTATACAAACACCACTAAACGCCATAATCTCTTTATTCTGTGCCAATAATCTTGTTGAAACTGTGGTACACACATTAAAGTTGTTATTCAAAGTGTTTCACAGCAGTCAAAGTACTCTAGCGAATAGTTTAAACTGAATCAGGCATGCAAAAATAAAGAGAGAAAACATATGTGTATTTTACCTAGATTCTCATTTGGCTGCGGTCAGTGCACGTTGTCCGGTGAGCTGTGGCTCTTTTGGGGGCATTTCTGCGCGGATGTCTGCTCCCATACATCGGGCAGGGATGAAGTGAGGACCATGAGATCATGGGTTGATGTGCTGTGTGCGTAGCCGGGGGCTCTGGGGCCGCTCCAACATTTCAGCGAGGGTCCACTTCAGCGATTCATGACTGACCGAGGGGGACCTTTATTTTCCTAAGTCTCTCACTCACTGACACAATAACATGAGGGTAGATATTATAAACATACTACAGCAGACTGGTGGGAGAGAACAGACGAGGTGGGCAGGTTCCTTTCACCTGAGATAATCACAGAAACAGAGCAGCCAAGAATAAATGGACCTAAACGTTATAAATCTCTAATAGTAAAGCTTTATTGCATTATACTTTCTCGCCAGGGACACTCTGTTTCATTTTCTTCCCATGGACAGACATATTTAGTAACTTTCCACACATTTTTTTCTCGTTGTTTTTGTTTTTTCTCTTGTACTGTTGCGCATGGAAACTGTTTGGATGCGTTTGCGTAAAAGTCCCACATGTTTACTTTACTTTTCCTCTATCGCCCACTAATGCGAATAGCAGATTGTTTTAAGGATGATTCTTATATTCAGCAGAAATAGTTCTTAACCATTTAATTGCAGCTGCAGGGCAACATTAATCCGATGAAAAGCGCAAACTGGTCACTGCCCGGGAACGAATGGTAATCTAAACAGTAGAAACCTCAATCCATCTGATTAATTACCTGTCCGTCAGTGTGGTTTGGAGTCAGATCTTTGCTGCCATTTATACCTATTTTCTTTGGTTACAGCGCCCCCTCGTGGTCTACTGTTATTTTGTGGACAAGCGTACTCATCACCATAGATATATGTATAAACGCTAGATGTCTTACGCACACTGTAAACCAATGGAGACCGACCTCCATTCATGGCGGCCATTTTGCTACGGGACGCTCGCCCACTCCTAACATTCCAGTCTACTGTGTGTGTACATGTAATCATTATATGTATGTTATATCAGTAATATTTCTATTATACAGATAACTATAATAACATATAACAATAACATATATAAATATTTATTTTTAATATTTTTCTGCCTCATGTTGCAATTTTAGATATTTTTAACAAACCAAACCGTTTGGAAATCATGTGCAACTTCAGTTATGTTGAAACAAAAGAGCATTTCTGCCTCTCTAACTGATGCAAAATTGCTCGGTAAATAAATGAATTAATAAAAAATAGGCGCACAAATGAAACAACTGTGCTTTATGACTTATATTATATTATATTATATTGAAAATAATACATATTGAAATTTATAACATATTATATTATATTATATTATACTATTCTATATACAGTCTATGATCCCGACTCATAGCCACGCTATTATGGTCTGTAAAGAACAAAACCATTCGTAAATCTGTCAAGATTTCAGCGAGTTTCGAGTATTTTTGATCATGCAGATTACTCACCTTCCATCTAGCCTTTCTTTTATATATCCATGCTCGTCACACTTAAGCGGAACTATCTGGAGCAAACACTTCAAGCATCTCGGACATATTTTGCTGTAACACAAAACAGTCCGTTTGGGCTCGGAGTGTCCCTCAACGACATGTGTATGCTAAAACCAGATCCACCTGCTCTTTCGAACACTTTGTTTGCCTGTAAGTAATCAAACATCGTTGAAATGATATTCTGTACTGTGCTGAGAGATAAACCGGCTCGAGTTAAACGTTTATTTCTGGAGCTCGTCCTTCACTCGTTACCGTTAGCATGTTTGAGTTAGCATGACAACAAACTTGGAGCTTGAGTGTCAGTTTTTCTGCAGCACTTTAGGACTTGATGTGGTGTAAACATCGTTTATGGATCTCTTGTTATGGCTTACTCAGTCCTGCAAACGTTGGGGGATTGTATTCTGTAGTTTATATAAGGTAAAGTAATCAACTGTTCAGACCACGTAACACCTATACAAAGGTTACATCAGGAGAGAGTTTAAGATGACCCCTTCAATTCAGTTCACTTTATTCTTCTGGTTTTTTTTAACGACAACTCAGAGATAAGATCCTTGAAAAGCAAGAAAAAACAATTATTCATCAGGTTTCAGGATGTCCGTGGAAAAGACTCAAAGGGTTACAAATGAGAGTATTTGGAGGCTGGTGTTTCGGTTAAATTGGTAACCGTGTTAACTGACGACTTTGAGTCAAACGCGTCTGTGGTTGTCGTAGTTACAGGTCATCATGTCAACTTAACCTTACGCAAAAGTCCATTAAATCTAAATTCATTATAGATAGATTATTTTAACCTTGTTTTGTTTGAAATTTAATGAATATGATTTTGTTAACTCGTGAAAATCAGAAATCCACAGTCTCAGAGTTTTTGAGTGTTTATACTTAAAACCACAGGGATGTTCAACTTCTGAAAAGCATCTTTATTCAGTGTGACAGCTACATCTACTACATCACTGATTATTTGGGCTGATTAAGAACATTTACGTAATCACTGACTGATGCATCAGAAGAACACATTGTGTCTGCAGACACTGCAGTTGGGATGCAATAAGAGATGTTAGAAATAGGGGTGGGGGAGAGTGGGGTAAGTTGAGCCACCCCCGGTTACTTGGAAACGGTAAAAGAAATTGATCATGTGACCAAATATTTAGGAGATGGGCATCAATTCATGGAGTCTGTGAAGGTTAGAAGCACATGGGTGAAGGGGTTAGACATTTATTTACAAAAAAAAAAAAAAACATTTTTCCCTCTTGAAAGTGAATTTAGTCTGTCATAAGTTTGATAAGAATTGTGTTCAGACCAAAAAAGATCATTTTAAATTTGTTTTATACATCAATTGTGGTATCTATGAGCTACAACATGAGGTCAAAAACCTAGAATAAAAGTCCAACATTTTAGCTTCGAGGACTAATAAAGTCATGATAGTAGTTCAGGGATAACTGAGAAAGTAAATTAGTCTGATGAGAGGATCAGAGTTTCAGTTCAGATTGTTGAAATGTTTTTACTTTTTCTTTTCAAAAATACAGATCTGTGAATGTTCTGAATCACTTAAAGACATTCTCATGTTCAAATGTTTTTTTTTACAATACAGCTTTTTAGCAGTTTTATGCAATAATAATAATGAGAAATATTGTACCTGTTGAAAAGTGTATAATAGATAAAAATACACATGAATGTGAAGAAGTGACTGTTATTTAGGGAAAGAGAAGGTGATGGAGGACTGGGGTGGACAGTGGGGGGGTTGGTAGGGATAGGGCTCAACTTACCCCACCTCTATGGTCAACTTACCCCATACACAGGGTAAGTTGACCATAGGAGACCTCTTTTTGTGGCAGGCTATATCATCAAGACAGTTTTGTTTACACTCGTTCTTTGCAGGGATGCAAAACATCCTAAAATATATGCAGATACACTAATTAGAGACAAAACTAGGATTAACTTGATGTAGTGATCCGAAATATGAAAAATGGCTCATCTTATCCCACTCTCCCCTATACAGAAAAAAAACTCCTCCATGCAGATATGACATTGCAGATTCTGGTGCAGTAGATGGCAGCATACACCTTAAATATTGGTTTATAGTCTGCCAATGAAACCAAAGAAGAAGAAGTGGGCACAAGGCTTTTGTGGACATTAAGTGTTGTAATATAAACAAACGCTACTTGGATGTTTCTCTTGGATTTCTATGTGCTGTGTCAGCTAATGTAGGTCTATATGTGTGAGGTGATGTTCGGGTCACCACATGAACTGTTTTCATTCTCAATCTGTTCAATTTCCAGGTTGTAGAAAAAGGATTTCCTTGAGATCCTTTTAGCTACTGCTTAATCATGAGTGGCTCTAAGCCGGACATCCTGTGGTCCCCTCACCACCCGGACCGGTATGTCATCTGTGACTCTGAGCTGGGATTGTATCGTATTGGACCTGTGGGGAGTGCAGAAACCAAGGCAGGCACGCTCCCCCTCTCTGAAGAAACTGCTGCTACTCTACTCGCCATTAACTCCGACACCCCGTATATGAAATGTGTGGCCTGGTATCCGAAGCATGAGCCGGAGTGTTTGTTGGCTGTGGGCCAAGCTAATGGTAGAGTGGTGCTCACCAGCCTGGGCCAGAACCACAACTCCACATGTAAAGAGCTGGTGGGGAAGGAGTTTGTACCCAAGCATGCACGCCAGTGCAACACTTTAGCCTGGAACCCAGTGGACAGTAACCTGCTGGCTGCTGGGCTGGACAAACACAGAGCAGACTTCTCTGTCCTCATATGGGACATCAGCAGTAAGTTCTCCCCAGAGGCGAGTGTCACTGCGGAGAAGATTCGCCTCTCATCTGTGGATTTGGACTCTAGCTCAGTAGTGACTAAACCATTATACGAATTAGGCCAGAACGATGCCTGCTTATCCCTCTGCTGGCTGCTCCGCGACCCAAAGCTGCTGTTGGCTGGTATGCACAGAAACCTTGCAATATTTGACCTCCGAAACACCAGCCAGAAAACGTTTGTCAACACCAAGGCCATCCAGGGAGTGACGGTAGACCCACACTTCCATGACCGGGTGGCCTCTTTCTTTGAAGGCCAGGTGGCCATCTGGGACCTGAGGAAGTTTGAGAAGCCTGTGCTCACACTAACTGAGCAGCCAAAGCCCCTCACTAAGGTACGGTTCTGTTCTTGAAGACATGAGCAAAACAGTACCTGTGGAACAATACAAACCTTTTTGTGTTTGTTTTAACTGCACATGAGTTAGTTCTCTCAAATATAAATGAAAAGTTTAGAATATTTCTGTCCAAACTACTTAATTATCTCAGTTCATTTAGTCTTTTGTTTTCCACATTTTGAAAATTAAAAATACTTGGGCAACAGGTCACATATACTGTTTTGAGCCTCTTACCAAAATAAAGTGCACAGCAGTATTTTACTTTTACAGATAAAGAAAATCACAAGGTTTGAGGAAGTTGGTAAAATAATAATTACAGAACAAACTAAACTGGTGGACGGGCCTGTCATTCTGGCAAAAGCAAAATGCTAAAACGGCTGATTTCAGACCTTTGCTGAGGTAGATAAGATCGGTGGATAAAATCGTTTTATGTGTAAGGATCAGCCGATCACTGATTGAGGGAATAGACGCTGATTGACCGGTGCATGTTTACTTTTAACACCTTTATTTGATTGAAAATAGCACTTTCTTTCTTTCGTTAACAACACTGTAAAAGTTTGGGAACCAAAGAGACCAGTTCCTGTGGTTCTGAAAGTCCAATTCTGGCCCATTCTCTCCACATAGGATTAAAGCTGCTCAACAGTTCAGGGTCTCTTCTGCTGAACTTTCAAATTTTAATCCCCCAGACCACAGGCGGGTTTTTCTCTTCCACTTAGTCCTTCTTCAATAAACTTAAGCCCAGAAAAGTCACCAACATTTCTGGATCACATGTACACATGGTTTCCTCTTTGCATGGTTCAGTTCTAACCCACATTTGTGGATGCAGTAACAAACTTTGTTGTGATTTCCATGCAGTGACTTCCACTACAAAATTCATCTCTGTATTTAATGTGATCCAGTGTCAGTCATCAGCCTCGTTCATTTTATGCACAGATTTCTTCAAATCCTCTAAAACTTTTATATTTTTGACTTTAGATAATAAAAAACTCAAAGTTCTTTGCAGTTTTATTCTGATAAAGTCGATGTTTGTTTCTCTTATTTCCAGGTGGCATGGTGTCCAACCAGGACAGGCCTGCTCGCAACGCTCACAAGAGACAGCAACATTATCCGCCTGTATGACATGCAACACACTCCTACCCCCATTGGCGATGAGACAGAGCCCACCATCATCGAGAGGAGCGTGCAGCCCTGTGAGAGCCAGATCGGCAGCTTCGCCTGGCACCCGTCCTCTCAGAACCGCATGGTGGTGGTGTCGGCGGCCAATCGGGTCATGACCGACTTCACCGTGTTCGAGCGCATCTCGCTGGCCTGGAGCTCCACCACGTCGCTCATGTGGGCGTGCGGCAGACACCTGTACGACTGCGTGGAGGACGGGGGCGAGGGGGCGGAGAGCGCGATCGAGAAAGACATCGCCACCAAGATGAGGCAGAGGGCTCAGTCCAGGTACGGGCATGACACGGTTCAGGTGTGGAGGAACCACCTGCTGGCAGGAGGAAACGATCCTCAGCTCAAGTCTCTGTGGTCTGACCTGTTTTATATCCTTGTTTATGAGGACGCCATCCTGCTTATCATGGCGGATCAGTGATTGTGGAGTTTTGATGGTGTGCAGGAATGAATGTTGTCAGTGAATATAACTACATTAATCAATCTGATATTGTCACCTGTAACATTATTTATGAGTAAAACATCTTTCAGTTCGTTTTTAATAGAAGAAATGTGATAAAATCTGTGTAATAGTTCTTCTCCTCCTCGATCAGCCATGTTTATCAATAATATTGTTTAGTATCAATAACATTTCCTATAAGAGCTTCACATATGAAGCAGTGTGCAGAGGATATGGAGCTGAAACTACAGGGGAACAAACAGTCTGTGGTCTATTCTGGTATCAAGAACATCGTAAAGACCAGCTCAGGTAAGTCTCAGACATGATTATGAGTTAAAGTAACATTGCTAAATTAAGCTCATTAAATGCTCTTTGTATACGTTGTCCTGGTTTCTTCAGGCACCACAGAGAGCCGCAGGTGCTGGAGCGGCTCAGACCGACAGACAGATGTACCGCGTTACCTCAGCGAGGAGCGCTTCCTCGCCCTGCGGCTCTGTGGCTGGATCGGACGAGGTCCAGATATCGATGTTGAGATTTTCCTGCGATCCCTGGAGCAGGAACGGGAGTGGGAGCGGGCGGCTGCTGTGGCTCTGTTCAACCTGGACATCCGCCGGGCCATCCAGATCCTCAACAAGGGCGCCAGCGCTGCGAAGGGTGTGTATGCCATTCATGAAGGAGTGCAAGACAATGAAGGGAAAAGACGAGAATAACTGCATATGTGATATAAACAGTGATATATGTGTTTGTTATATACACATTTATGTTTACAAACTGACATATTTAAGCTGTTCAGATGTGATTTTTAAATTTTAGAGGCAAAAACAAACTTCAAACGTGTCGTAAAGTACGTTTCTGTACAATCCTGATAAACACCGAGTGCTTGTTTTTTTCCCCCTCTGAGCCGTTTACCAAATGAATTTCAGATCTCCAGGAATTCCAAACATGTAACAGCAGGAGACTCTTGTTTTTCACACAACACTCATCTTGTATCAGCTGCAGCGCTTTTTCACACTGAGCTTTAATGGAAACGGAGAGAGAACACTGCTGTTTACACACGTCTTGACATAGAAGAATTCCACCAATGTAGGTCAAACGCTTTTCTGCTGTGTGCTCTAATGAGTGTTTCCTGAGGATGACTGATGGGGTGAGTCATTAGATAAGGTGTGTCAACAGAGCCTGCTCCACAGTTACAGTGTTTTCTCTCCAACTCTTGCACCATCACTTTGGCCTTAAAAACCCTCATTATTATAAACTGTAAATAAACAAAGAAGAAGAAGAAGGAGATTTTTGGCCTCTTTTCGGTAGATTCCCGAATCTTCTCAGGACTTTCTCGTAAATGCTTCTCCCTGATTAAGTTTTTAGTGTCATCGGATAAAGATGGAGTTGTTTTTAGTGTCAACCAGCTGCAGAAAAAGAGCTTTTCCTGCTCCTCTGAGCTTATTTCCAATGAGCCTGAAAGCTAGCTTACATTTAACAACCCCCTTAAAATCTCCACTAACAGACCCCCGGGCTCCACTTACAGTAAAGACTCCTTGTTGTGTTTAAACCTGCTTACCTGACTTCCTCTGTTGCACAGGCGATCTGAACCTGAATGTGGTTGCCATGGCGCTGTCAGGCTACACCGACGAGAAGTCCTCCTTGTGGAGAGAGATGTGCAGCTCTCTGAGGATGCAGCTGAAGAACCCCTACCTGTGCGTCATGTTTGCCTTTCTCACCAGTGAGCCTGGAGCCTACGATGGCGTGCTGGTACTGGATGTCTTACTATCACTGATTTCACGGCTCTTTTGCAAACACGAGGAAAGCAAGTGGAAGAAAAAAATGTTATTTAGACTCTGCACTGCTGCTGGTAGATATGAGTGGGTGTTGTTGCAGAGCTGGTTTGCGAGTCTGTATTTAATTGGATATGTTGCAAAAACAACAAATCAAATGTTGAAGCTGGTTATGCCACTACTTCTCAAAATATACACGCTCATCTGACGCTGCTGCACAACTCTTGTGAAACCTGCCGCTGTTGTCAGATTCAAATTGAGCATACATTTAATATGTTGTCTTTGCACTTATTTCAATTAAAGTCAGAGTTTAAACTATTTACAAACCATTGAATTCAGAAGTGATGCAACACTACAGTCACTGGGATTGTGAAAGCAGACTATTTTGTTCTTTCCCATAAGGTACTCAGAGTTTATTCATGAATCGCCTTTAATCCTCCAGAGCTGCAGATGTGAAACATGCCCAGGCACTGCAGCTATTTAGGCCTTCATAAGGGCAAGTAGAAAATGTCTGCTAGCTGCCTCTTCTATAGCAGTCACATGATCAGTTAAATGATAACTAACATGAAAAGTCACAGAGTAAATACATCTGAGCTGATGATATCAGACGTCTAGCACATTAAGAATAAGAATAACTTTTTTAATCCCAGAAGAGGAATTCAGTTAAAAAATCATCACGGCAGGGTAACATCATCATGAAGCTGACAGAGTATTCAGCAGGATTACATGTGAAAATGTTTACAAGATTAAAACCAAAGAAAAAGATAGAAGTCATTTACTGCAAGGATATTTTTGATCCTTAGGATGTAAATATTGGAAATGATTCTCCTTCTTAAAGCTGCTTTAAGTTTATCTCTATAGGGATGGGTAATAAATTATCGTTCACGATATATCGTCAGTAAAATCCTCCATGATAAACATTTACCATCTCATGATAAATACGATAAATGCAAGTTGATGACGTGAGTGCGAGCCACAGAGACTTGTCATCTGAGACTTGTTTGATGTCATTAGTTTCCTCCATAACCTATCACTCAAACTTGTGGTTAAGTATCTTATTTGATGATTCCAACTGGTGTTCTCAAGACAAAATGAGTCAAGAATATTGATTGGTATTATAATATTTTTATCGGGACTTTTATTGTTATCACCAGAATGGCAAATCTTATCGTGATAAAACTTTTAGCTCATATTGCCCATCCCTAATCTCGATCCCTTATTAAGAAGGAAACCTTTTTTTACACTTTCAGTCAAATCTCCTGCATTTTACCAGAACTACAAAAGTATTTATGTGGACTGACTTCTTTGTCTGTGTTTCAGTATGAGAGCAGTGTTGCTGTGCGAGACCGGGTCGCCTTTGCTTGTATGTTTCTCAGTGACGCCCAGGTAACGACACAAAGCCCGTCTTTCAGCAGCAGCTTAAGCGCTCATGTTACTATACGATAGTTATGCAGACGTCTCCTGCTTTATTTGGCTGCAGTTGCCTCGTTACATCGACAAACTAACCAATGAGATGAAGGAGGCGGGGAACCTGGAGGGCATTCTTCTGACGGGCTTGACCAAAGATGGCGTGGACCTCATGGAGAGTTACGTGGACCGCACAGGAGACGTACAGACCGCCAGCTTCTGCATGCTGAAGGTACAGAAAAAACAGTGGACATTCTCAGCTTGTGCGCCTTATATTCAGGAATCTACCCCAGATAACTAATTATTACATCATGAAGCTCACGCCGATGCCAAAAACATGTCATCCAACGATAAAGAATGTCCCCATGGGGAGGGAATCACCTTGGCTCATTATCACATGCTGTTAAGTCAAACTGGAGGGTATAAATGACACCATGCTTTCAGAAATGACACGAAGGAATGTCTGCATGCTCGATACTTTCCTCAGCAGTTAAGAGTGTTTACCGGCCTGATGTTTGACATAGTTACAAACTCCTGGACCATTTAATTTAATTATCAGTGAGAGGTGAGAACAGCATGTGACAGTGAATCTTGGGGTTGTAAAATCAGGGGTGTGAAAGGGAGTTAAACCCAGAATACAACCTTTAAAAACAAACACGTTAAACTGCGACACAGTCAAACAGGGTTCCTACGCAAGTCTGGAAAATATGGAAAAGTACAGAAGTAGTTTGATCAATTTCCAGGTCTTAAAAAGCACAGTAAAATATCTATGTTTCCAGACTATTACCACAGTTCTAAAAATAGAAAAGCAGGTATTTCCAAAAATAATTCTCAAAAGTAGGGTATGGAAAAGTATGTAAAGGGATCTGTCAGTGTCATTGCTGCGTTGAGATCCGAGCACATGCTAAAACTTGCTGGTTCATTTCTAAGAGGTCACAGCTGTTATTCCAAACATAATTACCCTTTTCTTTATAACAATATAAAACAAGCCTCGTTTGCTCTCTTGTTCTCGTTTCGATAGACGCGGACTAAAAGCAAATACAGTTGTTGAACAGGTCTGTAACTCTTTAACGTGCTGCAGAACAACACTCCTGGTTTGCATGATTTCTTTTCCTGTTCGAACCTGTTCATGGACAGAAACTGCTCTTGCAAAGTTTTCCTCCACCTGTGCAGCACTTCGATATGCCTCATTTATATCTTTCTGCATACACTGTCATATTCAGAGTGAGGTTTGCATTAAAGGGCAGGGAAGGGTCACATACAGTTAAGATGAATTGATGTAGTGAAACAAAGCTCTAAGAAAGATTTAACTCTTCTACTAGGGTTCCCCAGGAGACGTGCTGAAAGACCCTCGAGTTCAATGCTGGATTGAGAACTACCGTAACCTCTTGGACGCATGGAGGTTCTGGCACAAACGGGCCGAGTTCGACATTCACAGAGGAAAGCTGGACCCCAGCTCCAAACCACTGGCCCAGGTAAAGAAAAGGAGGATTTGTTGAATTATGTAGAATAAACCGACAGAGTAATAAAGTCTGTTTGACATCAATAAGTCAGACAACACCTGCTGGAAACACGTGGATATCAGAGTGTAGGTTTTCTGATAGAAGAACTCTGTATAGAGAATATAACCTCAGGTCAGTGCTTTGGTTGATTTATTCTTGTTATTGAGGGTTTTTTTTTAACTAAGCACGCCTTTACTTTATAATAAATTATAGTATAATGCAGGAATCATGATAATGATCATTTTGATGGATATTAAGATCACAATCATCATGATTTCACATCTGCATCAGCTGGATTTAGACACTCTGAACTCTTTGAAAAACAGATAATAGACAAATGAACTTCCATAAGTGAAACTGAACAACATTAATTAAAAAAAATCCAATGTAATCACACTGAAAGGGACCATGCATCAGTTTTTCACTCTAGTTCAAGAGCTTTGACTTCACTTTAATGATGATACTCACGAAACTAGATTCCAGATTTCATTTGTAGAAGAGACTTTTACACAACGTGAATAAAATTAAAGGGTTTGAGCTCTTCTGCGACGAGGGCTGCATTTAATCACAGGTGGAAGATTCAGGATATCACTCAGCCTCTTTAAGACTTTATAATAACAAGACTCACAGGCTAATACTGTTTGGTATTTATGCTGATGTACACACACACACACACGCACACACACACACACACATCTACCTCCTTCTGCTCCTCTCCCTGCTCTCCTCTCTCCACCTGTGGCTGTATGACAGTTTGTACAGCATACAGCAGTCCATGATTAACTTCAGTGACGATGGTGGAGAAGGGAGAGCTTTATTGAGGAAGGGGCGGAGCTTATACTCTGCTGTAAAGAAGAAGAAACCTCACAGGAAATAATGAGTAGGCAGCAAAGTTATCGTTCAGTTTCTATTATCGTATTTTTATGACCCTCGGGGTGCATTAACTGTAATTAAAAAATAATATGAGATTAATCAGTTAGCTCAAATGTCTACGACACATTTAGAGGAGCTGACAAATATTCTACAGTGAATTTAGAGACAAATTGAAATAAACTCTGCGGCTGTTGGTAGAAAAACAATTTGATTTTCAAGATGCTGTTTTTTAGCTTTTGGAAACGGTTACAAAATTCTAACTATTGTCTTATTTCTTCATAAACATGCAGACTGAATTAATTAAGATTGAGGGTCGACATTTCAGGATTCCTCTTTTTGAGAGAAAATCTCATTGCACACACCTCTGTATTACACCAGAGCTCTGCAGCCGGCCACCATCTGACTGTCACATGTTCAGTTAAATCGACCTTGAGAATTTGCTAGTGATAGATTTCAGTGCTCTCGTCAAAGCCTTCATAGACAGAGTACCTTTGGACCAGCAGGGACACCTGGATCTTACCCAGGAAAACAAAACCTAAGACAAGACCGTGATACTAGAGTATTTCAAAGAGTGTGATCCACGCTCTTCAACCTTTTTCTGAAGGGCGGCTCTGACTTCACTCCGCTCTGGTTCGGGCTGTACGGATGTTTCAAATCATAACTTTTGTAGGTCAATGAATGTTCTTTTCTACAAACAGCTTGAACTGTTTTTTACAACACGGATACTTTTGTGCCAAGCTCGTAACACTTATAATAATAGTCATAAAAGCTGTGCTCTAGCTGGTGATCTCTGTTTGCACCTCTCACATTAAAGAGGACAGTTTTACTGGTGCACATGCTGTACTTTGATAGAGCTTATTAGCAGGTCGAATATCTAAAAAATGCTCTTGATTATGAATACACAACCTCATTGACATTTCAGGATTCACAGCCAAGTATGGTCGGGATATTGCAGTATTATCTAAGTCTTATCTCCCTCTCACCTCAGAGTGAAAACCTGACAGCTGCTGAGTGTGTGCTCGTTCGTTTCCACCTTCATGTTCACCGATCCTTATCAACCGACCTTTGTGTTTGTCTTGTGTGACAGGTGTTTGTGAGCTGCAACTTCTGCGGGAAGTCCATCTCCTACAGCTGCTCGGTGATGCCTCACCAGGGCCGCGGCTTCAGCCAGTACGGCGTCAGCGGCTCGCCCACCAAGTCCAAAGTCACGAGTTGCCCCGGCTGCAGGAAGCCCCTGCCCCGCTGTGCCCTCTGCCTCATGAACATGGGCACACCTGTTTCTAATTGCCCAGGTAGACTGTTAAGTGTGTGGACTGATGTTTGTGAACAGGAGCAGCTTAAGTGTGTTACTTAACTGAGCGCAAAGTCAGGACTTTGATCAGCATCAGAGGACACAATATTTCATCAGTTTCTTTACGTCTGTGATGTCCGTCATAAACATGGATACACAAGCAAATTATATTGACTCTAATATTGACTCATGGATTACTCTCCTCTGGCAGGAACAGGGAAGTCAGATGAGAAGATGGACCTGACAAGGGAGAACAAACTGGCTCAGTTCAACAACTGGTTCACCTGGTGTCATAACTGTCGCCACGGAGGCCACGCAGGCCACATGCTCAGCTGGTTCAGGTGGGACTCTTCAGTGGTAGCTGCACATGTCCGGATGGTGTCCAGGCCGCTGTGGTCTGTTGTTTGCACCCTTTGTTGTTTGTCTGACCCACTATGTCTCTCTAACTGTTAATATAAGGGAAAGGTTACGCAGGTTGCGCTGTGGTCAGCTGTAATCCTGTGGTTGTTAGAGGTCCTGTTTTAAACATGCTGTGCTCTGTCTCATGCAAGGTTAAGTGGTTCTACCGATCTAAATAAAGTCACTAAAGCTCTTAAGTACCAGTAAATGGTATTTTGCAAAGATTTGTCCATGTTGAGATCCAGCTAAGACGGATGACTCTCTCTTCCATCCTCCTTGAGGGAAAGATTATCCTCTGGTTTCATTTAAATGTAACCCTTATTTACCGTTAACAAAAAAGCAACGATGAGTAGAAAAAAATTTTCAGAAAGTGTAAAAACTGCTTTGAATCGCAGAAATCGTTTTAAGTCAAAGAAAAGATCAGGTTTAGTTCAAGCTCAACTCTACTTTTCTGAATTAAGGGCTCTGAATGAACAAGTTTTGGGAACACTTTTTAAGATTACTACGCCAGACACCACAAGACCCTTTACAAAAGTGCTTGATCGGAAAGGTTTGCACTTTTGTAAATTATTGTTTTACAGTACCACATAAACGACTAACAGAGATGATCTTGTTTGTAAGGGTAACAGCTCTTCGGTGTAGTTTTGTGACTCTTTTAAAAGCCACCGAACTATGTCGACTAAAACTAATGAAGTTGAAATTTTGCTTTAGATCAACTAAAAATCCCCACAAAGTTTTTCAGCCTTGTGCAGTTTGCTCTAGTTTAAGTTTTGATATGAGCTGTAAGCACCGCCATGCTGCGCTGTGCACTCTAATCCTGACATTGCTAAATTCTTTCTGCTTACATGATGAAGCCCTCAGCTGACCCAAACCCATAATTATCATAAAAATGGTAATGACATCACATTTCACATTTTCAGGCTCTATGCAAAGACATATTGTTTCTAGGTTATCCAGAAGTGGAGTTGTTATTTTTGATCACTAGAGAGTTTGAGCTTGACGGTGCCTGTAAGTGCTGTGGCCTGATTTCCACTAACTTTTAGCAGATGGATAAAAATCTCTGGTAGCTGGTGACGAGTGCAGGTGTCTGTGAAGTCTTTGTCTTTTGTAATGAAGTGTGTTTGCATAGAAAGGGGCATATTTTGCTCCAAATGAATCATTTAAATGTTTGCAAACAACACTGGTGCACACGCAGTGACACTATTTGCTCTTCAGCACAGTTTTTGTTGTATTTAACTCTGCATGTGCTCTGTAAATTGGACAATGCCTTTTCTGCTTGTTGCACAGGTGAAGTGGGTACGTAATCCTTTTGTATGTCAGGCCTTCTTTCTGGTAAATGTGTCTGCAGACTTCTCTGGATGCAGTGTGTCGGCTGGCTTATGGTTTAAAAAGGATCCTACCTTTATATGAGAGGTCTGTCTGTGTCTGTTCGGGACTTTAACTTTGTTTCAGAGATTTTTAGAGCCGTCATAACTGGTCAGAAGCAAAAATACAAACTATAAGTTGCCCTGTTAGAGAGGTTTACTAGAGTATATGTAGATATTTCTGGACAGACAATGAAATAGTTTTCTCTTCTTCCGTCTTTTGACAGCATGAAAAGTTCACAGCCTTGTTGTGCTCTTCCCAGTGTACAAACTTCTGCTTTATCTGCTTTCTCCATGTTTCCTCTGGACTCCGTGTTGTTTTTTAATTGACCCACTGTCTGTGTGTCTCTTACAGAGACCACACAGAGTGCCCAGTGTCGGCTTGCACATGTAAATGCATGCAGCTGGACACCACAGGGAACCTGGTGCCTTCAGACAGCAGCTAAACAGGAGACGCCTGTCGGAAACTGAAGCCAAACACCAGCATGAAGCCAACCGGCGCAGGTTCTCTGCTGCACCCGCCACACCGACAACTGGCTAAGGGACGAAGGGTGCCAGCAGCAGCATCCTCCGCTGGAGCCGCTGCTTGAGAAGAATGACTTACTGTTAAGTTATAGTCTAGTGAATGTAACGTTTGTAACAGAGCCCTATATATATGAAGAAGGGAGGCAGTGTGTGTTACTGATCTCACTAACTGAATCAATGACAGAAAGGGAGCAAATGCAAACTCACCGCTCTGCTAATGAGAATCCCACTCAGGAGAAATACAAGAGGGTCTGCTGTAATCAGCCTCTTCCAATCTAACCTGAATCAGGCTTATAGTTTTATTGTAATCTATTGAAGAAGAGAAATCAGCTGTTCACTCACACATCAGGTTGTAAAGATGTGATCACAGGTGCCAAAATGTCGATGATGTTGCTTGTGTTTTAATATTTAATGTCTTGTGTTTGTCTTACGAAAGGATCTTCACATACCTCATGAAAGCGTTGTTCGGAGGGTGAAGGACGGTCACCCGGGGTGACGGAGCAGAGTGGCGCACAATAACAACACTCTCTTGCTCTCTTCATGTTTGTCTGTGCCACTCTTCATCTGGCATTGTAGAAAAGAGGGCTTCCAGCGTGAGGGTGGTTTAGGGGGCGAAGGAGGATGAAGGATTGGGGAAGGTAGGGGCGTTTGGTGAGGGGGTGGGCGGGTGGATAGGTGGGAGGGTGCGTCTGTATTCACCAGCCCACTCCAGGCCTGTGGTCCATGAAAGAAGCTCGCCAGAAAACAGCAGCTGCTCGGCACTCTGACAAGACCCTCCAGATTGTTCCCCTCATAAAGAACCTCAGCTGCCGGAACACTATTGACTCAAAGAGAGGGCGAGAGAACAGACAGCCTGAGCCCTCTAACCCTCCTCCCCTCCCTTCCTACACCCTCTGACATACACAGACATGCCCTCTCTTTCTTTCTCTTTCTCTCCGGTGCCCAAATTGCACCCCAAAACTATGCATACCACACATCAATCCGAGGATGGGCGCCGTCTGTGGGGGGACGGCCCTGTGTAAGCCGCATTGTAAATGGGTTTTCTCTTTTTCTCTGCCACCCTCCCTGCTCTGTCACCAACCTAGGGAGGCATTGTAAGTGAGAGGCAGCCTGCACCAGAGCTGGCTAAATCACTTAGTCATGGAGTAGGGAGGAGGAGGTGAGAGAGGGAGGAGAGGGGAGAGGATGGGGTTGGGGGCATAGGAGCTACTGTATACTGCTTTCACTAGGATCTCTTCCTGGTGTGGGAGGTTTTACAGGCCCGCATGCCCCTTTGTGAACTATTTCGGATTGGAGCTGACAAATTGGCGAGCGGTGTAGCGTCCCAAAAACCAGGGTGGCTGGAATTTCATCCTTTCACTGTTTCTTGTTGTGTTTGCCTTTTAAATAAATTCCCGGCTGGCAAATTGGAGCGCTGCTGAATGGGCTGTTTTCCATAAGTTTGCATGGTTTATTTTTGAATTATCATGTTTCATAGACACAGATGGCGTGGGTTTTCAGTCATGTGCATTGAGTCACAAATCATTCTCCCATGGGAACTCCCACAGTATCACAGGACATGGTCGCAGCGAGAGATGGGCATCGGGGAAAAACAACACAGTTTGTGCTTCAGCATCAAACAAACAGCTAATGAATCTTCTCCATTACTCTTGATGTGGTTTTAAAGTTCATTTTTAGACTCACCAAAGGGTCGATTAGCAGCATGTCTGGGGCTTTTGATCGTATCACAGTCTTCCTCAGCAGACTGCAATTTGCCGTGAGTCTTTGATTTAATTTCCTCTTTTTCAGGAGGAAAAATGAGGCTAAAAATCACTCCACGTAGCCAATTTAAACGAACAGTCTCAGAGCTTTGTTGGCACAACATATTTACTATATAAATAGACCATATAACTACAAGGAAGAAGCCGCAGGGAGTAGCTAATCACATTTACTCAGGTTACTGTAATTGAGTTGCCTTGTGTTCTCGTTTCTTGAGTCGGTTTTAAATGCTGTACTTTTACTTTTGCGTCAGCGTTTTCGCTGGAAAACTAGGCTACATTTTTCATGGCATTAGTCACCAAGTAAAGTTGCTTACACACACAGGCTTCCCATCAGCTGATTGGATGGTGCAAAAAACTCCATATCTTACCAAGTAAATTTGACTCTGTTCCAGTCATGACATCTCTTCCCACTTTTTTAAAGCTACATGGCATGAAAGGGTCAAATATGGATCTTATTTCAAGATATCTCTGGCCAGTGAGAAGTCCCTTTAAAAAAATTGTTTACATCTTGTTTCAAGTAACTTGTCAAAAAAAATTGCATGCCTTATTTGCAACCACTCTTACACATTATAACCACCAAGTTTAACTTTTGGGCTTGTGACAACAAGCCCCTCTGCACAGCCATGACTTAAGTGTGCAGGGACCAACTACTGAGTCCAAACCTGAGAAAAAATGCTGCAGTAAAACTCCACCCTGGATAAGTGCAGAATCAAAATCAATGAAAGTATGTTTGTTGTTGACTATATTCACGTGAATCAATGTGTTTTTACATTATTTGGTGGGCCTAGAAAATACTCTTTAGTAGATTAAGAAGTTGGTAGTTTTGCCACTACTTAAAGGGATAGTCTGGCGCAAAATTAATATAGGGTCAAACACACTGAGTTAGACACCCTGTCGAGAGATGAATGTTGTCGACCGCTTGCTTCTCTAGTTATACCAACTTTAGTAACGACCACACGATAGCAATACACAGCGGTCTGAGGAGCCATAAACAAACCTCAACCAAAACGCCACTCTATAGTCACAAATAATGCTCAGAACAGCACCTTACTTCATCAACAGTACATATGGGGTCCCAGCCATAGTACTAGACACCAAACATCTTTTTAACTTTGCCTGATTTCTTTAACAAAGAGACTAAACACAACTCACCCACTCTCTTCCAGCAGCCGCCAGTTTGGAGCGAGAATACAGCGGAGTTTCGCAGCACAAGGAAGAACATTTATGATAATTTCTTCATGGAAATGCAATCTGACCGAGACGCTAAGACAGAAAAACTACCGCGTCTGCAGTGCAAAATGATTAATATGGTGATTATTACGTCAGGGAAATTTAAAAGAAATGATCATAAATGTTCTTCCTTCAGCTGCGTCACCCCGCAGCAGTGGCGTTTTGGTTGAGGTTTGTGTATGGCTCCTTAGACCGCTGTGTATTGCTACTGAAGTTGGTTTGACTAGAGCAGCAAGTGGTCTTCGACATTCATCTCTCGAGGGGTTGTCTAACTTGGTGTTACGGTGTGTTTGACTCTAACTTAATTTTACGCCGGAATACCCCTCTTGAGTAGAATAATTAAGGAAAATTACTCCAACATCTTTATCATGCAAAAGACAAAAATAAACAGTCACCTCCTGTCTGGGCAGATTGATGTTATACATAAGAAGCACAGCCACTCTCACGAACAGGTAGGTAAAATAAAAACATAAAAACTTTCCACTTAGTTATGTTTGACTCCGAATTTCATCTGTCTCATATTTACAATTTTCACCGAAACTTTCCCCATACTAGTACCACGTATCAATCCTGATTGGATAAAAGTACAATCACTACTGACATTTGAACCAATCAGCGGTATTACTGTAAGAGCCCTGTAGCCAATCACAAGCGGAGTAGTGACGAGCGTAGCCCGCCCCCGCGCACCAGCCAGTAGTGTGGCCGAACCAACTGTCATTTAGAGTGAGTGGACATGATGGGGAAGGCTGAGCTGGAGCAGGAGAGCACGAATTAAACGCTTCAAGAAGTATAAAAAACTACTTTTAAAGTTATTTGTCTGATACTTTCAGCGTACACCGGCATGTATTAGTATCTTGAAGGTAAGTTATCTCCATAAAAACACGAGTTCGAGGTTTTTCGTCCCCTCGAGCGCATGAGTTGAACATTTTTGGTAAAAAGGAAGCTAATTTTTTTTTTTTTAGCTAACAAGCTAATGTTTATCTTGCGGTTCACCCCCTCCACCTCCTCCTACAGAGAAGCAGCAGCAGCTTTGGCAGCACGTCTTTCTCACTGCGATAGGAACTGCAGCCACTTTCGGAGGATGTCAGCCCCCACGAACTCGCTCCAGCAGCCGAGGGTTAGACGCAGCAATGCGGGCTCTCCAGGCTCCTTCAACAACAGCAGCAGCTGCCGTCTGCACCCCATCCGTGCCACCGTGCCCTACCAGCTCCTGCGTGCGGGTCAGAGCAGCCCGACGCGGGTGCAGACTCTCCACGGAGGAGCCACGAACAGCCGGGGCTCCAGTCCCCCCTCCAGCCCGACACTGAGTTCAGGAAGTGCAAAGCAAAGACTGTCCCCTGAAAATAAGGACTCCTCCTGCCCCCCAGACTCTCCAGTCTCAAGAGGTAAAACCTTATTCCATCTGTTTGGCGTTACTTAAACCCAGAGATACCGTATCAAGGTGCAGCTGCTGACTATTGTTAACTTACCATCAGAAACAGGTTTACTGCCAAGTGGGTTTTTATATACAAGGAATTTGTCTCTTTGCCAAAACAAGGAATAAAAGAGTAGAAAACTGACGAACAGCAGTCAGGGAACTAGAATAACGTCAAAATAAAAATACTAGGCCAATATAAAGAAATTTAAGGTGTAAAATCTGTACAGCTGAGCATTAATGTTTAAGAAGATGGGTGGAAAACTGTCAAAATGAAGTCTGGGAACAGTGTGCAATGCAATCATTAAGCATTTTTTTTGATAAATCAACCACTTTACATCTGATTTTGATATTAATATGTACAAAAATAGGATGTATGTTACTTTAGTTTAGTTTCTTTGTCTCTAGAAGTCTAGAACGAGGTTGAAATCAACCACGATACATTTAATTTTAATATTTATACATGCAAAAATAGGATGTATGCTACTATAGTTTGTTTCTTTATCTCTAGAAGAATTGAACAAGGTTGAAATCAACCACAATACATTTAATTTTGATAATTATATGTGCAAAAAATAGGATGTATGTTACTATAGTTTAGTTTCTTTCTGTCTAGAAGTCTGGAACAAGGTTAAAATCAGCCACTATACACTCGATTTTGATATTTATATGTGCAAACAATAGGATATATGTCACTATAGTTTAGTTTCATTATCTCTAGAAGTCTGAAACAAGGTTGATGCATTTACTCATTAGCCCATTGCCCAATCACATAATTAGGAGTACACTTGAGACCATAAGCTGAGTCCCTTTCCAGTCAAGACCTGCATTTTTGCTGTTTCATGATGGCTGTGTTTTATCTGATCTTTTGGGAGTAAGTATGCGGTAACAGGTCAAACGTCATGAAAGGGGCATCCTGCAAATTTAGATCAAAGTTAGTTGATGCATTAATTATTTAACCCATTGTTGAATCAAAGAATTAGGCGCTTATAGAGGAAGTAGAGTGCACTCTTGGCTACCTTACTTCCTATGGAGATTTGACAGGAGAGAGGGGTAGGAGGAAATTGGCAGAAAGACACGCTTCCAGTTGTAAAAGGAGCCACGTCAGTCCTAGTCGAATCAGTGCTGAGCTAACGTGGTCAGATGTTGCCTATTCTGACCTCACTCCATACATACAGCACAGCCTACTCATCATATTCAGACCATATGCTGAGCCTCAGCATGTTGCCCTGCACATGGCTAACAGAGGCAAGTGCTACGTCGTTTCATGTCAAGCTCAGCTGCTCTCTGAAGGAGGACATGAGAGCCCACGCAGACCTGAATGTGTATTTCTCTGGATCTTCTTTACGTGACAGCTTCTCCTGCCAAATATTGACTCCAGGCCTAGTTTTTGAGACCAGCAGCAGCAGTATCCTTCTCGAGGCTAGTGCTGCATTTTTGACTTTTTTTTTCTCCGCGCACCTTGTGTTTTTTTGTTCAAAACACACACAAAGCCACACATTATCTTGCAAGTGTTTGAGGCACATTGTGATAAGGTTGTGTCTGAATACAGCCTGTCTTTCCAGTATGTGAAAACACAAAGACACTCTGCTAACCTCAGTGAGTATTTTTGCCTCTGCATCAGTTCCCATGAGAAGCACTAGGTGTTCTCACCATGACACTGTTCTGCACTTAATGAGATTAAGTCACACATTGCCACACGCTACACAACTGGACCGGCGCTTCCTTTCTCGGTCACATCTAACAGTTTCACCTTCTTACCTTTTAACCAAAATGGCAGCCCCTCTTGTCTCGGGCGGCGTGGTGGTTATTGTGGAGTTGTGTGTGGAATTTTATGCTTGTGACGTGCTTCACATTCCTCGGGTCTTTGAATGAGATGACCTCCAACCTTGACCAGTGTAGCATGCAAGGCAGGAAACGAAGTCTGTTCCACAACAACTGAGCAGGCAGACTTGCCAGGCACAGTGAATTTCGCCCGTGTTTGGCTAGCCCTTGGTTTTGATTTCCCACCCCAGCGGCATGCCAGACATACCTCAGTCCCCTGAAAGAGACTAACCTCTAACCTAGACCAGTGTCCCATGTCAGCAACGATGATGGAGACTTGAACCTCCTTCATTACTGTGACCTCTCAGTCTAAACATGCATGAGAGGCCTCATGACAGCCATGATCATATCACTGTGAGCCCGGCAGCTAGGAGCAGTTGAGGGAAAAAAAAGCTGATTGTCACACATCCCTGTGAAAGAAAAATATGTGAGCATGAATCAGTCATCTTTCCTCACTTCAGCCCAGCTTGATTCAGCTAAAGTAGTAGGCTTTGCACTTTGTAATTTCACATTCATTGTAGTACTTTGAACCCACTCGCCAGCATAATGCTTGCCATTTGGTGAGAAATTCATTCCAAAGTGCCTGACAGTACCATTACTGTTCGAGGCAGACAAATCCACACGAGGACTGGGGCTGCAGTGGAGTTACAACAGTTCATATCATAGCCTGGTGATGAAGCAGAGAGTGGAGAGTATTATATTCAGCATCATGTCCCTTTGCTTCACCAACATGACATCATTCACTTACCACACTGTCCCAACAATGAAAGTCCCACTCTCTGACAAAGTGCCAGCTGTGCTGAAAACGGCCTGCTTCATTGTCACCTATTCAAACTGCAGCGTAGGACCAAATGTGAAAATGACCACGTTGTGTCCAGATCCGTTTACTCTGATGGATCAGTGCTGTTTGATTATATTTGCATGCACATGGCCGACAGTGTAGCATTAACTTTTATGTAACGTTTGCTCAATCCTCACTCCTCGGTTATAAAATAGTTCACACTTTAAGCATAACTCCTTTATTCATTGACACACGCTTCAAATAGACTAAGCTAGCTTGTGGTGGGAGGAACCCACTGGACTTGCTGAGTGATGCTAATAATGCTAACACCCCATTTCCTGACCAGCTGAGGAACAGATGCTCTAACTCATAATAACATTGAGAGAGCATGACCCGGATTTAATACGATCATTCATCATTTATAATGTATGAAAAACAGTCTTTGCTGAAAGCACAGACTCTAATTCTCACAGCTATCAATATGAGCTCTCTAATGTGGGGCATTGTTGAAAAAAGAGCTGCATGGTGGCCCACTGCTAAGACAGACCCTCATTACTGTATAATCACAACATCGCTTGATTTGTTATGTGTGCATCATTTGCAGAATAGATAATCATACTAGCTGCATATGTATGAAATGCTCACACTGAGGAAAATATGCAGTATTAGCAAGTAGTTTCACCTTTACCAGTGTTTGTAAGTGTAATATTAAATAACCAGTTTGATATATTAGGTATATATTATGTTTCAAATGTATTTTGGCCGATACAATCAAAATACAGATGCTGATACCAGTCCAGGTACATCATGTGCCCCACTTTGTTGAAAGACTAGTTTTCAAGAGCGGTGAGTTCAGGAAGTTTACCTTTGGATAGTCGCTTCTATGTTACCCAGCTGTCCAATCACAGGGCTAGTTGTCTGCGTTGTTCATAGGGGTGTCCCAATACAACCTTTTTACTTCCGATATGATACCGATATTGTATCCTTCAGTATCAGCCGATATCGATATTGGCACAGACTTAAGTTTTGCACTCAGCTGCAATGTTCTTTTTCCGGACTTTAACGAAAAATGCTACCACACAGCCGACATCAGTCCTACTCCTTGCTACTCTGTTTAAGTACCTTAGTACACGCTGTTGTTGTGATCACGTGCCTCTGCTTGCTGGATCTGCACTGCTAGCTCGAGGTGCGAGAGTGGACTCCGGAATGGACTTTTTGTATCAGAGTGCTGATATTGGAGATTTTGGATGCAGGCCGATATAATACGGTAGTTGTTTTTTGGCTGATATTGGACCGATATCCGGCATCAATATCGTACCAGGACAGCTCTAGTTGTTCTGTCGCCTAGTTGCATTTTTGAGGAGGTTAACACCAGTATAGTATCTTGTGAAGGAGGTGCAGGGAGACACAAACTATGTTGTATAGCTCAGGGTATAAATCAGGCTGCTGGTATTGTAACTTATACATTTATCTCCTTGATTTAAACAAGGATTGTTCGCACATTTTGCAAAGAAATTACTATAAAATGGTAAACATACAGCTGCTGTCTTGATTAAGTACTAAATTTGGTGCAAACACTGTTCGCTAAGCTATGTCGCTGTGCTTCATGAGCTGCTGCACAAACTAAGTCCCACTTCTAACTCCTGCAAGAGTTGTTTTCGTGCATTAAATGCTCTGTGAAAAGGATTTTCATAACTGACAATCTGGGGGGAAAATGCAGATTGCAAAATAACAATAAAAGGCTGTAATTGGTTAATAATGTTGGCCTACAAATACAGTATAAGTTGGTGTGGTTTTGGCTACAAGTGTCTACTTCTGTGCTTCATTTCTTGCTGCTAGCTGTCAAACTGGACTGTGCCACAGCAGAAGTGTCCACATTGTGTATTTTAAGTCCTTATAGTAGAGTGTTTATTACAGTTTATATGCATGTCTATGAAGTGACACACATCCTGGACTAAGTTTAGTGTTATTACTGACAAAACAATCCATATATTTTTAGCTCGGGTATATCTGAGGCCGTGAAGAGCTTAAGCTAAATTATAGTGATTTTCCTTTCAGCCTTGTGGAAATCTACAGGAAACCCTTTTGCTACAGTTTACTGATTCAAACCACATGTTTGTTTTTACATTTTCTTGTGCTTTACAGTTAATAAACCACCCATTTATTCCTGGAAAGAAGAGCGAGACCTTTTAACAGTTTGCTGAAGCCCTTAAAATTCAACCTAAAAATCCTCATTTTAAATATCACGTAAACCTTTCACCCATCCCTGAAATCAGCAGATGGGACTGCTTTGATGTCTTGGCTTCTTTCACAGTGTTTCCTTTTTTCTCATCAGGAGATTATTTTAGTGGGGGAGACTATGGAAAATAACCACAGTCCCGGTTCTGAGAGCACTGGCTTGGCCTATATCAATATTGATGGAAATTTAGCCTGCTTCCTTTGTCTGCAATGCTTCAGGGAATTTTACTGTAGCCCAGTAAGCTTACTTAGGCAATACCTTTGGGTGGGTAGGCTTGTGTATTCTACGGACAAAGAACAACAATGAATGGCTGTGTAGTTCTGCTAGGAGAGGGGTGCCTCATGTCGATAGTTTAGTCTGTGTGTGTGTTCGTTTGTGTGTTCATGTTCGAAAGGCCTCTCTTTTGGCCTACACAGATGAGGAAAAGAGTAAATGAGCATGCTTCCTGACGATCATACTCTTCCTTTTTTCTGTCTTTTATACGCTTATTATAAAGAGGCTCTCATTTGCTGTAAGTAATCATACATAAAAAGTGTAATTGAGGCTGAAAAATGGAGCCCGGATTTTTCCTGCTGTCTCATGCTATTCTGGAGCTAATGTCTTTTGCCGTTTTTGTTTTTCTCGCTTTCTTTTGCATTACTGCGTGTCTCTGCAGGAATGTTGAGTGGATGCAGGCAGTATTGATGTGCATTGTGTTGTGGTTGTTTATGAGTTCTTATGTGGGTGGTGTGTGCTTAACTGCTCTGGCTCACAGCAGACTGCTCTCATAACATCAGATACTCCTGCTCAGTCATTTACATTTGCTGCAGGCCTGAGCTCTCAAGCCTGCTTTTTGCCCCTGCACTTATACTTAGGAGATTATAAAACGGTGCACACTTTGAAAACAAGAGGAGATTGCAAGGCCAGGTTTTGTCTTATAAAATACTGTAAATGGCAGCAGTCGAGTGGTAAACGCCAAAGGTCGATTTTAACTTTTAGGATTCTTTTGCTTTATATTGGTGGATGATCTAAGCTACAAGTCATGTGATCATTCTCTGAGATATATTCTGTCTAGATCAGCAGCTTCTACTCTATCTTCTCTAAAAAGCAACTAGAGCATGGAAACTAACTTGTTGTTACAGTTAGACTTTGATTATGCTGTTACTTTTTATTTCAGCTGAAATATGTAAACCATTAAAACACTTTTGCACTAAAAATGTGGCCCCAGTTTGTGTCAGCTAATATGCAGCTTTAGTGCTGAATTTTGAACCTGGTGTTATTGACACAACCAGCAGAGTTGGCACAGTGAATGTTAAAGATGCCTCAGGGGGTCAGGGATTATTGCTCACTTGTTACTGACGCTTTCATGGGTGTGTTTGTGTGTTCATGTGCGCCTCATCCTCTTTCTCTGTTCTTCTTCTTATTCACAGCAGAAAGGTCCAAGTTACAAGTCAGGAGCTCCAGTGCCATTCGGCGGACGTCTTCCCTCGACGCCATCACAGGTCCGTACCTCACCGGCCAGTGGCCTCGGGACGTCCATGGACCCTATCCTTCCTGTATGAAAGACAAAGCCACACAGGTATGAAAACACTGTCGTGGCTGTAGGCCCGGAGTAAGGCTGTCCTAGCACACTGGTATTAACTGTAACCATCTTAATTAAAATATTAAATACTGAGGAGAGATGAAGAAGCAGCAGACTGTCTGTGAACTGACTTGAAGAAACTTTCCAAGAGATGAGTTGACTGTTTTAAAAAGTGAAATTTCTGAATTTTTGTCAATCATGTTCAATGTTCAGGTCACTAATCCCAACTTTCTAACCTTCCTGTCACTGTTTTCATTTAGTTCTGTAACTTTCAATCTACCAGAGGTAGCTTATACTTAAAAATAAAAGCAGTTTTACTATGTAGGAAACAAGGCAACCTAAATCCAAGACCAAAAATATCAAAATAAAAGCATGACAGTCATCTGTGAGGTGATGTCTCCGCTGAAGAAGTCTCAGTCACACAGCTGGTGATGTGGATAAATCATGAATTTGAACATAATTTCAACACAATATGTAAGTTAGCTGTGTTTTAATAGCAACATTTATGGACCTAATCCTACATTGGCAAAGCTATGGGAGGTAAATGAGGAAATTTGTGGTACAGCACAAAAATACAAACATATAAAACACATCAAACAAAAACAAGAATCCCAAAACAATCCAGAGCTGCTGTTATCAGTGTCCTCACAGAATGTGCAGCATTTCAAATACATGTCAATAACTACAAACCAACAACTGTAATATTAAAAGAAAGCAATGAGTGTAATTCACATTCACTTATATCCAAATGAACAAATCTCCAGCCCACTTTTCTCCACATGTCCAGTCTGGTCTTTTCTATGCAGCCATTTTTAAATATATATTAAGGTTAATTAAGGTCAAAATGCAACAGCCCTGTCTCTTTCAAACCTTCATTCTTAAATGATTTCAGCTCATGAGACTTTGCTGTAATTTTAGGATGAAACCAGTTGAAGGTGCAAATCAGAGTGGTAGGAAATCCAAATCACTTTGTTTTGTCACTTAATTATCGATTATAAACCTGGGAATACAAGCTAAAAGGTTGTTGAAAAGTCCAAAATAATGTGTCTGTGCTAACTTAGCTAAGAAATATATTCATTGTTTTACTGGTTATATAACGATGTATACCAGACTAGTGTTTCCATGATTATTTCCAGACCCTACTTGTTGCATTTTTAAAAAAAGGACCAACCTGCCCCCCCTTCAAAAACTTGTTTTACACACCGACTAACCTGAAAACTAAACTACTGTGTGGAGTAAAACTGCTCCTCTAAAACTGTACGAACAAGGTTTTATTTTTGCTGATCCAAGCCTGAGAAGAGCTGCACACTCTGTCTGTGTAAACATTATTTTGGTCTGAATTTCCAAGAAACTAGGAGACACCGACAACTCTCTCTCTTCTTTTCTCTGGACTGTTGTGATAGTCATGTGAATTTTCACTATCATGATTTTGACAGCATTGTGACACGATACATATCATGTTAACTGGATGAAGCTAAAAGTGTCTGGTTCCTAGAATTGAACTTGGCGGTGTGGGGGTCTTGATAACACTAATCTTCAGAGGCATGAGGTCCCTGGAGGTTTTTTCCTGGAGGTTCACAGCACATGACTGAATCAAGCAGAGTTAAAAAGAAATGAGAGCACCCAAAAAAATTCTCGGCCAATGAGAGGAGGGGAAACGCTGCACAACAAAAACAAGACATTTAATCTTCTTTTTCTCCAAATTTGATGGTGAGACCAGGTGTCCGAACTGTCAGGTATCAACCATCACGTTGTATCTGTTGTCGGGTGGTCGTTTCCTGAAGCATGCTGCAACATCAGGTGACTATTTTAAAGTTTTCATGACTTATAAATCATGCACAAAGGAGAGAGCGCTGCACAATCATCACGAGCTGGAATGAAGTGAAACAATGAGACCCACATTGAGTTCAAAATAGTTTTGAAGTTTGACAAATCAAAAAACGCCTCCAGGATCTCGTAGTATTTCAAAACATTTTAATGCATGGGTGTCTCTGGTGAAAGCCCAATTTTAGCACCCACTTACCTTTTCATAGCAGCTTGTGGTGGTGAGTAATTAACTAATTGTTGGTTTCTGTCTTAGTCGCTGGTGAAAAGGACACATTTACGAGCTGTGGCCAAAGACTTTTATAGTAATCTGGTGGCTGTCGGTGGAATCTGCTGCCAATAAAGTCCTCGTCGACTGTTCAGATATCCTCCCACCCCACTTCATCAGACCTACAGTATGTATGGTGTTCGCATCCAGCCAAGATAGCAGTCACGCGAACAGCCACAGGGTTTATCTCTGTGTTCAGTTTTGGGTTTGGCTTGCGTTTGCATTTTAAAGGAATATTAACTATGTGTGATCATGACGAGGGCCTTCCCTCTTTGCCTACAGAAGCCTTTCATGTCCCTGAATTGGGACCGCCAAGCTTCATTTACATGGGCTCCATCCTTTAACCCCTCATTTGCCTGGTGTTTCTTTTGTGTGTAGACTGAGGAAGTGGTGGGAGGGCCTCGCTGGGATTCTTCAAGTGGCTGTATGCAGAGTAAACACCTCTAATTGCAGGGTTCCTGTGCAGCCCTGGAAAGTTAGAAGGAATATGGAAAATCAATTTTGATAATAATCAGGTCTTGAAGAATGTCAATGCGATAAATGTCTGGGCACGTATACACTGTATGTTTTAGACGGACTGTGTTTTGGCTCTTTGTGATATGTAGCGACATGGCCTCTGCTCACTGTACTCTCCAGACGTTGTAAGTGAAGTTCTGATTGAAGGCAGACCAAAATGAAAACCCAGTGGGGAGATTTGTGTCTGTCAGCGCTGTGGAAATATGAGATGGAAAACATTTAGCTGTGTTGTAATGATGTGGGAGAGTGACACACTTGACAGTCCTTGAGCGATTAAAAGCACAAACTCCCCCAAGGATAGCCAGAGACCACTTCCTGTTAACAAGCGCTGCCTGGGCCTCGCTCTTTTTGTAAGACAACAACAGCAGAGAGCAGCAGACAAAAGGTCCCTGGCCTCTTTTGTTGTGCTTTGCACAAGTTCAAGACGGCCTCTCCTTTGAGCTGTAATGTAGCCTCACATGGAGGTGAAGTTGTTTGCACCTGTCCCCCAGGCTAAGGCTGAGGCGGGGAGAAATCCCACTGCTTACCACCTGGCCCTCGTGGATGCATGGCCCGCCTGCCTTTTGTGTGGGAGTTGAGGAGCAGAGGGTCCATACATATGCTAATGGCTGTTCCGGGATAGGTCTGCATGCCCTAGGCCTTGTGGTTACAGAGCACAGAGAACGTCTGTATGAAGATTAGGGCTCTGACACACCAGGCCGACCTCAAAGAACGAGCACCGACAAAGGCAGTCTGATCAAACAGTTGGTGTTGCCTCATGTCTTTCCATGAAAGTTGCATGTGAACACGACATGAGGACTAAAGCCCAGAGGAAAGCTGACCGCTGTACATTAATTGGAGGTTCTGCATCTGCGTCAAGGACAGAGGAAATAACTAATCAGGCTGCTATTGTGATCTGAAAACAACAGCTACACACACATTTCAACTAGACGGCTGACCTTTTAAGTCTCCTCAGAGATTATTAATCCATCACAGAGTTGTCCAGGAATATAAATAATCTGTGAAACATTTACTGTAATTTTTGACTTCCCTTTGGAAGCAGTTGCAAAATAAACTGCTGTTGCTAAACAACAGTTGCCCAAAATTTCTTAATGACAGCTTTCTGCTGCCAGACATCTTATTTATGGTTTTGTATGTTACAGTCGTTTGGTAGAAAATTCACAATTAATGATAGTTTAGTGCTTTATTGTAAGCTACATGTGCCAACCGTTTACTGTTAATGTTTAATGGAATGATTTGTATGCTGCAGATGACGGGTCATTCAAATTAATTGGACATGGACTGAGCTTCACACCACAAATCGGCGAAATGATGAGATGAATTTGCCACCTTGCCCTGAAGTTTATTAATAGCAGTTATAAGAATATTATTCAAGAGAGGAAATGATGCTGATGTTGCAACAGTCTAAGCTGTGTTTGCAGAGCTGGTGTTTTGTTGTTTTAAAGTTTAATTCAAGCTGCTTCAATCAACTAGTGAAGAGTCCAAGTCCAACTGCGTGGAGCAGGGTTTTCAAAATTGCTCTAAAATGACGTTTGAATATTCGTTCTAAAAATAACAAATAGGTTCAAAATAAGAATTTCCTAACAGAGCTTCTAAAGTTCGTTGGAGTCCAGACCACTTTCTCGGAGTTTGGCTCTGAACATCCTGCCTTCTCTCTCTGCATGTGCCACGGACGGTTTTTGTCGAGTCTCACTGCAGGTGCAGCTCCTCTGACTTGTCCCTGACTTGTCGTTACGGTGCGCTCACTCGCAAAGCAGCCACCATTTTTGTTTTTTCCACTCAATTTTTTTACGGCTGTTTTAAAATATTCAAATATCGATTTTCACATTTGAATCTAATTTTTTTAAATATTCAAACATATATTTGAATTTAGAAAATTCGTTGACAGCCCTAGTGTGTAGTAAAACTTTTAATTGAACCAAAATTTCATCATTTCGATGTAAAGACGGAAATATTGTAATATTTAATCGCTTTTTTTTTTTGCTTTAAAATGAAACCGTGCAGTGCTTTTTAGGTGAAGGGAAGAAACGGGTGCTGTATAATGACAACAGGTTGTATTTTTCAAGTGTATCTGACGGTATGTGAGTAAGGTCTGAAGGGAGAAGGAACATAAATGCCATCTCAGAGATATTCATCCACTTTCTGGAATGCTCTGTACGTTTTCAGACCTGGGCACGATAACAGACAGTCAACCGTCCAATCACAATGCGTGTTATCCTCATCTCTAAATGATAGCAGTGGCACTCCACTCGCATGTCTCGGCGTGCAATCCAAACAAACCCCCACGAATTCCACTGCAACTCTCTATTGAAGCCCAGTCATTATTTCCTGCTTTGGAACGGAGCTGGATTCTTGAGGATGTTGTCTGCGTGTAACCCTTTTGGGTGGGAATCATAATGGGAAGCAAGCTGCAGGCCCGTTTTATCTTCACAGCGTTACATTATCAGGAGCAACACCTGGCACACTAGTCTGAAAAGCACACAGCTCGGGCCGGAAGTTCAAGAGCTAGCGTGATAAAAGGGCCTCTGAGGTAAATAAAGGTGGGTGTTCTTGTTTACAGACGATTTGTTTTAGGGGCGACAGAGTCAATCAAGAAAGGTAGCCTGCAGTATTTTTAACTGTCTTGTCTCGCTGCGGATACCTGAGGGAGACGGTGTGTTTAATTACAAACGGAGTGAGCGTCCACAGGTGACACCTTTTACAGTAGAAAGTCCCTTTTTTCTGTGTGTGGAAATAATTTACAGATTACTAAATATTTTTTGATGTTGCTCTGGTTGGAGCTTAGTGTCTGTCTACACACAAACTACCTCCTTTTTTTAATAGTTGCTGCTGTTTATGTTGCAGTAAGTCGAATAAGTCCAATAAGCCCTTTTATTCACATGAAAAGGAGGAGTTTTGATTTAGGACGAAGAAAATTATCAGTTGTAAATAACTTAGTTGAAGGGTTTCTAAAATTTAGCACCACTTTATTGTGAAGGGGAGACAGCTCATGGTTTCCTGGAACACTTTTTCTAGCGTCCACAGGTGACACCTGCGACCTGCTGACACCTTTTAAAGTAGAAAGTCCCTTTTTTGTGTGTGTGTGTAAATAATTTACAGATTAATAAATATTTCTAAATGTTACTCAGGCTGAAGGCTGAACTGTTGCTGATGTCCTCCGTGTCTGTCTACACAGTAACTACCTCCTTTTCTGATAGTTGCTGCTGTTTATGTTGCAGTAAGTAGATGTATTAGCCCTTTTATTTACATGAAAAGGAGGAGTTTTGATTTAGGGCACAGAAAATTATCAGTTGTAAATAACTTAGTAGAACGTTTTTTATCTTTAGCACCACTTTATAGTGAAAAAGAGACAGCTCATGGTTTCCTGGAACACCGTCGTGTTTTCTTTTTGCCTCTCAAAGTTGAAATATTGTGCTTTCCATTTTCCACCGCAGGTTGTAGAAACCTTGTGCATATCACTTCCTGCCAAATAAAAGAGTTTCACATTTCACTGAGTTACAAGTCGTGAGCAGCATGGCCTACTTGACGTCATAGAACATCTGTGAGAACTTAGTTTTTCCTCAGCAGCTAAGTCCACAGCTCCACAAAGCCTCTCTGCCCTTTTTAGAGGAAACTGCATTTCTGTATGAAGAGATTAGGCTGCAGCATTCATGCCCTCAATGTCTGGCAGAGGCATCAAACATCACAAGCCAGTCCGTAGGCCATGCACAAAATGTTAATGCTAAAAGCTAGCTACACATCTGCCGTCCAGTGTGGCCAAGCACAGTGGTCCCTTTTATAAGAGCACAAGCACCCATTTAATGCGCTGTCCTTTTCTAGGGGGGAAACCAGCGCCAGCAATCCCCGCAAATGTCTTCACGGGTGTTCCTCATTATTCACAGTGTGATATTCCATATCATAGGGCGAGGTTTGTGCGTTAGCCGGAGAGCCATAGAGGTTTTTCTGTTTGTGTGGGGTCAGGCATAAGGCAGAGTGTGGACACTGACATTTAAGATGTTTCGTACCACTGTGCTGACCATTAAACGTCAGATGTTTGAGGATTTGTTTGAGAACCAGAGGCACTGTTGATACGCATAATCAGGGGGAAGTATGTGGTTTCAGACGCCCCTCTGAAACATCCTCAGTCTGTTTCTGTTTTTGCATATATTTACATATCTTAACCATTTCCTGGTCGATGCAGCGGAGCTCGAAAAGACGTGCTCAGTGAGACAGGATGGCCTCTATGCTCTCTGGCAGGGAGTGTTTTGTATTTCAGATGTTTTCTCACTGGAGTACTAACAACATCAAATCTCTGTAGACTCATTGACCTGCTATAGACCCAGTATTGTGCTGAGCGTATTACATCAAACCACTGTAGTATACATAAGCAAAACTGGGTGACCGGGCTGTGGGAAACAGCTGCTAGTTTAAACCTTATAAATGTCACCTGAGGCTGACGAGGATGTCTTCTTGGCAGGTAACCATATATTATATCTGGTAGCTCTGTAATTATTTCCTCAAACTATGTTTGACTTGGTAGAAGGGCGGTTGGTTTAGGAATGTACCCATCTGATAAGCTTGAAAACAACAACAAAAAAAAAGAGTTTCAAGTCCTGCCAGACATTTATTTGTCTTAACTAGACTCACTAATGGAAGCAATCAAACATGCTCTGAGTTTTTATTCTTCTCTTGTATGTAGTTTTTTTCCTCAGGGATGGTTTCTCATGACTGTTTTCCTCATTTTTCATCGATTCCAGATTTTCGGCTTTACTTTTTAAGCACAAGGCACTAATTACAGCTTTCCACCCCATCTGTCTCAGCTGCCTCTTCAAACAGGGGTGTAGCGGTTGAAGAGAACTTGTGATATGGCTCTCAGTTTTGAAGCCTGGGTTGGAGACATTTTTGGTAAAGGAAGAGAAACAAAAGGAACACATGAGATTTCTTCTCCTAAATTAAGAACTCAATGGACTCTTACTCATTTGTTAAAGTCAGCATGGAAAGTTGAGGGTTGTAGGTCTGCTCAGATACCTTTTTGTACATGAAACAATTGAAGAAGTTGAAGTTTTTACAGGATTTAGGTGTTGCTGCAGCTTCTTTCTCCTGCTGTCTGCATGTCAGAGCTTTGCAAAGTTGGGCTGACACTCATAAACCCACACATAGGAAGGTCACAACTGCATTGAATGCCAGCTACTCTGCAGCAAATTTCTCCCAGGGAACAATAAGGTTGAAGTTGAAATTGCTACTTCTGGGGTTGGGACTTTCTGATTAGGCTACCAATGAAAGGTCCATTATGGTTTAGTTTCTCGGGACGCAGCAGAGGCTTGATTCCCCAAGACATGATGTGTGTTACTCTCAGAAAATGAGTGGATCCTCTGCTTATTCCACCGATAAATGTCCTGCTAACTTACAGGCACCTTGCTCTCCAGTCTGGTGATCTTGGATCTGAATTCTCTTTTGCTCTGCACGTATTTGGATCGTTACACATCTGCACCAAATCAAAAATACTAACTACTGAAACCTTTACACCCCTATCTCCAAATATTTTACTACTCAGAAACTGAGTTTATGTTTTCATCCAGATTGTCTGAACATGAGTTAGCTGAAGGATTTAGCAGCAGCTTTATCAGAAGTTCACATGAGTTTTCAGGAGAGGTATTTGTCGAAGTTTTTTGACTGTATTTGCTTAAAATTTCAGTATGTATATTTGGTCACTTGAAGGTTAAACGCATGGTCATAAACAGTGTATCAGTGTCATGTGGATACCTTTTTTATTTCTAACATAATTTGATAAACAAATGTTGAACAACACTCGACAAGCTCATGTTTAACTTTAAAACTCCTGTGACCTTTCAGTTATCTGATCTGCTGCTATCAGGCAACCACACTGCACAAAAAAATCCCACATACTATAGACCGCTTAATTTTATTCTATAATGACGCTGTATTTCAAATTTTTGCATTTATGAAAATTCTGATTCGTGTTTATCTCAGTGAGGCTGCAGAAGGTCGAACCGCTTTCCTTGCCAGAGTATCATGTGTCACGTTTGGAGGATTTATCAGTAGCAGGTGTTGTGTCTCAGTAAGCCGTCTAACGTCCGTTTCTGTTTTGCATGTATCTCTGTGTTTCAGACTCCAGGTCTCTGGATTGATGAGGGAGCAGAACAGGGAAGTCCTCACCAGCGGTCAGCCTCCTGGGGAAGCGCAGACCACCTCAAAGAGGTAAATTCACACGCCTTTACTCGGTTCCTTAAAGTCACAGCAGATTCTGAAACAGAAAACCCTGCAGGGCGTTGGTGAACACAGGAAGTCTGTCACTGTTGGGTTAAATAAGTATGATGTGAGTAAGTTAGAGTATTGTTGGAGGATACAGAAAATGACATTAGGTTTAGCTCAGAGATATTAACTGAACAGGTCCTCTTTGCTTTCTGCGGGGCTTAAATCTAACCTAATTACGCTAAACGTCCTCCGACTGAGAAAGCGTTGGTTTATTGGCCACAAATAATCATAAACTGCCTTTTAAAAGGAGTGAATGTTTACTTTTGGCAAGGCTCTGTTGATTTAACAATATCTTAAATTAATGGAGCAAAGACAGCATATAGTAAATGTGCCCTGAATCTACAAAGAACTTTAAACTAAACAAACAGAAACTGTAATCTAAAAGAGAGTTAATATATCTTTATGTTATCGAGTCAATCATCTCACATCACAGTGTTTACCTTGGCAGACGCTGCAGATGGCAGGTGACTCGGTTCTGCTTTTTATGTCAGCGAGATTTATTGTGCAGTGAGAAACATGCATCGAGGCAGAAAGAGTTTGTACTCGCACCTGCTGAGAGATTATTGCAGAATATAAGGAAGAGAAACCAATATCAGTGATGTGATCAATTTGAAATATTCACAGATATATCTGCAGACTCTTTTGTCTTGTTGGAGGATAATTAACCAAGGTGTTGCAGATAATTTCTAATATTTAGTTTATTTTTTTCAGTTATACTTTGATTGGGGGTGTAAGACAGTATTGATACCGTTTATTAATGCAGGATCTTTTCTAACACTGTATTGATCTTCAGGACCAGAAGATTGATTTTTGATTAATAGTTTAAATGCAAAGATTTTATATTTGTAATGAAGAGGGAGAAACTGGACAACGTCACACGTTGATAAAAATTTAAAATGCAAAATTCAACATTTTTTATTGCCTGATGCTTGGGCTGCACAGTCAATCACAATTTTCTAATTTTCTAATGCTTGCTCTGTGCAGATTGTAGAAGTCAAATATGTTGATGTGATACCATAAAATTAGTTGCAGTTCACTTTGTATGCCTTGCTGCTGTCAGGTTATCTGGGGGTTCAGGAATAAAGGTAACCAAGTCACTGTTGTGGGCAAGTGATTAATCCGGAAGGGCAAAAGGTTTTTGACCGCTGTGGCGCTAAATGCCCGTGTATTTCTCTGTTCAGTGTTGCGCGATATCAATTGCAAAATGGATTTTGGTAATGTTCATCACAATAAATTTTTGTTTGCTGCATCTGAGGAACAGAGTCCGGACTTTCACTGATCATCAAAAAGTCACGGTCGTTTAAGAAACCTGTAGTGCAGCTTGTCAACCAGGTTACTCTGGGTCAAGCATCAACTCAGCTCCTACACATATAGTTTTTCAAGGATTACATTATCCTGTTAAATTCATATTATAGACTCTGAGCGATTCTTTTCTTAGTCACATGACAGCAATAGTCACATGTCCCTACAGTTGTCCTACCCAGGCAGACGCACTCACACATACACTCTGTACCTCTCTGTGGCTCCTGCCTCTCCACGCCTCGTCATTTTTCTTCACCTGTATGTGTGTGCGCTCTGATGACAGTAGTCATCGGCACTGACCCAAATAGCACTACTTGAGCAATGGCAAGTTTTACTGGTGGTTCCATTTTGACAACAGGTGATCCGTGTGTTGACAGGACTCGTTGTTAATGACGTTGCGTGTCCAAAAAAGCAGAGTGCAAAGAAACAGCTGCAGCAAAGCAGGCTGGGAGTATGAGGGTCAGGTTAGGGTCTTAGGGCAGAGGGACAGAGAGAGCACAGGGAGCACAGTGCTGTCTGACTGTTTTATAAATTAGAGCCAAAAAAGGCCAAAGTAGATATTCTGTGTCAGTCCAACCATGGCAGTGGATGAAATGTAGGACTTAAACTTCAGTTTGTATCACCTTGTACTTTAATTTTTGTCATTTTGAGTCTCATTCCGTCCATGTAAAGTCTGTTTTATTTGTCAGGGTCTGAGGTCAGCCTAAATATTATACTTCTTAAGGTCGGTTTCCACTCCGGTCTATCTTCTGGGCTTGGTGGCCAACCAGCCGACCACACGGAGCTATTAGGTCTCCAAACTGTCCAAGCCTGGTCTAAATTTAACCTCATTCCCCTCTCTGTTTCCCACTCAGCCGCACACTTACATCTCATTATGGCCTGTTGTTTTTGAGACGCCACGGTGCAGGAGCTCCTCTGGAGGGTGAAACTGCCATATTGTTTCCTCTTTTGCTGAACTGATTCATGAAGGCTCGTCTTACTCTAAGAGCCTCACAACACAATGGTTTCATATTTTTCTGTTATGGCAACAAGCTCTGCGTGCCAACAATACAAAGTTCCAAAATAATAACAGCAATCAGATGTTTTGTTCTTGGTTTTTATTGACCTGAAAAGACTGTAATTAAGAGAATTTCTGAACAGTCACACAGGAGTACATTCAGCGATCAAAAACGTCTTCAACCAGATGTTAATACTGGAACACAGAATAACACATTTCACAGGTATAGAGAGCCAGGGCTGATTTGTTGAGGTTTGTTTTCACTTACTTTCTGTTCAGTTTAGTTTATTTTGATTTTATTTGTTTAGTCCAAGAGATTCCCAGAGAGCTAATCCTTTGTAATTGTACTCAGGAGCCTTCAAATCAAGTGTGTAAATCAGAATATTAAAGCTCCTGTGAGGAGTTTTTGATTGATTATGACACAGACTGAAATGAACAGTGAGAGATTGACAAGATTGACAATTTCTGTGTTGTGATGTCTGTAACTCCTGAAGTCACCAAAATCCAATGAATCATGAGGTTAAAGTTAAATTATAGTTTGCAGGATTTGACACCTTTCATGAGCAAATTCAGCCAGAAGAGCTGCAGAAAGAAAAAACAAACACAGGTTCTTAGCATCTAAACTTAATCAAATTTTATTTATAGTCAAGTTTAAAATCATGCACCGTACCTTATCCTGCCAAACAATACTCTCCTCTCAACTCTCTTTTACATAACCGCAAAGCTTTAGCTGGAAATCAGTATCCCTGCAAAGCAAGAAGTCCTTGTCTTTCTTTATCACCCTCTGAGATTACATGGGGACATTGCCTGGACATGTCTGTATAGACAGACCGCTGTGGTGGCTTTCTCAATGAACTTAAGGAACTGCTTCTCACCCCTCTTGACCTCTGCAATTCCATGTGTGGGAGGAAATCCACGAAAAAGAGCAAGTCTTTCTGTTGACTGTGTTGCCAGGATTACAAGATCAGCAGTGAAGACCACACCTTTGTCTGCATAGTACAACTGCGTCTGTTTGGCTCACAAAGGGTATCCTGTTTTTTAGGCAGATACTGGGCCACATGCAGAAACACCCGTTGACCTAACTCGTTTCATCACCGGACATGCACGGCTGATTAACTACTACTATTGGCTCAACTTAAGTCCTAATGGGTTCACACAGCGGTGCAGATTTCTGTGGTTAACCTTAATAGAGTCAAAGTCTGCCAGTCATATTCTGAACTATGCTTAAAAATAGAGAACAAGCACAGAGACTTTCTTATTAGTGAAGGTTGTTACTGTTCCCCAAGTGACTGCAAATAAGGGAAGAGTTTCACAGACGGAAAAACAAACATGAAATGATTTGCAACCAGTCAACAACTTTTTAAATAAGTTTCTCTCCATGCCAACAGTTCAATACATCCAGTATCTCTAATCTGCTCATCTCTTTTAGACTGCTATTTCTGGAATCTATGTTGTGCCTAAAACTGTAAACATCGAAAATTGACTGTAGATACAGAGATATATCACTTAACTTTAACCCTTGACCAGCATTAACTAAAGAATTGATTAAAAAGAAAAGTGTTGTTGAATCAGAACTGAAAACCTCCCTCCCTTCCTGACATTTCCAACTGCAGTAGCAGCAGCAGCCCTCTGTATGTGGCAGCTGTCAGGTGTTCGTGCCATTTTCTCTCTCACACTGAAGCTGTAATCTTGTCATTTTCTAGCCTCATTCTTTCTCTGGAGGTACAAGTTGTAATTCACGTTGACATAGCTGCTGTCATCAGAGCTTCTTTTCTGAGCTGTCCTTGTTGAAGTGAGGTTACTTCTCTTCCAGCAGATTGCTAAACTGAGACTGCAGCTGCAGCGCAGCAAACAGGTCAGCCGGCAGAGCAAAGACAGGGAGCAGAGCTCACTGCAGCTGTCCCAACAGGCGCAGCATGGCGTTGCATGCCAACCACAGGTGAGTTATTCATGCCAACTGAGTCACCACCGTGCTCTTTAAACTGAAAACATTAACCAACCCTGACTTTGGTGATGCAAGATTTTAACCTGTGAGCAATGATATGATAAGGTAGCTTAGTAGCCGCAGAAAAAACATACAAATGAAACAGACTGCTATCAAACCATGTGGAGATAAGACCACGACACCTAAAGTCTGTCAGGGCGGAGGAATGTGGATTTTATTCTTTACTAGAGTGACGGTATCAAATATATTATATGTTTAAGACATTAACAAGCTATAAGTTATCAGCACACCATGTGAGTTGTAGGTACACTGCTTAAATGTCTTTTTATTCCTATATTGTGCTGGTTATTCATTATTCTGGGCTTGTTTATAAGATGTTTCGAGCCACATTGACAGAGAAGATTTGGTTATTGAGTCTCAACTCTGACCAGTTATGTAAACGGGAGGTGAGGAGACTGGGATGTGTCTGGGCATGCCCCTTTCTCTCCTTGTTTGCAGTTCATTCATTAAACAAATGCCCAGCAACACCATACACATCAACCACTGTGGGAAGATGACATATACAGTGATATGCTACTCCACATACCAGCCTGTGCTAGATCACAATCAGAGAGTGTTTTTGTTCCCCTGTGACATTTAATCCCACTTCTCTAACATGTATTTAAAATGAAGGCCTCCACCCATTTAAATCTTATGAAACTGGATCAGCCACAGCTCAGCACAGCAAGAAGAGAATAAAACATATGCAGCGTTGTGTTTTTCACGGCCTGCTTGACCCACTTTTCTTTTTGTTCATTTAATCTAAAATACATTTTTGTGTGTGTAATATTTTTTTACAGTACAAGGGAACTTCGTCAGCTTTGTCGGCGATCCCGGTGCCAAAGTCTCTCATATGCAGAGTGCCGAGCAGCGTGGAGGGCATCAACCACGAGCTGGAAAATGTGTTTATCAAAGAGGACTGGGAGCAGGTGATACAGGTAGGGATGTGTTTCATAACACCGGGAACAGATCAAGCAGAGTCAGGGGACTGTTTAAAACTTCTGAGACTGATGGATCATCATAGTCAGAGTTTACTTACTCAGTGGCACAGCTTTGGGGATAAGGACAAAAAAACTATTTTTTTTTTCACACTAAACTCAGAACTTCCCTAAAAAAATACCAAAAATGATCAATAGATGAATCATATTTTAGGCCCTGGGTGATGAAATATTTGATAAAAAAATACACTGTCCAACTCATGTAATGCTGCAAGGTTTGGTAGGACCATATGTCTGCTTTAGTGGAATAAAACAGCGCCCCCTCCAGGGCTCGATAGTGTGACCGTTTTACACATGTGCGAGTCAAAATTGATGTGTGCAAATTGTAAAATGTATTTAGGGGCACATGTGCGCATAAAAAAAATCAGCTGAGGCCACAAATGTTTTTTCCTGTAAATATCGCGCTGCAGTTAGTTTTAGGTCGGATATTCAACGGACATTCACGGAGGATCTACCGGTGTCTTCTAACTCTCCATAACCAGGAATAGCAACAGCAGTGTGGTTAAATCTACTCGGCACCCTCGCTGTCAACATCAGGTGTTGAATAAGGGACCGTCAATAAATTACCTGTTGATGTTCTCAGAAAAGGCTGTTTTCCTTCAATAGCTTCCATGTCATGTGACCAATTGACCTAAAATTGATTTCAAATAATAGTACTTATTGTCGACCAATAAGGCACACATTATTTGATCAATTTTCATTGTGCCCCTAAAGTTCTTTGTGTGCTCCTTACTTTTACTTACACATGTGCTCCTTGTGAAAAAAGTTAGTGTCAAGCCCTGCCCTCTAACATTTTCATGTTGTACAGTTTTACAGACGAGGCAGGACAATTTAAGCAGAATACAAGGAGTCAGCAATATTAAGCATGTGGATCTTTGGTTGCCTCAGTAAAAGCTGCCCACTAGGTCCTCTCCTTGTCATATGTGATGCCATTGGAAGTGATCACGCTAACGTCAGCTACTTTTGAGCAGGTGTTGCAGCGGTCTTGTGCATCTCCTCGTGAGACACATTTCCTCCTCTTGGCTGCACGCCTCTGTTGAAGATGTTGAAATGAACTGGGCGTGCTGCTGCAAAAGCCTTTAAACAAACTTTGGCACAGACTGAAGTTTGTCTGGGGTCTGATGCTGCAAAAACTGAACCAGTTCCAACTGACTGAAGAGACTGCACCTGTAGATTTTCATATTTAAAAATCTAAACCTAAATGACAACTACAGACTAATAAATTTATCACTTTCCACTAAAACTTGTACTGACTACTTATAAGAGTAAGAGTCCATCTGTTTAAAAAGATCTACAAACTTTAAAACTTTACAATAATCTGATTAACCTTTTGGCATATTTGTACAGCTTGATGATGATGTCTGACTCATTTCAGCAGATCTGTGTCCAGTGTGGGCATTTACCGTGTGTGACATGATCGCTCACTGTGATAACGCTGCTAAGTCATAACAGGAGGTTTTCTCTTTCCTCCATTCTGCCGACGAAAACCACAATCTGTGATCGGAGTGTACAAATATTTAACACCAAAAACCATGTCTGGGTGTTGCCAGCGCTCTTCAATCAATAGACCATACTGTAATACATACAGGCAGTGTGTGACGCACAGCAAACACCCACACCCAGACACCTTCTCCAGAGAAGCTGCATTTTTCAAGTTCTTTAGCTGAAATTCTCCGACCCTGTAATTTTCTGCATCTGCCAACGACGAGACTTGACATTTGATTTAATTCCTAAACACTTAATGGTTTAATGAAATCCAAACAGGAATAATCTAGTGATAATGTGTGCGAGTTAAAAGAAGAGGAACAGGCTTACATGTGTAATTTTTGATTTATCTTTCGGTTCAACTTCATACACGTGAACACGCCTCAGGTAGAGAGCAGCAGCTCTGCAGGCTGTGATTTAGATTTATTACATGCACACAAACCCGCTCTTGTAAAGTCACTTACAGTATTGTGTGCTCCACAGTTGGACAGCATATATTCTCACTCACATTGGATTAAATCCCCCTGAGCTAAGGGGACCTGTAAATCTTGCCTGATGTGGGCTGTAAACCTTGGCAGGTCTGTAAAGCCTCCCTCTTTGAAAGTAACACGCACACACACTTACACACTCAGTTTCAACATACACATTAACACATGCATCACTACAGATTTACAGCCTGCTGTGCACCAAGCCTGTTTTTTTCCTCGCTCTTTCATTGGAATCAGACGTGCCAAACCGAGCCGCTCTGCACATCTACTGTCAATTTTTACCATCTGGTGTGTTGTTTGCTTTCTCAATTGGCCTTTAAACAGACAGACAAACACACCAGAGGCATTTCAGCCGTTCGTAGATTTAGGACGTTACGACGGAGCGCTTAACTCAACAACAACATCATACAGTACGGTGAGCAGGTTGTTGATCAGGAATCACACACAGGTACGCCGCAGCAGTTCATCTGGGTCTTCAAGGTCAACATATTGACACACGCGTGATTGAATTTGACCCTTGAGTTACGACACTCGCACCACCAATCTTCCGTTTTAGGATCAATGTGCACTCATGACCTCTCACCACCTTCTCCACGCTCTGACCCCTCAGGCCATGGATGTGGTAGATGGTCGGCGCCCCCCCTTCCCTCCGCACCACTACAGCAGCAGCGGGGACACACGTGACACGGACACGCAGGCACCTTCGAGCGGTGACTCCAGCCCGTTGCCCCGCCCCTGCAGCTCTGACCACCTCCACTCCCCTGATGGAAGCCCGTGTTCTGCAGAGGAGATCGACAAAGGTGTGCCCTCTTTACTCCTCCTACCAAATCTTACACTACCAAATTCTCACCTCTGCTTGCAGCTCGGAGGTCTATTCAGCTCACCTTCTCCAAGAACACACCTGAACTCTCATTGGTTCAATTGTGTTAAAGGACTATATGTGGTTTAGTAGCATCATCATGTGATCTCCACTTACTTTAGATTTTTTGGTATTTCATTGTCGAATCACTCCTTGCAAAAGTCTCACAATGATCATAAATTGCATCCATAATACTGTGCACAATAGCTACAACTTCATCATCGATTATTGATTATGAATCAACTAATCAGATGAGGAATTGCGCTGTAACTTAAAGCTTTTGTGGGTAGTATTTCACAGCTTATGACACAGATTGAAATGAGCAGTGATGTCTCTTTATGACCTGCAACAGCAGACAAACCCGCCCATGACAATAGTAATTTTTAATGCCTGTAACCTGAGTTGGGGGAACTCTGGGAGATGGTGTAAGATGAGACTTTTTACAGCAGGTTGAAAAGAAAGCCCTTTTGTTTTAGTGGTTCTGCAGTAAATATCCATGATGAGTGGAAAAATTCTCTGCTAAAAGGAAGCGGGGTGAGATTTCTTTGTTAGAAAACAAAACTTCCACATTTACAGGACAAAGCCAGGAAAGCAGTGAAACAGTCAAAATCAACGCAGACTAAAAGTTTCTCACTGGAGCTTTAATGGATCACTGAAGAGGACGCCATAAAAAATGTGAATTCTTTTAAGAGAAATGATGAAGCTCAAAAGTGTTGAAGTGTTGCTATAGTAACAGAAGAGTTTGCACCACTGCTGGGTGATAAGAAAAGAGGAAGAAACAAAATGAAGTGTTGCAAGGTCCAGATTTTTTTGGTGCACGACTGAAAATGTAGCACAGACAGAAAGGAAGTAACTTTGGACCGTTCATTTGACTATTATGACGGCGCCGCTCCAGCTGCAGTTTTGTTCCGATGTTTTATTTATGTGCCACACTCTGCAGAGATGGTGAGGATGCGAGATGTCTCACTCCTCCGTAATTTGTTTTGCCACACTCACCTGTTGCTACCCGGTCGCTGTTCTGGATGCTCCACTCTCTGCAAAGATAGTACTGATGTGAGATGTCTCACTCTGCAGCAATTCAGCTATAAAAAACAGTGTCATATTTGCAAAAATAAACCAAATACAGTGACGTCTTCACTAAGATAACCAAAGCTGACATCAAGCTCTCAATCTGAATCATAACTTTGTCTTTAAAGATAGATTCTGGATTTGCTCGTTCAAGTTGGAGTCCGGTGGTGCAGAAACTCCGGGATTTTTTGTTGTTTTGGACACACTGAAGCTCTAAGGAGACAAACTCAAAGGTTTCTGTTGCTGTTTCTTGTTTGCCTCATTGTAGCTTTCAGAGCGAATTAAATGTCCTTTTCTTCTCTGTGTTTTCAGACAGTGTGTGCAGTTCTCCCCTCCCAAAGTTCGCCACATCACCCAAACCTAACAATAGCTACATGTTCAAACGGGAGCCTCCTGAGGGCTGTGAGAAGGTCAAAGTCTTCGAGGAGATGGTGTAAGTACTTTTTTGACATTTTCTTTGATTTATATGTTGCTGAAGATAATTGAGTCTTATTTCCTTCATCACTGTCATTCATGTTTTTTAATGCACCCCTCACATGTGACTCTTTGCTCCTGCAGTAATGTTGATCTGTCTGATTGTGGCGACTGTGAAAAGATTAAACTGTATGTGCAGTTTTCTGTTTCCATCTCATCGACTCAGAGATCCTGTCAAATGATAGAGCAACAAAGCTAACAAGCTTATTTGCATTGTGGGTGGCAGGGATGAGGGCACAATGGTTTTGTTGAATAAACAACTTGCTTTTAATCCAAACACTCTCATAAATAGAAAATAACAGCGAGCTCTCCTCCTTTTGTTTTCAGGTCTGGTAAATCAAAAGGCTTCCCTCTCTTCTCGTGCCCCGACAAAAACAAGGTGAACTTCATTCCCAGAGGCTCGGCCTTCTGCCCCGTCAAACTCCTCTGCTCCTCCCTCTTCTCCCCCGTCTCTCCCTCGTCTTGCCCCTCCGCCAACTCTGGTCTCCACGGCAACGACAGCCCAGGGCCTCAGGTGACCCCAGCTCAACCCACTGCACCACTAGCTACCTTTCCGGCCTCCGCAGACTGGAGCACCGACACAATTACAGGCATAAACACAAACAACAGCACAGATAGCCAGAGCCCCGACGCAGACGCGGGGAAAGACGGCTCTGCACAAATACTCCTCACTAGCTAGTCCTCAGGTATTCATGATCAGACCACCTGCTGCTGCTGAAACAGTTTTGGCTCACCAGGTGGTGGGGTTTTAAAACAAAAGAAAAAAAAAACAAACAAAACACAAGAAAAAAAAGCAAAAAATAATCCTTGCACTCCGTTAATCCTAACGTTAGCCAGCAGGGAGTGCCCAAGGTCCGAGGATGACAAACATCCACCAACATTTCTGCTTGGTCAGTGTTTGCCCTGCGGTTAGTGAGCTCAAGAAGCACGTAATGGTTTTCTAACTATTAACGGGACGTGTGTGTGCTGACCTTGGGCACAACTCCCCTTAAACCCAGAACTAACCATGCCTTCTCCTCTGTACCAGGACAGAACCAGTAACAGAAATAGCTTTGCTTTTGTTTGCAAAAAAAGAAAACGATAGAAAATACAGCACCAAATATTGTGTTACGTAGTGCCTGCAGTTTAATTAAGAGAAGTTTAAAAAGGAGAACTTTCATAAGAGACAACTCTGCTGTATCAGAGAAACATATTCTGTTCATGTTATCTAACCAGCTTCTTAGCTGTTCAGTGTTCAGCAAGCTAACAACTTTAGTATGTATACATAAGCTTTTTGACAGGATGGGAAAGTGATTCGTTTCATATTTACCTTATCAGGATGTCTCACAGCCAGAATACATTGCCCCACATTAACCACAGTGTTTGCACTTGTTGAGACCTGGCTCCGAGCGATACAAGCCATGGCCTATTTTCTGTTTATTTTATAGTGTTTGTAGCACGGTGTCTACGTGAAACCAGCGGTTACATGAGTGCAGGCTACACCCGACAAGTATACAAGCCAAGACCTAGATCTGCATTTCTGGTCTGGTCACTTTAAAAAACTCGGTAAGCTCGACAGAAAATGCACATCAGCTGTTTTTTTTTTTTTTTCAGTGACCAAATAACCAAACACACAAAGCACACAGCTCCCCTATAACTTAGTTTTATTGCCCCTGTCTACACAGAACAGTAACTCAGGTGAAGTGGAATGTACTTGCTCGGACTATGTTGCCTTTCAAAGTGTTTGACTTTCCTCCTACAGAAAGACATTCCAGTCTTTTGCAGAAATGTTTTATTTTTATTCCCCGGAGAGGGACGTTAATACGAACTGAATCGACTGATTGAAGTCACAGATCGTGACTGATGACTTTGAATTAACCTGTTCAGGTAAGAGTTTCAGGTGCTATGAAACATTCCACAGATCGCTGGTGTATGGTCAGCTGTGAGGACTCAAGTAAACTCAAAAAGCTACATAAGCTACACCCTCCTCCAATGAGAAGTTGACAGATTTGTCGTTTTTTGTTACACCCCCTCTTTTGTCAAATATGTACCAAAGTCAGTTAAAAACCCGGTCATGTTTTCGGGACAAGGGGCCGTTTTTTTGCGCCAGAAACAGAAAGTTCATGTGCACTTTGTTTTCTTTCAGTTCAGCGACATACAGTATAAACACTGGTTCATAGTGTTTCTAACACGGAGGATAATCTTTGACCAACGCCTGAGCACTTACTTGGAAGTGAGATGATAATCACTATTTTTTATTCTAGACCAGTTTAAGTTAAAACAATCAGAACTTGAGTGTGCAATTGATTTTGTTTGAAGTAAATCTACACTAACATCTTTTTGTGTAACAGCTCGGCTCAGTGATGCACAGATCCGGCTCGAACTTAACCCACATAAGTTATATCACCACAAGGGCCAGAATGACTGATTTATTTAACTACCAAAACGTCTTATCCCAAATCTTGGTTTCATGGAGCCCACTTGCACACAAAGAAACACAAATATGAACAATATGCAACACATTCCACACAGTTTAAGTTGAAAAAGTCTGTTTTTCTGCACACAGCTTGAAGAGTTTCAATCATACTAATACTGATTTTATTCGAGAGCTCATTGTGCAGTGCGGATAAGATAAGGTTGCCATGTTCGGCAAGGATGATTCAGTTCTACTGTGTATTACGCATTTTTATGTAGATCTCGTGTGTTTTTCAATAAAGAAAACAAAAATGTCCGTTTGTTTGGGGATGTAATCTTTTCATATGCAGACACGTCAACTCACAACATCAACAACATGACATTTACACACACAGAGGTCAAGGTAAGGCAGCAGACGTATTTGGTTATGGTTTAATCTCGGTTAATGTCGCATGGATCCAAAATGAAATATGACACATGGTTAAATATGAATATATCAGTGTAATGTCCCTTTAAAGGAACCGGAGATTAATTAGATGAGGTTCTATCTTGTTAAATTGTGGTCAGATTAAGGCATTGACATGATTCAGTTTACGCAGCACTGTGAACAGAGTGGGTGGTTAATAACTTCATGATTTTCTGCTCAGAGAGAAGAAGCAAAATATTGTCCACTGAGGCTGATAATAACTGTGCAAATAATAAATAATAACTTTGATGCAAAAACACATTGTTCATTCAGACACGCTTTTTTTCTGATGATAAAAACAAGGCATGCAACATGCACCAATAACAGATGACTGATATGTGTTTCTTAGTTCTGCAGCAGCACACTCAGTAAGGGATAAAAAATACAGCAAACAAACTCAACAGATTAATTCTTACGATAAACTTCAGTGAAATTAAAAGAGAATAAAAACATGAAGTGCTCAGCTTATCTTTTTTAGATTTAATGTGAAATCAAATAATATTTTGTAACTGCATTCAACATATTCTTCCTTTCTCCCCATCTTTGTCTTGCTCACTTCGTCTTCGCTCTTTGCGTCTCTTGTGAAAGCTTCGCCATTTCTCTATAGTTACGAAGATCTAAATCAAAGCGTGGATGCAGAGACTACACTGACTACAAGGCAGCTAATGTCAAAGGCTTCTTGTTCCAGCCTCACGCTGAGGTATCCACCCTGAACATGAAATGATTAACCCTGGTGAAATAGCCATCAGGCTTTAATAAGGTCCTCCTGTCAATGTTTCTCTGCTTTCACAATGGAAAAGAGAACAGCTGGTAATTGTTGGCAGAGCATGTTAAGCATTTTCATGCTGCCACCATGAGAAAATAAATCTGATTAAACACCAGGAACATTTCTCAAACTCAGAGGAGAGATTTGTCTTCTCACAAAAAGACATTTTAATGGTTTTGATAATCAGAAAAATCTCTTCCTACAGTTTACTCACAGTCCTTGTAAACGGGGATGTATCCAATTAGGAATTTTATGGTCAAAACTTTTTGTTTTGACTATAAAATGAACAAGTTTAGGTTATACTTTGAAGGCGCTTTGAGGAATTTTCATGCTAAGTTGACCTCTTTGGAAGAAACCTGTAGTGTTTCCTCGAGACGGCGACTTCATATTCCATGAGCAGCATCACCCACTGACGCAAAGATGCAGTTCTGGCCAAAGTGTGAAAGCAAATGAATGAAACACGGATCTTCTTTTTAATACTTTCTTTCTTGGTCCAGAACAACTTTCTGCAGGAGTCAAAATGATTAAGTGGTGTATTGATTTATAGCTAAGATAAATCAACCGTAACCTAACTATAGGAGAACTTTTAAGAGCAGTGAAGTATAGATGTTCAGTTCTGTTTATTAGAGTTTTTCCATCTAAAACAAGACCTCAAACAGAGACTGATTTTCTCTGTGGTAATCCTGCACCAGAATCAGCTATGAGTAAAAAAAAGTTGAGTAAATGTCCAAAGAGAAGAAAAACTTAATGATTAACTTTCTCACTGCCAAACTTTACCAGCGGAGTTTGAAAACATTGGCACTTCTGGGTAAGAGTCACACAATGACCTTTTCATTTTTTAGCTGGAAATCCAACCCAAGCACAGGCACGAACATTTGGTGTAAATAAGTAACCGATCTTGGCGCCAATCATCAGATTTCAGCATGAACGCCATTAAGAGGCATCAGGAGGAGTAAGACTAAAAACACCTATTAATTTGATCAAATTTGCAAGATCCTTAGAGATAGATATCAAGCTTGAAACTTCATACATGTATTTAAAAATTAAAGACACTCTAAGGAGTTTTTAACTGATTTTGAGGTGGTCTCCTTATAAAATGAGATTATTAACAACGAGAGAATTTCTTTAACTGAATCGAGTCCAGTTTTATTAAGCCGTCATCCAGAAGTGTCTTTGTTTAGAAATCTGCAGGTTTAGGATCAGCAGTGAGTTAGCAGGATTGGCAGTGAGAAGTAATTTACTGAGTAACTTTGGATTAATTTCCTTTTACATAATGTTTTGTACTCATAGCAGATAGTCCAGCAGGATTAGAAAAGAGACTCATTGTTTTTACTAAACTTTTAGAAACATTAGATTGATCCACAGAATTTAGTGTTTCTGACGAGTTGGACTGTGTGCATCGTGGCATCATGGATGTGATAAGAATCATTAAACCGGCACGTCTGATCACCTTTTGTGAGATAACTCGTAGTTTTGATTTAGAGTTGATTTAGTAGATTTTGTCCAAGGAGGTCACTCGACTCTCCAAGTTCCCCACAATGCCCTTAAATATCCCCTTTAGCTGACTTCATATAAATGAAGCACAGAAAGGACCATTCTGCATAATGAGCACTTTAAACAGGGTAGGATATTGAATGCATGGCTTTGTGTTTTAACAGAGTTTGTCTACTCTGCGTCTCTTACTCAGTGTTGACTCTTGCTTCGTTCTTCTCGATCAAATCTCTAAATTCTGAGTTTGAGACAAGTGCGTGACTTGCTGATCAGATTTTTCTCTGGTCTGGTGGCAGCTATAATCAGCTGTAACCGCTGACAAACGGTTTCCATTTTGGACGGTTGTGACTCTGAGGAAGATTTCATGCATTGTGAAGCTCGTGCTCTTTGCCGGTTTTTCCGACCGCGTCGGGATTGGAAAGAGGGTCCAAGTCAGCGAACAGGTTGAACCAAGCCGAGAGGTCTTTGGATGTCGCTGCTGTCTCTGTAAAAAGAGTTAACAAAGGTCACTCAGAAATACTTGTGCTCTTATTCTAAAGCCATGGAAATAGAAACACCTCCTTTTGTTCTGAGGAGGACTACACCTGGACAACATCCAAACGTATGAATGGAAACAAACCACAGTCTTTTTTTAAAGTACTCATAAATGCAGGTTTCTGCTGGACACCAGTCTTTTCATATGTTTTACTCATTTGGCCCGCTCGTACCTTTCACTGCCGGCTTAGAAGGGTTCTGATTGGCTCCAGATGAGTGCTCAGTTGCCTCGGCGACGGGCTGCGGAGTGATCCCGGCCCAATCTGAAACAGAGAGGCAGATTTAGACTCATCAACATGGGACGCTTAACGTGCCAAAGGATGATTCAACAAATAAATCATCACACTCCCTCTCTGATTGCATCGCTGATGTGGATGAATTTAGAGTAATAAGCTCACAAACAGCAATAATCAAACATTTATCACCGCAGAAATCACATCTGACGGGATTAGTGGCCTCTAAATGCAGGTCAGATTTTACACTTACAACCCTGAGTACATGTTTCAAGCAAATTTATTCTCCTCTCTTGCTCTGGAAACACATTTGGCCATGTTGCAACACTTAATATCTCCAGGGGGCATACTGGAATGTGTTGTTGTTATATTCAGTACCAAACAAACCCAACTCCGAATACAAGCAGTTCTGCGAGTTTTTGGCAACACCAGAGAGCCAATTATAATCCTTTTCAGTGTGAGGGCAGTTTGGTTTCTCAGCGTGCTCCCTGAGGTCCGGTTGTACCAAAAGTACAAATAAAGAAGGATCCTGAACTGAGGATCTAAAATTAGGTCATTCATCATACTTTTATACAGTTTCTTTCCCCGAATACTTCCTAGAGCACTGGGTCCAACCTGATCCAGGAACAGAAGTTTTAAGGTTCCCAAATCCAGATTACTCTACAAGAGATGACTCTCTACATTTGTCTGAAATCCTGAGATATTTCAGTCCAACTGATTTACTATCACTGCAGCAGATAAATCTATTCAAGTACAAAATATTTTCAAAATTTATAACCTTTTAAAAGAAATATTATTTTGTTTGACCACTCATGTTGTAAGTTTTACAACATTTTGTCCCTGTAGTCCATCCTGATCCCAGCTGAGTGCTGGAAATTTATGTTTTAAAGCTACTATAAGGAGTTTTTTTAATGTTTACTAAATGGACTAAAATTCACATTAATGCCTTTTCATGATATTCAAAAGCAAACAAGACCATCAGGGGTGAGACTGACAGTTTGTAAAAAATTTAAGGCCTGAGACTGGTGTGAGGGTGGTAGGTGTCAGCCAAGCAGCTAAAGGCAAAGTCCCATTTTTACAATTCCCACATAAAATGTTAAATAATACGTATCACCATTAAAAGTCAGCAGTTAGATTTTTTATCACAAGACACAATGTAAGCTTTTATAAGATTTGCTTTGTCCACAGGGGGCGCCAAAGTGGACACAAACAGAAAATCCTTCACAGGAGCTTTAAGTTATCAAAATCAAAAGTTTTAAGTTAATGTTGAAACTAAAAAGTGTTTTTATTTTTGCTTTATTTTGGATTGTAAAATGCAGAGATTTTGCCTGTAATTCCTGTGTGGAACACTAGGTGGAGCCTTGGCTTGGTATGCAGAAAGACAAGGCTGCAGGGGATTGGAAGCAGGTGTGAGTGGAGCAATCACTCCTTATATCATCTAGAAGCTTCTCAGAGGCAAATGAGGAACTAGTATTAGAAGCACGTTCAGAGTGAAGCTACAAAAAAAGTCTTTGGGGATCCAGTCGTGCATCTCTTCATAAATTATACATAACTGTCCTTTAATCTTTAAATGACTAACACAGGCTGGCACAGAGTTCTCCTGTAGAACCAGTATAATTGGAGATAATAGTGGTTTCAGACTGTGACTTGTACATACTGAGGTATCCCTTAAAACCTGCAGCCAGTCCATGCCTGCCCATAACCTGCCTGATGTCACGTGTAGCCTTCAACTTTATGCCGAGCATCAGCCAAGCTTCACCGAGTGTTCAGCAGGGGGATCAGATCAGAATAAGACTGTTTTAATAAACTGTGTTAATAAACATCTTTAACTCCCTCCAACAGTAAACAAAGATAGTACTCTTTCTCCACCTACTAACCTAGATTTGATCCAATCTTACAGCTTTAATTGATCAACTTGAGTCCTGCTATCACCTCCTGGTTCTCTGAACTATCTCAGAAGTTTTAGCAAAGAAGGAGGTTCTTGAGGCAAATTTTCATGTGATGACAAGGCTAGAATTGCTAAAAATTTGAGTGTGTGCATCTTAAAATGTTGGAGTCTGATTGCAGCTTTAGCTCCTATTGGATGTGTCTGAATGTGCTTGACTCACAGGGATTTGGGGATTTTCTTCCATGAAGATTTGTCATAGCTTTGTTTCACATTCTTGGTCTGAAGCCAAGGGCTGTGCAGTCGAGATCTGTCAAGTTTTTAAAACTCTCTGAACTTTTTTTTTTTTTTTTTTTTTTGGAGGATTTTTCTCTTTTGGGGTTTTAATCTTCAGGTCAAACAGAGGCCACGAGCTTTGGTCTCTGCTGCCATGTCCTGCTGTCCCATATCACCTCCATCTAAGAAGTGCTGCTCTCATGCTCTTCTTCCTGCACAGCTCAAACCCTAATGGTTCCTGGTTCCCAAGTTCAACATAACCTTTTGAGCTCGCTTCTTCCTGCACACTGACACACATTGGTTTTGTGAGCAGCTCTTCAGAGTTTGCTGCACTCTGCATTTGTCTTTCCTGACACCTTGTGGTTTATTGGCTGCAAAGTGAATCTTAAAGCCTCAAGTGAAAGACAATTTTGAAGGCGAAGAGGGAGATTTGTGAGTTTTATTCCGGTTTAAAGCATGCACTTGACATTTTGCATGCTCAGTTTTGGTGTCATGCTGTCAAAAGTGATTTTTTTCTCTTACAAGTCAGTCCCTGCCTGTGTGCTCTCCTGTCTGCACTTGCAGAGTGATTACAGCAGAATTAGCTTTAAGCTTTTTAATCATTCTGCACTTTAAACCGAATTCTCTTTATTATTCTTATTGAATCTGTTGACGGATCCTGAGGCTGTGATTGTGCTCTGTGGTCCAGTTATTTAGGAATTTGAGCTTTAATACCAATAAAATGTTTTGAAAAGTGCCGCAGGAGAAGGAGGAGAAGATTGATCAGGCAGAATTCACCAGCCTACCTTTCTCGACACATCCCCATCTTGCCTGCCTGTGAGCCCAGAGACCATATGCTGCTCTTCAACCTACTCAAGCTGGAAAAAGCTCCAGACCCACTTCTTTTCTCGCACAATTATAAATGTGGAATTGCAGGAATACTGCCAAAGTACCGTGCTGTGATGCTGAAACATGCAGGAATTATAGTTCGCTCTCACACGCATTGAAAACCACAAGCTAGTGGGGTAAATTCAGAAAGGTGTCAGGCATTTTAAGTCCGGCTTTATTATTTTACCCCTTCATTCATAACAGAGTTTCATGCCTGTATTTCTTGACTGAAGGGCTTCTGTGGTCTCAGCCCTCTAAGCTGGACACAGACAAAACCAAATCAACAAAACCAGATGAGGTGCTCGCAGCCAGTGCCAGAGCCTGCATGAAATGGAAAGTTGTCAGCAATTACCTGTGGGTAAGAAAATCTAATTGCCATGTTATAATGATCTCCCTCCTATTACTCTGACAGACGTGGGTTTGAGAAATCGTTTTAAAGCCAATTTTCCCCCCGTGTGGAAACAGTTACTATGCCACAGTGGGGGAATGAAGCTAAATATAGCTGTGTGATAGTTACTGCGCTCATTCATGAAGGAATTATGGCTTATTGTTAAGATTTGCGGCATATTAATTTGACCTTACATAAACAGACTCATTCTGACCCAAACAACAACCTGCCAGAGCTGAAGGAAAAGAGACACTGATGATATTCATACCAGAAGTGGAAGACTGCAGATTATTCAAGCTCTGGTCCAACAGCTGCGATGGAAGAAAGAAGGAGTCTTCTTTCTGCTCGGCCTCCGACGCTCGGCCCGATGCCGCACTCGCCCCCTCCTCATGGTCCCCGAAAACCTCTGTCCACTCTCGGGAGAAGTCGCCCTCGTCCACGGACATGCTGCCCAGGATCTCATTCAGTAAGGCCATGCTGTCTCTCTCCTCACCTTCCGTCTCCATAAAGGCAGACAGATGATCTACGTTTCCTGGAACAATCGAGAGTTTTTATCAGTGAGTCGGTGATTTCAGCTTTATTAGACCACTTCTTCTTGTGTCTTGCATATTTGATTAAAGCTCCTCTGAGGAATTTTAGCTGCTGAAAATTAATAACAATGCCTGTTTATGAGCTACAGAAGCACACGAGGCCGTCAGTATAAACATTAATAACACACAGATGCAGTAGTTATTTTTAGGCTTGTAGACTACGGTTGTAAACAATTGAAAAAATACACTGGTACTACAGTTTTACCGTTAGTTTATCATCCTTTATGCTGGTAATGAAACTTTCTAAAACAGGATAGACGAAGAAGAAGCAGCCGACTGTTAGTGAGCTAACTACAGCAATCGACTGGGAGACGATTCGGCACCTTTGAAAACTGATGTTTAGGATTTAAAACTATAGTAGAGCTTTTGCCTCTATGGATAACTAATCGTTTGACTTATGACTAATCACTTTCTGATAATTCTTAAAACTCTTTTTATTTAGTTCTGCAATTGACGATCTACTGAAAGTAGGATACTTAAAAATAAAACCATTATTTGATAGCTTTATTGTAAACGGTGCTGCAGAGTAGTCAGACTCTTGGTTCATGTTGCAAAAAAAGCCCCCACTTTTTTTGCATTTGCATGGTAAAATTTGAAGATTAGTGTCCACAAGGGGCGCCAAAGTCGACACGTACCAAAAAGTCCCTCACAGGAGCTTTAATCTGGTGAAGGCTCTTCTACATTGTTTTTCTTTTTGTAGATGGGAGGCATCTGTGTTTTTCAAGAGTCTTTAAGCTTTCTAGGAAGTTTCAATTGGACTGAAAAAGAGTCAGAATATCTTCTATCACCATTAAGTTATCTGTCAAGTTAAGATGCCGAACATTCAGTGTTTTATTCAAAGAATAAATATCTCTGGTTTTGTTGAAGTCAAAACAGTAAATTCATGGAATCACAGAGGGCTCCAGAAAAGTAATTAAAGTGACGAATCAATCAAGAAATTCATCACTAGATTGCTTTTATATTAAATGTGCTTTTGTAGCTGCAGCCTAAATATAAAAAATAAATCTAGTGTTATATGCTGTTAAAAAACAAGAGTATTGTTCTTACCTTCACTGGTCTTATCTGAGGTGTTTTCATTAAGAGAGATGAGCCTGAAAACATGAAAGACAAGGATCACTTTAAAACATATTTGGCATACTTCAGTTAGCAGGTGTGTAGAATAACTTTATGATCAGTCCAAACCAGTTCAGATTCACTGCTGGCATGCACGTGTTTAGTCTACCTGCATGAAGCGAGATCATGACGGGATAACTCACTGGTCGTCCGTGGTCTCGGGTTTCTTTCCATCGTCTTTTTCTGCTTTGGTTTTCTTCTTCCCCTTCTTCTTGCCCTGCTTATCCAGGGGGTCCTGTAGGGTCCAAAGATATCACTGGCTGTAATTACTTCGAGGTCTTTGAAAAAAACTGTTCACACAGGTCAAGGTGATCTCTGACCTTATATGCGGAGACCTCATAATGCTGACAGCCCTTAAAGCTCTCATGAATGGCGGCCATGGTGTGAGACGTCTTCTCCCAGAAGTGCAAAAGTGTTGTCTGAAACATGAAGCCACAAACATTCAGCTGGACGTGTTTTAATCTCATCGGTTTATTTATCACCATCTCTGCCCCAGTCTGAGAAATCTCGATGCTCTATCTTACTTCTTTGTTCCCATGATGCTTGTCTTCCTCTCTGGCCTAACCACACAATAAAAAAACCCATATCCACCTTTTGCTGAGCTCAGTAGGCTGTACGCAAACAACCTGTATTTGTGGTGTACCTGGTATGTGGTTAAAACGTGAGAGAGGAGGTTGCAGCGGCTGGCGCCCAGCAGGTCGACTTTCTGGCAGACGTCATTCTTCAGTTTATCAAAGCTTGTTTTCGTGGTGCGCACCTGAGCTTGAACCTGGGAGATGGAGGACATGAAAATATGCCAACTGAAAATAAACAAGCCTGCGTTATGCATCTGAAACAAACACATACCCGAGTTTAAGTCTGTGCATTTATACTGCAGAGGTTTGGGATGGAAGCCACTGCATGGAGCATTATGCCCTCTAGTGGCAGTCTTGTGTAACTATGCTGTTTTTTCTTGCTTTGAGCTGTAGTATTGCAGCAAATTGGTGCAGAAACCAAGAATCTTTTTTTTTTTTTTTTTTGATGGAAGTATTTTGTAAAACATCTTGTAGGTGGAAGAACTACATACGTGGATACAGTTTTCAGACGTTTGTTGACGGAATTATCTATTTACATATTTTAAAGCTTCTACTTTTTGGTGTCAATTATGGCGCCCGACACATCAGACTCTTTGGAGTGTCTCCTGACATAAATCACAACCCACTGGCTTTTGAGGGTAACATCTGTCATTTATTGTAAACAGTTTATGTAGAAAACTTTAAAAAACAGAGCTGTCTCTTCTCAATCAGCCACTCAGCTGAAGTAACTTCCCTGTTCTTACAATTTCCACGTCAAATATTGATGATAGATGATATATGAGGTATACTTTTAAAAGTCACGACTTAAGTATGTAGAGGACAAGGTAAGCAAAGACTGCTTTGACCACAGGGGGGCACCTAAACCCAGAGTAGCTTATAGGATTTCTAAGTACTTGATTGTGATTGGCCAAACTTCTACAAACTTAAATTGATGTTTTCGTCATAAAGATACTGGTGAATTGACAGCATGAAAAACAAAAAACAAGCACTCAACTGGTCCGTTTGATTCTCCCCTCTTACTGTGTATCAGACTAACCTTGCGGAACTTCTCCATCTGTTTATGAGTATCTGGATCGAGTTCCTGAGATACATCCTTCATCCAAAGCAGGGCCCCTCGATACTCGGTCCTGGACTGCTCCATCCGGTTCACCGTCAGCCACGTGTCTGAGATCGCCCGGTAGCGAAACGTTTCGACCTCCTGGTACAAACGGCACAGAGGGTTCCTCAGAGCCATCCTGTGGAGGAAAATCAAGGATTCAGATGCTGCGTGTGTGTGTGTGAGTTTTTCTCAGTACTAGATTATCTCACAAAAACACAAAAACTTTTAAATCGGCCCATCTATATGCAAGTATCCAGGGTAAAAACACCATAACTGTATAATGGCTCTGTCCACTTTTACTGTTGTGGACATTTCTCAGCATTACTGTCTGATATCTGAAATAATGGTACTGCACCTTTAAGTGGAGCAATTATAATGCATTTTTTAACTTAAATGCAGACTTTGTCGAGGTTTCATGAGGGCACAGGTATCATATATTCACTGACATTTTAAAGGGTTGTATGAGTTTCTAGTCAAAGGTACTTCTGTAACCCACAGAGGATTCCTGTGGACTCGGCTCCTTTGTCGAGAAAGCTGTTGGACGCTACGCTGTCGAGATTAGATAAGATAAACCATAATTCATCCCACGGTGGGGAAATGTGCAAATCAACCCCTGCAGATTGAGCCAACGCTACAAAGTAGATGACTAAGTTAGAAAAACTCAGACTCAAACACTTCTAGTTTGTCAGTGTGAGTGTCCGCCCAGCCCTTCACTCTGGGATCAGGTAGTTCAGTGGTGCACTGATTGACTTGACTCGCCCACTTTGCTGACACACTGTGAATCTGGATCATTTCCTCTCAGTCTGAGTCTTGTTTACCTCTGCTGGGAGGAGAAGCACAGTGCTTTCCCAGTCGCCTGCATGATCTTCCCTGCTCTGGTTTTATCCTGAGATCCCTGTGAGCGCAGGAAGCGACCCAGCTCGTTCTCCTCTTGGGACAGGACTGCACGTGAAGAAAAACTTTATTTAAAGTGACGAGCATTCACTATCAGGACAATATCTGCAACAATACACACTTTGGTTGTGTGTGTCTTTCTGTTGGACTTACAGCAGATCCTTCTCTGGTACTGCTCGATGACCTTTAGCAGCTCCATGCATGTTCTTTGGATGGAGTGGAAGACCTGCAGAGTATAAAAAAATCAACGTAAACACAAAGTCAAACACCTGAACTGTGTTTTTTTCCTGTGTAGATAAGCCTTGGACAGGCTGTGGGATATTTTGTGAACATGTCCATGAAGACAAACCACGGATATCCAGTCACATTTGGGATACTTTATAAATGTTAAGAGTTTGATCTCCAGAGGGGATGAGATGTAACAGGGAAGCTGCGATGATGAGAAGCAGACGTGAAAATGTAACATCAAAGCTTTTTAAAATGAGCTCCGATGTGGTCAGGAGATATCTGGTTTTGAAATGGTTGCATAACGAGGACGTGACCTAAATTGAGGATGGATATCACAGCCTATATGAGGTATTGATTTCAGCCATTACACCCACTTCCCTCCTAAAATGGAGGCATAGAGGATGCGAGCGAGGAGAGTCAGCCTAATGCGAGATTCAAGCCTCCAGCGGATACTGTCACCGTGTGAATCAAAAAGCCATTTAAGTCACTGCAGAGTCCACCTGAGGGAAAGTGTCTCCATTGTTTGTTAATGTCTCTAAAGTGCGACTGAAGCCTAAAGTAAACTGACCTGACCTTCAGTCCTCTGCGTCACTGGACATGCTCTTCAAACCACAAACCCACCCGTTTCTCACTCCTCCTCACCTCCAGCTTGGCGTCCAGATCCGCGTCTGACGCCACCACATGCTCGTCCTCTTTCTTCCCAGTCACCTTGATGAGCGTCTGTTTGGTTTTCCAGTATTTCTGCTGGAACTTGTTCACCACAGACGAGTCCTGGCTCTGGATGAAGCGGTCGAGATAGTCTCGGGAGTAGCCGCTGCAAAGACAGAGGGATTGGACAGACGTTACGACTTTCTTTCTGACAAAATAAACTCTTTAAAATCTGGTGATTGGTGCGGGACTGAACGTAAACAAGAGGATGTACTCACAAATTTCCCCCCTCCATGTTTCACAGTTACCTGAGAAAGAAGCAGAGCAGCTCAGATTCAGAGAGAGAGTCCAGGGACCTTTGTACCTGCCTGGTTATAGGAGTCTTGTATCTAAACATGGGATCTCGCTTTTTCATGTTACCTTGATCCTGAGATAAAACCACTGGGACAGCAATTAAAGACACTATTTATATGACCAGGGCCCAGGGGTAGACTCATTGGTCGCTAAGGGATTATACTGGCATGGGAACACCTCAGGGTCCCCAAAGAACAGCAGGAAAACCTGACAGGGAGGAGATCGACTGGGTTGACTCACTTAGACCTGCTGTCTCTCAGGTTTGACTCAAGACAAGCAGAAAGAAATGGACAGATCTGAGCTAATTTCCATGTTTCTGTTTGATTTTGCTCTTTAACATCCACTTAGTGTTGCTCTTGTAGTATTTCACAGATCTTTTCTACATATTTAACTTGACTAATAACAGATTAAATAACATAAAACATATTAATAACATTCAATTATTTCAACTGTGCTCGGATAAGTGTATTGAGGTAAAAAGATTTAGTTCTTTTTCAACCCCTCAGGCTTTTTCTTGTAAAGCCTAAAAATTAAAATACCAAAAACTGCCAAGTTTACAGATGCTAATATACTGATCTTGTACCTTTTTAAAGAGATGCAGAAATAATCTCTCACCTTTTCTCGGTTATGAATTCCCCACAAAACTCCAGAGAGACCTGAGGTCTCACTTTATCAGGCTGCTAACAGTTTTACTCTGTTAACCTTGATCATCTTAAAGACAGAGCTATTAAGTTTATGATTAACTTTATTTAAAGTTACAGTTTTAACTAAACTCAAACTACATCCCCCCTCTTAAAGCACTGATCTGGATTATGAAATAATGTTAAATCATTACGCCAATACCCCCATAACTATTTCACAATATTCGTACTTGTTCATTTTTTCATTCTATCTTTCACATAATGCTGCTTTTCTAATTCATGTTTTTTAAAGATTTTGACCCATTTACCAGAAATCTATGTTCAATTAATTCATTTAAAGCTCCTGTAAGAAACTTGTTTTGGGTCAATTTTGGCGCCCCCCTGTGGACAAAGCTGTCTCTACTTGTCTTTTAAACTTAAATCAATCAAATTTTATTTATATTGCACCAAATCACAACAGTCGTTATCTCAAGACACTTTCCAAAAAAGAGCAGGTCTAGACCACACTCACTCTCAAAGAACTCATCATTCTGACTAGTAACAGTCAAATTTATCGTTTAATATGAATATTTTATGTGAAAAAGTACAAACAGGGCTGTTTCTGTATCTGCTTGACTGATACCTTCCATATTGTACGAGTTTCAGGCCTTAAAAATAAGCATATAAAGATCATTAGTCGTGTTTCTGATGTTCCTGTTTGCTTTAATACATCTTAAAAGGGCACCAACGAGAATTTAATAAATGTCAAAAGACTCCTCACAGTAGCTTTAATAAAGTTAAAAGATAAAGGTACTCTGACTGACCTCTGTTTTGGTTTCTCTGCACTTTAAGGTCATAATAAGTAGTGTCTGAGGTCTTGTTTGTGTTCCTCCCCTCTCTACCTGCTCTCTTAAAGCAGTAACGCCTCACCACAGAGTATTTTAGCTGGAAATGTCAACCCCATCACCTGCTGTCTCTCATTGGTGCATCTCATGCTGTCCACCAGCAGCAGGGAGGAAATTAATAAATAATGGGCGCTCTTTAGACGCACAGCTCGAGCGTCACGATTCGTTTTCATGCGGTGGTGCTACGAGGCGACCGGGAAACCTCGACAACAATGAGAGAGTGAATTCATGTACATTTTCACCGATATTAACCTGAATTCACCTGCGCCATGCATGAATATGTCAACACATCCGCACCGCACCAGAATAAACACACCGTCCGTCTGACTCACTGCGCTGAGGCGGCGTTAACCTCTCCTTTTCCTTCACATTTTCACACAAATATCCGTATATCGATGAGAGGACTACCAGAATAAAAGCCCGCTGTTACACACCTACCTGTCCGTGTCGATAACATGTAGAAAAAAAGCCCTTTTATACTCCTTATCTCGCTGTTGTCGCTGTGCGCAGGCCCTGCTCTTCTGGAGAGATGTTCACACAGCTGCTCATTCACGCACGGAACTATGACGTCAGGCAGGGTGCGCTCCTCCACTGCCGCGCGCGACACGCTCTCATGTTTGTCTCGTGCAAACAGATATTACTGTATATTCAGACGGTAATTGTCTCTGTGATGGTGGGGGGTTTGAGGACCATTGTGAGGACTGGTTAGACAGCTGTACGGGGGAGGAAGATCGACACAAAACAGGGAGATATGGCAAACAACACACCCACGTGCACATAGACCTTCGTTAGGTCTACAATAGGGGAGACCGGGGCGCGATTTTTTTTTTGTAGGATGATGGGGGGAAGGTTCCGCCCTCCTTCGCCTCTTATTGGCTAGAAGTGCTGGGCTCCGATTGGTTATTACTTATGGCTGTGTAAAGTCATCGTCTGTCAGGTTAGGGTTAGGATTAGGATTAGGATTAGGTTTAGGGTTACGATCAGGATTAGGGTTAGAGTTAGGTTTAGGGTTAGGGTAAGGCTAAGGGTTATGTTAGTATGAGTATGGGTTAGGATTAGGATCAGGGTTAGGATAAAGGTTAGGGTTAGGATTAGGGTAAGGGTTAAGATAAGGATTAGGGTTAGGATCAGCATTAGGGGTAGGATTAGGGTAAGGCTAAGGGTTAGGATTAGGGTTAGGGTAAGTGTTAGGATTACGATTTGGGTTAGGGTTTAAGGTAAGGGTTAGGATTACGGTTAGGGTAAGGCTAAGGGTTGTGGTTATTATGGGTAAGGGTTAGGGTTAGGAGATTTAGAAGTGCAATAATGTTAGGGTTGGGGTTAGGATCAGGTTTAGGGTTAGGAGATTAAGAAGCGCCATAATGTTCTGTAATGTTCTGTTCGATGTACAGACCCGACAGCCCGCGTTTGGCTTGAGTGTGTGATGACATTCCTATCTTTTCTAGCCAATCAGAGGCGAAGGAGGCGGGACTTTAGGATGGTACTCCCCTACCATCCTACCAAAAAAAAAAACATTTGCGACTGGGGCTTGTTGTCACATGGTCACATTACAATTATCTTTGCCACCAGGGGGCGCAGCTAAAAAGTGGAATATTAGTTTTATTCCTTTACATGGTCAGGGGTCGTGTCCTGTCTGAGAAGAGAAGACCACATTGTGAGCTGAGCTGAGCGCCAAAAAACCATTTCACACAACCCAAAGTCAAAAAAATTAACTTAATGTATTGAAGTGTGACAACAAGCCCCGGTCTCCCCTGGTTATAGCTGGGAAGAATCTCAGGGTTTTATGCATCTTTTCATAGCACAAGATAAGATCAGCCTTTATTAAGATCCAGAGAAAAATGAGATTAAAGCTCATTAACACTGTGTCTAGTCCAATGGATGATTGGTATTAATCTTTAATTAAAGAAAAGAGATTAAGTGTAATGAGAAATTGAATCAAGCTGAAAATAATAATTAAAAAAAAATGTTAATTTACTCACTTTTGTTCAAATAAAAGTAACTTTGAATTAATTAGTGGGCTTTTATTTTGTAAGGAAAGTCAAAGATGCAGAAAAGTGAATCATTAAACTCTTAATATGCTCTGTGGTTCAAATCAAATTTTAAACAAAAGTGTGAACTGGTAAACTTTTTAATCTGTCACACATTTCACAGTCTAAAATCTGTTTATATGATATTAACAAATCCTTTACAGCACAGCTGCTTTAAATCTTTTATTCACACAGTCAATCAGACGTAAAGTATGTAGCAAGAATTCAGAGTAAATGTGAATTCAATGGCAGCACTCTTTGTTATATTATTTACAAATACCAAACCTCAAGACTATAACTGATAATATCTTATTTTACTGCATATTAAAGAGTCATCCTGATACTAAATAAACAACACTAGAAAAAAAGAGGTGCTGAAAAACTAATTTATATGAGGAAGACAAAACCTATAAGACAGTTTTTGGAAATTACCTTATTATGATTAAACCAAAATACAGCGCACCTTTACATCATTAGGGACACCATAAACCAAAATCAAACATATATACAGTATGTGTCTCCACTTTTGGACACATCCCAGAATTTTGGGACAAAACCGAAAACATCTGTTACTGCATTTGTTATTTCTGATCTTGTCTTGTTTTTAATGTAAAAAAAACCTTTTATTTCTTTATCATAAGTTTAAGTGCTATGATACTCTTATCCCAGGACTTTTTGAACCCAGAATCATTAGCCCAGGGTTTACATCAAGAGTCCAGAGCTGGCCAAACTAATATTTTAATATCCCCCTTTATGTTTTATGAAAACTGTAGGACCTTATGGCAGTCTCATTTCATTAAACACTACATCTGTGGTCACCTAACACAAAGGAAAATAAAGATTTCTGTAGACGAACCAAATGATGAGTTGTGAAATATGCCAACATTCTTTGCAAGTGCAGAAAAATGATTAATTTGATTAATCAGCTAATTGGGTAGACAGAAAATTAATGAGCAACAATTTAGATAAGACATTTTTCAAAACAGAGATTTCATTTTTTAATGGGGTTTCATCGTTGTTGTCTAGTGTCATTTTGGGTTATGGGTATTTGTGATGGCATATCTGACTGTTTTTACAACATTTAATTGATTAATGGAAAAATAATGAGCAGAATTATCCAGAAAGACAAAAAAATTACCGCAGTCCAACACAAAATTAATGCCATTTCAACCAACTCTGACAGTCTCATATTTAGACAAATGTGCGAGTGAACAATGTTGTATAAAAGCAACACCACTGCATTTAGAGAAAGCATAAACCTTTAAAAGATACTTCCTTTGAGATACTTTTAATACACTTGAATTGTTTTTTTTATAATGTAAACAGTATACAAACAATAGATAGTATTGTTACAGAGAATTTTTGTTGGTTCATTTACATGGGTGGCACATTTATTCCATTTATTCTATTGAATATCATTTCAGAGGGACTCCACACGATAGTAAACAAAATGTTGGTGATGCATCTTAGTAGACTTGGCTTAACACAAATGTTTACCTATCACAAACATCACATCACATTAACACCATAAACATTCACTGATTGTGAAACCAGAAGATTTAGAGCTCCCCCTGCTGACTGACTTAAGAATCTGTCACAAACCTTATCTGTCCCATGTTAATAAAAGGAACAGCTTTAACCTGTTAAATTCAATTACTGGTACATTACAATATGTTACAATACAAAAGGATACAATATGTTTCCAAACAATATAATATAATACAATACAATATGATACACTATGATAAGATACAATTTGATACATTCTGTTACATGAACATTATGACACAATTTGATGATACTATACGATACATTCAATATGATACAATTTGATACTTTGCAACATAATTTGATAAGTTTTGATACAATTTAATAGGATACCATACAATATTAATATGATGTATTACAATACAATTCGAAACAATATGATACAATTTGATATGATTTAACCATATGGTGTGATGCTATAGGAGATGATACAATATGATACGATACAATACAACATGATATACACAATACATCTGATATATAACAATAGTGTTAAATACAATTTGATCTGATACTATGTGATACAGCTTGATATGATACGAAGCAACATGAATTAATATGAAACGATATGATATGGTACACTTTATTACGGTTCAATATGATTTGATATAAAACAGAGCACACATATCAAAACCACCACAGCAAAGCAAATAAGCAACAGTTATAGGCTGGCGTAGTAAGACACTATTGCAAAACACCCAAAACCGTAAGTAACATTATTTGATACTTAAATCAACATGGACCTAAAGGAGTTTCACTGGGAAAGCCTCATATTTCAGTCCTCTCCATGACCTTTATGGTTGCTCAGATTTTAATTGTAAAGAGAGGTTACCGAACCGTGTTGACATCCCATACTTGATTATAATCTGCAACACAGCCTGGAGGATAAAAACATAATCAGTGATCCACTCTGTGAGCGAAAATGGTCTTTCTGTAGATGGCAACACAACATGTCAGCATGATCTTTCCAGCTAAACAGGTTACCAAGGCGTACACCAAGATACCTGTAAGAGCTAACCTGATGAATCCAGAGGAGTAGAGGAGAGATGACATAAGGACACCGAGACCAAAACGAGAGTCCCTGAACTTTCCACAGCTGTGAGTGTCTGACTCAGATCAACACTGAGATCTGCTCTGCTCTAGTCTTTACCTACATGACAGGATGCTTCTGCAGACGCCCGGCTGCTGCATCAGCTCGATACATCATTTCATCTCCTCCATCAGTTCATCAGTTCCTGTTTTATCGAACCCTTCATTTATTCTGTTGTTGTTTAACATTTTGTTTGCTTGTCTTAAACCCTGCTCATGAATCGGGTTTCGATCGTTCACATTGATTTTCTTTCTACGTGAAGCACTTCATGTTACGTTGTGTTGCATTGAGAGTGCTACACAAATGAAGTGTGATTGATTGACTGATCGATCGGGTTGGCGTTCCTCTGTGTTGTGGCTTCCACAGAGAAAGCTGACTGTACACAGACAGTGTGACAAAAAGGCATAAAATGATCCCTTAATGAAGATGTCCTCATCTTCCCTGAGCAAAATTTGACAAACTGGCACAGCAGAGGTGGAGCTGAAGTGTTAAAAATTTTAGATTTTGAAATCTTTGATTCTTGGAGCTCAGAGGATGATGTTTATCCAGTGCATATATTTCTAAACTGCTGCTATCTGAATCTTTCTGCAGTATTTACTTGATGACATTGTGTCTGAAGTCTCTGCAGACTCTCATCCCTCCTCCTGCGTCAGTTCTGCATTCAACCAAATGATGGCAGTGTAACCTAAAGGACAGCCGCCGCACCTTTAATAGTCTCTCCTCTCCTCTTTTGGGGCCCCGAGCTTTCATCTGTTGGCTTCAATTTATTTCATCACACTATAGCGCGGCTGATCTAATAGCATGTACATTTTGTTGTCACCTAAAGGGAATTTCTTGTCATGCTCTAAATTGATGTACCTGTTTGCAGCCTTGGACAGTATTTGTGCCGCACACTCGCAGGGTGTGTGTTTGTATGTGAGCCTCGTACCGCTCAGGATAACGCTGCAGATCTGCGCGCAGACAAACCGGTACATCATGCATTTATATTTGGATAAAGTGCTTCATGCAGAGCTTTGCAGATTTAATTTGATTACCACCAAAGGAATGTTGCACCTTTTGATCCTCCAGCCCCCTGAGGTCACTCCCTGCACATAAACAGCACCTTTTTTATCCTCTCTGCTGTACGGGAACAAGCG